CTCGGCGCGACGAGCGCGCCGAGTGCAGAGGGCCTGTGGTCCAGCGTGGTCCAGCGCTTTGCGCGGAAGGACGGGCCCGCGAGCGCGCCCGAGGCGGAGGCGCTCGCGCTCCGCCGCGTGCACTTCCGCAGCGAGGACCTCGCGCACACCTACCCGATCTGCGGCGCGACAGCGCCGAGCGCCGAGGCGGCGACGCGCGAGCGCATTGAGCACGAGGCCCACGAGCGTGCGCTGCGCCTCGATGCGCGCGCGTGGACGCCCGCGGAGCTCCAGAGCCTGTACCGCGTCTGCTGCCGCGCGCGCGAGGAGGTGCCGTCGGTGCCCGTGCTGCGCGCGCTCGAGCAGGCGGCCGCGTGGGCCGGCGCGGCGCCACGCACGCTCGACCTGGCGGGCGTCGACCTGCGCGGCGCGAGCGTCCCGCTCGCCGACATGCTCTGTGCGCCGCTCGGCGTGCACGTCCTGCACCTGGACCGGTGCCACTTGGACGACGCGGCGGTCACGGCCCTCGCGCGCGCCGTGTACTCGGCGCGCAGCATACATACCCTCACGCTCGCCGGCAACCCCGACGTGCACGTCGCGGGATGGCGCATGGTCGGCACGCTGCTGAGCGCGGCGCCGCACCTCGCGCACCTGGATGTGTCGGAGCATACCTTTTCGTCCGCGGCACTGCGTGCGCTGCTCGCCCCGTGGGACGCGCCCGCATGCACGCTGCAGTCGCTCCGGCTCGAGGCGTGCGCGCTCGCGAGCGGCGCATGGGACGTGCTCGCGCAGGCCGTGCGCGCCGGCGCCGTGCGCCACCTGTCGCTGCGGCGCCACACGCTCGGCAGCCACGCGCGCCAGGCGCTCGCGGGCCTCCTGCGCGACTACGAGGCGCCCGCGGCCGCGGCCATCTCCGCGTGGGAGCAGACGTGCGAGGCGACCGCCGACGACCTGTACGTGCGCGCCGAGGAGAACGAGGTCGAGACGGCGCTGCTGCACGGCGCCGACGCTGTCGCGCAGGCCGCCGCGCGGCGCGAGCGCGTCGCGTCGCTCGTCGCGCGCGCGCGCGCCTTCCAGCATGCGCTCTCCGAGCTCCCGCGCCTCGGCCACCTGCTCACGCTGGACCTCCGCGGGCACGCGCTCGGCGACGACGTGGACACGCTCGCGACGTCGCTGCGGCGCAACCGCTCGCTGCGCGTGCTCGCGCTGGGCGAGTGCGGGGTGGGCGCCGCGGGCCTCGCGCGCGTAGCGCACGCGCTGCAGTACAACACCACACTCGAGACGCTCGACGTCAGCGGCAACCCGTGCGGCGGCCCCGACCTGCAGGGCGTGCTGAGCCTGCGTGTCGCGCTCGGGCTGCATCCGCGGCTGCGGCGCGTCCTGCTGCGGCGCACGCGCCTGGCCTCCGCGGGCGCCGTGGCGCTCGCCGAGTGTCTGCCCGACGCGTCGCTCGTGCACCTCGACCTCGCGCACAACCCGCTGGGCCTCGTCGGCCTCCTGGCACTGTGGACGGGGCTGCAGCGCAACGCGTCGCTGCGGTGCCTCGACGTGTCGGTCGACGCGGACGAGGAGTACGTGCGCGTAGCGCGCGAGATCTACGAGTACTGCCGCGCCAAGAACGAGGCGGAGGCCGCGTCCGCGGCGCCGGCGCGCTTCCTCGCCAAGTCGGTGCTCGCCGCGTCGCTGCGCGCGCCGATCGGCGCGCCGAGCGGGGCCGCCGCGGCACAGTCGAGTGAGGAGGCCGCCGTGTTCCGCGCGACCAAGCTGCTCGACCGCGCGCCGCCGGCGCACGCCCTCGCGGGCGAAGCGTCCAGCGACGACCTGCGCGCGCAGCTCCTCGAGGCGGCCCGGACGGAGCTCGGCTAGGCCGTCGCGGGCGGCGCCGTGTGCGTGCGCAGGAACGAGAACTTGGACAGGAAGCCGCCCGCCTGGCGCACTTGGGCGTACAAGAGCGCCTTTTGCTGGTGCGTCATGCCGCCGCGCGGGCGAGTCAGCGCGGGCCACGACGAGGGCGGCCGCGGGAACGACGGGGGCACCGCCCCCGCCGCCGCCCACCGCCCGCGCTGGGGGAGCAGGAGGGGGTGCGCCTCGGTCGTAAATACAAAATCGTCCAGGCTGACGAGCGCCGGCGGCGAGAAGAGCAGGTAGTAGTACTTGAACGTCTCGGCCAGCGTGTAGCTCTCCATGCTGTCCAGCTGCGCCGCCGGCACGCGGTTCACGTTCTGCAGGGCCGCGACGCCGGCGTTCGACAGGCCATGCGTCATCCAGCTCGCAAACATCTGCCAGCCGCGCTCCTGCCACACGGGATCGCCCGTCGTGCGCCACATGTACAGCACGCTCTCGATCGTCTCGGGCCGGTTGCGGTACTCCACGTACACCTGGCGCATGCCCACCAGCGGGTAGCCCGTCGCGGCGCCGCGGCGCCGCGTGCCGTCCGCCTCGGTCACGATCCGGAAGCGGTCCGTGTCGGTCGGCCGGAAGAACTGGATCATCTCGGGCCCGATCCCCGTCGCGCTGCTGTTGTACGCCCAGTAGCACGTCTCGGTCAGCCGCCGCGCAATGTTCAGGTCGTACGGGCGCGCGGGACGCAGGCGCCCGCCGAGCGCCAGCATGGCGCCGGCAAAGCACCCCAGGTGCTCCAGCTTCGCCACGTACGGCTGACGCGCATGCACTTCGGCCGCGACGAGCAGGTTCGGCGAGTGCGGCACCACGCCCACGTCGCGGAACAGGTGCACCATCGCGCTGTCCATCGCCTCCTCGTACATGCGCGCGTACTGCGCGAGGCGCCCATCCAGGAGCTGGTGCTCCTTGATCAGGTACTCGTAGTACGAGTCGGCCTGCGCCGCGAGCGTGTACTTGCCCGCGAGTACCACCGGGTCCATGTAGATGCGCGTCGGGATCAGTGTGCCCAGCTCACTGCGGTTCGCAAAGTGCGTGTCGAGCACGTCCGTCACGCGCTGCACACGGTCCCAGTACGTGCGGTTGCCCGTGACCTGCCACAGGCGCGTATACTCCAGCAGCATACTCGCGGCCTCGGACAGGATCACACTCTCGCCGCGTCCGCGGCCGCCCGTCGGGACCCGCTGGCGCGCATCGTGCAGGCGCATGCGCCCGATCGGCACGCCCGTGACCGTGTCAAACGCAGGGAGCAGCAGCTGCGCGAGCTCCTCCGCCCGCTCGCGCATGAGCGCGTCGCCCGTCAGGTCGTACGCGGACAGGAAGCCGCCCAGGTACCGGATCGCCGTCTCAAACACAGGCACGCGCCCGTCGGCCGCGCCGTACGCGCTGCGCTCGCCGCACACCACGAGAAAGTCGATGTCGTGCACATGCTCGCGCGCCAGCGCATACTCGTCGTGCAGGCCCATCACCAGCAGCGTGTCGAGCGCGTCGACAATCGTCGCGCCCCACCCGTTAAAGTCGTTCGCAGGCTCGCCGCTGATCGGCCGCACCTCGTCGGCGCCCCACGCATGCGTCTTGTAGCTCTGCCACGCATGCAGGAACGCATGCTTGACGAGCCGCTGCCGCTCCTGCAGCACCGCATCGCGCGTGCGGTTCGCGCGCTGCCCCGAGTACGTGCGGTCGTCCTCAAACGCGTACTGGACGCGCGGCAGCGGCCGGCCAGGCGCGCTCAGGTTCGCGAGCGGCGGCCGCCACTCGCTCCATGGCACACCGCGCCAGTCGGGCTCGACCGGCTGCGCCGTCGGGCGCATCGCATCGTCCGGCTCGGTGCGCGAGCCGTTCCGCTCGGGCGTCCATGGCACATGGGTATAGGGCGCGAGCACCGTCTCCCAGTCGCTCATCAGCGGCTTGGCCGCCGGCGGCGGCACAAGCGGCGGCGGCTCCCGCAGCACCGCGAGGGTGTGCGCGTCCAGCTCGCCGCGGTGCGGGTCCGCGCCGCCCGACGTGGCGTTGGGCCATATGGCGGACGGGTTGACCACCGCTGGGAACGACGCCGCGGTAAACGTCGCATTCGACGCGGGATCAAACTCGAGGTCGGCCATGTACTCGTCGAGCACGCGGACGGGCGCCACGTCGGTCGACTCGTAGAAGACGACGAAGAGCACGCCGCGCACGATCACAAAGAGCGCCATGCCGTACAGCAGCATGAACAGCCACGGCCGGCTGTACGCGCGCTGCTCCAGCTGGGCATGCACACGCCTCAGCCACGACACGGGCGCCGCGCCGAGCGGCGCATCCGGGGCGGTCAGCATGCCGTCGTGGTACGAGCTACGAATCAGGTGGAGGTGCTACGGAAGAGCGACGGCCACACGCGCTCGAGCTCGCCGAGGCGCGCGACCGTCGGCACGTCCCGCGCGGACGCGTCGGTGCACGTCTCGTCGAAGTGGACTGCATCAGCAGGGCCAACGTACCGCAGTGCGCCCAGCCGAGGCGCCGCGCCGCGTCAATATTCGTGCGGCTGTCGTCGACAAAGTAGTGGCGCACGCCCGCGGGTGCCTGGACAGCTGCCTCGGCAGCGAGGTAAAACTCGGCGTAGGGCTTGCACAGGCTGTGTGAGCCGGCACACGTACAAGTCCGGGTTCGTGTAGTCGCAGTACACGATGCCCTCGACCAGCGCGTCGAGGTGGAGCAGGCGCAGGACGCGCCGCGCGTGCTGTGTGAGACGCAGGACGTACGAATTTGTACGCGTTCGTCAGGGCGTACACGCGCGTGCGCGTACGGTCGAGGCGCGTCAGCATGCCGATCACCTCGTCGTCCGGCCGCAGAAGCGAGTCGAGCGGCAGCGAGGCATCGCACTTTTCGTCGTAGTCCATCGGGTCGATCGTGTGGTGGCGCACGAGCCCGCGGATCGCGAGGCCGTACTCTTTGTAGTAGTGCATATGCAGCTCGTCTGCCTCGCGCTCGCTCATCCCCAGCGCAAGAAAATACGCTCGGATCCGCTCGACCATGCGGTCAGAGATCCTGCGTCAGTGCACCGCGCGTACCGCGTCTCCATGTGCGAGTAGAGCGTATTGTCAATATCAAGCCACACGATCGCCTCGGCGTCCGAGGCATCGCGGAACGTCGACAGACGCTCCAGGCCCGCGTAGGCCTGCCACGGCTCGGCGAGCGGCGCACGCATGCAGGCCCCGCGCACGACGCGGCGTCCGTGCTGGGTCGCCAGTAGAGGCGTGTATCCTATAAAAGGCCCGCCGCGGGGGCGTCACGCCATGCCGCCCCCCACGGTGCTCGTAACCGTAGGGAGCACGCGCTTCGATGCGCTCGCCGAGGCGGCGCGCGCGGCGCCGTTTGTGCGCGCAGTCCACGAGGCCGTCGGCGCTGGCGCCGTGCTCGGGGTGCAGTACGGCCACAGCGCCGTGCCCGTACCACCCGACGCACAGCCGTGCTCCATGCACGGGGCGCAGGGGCACGCGTATGCGGCCGCGGACGGCGCCGTGACCGTGTTCCTATTTCGCTATGCGCCGTCCCTCGCGGCGTGGATCCGCGCCGCGACGCTCGTCGTGGCGCATGGAGGTGCGTAGGTGTGCCTGACCGCAGGCGCGGGAACGATGATCGAGGTGCTCCGCGCACCATCGCGCCCCCGGCTCCTCGTTGTGCCGAACGCGGCGCTCATGCATGATCACCAGCGCGAGCTCGCTGCGCAGTTCGCGCGCGAGGGCCTCGTGGCGGTCGCCGACCCAGCGTACGTCCCTCGTCTCACACAGGACACTCGCAGACCGCGTACCAGATGCCATGCGCACACACACAGCGTCGCTGCCCCCACAGGACGCGAGCGCCGTCGTGCGCGCCGTCGAGAGCGTGTGGGGCCGCCGGTCATAGAGTACACACCTCCACATGCAGGAGGCGGGCGATCGCCCGGCGCGCCGAGCGGCCGCGACGACATGCATCCGGAGGGGACGAGGGGCGGCACGCCGGCCAAGTCCCTCCTACAGTCGCCGTTCCTGCTCCCGTTCCGGTCGCGCAGCCATACGCGCATCTCGCTCGATGTGGCGCAGTCCGAGTCGAGTCGCGCGGGCGCTGCGCCGCCGCAGCTGGACGCGCTGAGCGAGGTGCGATCGGCGATCGAGACGCTCCTGCAGCCCAAGGTGTCGCCCAGCGAGCAGGTGACGCAGTGCCGCTTCATTATCGATACGCTGAAGCGGATCCCGGCGGAGCTGGCCGCGCTGATGGACCCGAGCATTGCCACACCACTCGTATCGTCGCTCACCGTGCTGTGCAGCCGCGTGCTGCGCGGCACCTACGCGCACGAGGCGCAGCTGCTGACGTGCGAGATGCTGAGCAAGACGCTCGCCTATGCGGAGGCCGCGACGGCCCAGGCGTTTGGCGAGCAAGCGCGCGAGATGGCCATCGCCACGGGGACCGACGCTGTGATGCCGTCGTGCGCGCTGAGCACACTCGATCGCGCGCTCCTGTACCGCCTCGTCGTCAAGCTGCACGATCCAGATGACTGGGCCGTGCCGCGCATCACCGAGGAGCCCCAGCGCGCCGTCGAGACGCTCTACTACCAGCTCCAGGCGCTCCAGGCGCTGACACGCGATGGGCGCGAGATCCTTGCGTTCCGCGGGATCATTGACACCCTCACGCTGTGGGCCGACTACGCCTGGGGCACCATGATGGCACTGCGTGCGCAGGACCTGCCGGACGTGCTGCGCATGTGCGAGCAGAATGCGCATGGCCTCGTGCTGCTGCTCGTCGCCGCATGCAAGTTCCACGCGTCGCGCCTCGAGAAGCACCACATGGAAAAGGTGCTGCGCTGTGTCTCGTCCATGATACTATCGCCGCGCCTCCCAACGCTCGGCACACGCGACACGGCGCGCGCTGCGCCGTCCCGCAGCTCGGCGCCCGCATACTACGGCCTGGAAGCCACGAGTGCGTACCTGGGCGTACCCCAGCTCGATCCAATTGACCCGTCCGTGCTGGTCGGGACGCAGCCCGTCTCGGCGGACCGCACCGTTCATGTGAGCGTCGACGACGAGCACATGTCGCCCTTGACCGAGCAGGACGTGCAGGTGATCGCCAAGATGCTGCACACCGTCATTTGCTATTCGTTTATTCCGACACCGTGCATCGCGCAGGTGGTGTATGCGCTGTGCCGCGTGATTGGGCTGCCAGCCTCCCTAGCACCCGAGACGGACGTGGTCACGCAGCTGCGGCTACGCAGCGTGGACGTGGACCATGAGTTTGGCACGATGCTCCACCACCTGCTACAGAGCCATGTCGCGTACCTGGTCGTGCGACTTGTGTACCAGATCCTGTGCACGTCGCGCAAGGGGCCGCGCTCCGTGCGCGTCGGCGCGATCCTGTTCCTCCATGCGCAGCTGATCTCGAGTATGCAGCGCCGCATCGAGGACGAGTCGCACGTGCCCCTGGTGAGTGAGCCCATGGTGGTAAGCATGATCCGCGGCGCCTTCTCGCAGAGCGATGACGTGCTCGACCTGGCCACGCTGTACCTCGTGGACGACCTGCTTCCACCACGCACACCCTTGGGCGATGCGCTGCGGACGACCCAGGCGCCGCAGCCGCTCTGTACACTGTACCGGCAGGCGCCGCGCCGCGCCGATTGGGACTTGCTAGACGAGATGGTCCCGGTCATGAACCGCCATCTGTCGCGGTGGCGGCGCGCGAGCTCCATCACAGGCGTATCAGGCATGGTCCTGCAAGCCATGGTCTCGATCCTCGCCAGCACGCCCACCGGGAGCGACTGGACGAAGCCCGTCGCTGCGATGGACACGTTCGCGCACAAGTTCTGGTACCTCGCATCGTGGCTGCCTGACACAGTGCTCCTCGAGATGGTGCGCGCGAATCACGCCACGCACATGTACCTGCCGAGCCACACAGAGTGGCTCGACCACCTCGCGGAGCTCATGGACACCTTCTACCCCGCGGCGCTCGCCGAGAGACCCGGCTTCGTGGAGGCGCCCCTGCCCCTGTCGCGGCTCGAGGCGGCCCAGATCATCACCGAGGCGTACGAGGCAGTACAGGACCTGCCGGCACAGCGCGACCCGATGATCGAGCGCATCCTCGTGCCGCTCACGCGGCGTGCACTGCGCCTGGAGACAAACCTGCAGATTGGGCGGCCGCTGCGACGCATCGTGACACATGCGATGCTCACATCCGTGTGCGACGCCCCAACGGGCCAGGACACGAGGCTGCAGCGGCTCATACACGAATTTGTCTCGTCCATCTACAAGGCACCGCCCCTGAGCGTGGAGCTCGATGAGCAGGCCAAAGGAGCGCCGGCGCCGCTCAACGAGCCCCCTACGCGCGAGCTCCTGCTCACGACGCGGGCGGTGCGCTCGCTGCGCAACCTGATCGAAGTGTTCTACCTGCTGGCATTTGGCCCATCGGCCGACTCGGACATGGTTCCGGACCTGCCTCCCACGCCGGCGGCGCTCGATCGCTACCGCCATGTTGGCCTGCAAATCTTCCGCGAGCTGCTGCATCTTGTGCAGTGCAATGTACCCAATGGCTCCGACGACGGCCGGCCTTGGGTGCCGTCGCACCTGCGTCTCGTCGTGCTGCGCTGGCTGCTGAGGATGCGCGCGGACCGGCGGCACCGCCTCTACTTTGTGCACGATGCTGGCGAGGAGACACTCGCGCTCGTGCAGATGCTTGAGCCAGGCATCGATGCGCGCGACGACGCGCGTGCCAGGGACGCAGAGGGCGCGGACGACGCGCGCAACGCGCTCCGCGCCATGCCATGGTTCCTGGAGCCGCGCGACGTGGATGTGCCCAGTGCGCCGTGGTCGAGCGAGGTGTGGCAGGTGTACCACCACGACCACACGACTACGACCGAGGAGGAGCTGGCGCCGAGCAGCGAGGGGCCCGTCCTGCTGCCCGTGTCCGAGTATCTCGCGGCACTGCTCACCGTGCTCAAGACAGAGACGGACTGGGACGTGATTTCGTGTGTGATCACGCACCTGCCGGCGCAGCTGAGCAACAAGCACCTGTTCTGCGGCCCACAGGCGCTCGGCCAGGTGCGTGCACTGCGCGACTTTCTCGTGCCGCTTCTTCTGGAGCAGCGGCTCTTGCCCAACGTCGTGCTCCCGAGCGAGGTGCGACGCACGGCATTGGCGAGTGTGCTGTACACCACACTCAAGGTGCTGATCGCGTACCAGCGCTGCTTTACGCGCGAGCAGAACGACGAGATTGTCGAGGCGCTCGCAGTAGGCCTCACGCGCTCGCCCGCCACGTCCCAGCCCTGCGCACGCGCGCTGATCGTGGCGTGCCACGAGCTGCCCAAGTCGTTTACGCGGTACGTCGCAGGGACGCTCGTCAAGCTCTCGACCATCATGTCGTCGATCACGATGAGCGTGCATATCCTAGAGCTGCTCGCGGAGATTCGCTGCGTGCCCGCTCTGTACGCGAACCTGACCGAGGGCGACTACCGCCGCATATTTGGCATCGCACTCCAGTACATCCAGTTCCACGAGAGTATGACCGCGGGCGGCACGCGTGAGGACCTGCGGTCGAGCCCCGCCAAATTCTCGCTCTCGCAGTATGTGCTGATGCTGGCATACAGCAACATTGCGCAGTGGTTCATGACGCTGCGTATGCAGGATCGAGCGAAGCACGCGTCGTACATTACGCAGGGCCTCGTACTCGCCAACGAACTGCGCACGGAGCTGAGCGACCACACGATGGTGTGCCTCGACTTTCTCGCGCGCTTCACGTACAGCAACGCGCAGTCCAAGCCGGTCCCCTCGCTGTTCCGGCAGCTCATGGCCGGCGATGAGGCGGAATCACGCGCGCCACAAGGCTCGACGTGGCTGATTGGCAAATGCCTCATCACCGTGAGTCTCCTGCCACGCCCCGACACGTTCGAGATCACTGTGCGCCGCCCCACCGGTACCGTGAACATTGTCAGCAATTTGGAGAATTTGCCGATGCACCCATGGACCGACGAGGAAAAGGCCGCGCAGTTCCTCGCAGGCGTCCTGGAGCGCCTCAATAAGAGTCAGCCGCTCAAGCAGGCGGTGGCGCCGGCGTCGGGCTCGGCAGATGATACCGCCGAGGCGCCCACGGAGGCGGCCCCTGCGGTGCAGCACGGCCGTACGCCCCGCAGCACACTGACGGTGGACCCTGCGTTCATTGCGCTGCAGCTGAGTGGCTACCCGGGGCCGTCGCATGAGCAGCCGCCGATCCTGCTTCCAGACGACCGATCCACCGACCGGCTTCTGCGTGCCATGGATCTCACGCCCGTGTACGACTTTCACAAGATTGGCCTGGTGTATGTGGGCTACAACCAGGCGACCGAGCAGGAGATCTTGGGCAACACCTACGGCTCGACGGCCTACATGCGCTTCCTCGCGCGTCTTGGCGACCTGGTCCCCTTGCGGGACCAGCAGGATGTCTACACAGGCGGGCTGGACCGCCAGAGTGACGAGCACGGCAAATATGCCTATGTGTGGCGCGACAATATCAAGCAAGTGGTGTTCCACACCGCTACGCTCATGCCGAACAAGGAGCACGACCCGAGTCATGCCTCGAAAAAGGCGCTCATCGGCAACGACTGGGTGCACATTGTGTTCAACGATTCAGGTCGTCCCTACGAGTTTGGCACGATTCCCAGCCAGTTCAACTTTGTGAACGTGGTCATTACACCACACTCGAGTGTGCATGGCAGTGTCGACTACACGGTGTCGGACGAGACGTACTTCCACGTGTCGCTGCAGCGTCGCACCGGCATGCCCGACTTTTCGCCGGTGGGCGAAGGCTGCCTGGTCTCATTCGCGGCCCTCCCGCGCTTTGTGTGCAACTTGGCCATGCACAGCGATTTGATGAGCCAGATCTATCTGGACACGGCCGAGTCGATGGTGCCGTACGCGAACAATTGGGTTACCCGCCTCAACCACATCGAGCGCTTCCGCTCGCAGTGGGCGGCACGCCAGCCCGAGTCGACGCCGGATGCATCGATGGCCTTTGACTTTACGCAAATACTAAAACGGTAAAAATAGGACTATCGCCGCCTAATTTAGAGCTGCGCCAGCACCGCGTCGACCGACGACTTTTCGGGGGCACCCATGTTGCCCTCGTCCATGCCAAAGTAGGTGATCTTCAGGTCATCCAGCACAACAGCGTAACGCGCCGTGCGCACGCCCATACCACCCGACGTAAGGTCGAGCGTTCCACCCAGAGCCTTCGAGAAGGCCAGATCGTTGTCGCAGGCGTACACGATCTGGTCCTTGCCACCGACCGTAACACCCCAGCCACTCATGACAAAGGCATCGTTGACGGCGATCACAACCACCTCATCAACACCCTTGGCCTTCAGCTCGTTGATCTTCTCAACAAAGCCGGGGATGTGGTTCTGGTGGCACACGGGCGTGAAAGCGCCAGGGATAGCCACAACCACAACCTTCTTGCCCTTCCAGCGGTCGTGGGCCTTGAAAGTCTGAGGCACACCACACACCTTGCCCGAGTCAAGCTCGGGAGCCCAGGGGATGTAGGTGAAAGTCGTGTTGGGGGCCTGAGAACCGGTAGTAGCAGACATGATGTTCGTGGATGAGATGACGCCACTGCCACAACGCCGGGTATTTATGGCTTACGTGGCCGGTCCACGCGCACGGATGGGGGGCCCCGATCAGATACGATGAGTAATACCACGCGGCCGGCTCGCCAGCCAACCGAACCCCCCGCGGCACGGCAGTAGAACGAATGCTTGGTCCCTCTATGCTAGTGCATGAACAACGTTTCCAAGGCTACGCACAGCTTGGTCCGCTTTGCATTGCCTCGCTGCAGCTACCACGCCAACAAGAACAGCTTGTGATGCCCTCATTTCCCAATACCATCAAACATGGCGGTACTTCATGCATGTAGATACCATAGTTGCTCCACCCACCGCATCTCCAGGCTTCGAGGCCCGCAGGCCTGGCGTTCCTTGCCCCGCCCGTGTCCCAGGAGACCTTCGTCGAGACCCCTGGGCGGAGTGGTCACGTGGTCTGATTGGTAATTCGGGACGGTTCGGGCGTCCAGCAGGCTGGGCCTAGAAGCGCTCAAAGCCAACAGGCTCAACTTGGCGACTGCATCAGCGATCACACATCATGTCCCTCTTTGCTACCCTGATGAACCTTGGCTCGGCTACTACCGTGGCTGAGAGCACCTCTGAGGGTGCTTGGTACGAGTCCTTCTTCCCTGTTGCGCACAACGAGGTACGTGAAGATACGACGGTTCGGCAGCGTTGCACCGACAGCGCTGTGTCCCAAAGAGCATGACTAACGCGCTTAGGAGGAAGAGGAGCCTCAAGAACAGGAAGAAGAAGCGGAGGGTGAGGAAGAGGAGGAAGAGGAGGAAGAAGAGGAAGAGGTACATGGTAGATCACAGAAGCACTTACACTACAGGAACCCGAGGACGTATGTACTTTATTTGGCGTCTAGGCTGTATACTAACACGCGTGATGCAGCCCTACCCTGAAATCTACGAGGGTATGTGCACAATTGGCATCACTAACTGGCTAGCATGCGAAAAGTCGGCTGCCTGCGAGTCGGTCCGGCATCATTTCGAGGAGTGCCAGGAGCGCGTCACCGAGGGCAAGGGCTTCGAGGGCGAAGACTGTGTGGAAGAGTTGTACGTATGGCTGTTGCACTGACCGATAGCTGTATGTGGTGCTCCTGGAACCAAAGTACTAACCAGCCACAGTCCACCTGGCTCACTGCACTCTGGAGTGCGTTGCGCCGTATGTACGCGCTTTGGGATTACTTACATGCACAGTAAGCTCTTTGCCCAGCTGGTCTAAGCGACGTTCCGCACGGCCGCCAGGCCCTGTCGCAGATACATTTCATAGCATGGTACAGGGTACTACGGTGTGGGTCGAATTATCCCGCATAACTACGGGTAGCCTAGGCATCCAGTGCGGTTATGTATAGGACTGGGCATAAGTATTGTGCTCGTACCATTGTTGCCGCGAATAAAGGCATCACCATAGCTACTCTTCAGAACGCCGTCCACATGTTCGGTCGTCTCCTCCATAGCAATGTTCATGTAGCCATCAAGACAGGAGAGAGTGCCTAATTGTGTTAGCTCGCTTGGTAGCACGGTCACATACCATGGTAGTCAATGCCAGAGTTGAGGCGCACAACGACCTTTTTACCAATCACGCCTGTATTGGTTAGCTCATGACATTCAAACCGACGTACTTTTTAGGAAATCATTCGGACTGCCAGCCTTGACTTGGTTGGTAGCGTTGGTGTCCTCGCTGGGCGCCGACACGAGACCTGCTTCACTCATGTCTACAAGGACAAGGCCAGGTGAGAAGCGACTCGACGACACGATAAAAATAATTACATATGTGTCCCATGTTGGTCTATGAGACCCAGCTACAAGTCAAGGGGCGTCAGCTATGGATAGCGGTACGTCATCGTAAGAGTTTTCGTTATGTTGCAAACCTTTGACTGGGCGTCTTCGAGAGAATCCACTGTCAACCGCCACGGCCATCCCGACGTCGGACGTCCGCTGAGTCCAAGCTACGTCAATTGGGCAGAATCGGCGAATTGAACCTCCACTCACAGTGCGCATTGTCGTCCCACCAACTGGTCATGGCGTCCCTGAGGGACGATGGGAGCCTACCTTTCAGTACGTACACTTCAGCGCTAACGCAAAACAAGACTACGACCCTCGTGCCCACTGGCGTGCCCCAGATATGGAAGATCCACTGTTTGGTGGTACACCATTTCGCGATGCTCATACGGATTCCGGCTTGGCCGCGTCGCCGGATGCACGTTCCTACTATGCCCTACTGAACGTCGACCAAGACGCAACAGAAAGCCAGATTCGTGATGCCTACAAAACCCTTGCCAGTTTGTATCGCTAGTCACTAACAACAGTGGCGTTTCATCCGGACAAACACCCCGGCGACGACCGTAAGGAACTCGCTGAAAAGATGTTCCAGGATATCCAGGAGGCATATCAAGTACTCATTGATCCCGAAAAGCGTGCTATATATGACCACTTTGGGGAAGAGGGACTCCGCTCAACCTGGACAGTGGCGATGCGTGGAAGCTCACCGGAGGAGATGCGCGCTGAATTCGAACGACAATCTCGCCTGCAGCAGGCAGCCGATGCAGAGGCCCTGGTGAATTCGCGCGGCGAATTTAGCGCATTGATCAACGCAACGTCTTTGTTTTTGCCGTCGCCACGCACTGTGTCTCCTTTGACACCGCGGCTCCAGCCTAATCTGACATGGAGTCAACGTCTAGGTCTCATTTCCTGTGCCCAAGTAGTGGGCAAGCACGGTTTCGACATGGCCCTCTCCGAGCAGTCCGTGCTCTCTTTATCAGGCCAGCTGATGAGCCGCGGAAATGCAGGCGGTGGGAATCTAGTTGGAACGCTCAAAACCCATTGGAGCCCTCGCTTTTTCTCGGAGCTCAGCGCCTCGATTTTGCGGCCACAGGTACTGACGGCACGGGGACAGTACACTGTCGATGAGAACATGTTCTTCAATTACGCACTGGTTTCTCAGACACTGGCTGCGCCCCCCTCCGTGACACTCACATGGGGCCAGCGACTCTCTAGCACGTCGTCCCTAACGGGCTTCACGTCGCTGAAAACGGGGTCTTACTCTATCGGCGGATGGGGTGCTGATGCAAACGGTCAGCCTGTGCATCAGGACACGGGTGCTATGGTCGTCGGCGCTACAAAGCAACATCCAGACGGCACAGCCTGGACGCTTCAGATGACGCTCTCGGACGTTGACCAGTCGATTGGGTATGAATGGACCATGAAGGTGCTGGGCGGCTTCAAGGTCAAGAGTGGCGTGTCTCTGGGCACAGCCATGGGAATCTCAGCATTTTCGAGCGGTGAGCGACGCGTCACAGAAAACATTCGGGTCCTTCTTGGCGTTGAGTGCGGACTCAGCTCAGGTGTTCAAGTCAAGGTGCGCGTCACACGCTTAGGGCAGAAGCTTGTGTTCCCAATTGTTCTCTCGCCTACATTCCGCTCTGATCTGGCGGCAGCGGCTACGCTTGTTCCTGCTGCTACGATGGTTCTGTCACACTATTTCTACTTCGTACCACGACAGAAGAAGGAGCGCAGCAAGCGCGTGATGCAGGTGCGCAAGGAACATGCTGCGGTGATTGAGCAGCGGCACACGTCCGCTGAGCAGACACGGGAACTGCTTCGTCCCCAGGCCTTGAAGCGCGCCGAGGCTGAACTTGCTCGGCAGGGTCTCGTGATTCTTCAGGCTTTCTACGGTCGCATTGACGCTTTCCCGAAGAAACTGTCTGTCTCCCAAGATGATTTACGGAGCAAGCAGCACATCATGGAACTTGTGGTCGATACGTCCACGGCAACAGAAGGCTCATCTGATCAGCCCTTGTGGTGGGATGTCCGAGTACCCCTACAAATGCTTGTGATACAGAGCCAGCTGGTAATTCCCTCAGGCACGACCAAGGTATGCATCCAACGCTAACGTACAGGCAAAGCTGATTGGCTTCTTTGATCCGTGCGTGGGCGAACAAAAGCATCTCTATGTCTGCTACTGGTTCCGAGGCGAGCTGCACGAGTTTATGGCAGGCGACAAGGATGCGGTGGCTGCTCCTTTACGAGGTATGTATCTGCGAGCCTGACGAAACAGGCCACCAAATATAGCGTCGCGACAAATTTTAGAGCCACTGTCTATTCTATTGTACATGGGCAGTATCACACGGCCAAGTCGTGTCTACTTAGGCCTGCGCTGCATCCTTGCGGTTTAACTCAGCTTCCCGCATCTTCTTTTCTGCTAGCACTTTAAACTTGAAATAGTCTTTGTGCAAGCCACACTCCGTCTTTCCCATCTTGTTGCTCCAACGGCCGGAGCGCTCGTCAGAACCCTCCTTGCCCAGGGGCAACGACGTCGAATGCCAATCACCAATGGATTTGTAGCCCATGTCAAGGAGCTCATTGTATGGCACGGCATGTTCCTTCACATACTTGTCCACATCAGCAAAGGACCAATTAAGCAAGGGGTTTACCTTAATCAAACCCGTCTCATCCACTTCGACCGGCGCCAGCGATGCGCGATCAGCGCCTTGCGAGCGGCGTCGTCCCGTGAAAACAGCTCGCACATTTAGCTCTTCATAGGCGCGCCGAGCCGGTTCGACCTTTACGAGGTAGTCATACGTATCTTCATCGCGCTCCCAAAGCTGTGGGCCCCAGCGCTTCTCAAAAGCCGCTGTCGTATCTGTTCCCTGGGGCTTGTACACGTGCATGGGCGCCTGATAATGTTTTGCAGCGCGCTCTGACAGGTCCAGTGTCTGGGGAAAGTGGTAAAGCGTGTCAACAAAAATCAGAGGCACTAGGTGCTTGGCCGGAGTACCATTCTGTTGTGCACGTTCCGCACTAATACGGGAAATCATATCCAACGTGACACACCCCGTCAGTCCAAAGGCGGTGGTCTGATACAGGTTCGGAAGGTTGTCGACCGACCAAGCAATAATCTCCTGCGGCGATGCATCCTGCAACTTAGCATTGATCTGGGGGAGGTCCTGAATGACACACTTTACTTGCGCGTCCACGTCAGATCCTGTAGGAGCAGAGGAAAGGGCATTAGTGACCGCCATGCCTTTCTGTCTTGGTACAAGCGTAGCAAAATGTCACACGGATGACCGCTGCCTTTTCGGCACACGTCGCCACCTGAGTATTTTGTCGTCCGAGCGTCCAGTTGGGACAACTGTATCATGTCCGTGGCTGCAACTCTTGCGTGCTCATACTTGGTGGAGGCACTTGTTCTCCGATAGCCACGTGGTTCAAACTGGCAAAACTGACAAGATCACGTGTGCGTGAGAACTGGGAAGTTTGCACAGCGCTGGTCGAATACGAGCTAGGCGCGCGATATCGTTTTCCTTGTCCTACACTAAGGTCAATCCTCAAGATGGCTGCTCGTCCTACTGTAAACGTGCGAGGCATTGACGGTGCGGCTTCGGGATCGCTGCCTCTTCCGGCGGTCTTCACCGCTCCCATCCGCCCGGATGTTGTTCAGGCCATTCACTGTACGTATATGATAAAACAGGTTGTTCGAAACCGGAGTTCGTTGTCCGTATGACGACCACGACGCGCCCTTATTTCGAGCGCCTGTGACCAGAATGGGTACTAACACACACAGCGAACCTTGCCAAGAACAAGCGCCAGCCTTACGCTGTGGCTTCGAACGCCGGTCACCAGACTTCGGCTGAGTCGTGGGGTACTGGTCGTGCCGTGGCCCGTATCCCCCGTGTTGGCGGTGGTGGTACGCACCGTTCGGGTCAGGCTGCCTTTGGTAACATGGCTCGCGGTGGTCACATGTTCGCCCCTACGAAGGTGTGGCGCCGTTGGTTCATCAAGACCAACCAGGCTCAGCGCCGCTACGCTACGGCTTCGGCCCTGGCTGCTACCGCGCTCCCGTCCCTGGTCCTCGCTCGCGGTCACCGCGTCGAGGAGATTGAGGAGGTGCCTTTGATCGTCTCGAGCGAGATTGAGTCGTTCACCAAGACCAAGCAGGCCGTGGCTGCCCTCAAGGCCCTGAACGCTTACGAGGATGTGATCAAGGTGTCGAACTCGCGCAAGATCCGTGCTGGTGTGGGTAAGCTGCGCAACCGCCGCCACACCCAGCGCCGCGGTCCTCTGGTCATTTACAACCAGGACAACGGTATTGTGAAGGCATTCCGCAACCTGCCCGGTGTGGAGATTGCCAGCGTGCACAGCCTGAACTTGCTTCAGCTCGCTCCCGGAGGTCACCTGGGTCGCTTTGTGATCTGGACTGAGGATGCTTTCAAGCAGCTCGACACCATCTTCGGCACCTACGAGACTGCCTCGGAGGTCAAGAAGGGCTTCCGTCTCCCCAGCGCCAAGATCAGCATGCCTGACGTGACGCGTCTGATCAACTCGGATGAGATCCAGAGCGTGGTCCGTCCTGCTGGCCCCAAGCAGACCAAGCGACCCTTCACCCAGAAGAAGAACCCTCTGCGCAACCGTGGTGTGCTGTTCCGCCTGAACCCCTACGCCCAGGCCTCGATCCGCCGCGAGCTTCGCGAGCAGGCTCAGCGCCGCGCTGGTAAGCTGAAGAAGAACACCAAGGCCCCTCGCACTACGACTAGCGAGGCGTTCTTCGAGCAGCTTTTTGCTCCCTAAGCAGTCCAGTGTGACGTGATTGGAATGGAGTGTGTATTGTGTGCTCGACTGTATGGAACCACAGAAACCGCATGCTTTCACACATGATCTGTGCTGATGTTTCTTCCAAAAATGCCTGGCATTCTCATCTAGCTATAGACAAGCCCAACTCTGTTGCTAGTTTGTAATGCTATTTTCAGACCCCTTCTAGCTTGTGATCACTGGATACATTGCGTTTGCGTAGAAATTATGCCGAAACTCAAGTAGGCCCAAGCCTTTCCCACCACTGAATTACAACATATAGCCGCGGAATTTCATCACTGTGGACTTCCACTTCATCGAGTTGTGCTTTATCTCGGGGTTCGTAAGCGGGCAAAGTCCATCAACTTCCCACGAACTTGCCAAGCGCCAGTCGGGTTTATTGTCGTAACCAATATCGGCAATGCTAGGCTTGCTCGGATCATAGGCGGGCCAACCTCCATGAAAGTTAAACAATCCCTTGTGCGGGTCCTTAACGAATGTCATTGTTGCATCTTTATACAATTTGGCAATAGGAGCACGCACTTTATTGTCAGAGGTAGGGATCGGGTCGTTCACGACTGGCAGAGGACCCGGATCCGTCGACCCATCTGAAATATACTTCAGAGGGCGCCATGTGTTCCACGAATAGGCCGTGTCACTGCCGTGGAAGCTTAGAAGCTGTTGATAAGGCTTGGGCGTATCGGGGATGTAGAATGCAGGGCTGAAGCGGTAGCGCCATGTTGGCGAAGAAATGCCGATGCGTTCTTTGGCTTGCACACTCGCAGGACATACCCAAACTTCTGCCGTGATAATCGGCCCCACAACATCCGTCAGATAAGCATTGTGAATCAGGAGAGCATTTCCTTCATCCTTGTTGTTACCGATCAGCATGGGCACATCCACATAGCGCTTCTGCTCCAAGCGCTCGTCATAGTCACCAAACGCTGTGATATTGTCCACTGTGAGGATGAAATTGGCATTTACCGTAAAGGTAGCATTCATAACATCTTGCCATTTCTTGTTTTGCATGCACTTGAATTGAGCCTCGTCGCTGTCGGTACCGCAACCCACCACGCGAGAAACATTGTTCCAGTGGCTATGTTTACCGCTGAAGTCATCGCCAGGCGGATTCACAAAAGAACGACCCAGTGAGATCATTGATCCACTTTGCAAGACCAGACCATTGATGTACTTTGATGTCTCCTTCTGGTAGTGAACGTATGCCCAATTGTCAGTCGTGCAGGCACCTGTGCTTGTACCGCCCATCGTAATCTTCTCAGGATCACCACCAAACTTCTCAATGTTCTTGTATACCCACTCAATACCCAGGTCAACGTCATTTAGACCAGGGTTGGCACCCTTGTAGTTCGGGTTACCCTTGTTTTTCGTGGGGTACAACTGGGGCGAGAGCGGGTACCCAAAGATCCAGTTGCGGAAGTTGATGCTCACAACTACAATGTCTTCTTCCGCCACCAATGGATCGGCGCGATAAGTCTCGATACGGGATGTACCCCACTCATACGATCCGCCATAAAGATTAAGCCAAACTGGCGCCTTCGTTGCTTTACCGCCTGATTTGATCCAATTTTCCCAGTGCCTCTTTCCCACGTAAATATCCGCCATGAGACAGTCCTCGCTCTGCAATTCTTCTTCAAAAATCTCAGGAGATAAACCAAAGAGGCTAACAGCCTTGACAGACTGGCCGCTACCATGCTGGGGGCAACTTGGACTAAAAGTAGACGCATCTTTCACGCCATTCCATTTGGGCGCCGGCTTGGGAGGCATGAAACGGTTTGATCCACTCGTATCAGCACCAAAAGGGACACCAAGCCACTTGAAAGCGCCGGCCGTTTTGTTGTACGTGCCACGGACCTTTCCACCTTCCACATTAACCACCAGGTAATCGTCCCACTTGGCACTAAAATGGGGCTTTGAGCTCTTGTTCTTGTGCAATGTCTCTGACGAACTCCAATGCGCTACTTTTGCCGGCTCCGAATCGCTCTCGACCGGCGATTCGTTCCAGTGGTCTTTGGATGGGTATCGACGCGCCATACCACGGTGGTCCACATGAAGATCTGAGGCCAATACGCCAGACGCAAGCGCTACAATGATCGCAAGCGCTATGGTAAGGTAGCATCGCCCTCTTGCCCACATGGTGAGTGGATGAACCGTGTAGTGATGTTGTGTTGTCTCTCCTGTAATTTACACACCAGGCATTCAGGCCTACATTCTGCTTGCATTGACGTGCGTTTGATGCGCGCATTACTCGCCAGTCGTTCTAAAACTTTTTTTGGCCAATGCTATTTTCTTCATACGCCAAGTAAGTCTAGTCCTGTCCCCGATGACAAATCCTTGTATACATTTGACTCAGTATGACTAAATGACACGTAGAATGCTCTAGACGTGGCGTTGATCTCCAGACATCGGTTCTGTTCGGTTGATCGATCATATCTGCCATTCTAGCGTCCTTGATTGCACGCGTAGGTTTGCCACCAACTAACTAAGCGGCAGCGCATTGCTTTCTCAAAGAAAACACTGGGAAACTGTGGTACACTTCTCTCTAGAAGACTTTATCAATTTGCTTGTCCACCAGCTTTTTCTTTGCAACGGTCTGCATTAGGCTTTGGCATTGCCGGTTCATTTTTTCTAAGCACTATGGCTCCTATTAACGCTCAAGTTTCTGAGGCGAACGGAAAGACACCACAGGATGTGGTGATCATCGGCTCGGGCCCTGCCGGCCACACTGCCGCCATTTATTTGGCTCGAGCTAATTTAAGCCCTGTCATGTACGAGGGCTTTTTGGCAAATGGCGTAGCTGCTGGCGGTCAACTCACTACCACGACAGATATTGAGAACTTCCCTGGCTTCCCTGATGGGATTGGTGGTTCAGAAATCATGGATAAATTCCGTGCGCAGTCTGTGCGCTTTGGAACTACCATTCATACCGAGACAATTTCGAAGGTGGACTTCTCTAGTCGACCATTTAAGCTCTGGCGTGAAGGGCATGAAGACGAAGAGCCCGAGCTTGCTAAAACTGTGATTATCGCAACTGGTGCCTCGGCACGCCGAATGCACCTACCAGGCGAAGAAACTTATTGGCAAAGCGGTATCAGCGCTTGTGCTGTATGCGATGGTGCAGTTCCTATCTTCCGGAATAAGCCTCTTGCCGTGGTTGGTGGCGGTGACTCCGCTGCAGAGGAAGCCACCTACTTGACCAAGTACGCCAGCCATGTGTTTGTTCTTGTTCGTCGGGACGAGCTGCGAGCCAGCTTCATTATGGCCAAGCGTCTTCTTTCGCACCCTAAGGTCACTGTTCTGTTCAATACCATTGTGACAGAGGCTAAGGGTGATGGGGAGCTACTTACGGCCATTCGCACGAAAGACACTAAGACAGGCGAGGAGAAAGATCTCCAGGTGAATGGCCTCTTCTATGCTATTGGTCATATTCCTGCTACTTCTATCTTCCAAGGTCAGATGGACCTGGACAGCGATGGTTATATCCTCACGAAGCCGGGCACTTCATTGTCCTCTGTCCATGGCGTCTTTGCGGCTGGTGATGTGCAGGACAAGAAGTACCGCCAAGCTGTTACATCAGCAGGCAGCGGATGCATTGCTGCATTGGATGCTGAGCGCCTCCTCGCCGAAGAAGAGTCTACCTCACATTAAAGATTGATAGCGATGTACTTTCCCTGAGAGCTATAGTAGCGTCGCCCGCACAGACCTATGTGGAGGACATTCGGTTGATGATCTTTTGTCCCCGGTCCGAACGCACTGCCGAGAGCCGGACTCACGTGATGACCTAGTGCATAATGGGGGCTGGTCACTTTGTTGCCGAACGGCTCCGTCATGTTGCCCAATAATATTATAGCCTTTCCAAATAGACACTCGGTGATCCGTTCCGATGTCAAATAATATCCGGTCGCAGGCTGCAAACCGTGCAATCGACGACCTCCGATTAGTGCCACGGATGTAATGCATGCGAAGCTGCGACTAAGCAAAAAAGCCCGCCGCTGCCTTAAGTATAGGTCTACTGTTCGTTGCAGGTTTCCTTGACAACATGCTGTCTTCCCGCGCGATGCGCTCCCCCGCATTCCGCTCGGTGGCTCTTGGAGCTCGCCGGGCGGCTGCTACTCGTGGCTTTGCCACTACCTCTGAGGAGGCCCCTGCGCTGAACCTGGAGGACCTGAAGAAAAAGGTTGAGCTTAGCATCATCGAAAAGGGTCGTGGCTACTACCTCCCTTACGAAAAGCTTGAGGAGAACCTGAAGATTGTCCGTGACCGTCTCAAGCGTCCTCTGACTATGTCAGAGAAGATTGTCTATGGTCACCTTGACGACCCTCATGGCCAGGATATCGAGCGTGGTGTTTCTTACCTGCGTCTCCGTCCCGACCGTGTTGCTTGCCAGGACGCCACTGCGCAGATGGCCCTGCTCCAGTTCATGTCGGCCGGCCTTCCAAAGGTGACTGTCCCCACCACTGTCCACTGTGACCACCTTATCGCTGCTAACACTGGCGGTGCTGAGGACCTTGCTCGTGCCCAGGAAGTGAACAAGGAGGTTTACGACTTCCTGGCTACCTGCACTGCCAAGTATGGTATTGGCTTCTGGAGGCCTGGTTCGGGTATCATTCACCAGATCATCTTTGAGAACTACGCTTTCCCTGGTGGTCTTATGATCGGTACTGATTCTCACACTCCTAACGCTGGTGGTCTGAACATGATTGCTTGCGGTGTTGGTGGTGCCGATGCTGTCGATGTTATGGCTGGTATTCCCTGGGAGCTTAAGTGCCCTAAGGTGATCGGTGTGGAGCTGAAGGGCAAGCTTAGCGGCTGGACTACTCCCAAGGATGTGATTCTTAAGGTCGCTGGTGAACTCACCGTAAAGGGTGGTACCGGTGCCATCGTTGAGTACAAGGGCCCTGGTGTTGGTTCGCTCTCTGCCACTGGTATGGGCACTATTTGCAACATGGGTGCTGAGATTGGTGCCACTACCTCTGTCTTCCCCTTCAATGACCGTCACAGGCAATTCCTTGAGGCTACTGGCCGTGGCGAAATTGCCAAGGCAGCCGCCTCCTACCAGCGCAACCTGCTCCCTGACCGTGACGCTGAGTTCGACCATCACCTCGAAATCAATCTCGACGAACTCGAGCCTCACATTAACGGTCCTTTCACTCCCGACCTTGCGACTCCGCTGTCGAAGTTCAGGGACGAGGTCAAGAAGAATGGCTGGCCCGAGGATCTTAGCGTCGCTCTGATCGGCTCGTGCACGAACTCGTCGTACGAGGACATGTCGCGTGCGGCTTCGATTGCTAAGGAGGCCGCCGAGCACGGTCTCAAGGTCAAGTCGGGCTTCACTGTGACGCCCGGTTCGGAGCAGATCCGCGCTACTATCGCCCGTGACGGCCAGATGGAAACCCTGAGCAGTGTTGGCGGTATGGTTCTGGCTAACGCCTGCGGTCCTTGCATTGGTCAGTGGGACCGTCACGACGTGAAGAAGGGTGAGAAGAACTCTATTATCACTTCTTACAACCGTAACTTCAGTGGCCGTAACGATGCCAACTTTGCCACACACGCCTTTGTGGCCTCTCCTGACCTTGTTACTGCCATGGCCTTCGGTGGTAGCCTGCTGTTCAACCCGATGACCGACACTCTGAAGGGTGCTGATGGCAAGGAGTTCAAGTTCTCGGACCCGAGCGGTATTGAGCTGCCTGCCCGTGGCTACGATCCGGGTGAGAACACCTTCCAGGCTCCTCCGGCCGATGGTTCGGGCGTCCAAGTCGACATCAAGCCCGACTCTGAGCGCCTGCACTTCCTGGAACCTTTCAAGCCCTGGGAGAACAAGGACCCTGTGGACATGCCCATCCTGATCAAGGTCAAGGGCAAGTGCACCACTGACCACATCTCGGCTGGTGGTCCTTGGTTGCGCTACCGTGGTCACTTGCGCAACATTTCTAACAACTGCTTGATTGGTGCTACGAACATTGCTAACAACGAGACCAACAACGTGCAGAACTACTACACTGGCGAATGGGGTGCAGTCCCTGCAACGGCTGCCTACTACCGTGACAACGGTCACCCTTGGATTGTAATTGGTGATGATAACTACGGTGAGGGTTCGTCCCGTGAGCACGCCGCCCTGGAGCCTCGCTACCTGGGTGGTATGGCTATTATCACCAAGTCGTTCGCCCGTATCCACGAGACCAACTGCAAGAAGCAAGGTCTTCTGCCTATGACTTTCCGGAACCCGGCCGACTACGACCGGGTTCGTCCTGATGACCTGGTTAGCCTTGAGGGTGTGGTGGACATTGCTCCCGAGAGCACCGTGACTATGGTGTGCAAGCACAAGGACGGTTCGGAGGACCGTATCCCTCTGCAGCACAGCTTCAACGAGAACCAGATTGAGTGGTTCAAGGCTGGCAGTGCTCTCAACCTTATGTCGAACAAGTCTAAGAGCGCTTAAGCTTGGAATGATAGTGTTGTTTACAAACAATAGCTTGGACATGATAGAATGAACGTGATTGTCTGATTGTTCAGAGTAGTTTCTTGTTTTGATAGCACATTGTGGAGGTCAGGAAGTACGGCGTTAGTGTGGGCTGCTCTGGTCAATGCGACACCAGGTATGGCATTATCTGTAGATCAAGAGTGAGTTTGCCTAGACTTACTCCAAGTCAAGCACTTCGAAATTTGAAGTTGAGCTATCTTCGATTCAGCAAGGATCCTGTTGTGTCTCGCGTGTTAGTCGATGTACAGGTACCAGGGACTTGGTCCAGTCCTGGGGCTGCACCGTCCATCCACAAATTAGATGAACATGTTCCAGCAGCCTCAGAGACAACTTCAATGGGGAAGAGATCGAATAGGGAGGTATTTGAAAACTATGCAAGATCTCCCTCGCCACCTATCAAATTATCCTCAGCTAAACAAATCTTTGAAAAGTATTGCGCTGATGCAACATGGCCTGAATGCAAGGACCCTGCATTTTCTTCATCAGATATCCACGAAGAGAACATGCTACCAGGTGTATATGCAGGGTCTGGCTCAGAGCCTCTTACTGATACTGTCCCAGCTATACGACACACACAGGAACCGCATACAATTCGATCTCGTCGTCCGCGGCTAGAGACCAAGCTGCCTAACTATTACGAAGGTCATCTCAGCAACGAAAATACTAGCTCCAATTCTTCTAATGCCTCTCCCAATATAAGCCAATCATTCCATGTCGAAATGGATCCGAAGCGTTCGCCTCTTTCATCCACGTTACGCGATACCCATGCACCGCCTCCCGGCATCAACGTCCAAACGTCCCCGGAACTTTCCCATGCCATCAGTACATTAAAATCTCCAAAGATATTATCCAATCCAAGAAAAAGTCAAAATCATTTGCTTAACTATGACCCAACCGAGGATGATACAGACTCTTCTTTGGCAAGCTCCTTGAAATCAGAGAGCGATATCGGTGAGCCTGACATCTTAAAGGAGGACAATGCATCAATATTGGATCACCAAGGCTCTCTTTCATTGCATCAAGAGCCGAACATTACCTCAGAACAGAAAATGTCGAAGTCCCAAGGTCGTCCTCGTCGCCTTTCAAAGATGTCAGAGTTTCATCGTATACAATTGCAAGGCACAAACGAAAAAAAATCGCTGCTTCATCAAAAACTTGTACAATCAGGTCTTAAGCAAAATCCCGATCTTTTAGGACAATACGCTCTCTGGGGTTCTACAGATTGCGACAATGGCATTAAAGTACGCTTATATTTTCCAGGCCAGGTCGATCCCACCACAGGCCAGGACGTCGTTCCCATCTCTCTGTTAGTCCGGAAAGATGCAAATATGGAAAATCTGGTTGGTTTTGGTCTCCTTTCTTTCTTCAGAACCTATGGAAAGTATCCCACACATCCCGAGATGAAAGCATCTTCTATGCCCCGCATGATCACTGATGCATGGAACCTTCGCATAGTCGAAGATGGATGTGTCGATGACGATTACCCGAGTATGTGTTACCTGTATTTACACCTAGCTATTGATCCGAATCTGAATGTGGGCCAATTTGGTGAAGATGAGTTTGCCGTGTGTCCGGAACCTGGCCCATGTACGTGTTATGTGACTCATTCAGACTTCCATTCTACGTTGCCTGTATCCGAACCAAATTCCGATATACTCTCTGGACCAACCGCCGACATAACTGATCAAGGGCCGCTCATTACGCTAAACATAATGGTAGTACCCAGCGCGATTGGGCATGTTCAAATCACTGTACCCCAAGGAGCCTCTGCATCCCATGTTTTGGAAAATGTATGCCAAATTTATCACCTTGGCATGCCAGATTTATACTCGCTATTTTACCGAGACATGGTCAATGTTATTGCACCTCACCAACAAGTCACAGACTTCTCCCATACGAAGGATCTCATTCTGGTGGAGCGTAATTCGCTTGGTCGGCAAGTCTCGTTGGCGCGACATGCCGATGGTCCCTTGCCTGAGCAGCCTAAGTACAAAGATGCTATGGATCTTATATCGAGCTACAAGGCAAGTAATATTGACTCACACTCCAGGCCTATTCCGTTAATCGCCGCCATCATTTTGCTATGGGTCGACACGACCGTGTTATAACATTGGATGGCGAATGGGTTCATATCATGTACGTATTGTGATATTGACTCTCAGCCGTCCCGCAGAGAAGCGCATCTCTCACGCCAAATCCACATCATACCACAAATCATTCATCCTCGTGTGTGAACAAAATATAAAAGTGCCAAATCAGTTCCGGTTGGTTGCCTATCGGGAAAAAACCGGAGATTCCAAGCGATATGAGTTTGAGGCGGAGGACCGCGAACGTGCACGCGAAATTGTCTTTGAGATCAATCAACTTCGACGAGGCTAGTTCGTATATATGAAGTATCCACATATTGGTATCCCTACGTGCAATAACATACGATTAGATTCAGAATCTATTGTCGTCGACATTATGCCTTAGCCTCAGCTTCAGCCTCGGCACCATCCTCCTCGTCCTCGTCGTCAAAGTCAGGCGCGCCTGCACCGCCCATCTGTGACATCATAGACTGAAGGTCCATGCCACCCATACCTCCGGCGCCACCGCCCATGGCGCTCAGCATTGATGGATCAAAGCCGCCCATGCCAAAGTCGTCGTCCGGCTTTTCGGCCTGCTCATCTTCGTCCACCCACTTGTCGAAATCGGTCTTTACGTTGTGCAGGCGGACCTTCTCCTTCGTCAGACGCGGCCAATATTCCTCCTGGGCGTTCTTCTTGCGAATCAGGAGGTAAAGGTTCTTGGCCGTCAGATGCTGCTTCGACTCAGCAGGAACAATCTCCTCGAAGAAGTCAATGTCGAACACGTATTTGTTACCGGGAATACCCTTACTCGCATCTGCTTCAATCGTGGACTCGAAGTGCAGAGCGTTGTCAGTCAGATCGCATTTCGTTGCCTCAGATTTCATGTTAGGGACGTTGATTGTGAGCATAATCACATTCTTTTCAGGCTCCGATGGCGAGCTGCGCTGAGCCCAGAGAATCTCAGGAACGGCAGTAGACATTGTGTTGGTGTGGGTGATGGTAGGCAGTACTGTAACCCCAGCGCTTCAAGTAGGTCCCTGCGCACAGCATCGAAGACGGTAGAACATACCAGATTGCTACGCATGAGCCACGTGTTCTCCACGTGCTCCACAAATTTTTGTTTGCGTATGGCTCTGATGAATGTACGCCAGCCACGATGGTATTGCGTGAGCCTGTTAAGCGCAAGCCAACTAAAAGTTCCAAAGCGGCGAAGCCCGATAAGCAGTTGAGCAATGAGGGAATGCTTCTGAAAAAACGAGTAAAGAAAGTGAAGCCTGAGGAAGTTCCAGTCGCTGCCTCCAAAGCAAGCAAGAAGGGCAAAGCAGTGCGTATCCACGAGGTCCCTACGATCCTTAAGGGTCCGAGCAAGAAGAGCGCCTCGAAGCGTGTTTCTGCACCCAAGGTAGTTGAAGAAGAGAATGATGCAAAGGATGATGTCATCGAGGATACAGATGAGGTCGATGCGGAGGAAGATGCAGATGATGCGGAGGACGATGATGAGGACGACTTCTTGGAAGGCTTCTCCGAGGACTCCGACGAAGAGGACGAGGAAGATGATGCACTTGCTAGTCGTATTGCTCCAGCGCGTGATGAGGTTGTTCGTCTTCCTAGCAGCCGCGATGATGCTGCAGTGCGCCAGCGTCTGGAAAAGGCGCTCCGAAAGCACGCAGAGCGTGGCGATAGCGAGACAGGCGTCGTGTACATTGGTCGTCTCCCTCATGGATTCTTCGAAGATCAATTGCGGGCTTACTTTTCCCAGTTTGGGGACATTCGACGTCTGCGACTGTCACGCAACAAGAAGACTGGTCGTTCGCGTCACTATGGATTCATGGAGTTTGTTTCTCCTGAAGTCGCTGAAATTGTGGTGGACACAATGAATAACTACTTGCTGGATGGTCATCTGCTTCAGCTTTCTATGATCCCCTCGGAGGAGGTGCACCCTAACCTATGGATAGGCGCCAACCGTAAGTATCGTCGCGTGCCAGCGGACCGTGTGGAACGGGCTCGCCGATCGCGGTCGCGGTCTACTGAGGAGCGTGCTAAGGTGAACCAGAAGCTGCTCCAGCGTCAGAAGAAGCGTCGCGCTGCATTGGAGCGCGCAGGCATCGAATATGATTTCCCAGGATACCAAATTTAATGCACTAGTACTATAGGAGTCATTCCACCATGTCCATTACTACGTCGAGATAGTCAACCATGAGCCTCGTCCGCCCGCATTCATCAGATCTGTCTGCCCCGTTTTGATTCGACGAGTCGTTTGCGGAGACGGAACACCTGCTTTCAAAACCGTCGTGTCGTGCCCTGTCGAGGAAGGGGGCATACCCAGGCCAAGACCCACGGGGGGCACCTCAGGTGTGCCGGTGCCGCCTGCCATCGATTGCACCACTGCTCCTGGCAGCGCGTCAGACGGCATCATAGGCGTATGCTGTGCATTAACAAAAGGCGGCAACATATCAGAGGCAGACAAGTTCCGTGTGTCGTCCGAAGCGCGCGGGGTTTCACCGCCTGACTCGGGCGTGACAGGCCTCGTTAGACCGAGTTTTAGGAACACTTCTGCACACCATTCGTACCATACACGGTGCTTGTCCGTAAGTCGCCAGATATGCACGTCCAGCTCTGCATTACCTGGCAGGTACAGTGGTTCACGGAAAGGGAAAAACATCGGGAACCAACTCACCATATTGGGACTGGCTCGCATCTTATCAGGAAAAATGCTGAGCACCACGTTACCAAACAGATGTGCCTCAAAGTAACCAGCTAGACCATGGCACACACCAGCATGAGGGATGAAAAAAGTGTTAACGGAGGAGCGAACATTGTGGTTGTTTGAGAGAGGCAGACCATTCGTATCACAAACAAGGCCACTATTATCCATAGGCGTGTGCTCGAAGCGCCAGCAAGGTTGCACACGAGGCCATTTGCATGCCTCATCGAGGTCAGAGAGCAAATTCATGCTCTTGAACATCACAACGAAGGGCTCATCGAATTTGGCCGACGTAGCAGGCATTCCCATCCCAATCCATTTAGCGTGTGGATGCGTATCTTGGGCCTTGATGGATGCATGCAGTTTCGGGGTGGTAATAGGTGCAATGTAGGGTATGTAAGAGCTGGGAATCGATATGCCGTGTGGCTTCAGAAACCGCATGGCACCATCAAGACATTCAGGGGCAAGCTCATTATCCCCGAAGCTACCCAGCAGTTCACTCACGACCACGTCCGCACGGTCGCTCATGCTTGCAGGCACAGAAAGCGTGCGCATATCTCCTTGGAGAACTCGCACACGCTCACTACCCCACTCGGTCACCTGGCGACTTTGCAAGCTCACACAGGCTCCTGGATTTTTCTCAAGGGCCGTAATATGCACCAAGCGAGATGCGCGCTCCGCTGCAGCCAGACATCGGTCCACCAAGGCACCATGCCCTGCACCCACGATCCAAACATTCATTGTCGTTCCTGCAGTTCCATGCTGTGAAAGAGCTTGGTACATAGCTTCTTCATACAGATTATACTTGACGGGGTCCGATTCGAACATAGAGTAGACATCTGCGGCAAGATTTTGTTCCATCGGCTGTAGCGGTGCCTGCAGCCAGTCGTGGTAGCCTTGCGCAAAAGCATCAAGTTTCGTCGTTGGTGCTTTCTGTTTGGTCAGATAGCGAATGTACTGGAGATAGGCGCTCGGGCCTCCCCGACTATGCTGTGGTGGTGGGGTCGTAATATCGCTCAGGATAATTCGGGGCGCGTGCTGAACTAGCTGTTGCACAAGCGACTGGGCCGATTTTGATAAGACGGGGTAGCCCTTCCCATTGGCAAGAAACGAAGAAGATGGGAGCCACAAAATCGATACCGGCTCACTGACCCAGTGTATCATCGACGACGAAGGTGGCAAAGGCATGGACATATCCAGTGCAATACATAGCTGCGTGTGGTACCCACAGAGATTTTGTAGGACTTCCCAGGTCTCCCAGGCCCAGTTGTCATTGGTTCGCAAGTAGGCAGCGGCTGGCATGGCCATTGTGCCATTCGAAGCCTGCAAGTTTTGTCGCTTAAGCATCGTGGCCAAGATATGAGGAGAGCTCACAGGCAACCGCACAGCCAGTTTCATTAGTGGCCCTGCAACTTGAAGGCATGATCGAATGGCGCGAGCGTAATCAGCCAGGTAAGGCAAGCGCTCTGGATCGCTGCTTGGTGACGGAAGGATTACTTGCGTCGCACCTAGATACGCGGCATACTCCATTTCTTGGCGCAGAGCAATCTCCGAGTCAAATCGGATCCCCTCATCCACCGAGTCAAGCTCGAGCCACTGGCTGAGGACGAGCGTCACCTCTTTTATCTCGTTGCTACCCGACACATTAAGTTCAGCTCGGTGAAACTGGGGCTGCGCGCGCCATTCCTCTGCTTCCACCCGCATTCGCAGATCCCCGGCTTCGGAAGGTTCAGGTAGTACAGCACGGCTCGTACTGCGAATCATGGTGGTGCTTGCCTCTGGATCAGCAGTGACTGACCGCAAACATAACCGCTCCCAACGCTCACGCCAACGTGCGTTGGTCATTTCCAGAACAATATCATCATAGCCTCCAGCCTGCGCCAAACTCTTAGCCTTAGTTACAGGGGATAGTTTAGTGTCCCGTAGGATATCTTGCACAGCTTCTCCCTCCTTGATCGACACACCAATCGCTTCGGGCGTCGGACTAATCTGCTGGTGCACCGCAGGGCCCGTGGGATCGCCATGTCGAGGTAGAAGTGCCGAAAATGATCTCGAAAATGAAGAGGAAGCCAAGCCTAGCGAATTGGTCGGGATAAACAGTGCGACGCGCACAGAAGACTTTGTAGCGCACGCGTCATCTGTCCCGGCCGGCATCGTTTTCACTCAAGTGACGTGAGCGCGTTCGATCGCGTACCACCTGCCGGCAGCATATTAACTACCTACTAGGTCCTTCACATCTTGCAACCCTCCATCCAACTTCGCGGCCACCATATGGGCAACAGTGTGCGTAAGCGGAGGATAACTGACCCATCAGTTTGAGGAGCTGAAACGCGCAGCTCTCCTGGAAAGTTCAAGAAAAAGAGAAGAACTACATGAAAGGATACAGAAACGCGCACAGGAGCAAAGCGAAGCGCAACGGGTAGCTAATGAGCGACTCCAGCAGCGGGCTGCGTGGGTTGCTCGCGAGCAGCAAAGACAGGCTCAACGGCAAGCTCTGGAGGAGAAAAAAAAGAAGGAGCTAGAAGCACAAGATGCGAAACGTCGAGCGGCTACCAGGCTGGCTGAACAGTCCGCGATGGAGAAAGCGCGCGGTCGTCCTCCCCCACGTGCTAAGGCGTTGGACCACGCGCATGCAGAGGCTGTGAAGCATCGACTCCAGGTCCCGCGTGCTAGCAGTTCAGTGGCTCTCACTCGCGATGAGAAACGCATGAAACGTATGGCTAAGGAAATGGGTGTCAAGTTCCGGCCCAACACCAAGCCGGTGCGGCATCCTACAACAAGCGCTCCTGGGAAGCCGATGCCGGCGCTCACAACCAAGCGCCCAATGACACCGCGTGAGCGATTCATTATGGAAGAGCATAAACGAAAGGAGGCACGCAAGGCGACGCTGCCTGCCAGTCCGCATACCTCTGATTCGCACGACTCAGATCGGAGTGGCGAGACATCAGACGACGAAAACGCAACATCCCATGCATCTATACGAGATCAAATTTGGCAAATGTTTGGACGAGACAGACAGCGGCACGTACTTTTCGCTAATCTCCAGCTACCTGGCGCGTGATATTGACAGTGACGAGGATGATATGGAAGCGGGTGCTAATGCCGTGCTGCAAGAAGAACAGCGTAGCTCTCTGTATGGTCGCCGCGAAGATGAGCGCGAAGAGCGCCTCCTGGATGAGCTCAAGCGCCAAAAGATGCAAAATTCTAAGCCATAGCTCTATACCATTTTAAGTACGTTTTGAAAAGACCCATGCGCTGGACGGGGTGATCGATGGGTAGTAAGACTCGAGCGTCTCAACTAGCTCAAACCCAAATTTTTCGTACAACAGGCGGGCCACTGGATTGCTTGTCTGGACGTGGAGATAGACAGACTCGATCTTGCGACCAGCCAAATGCTTGGACGGGCCCGCCACGTCCAAAACATACTGCAACAAAGCGCTGGCCACACCCAAACAGCGATACGTGGGTAGGACACCCAATGTCATGATATACACATTCCACAAAGTCGAGTCTTTTCCTTCCTCAAGACGACAGCATATATTTCCCACTGGAATGTCATTGAACAGTCCCAACTTGCAGATCTGGTTGGTATCTTCGTCCAAGACATTATCATAGACACTTAGGGAATAAGGCACGGGTAGCAATGCTTCGTTAAGCTTGCGCACCTGATTGATATTGTTACGCGTGATATCCGCAATAGCCACTACCGATCTCGCCTTTATGTTTCGACGAACAGGTGCATTTGTATCCGTTTTTACTCGTGCTTCGTAGGAGGTCGGCGGAGGAGGGTATGTCATGAATGCAGGACCAGGGTTCGTAGGACAGGCGTGTTGGCCAGCACCAGCATCACTATTTAGTCACGTTCTCATAAGCCCAGACGCCCCGTGCACCACCACGGACGGGCACCTACGACGACCATCCCCGGATCGTATCTTGGACGTCATGTCACGATCCAATGTGATTGTCCTGTATGTATTCTATGCATAACTAACAATAGCGACAATGGTACTGGATATACTAAGATGGGGTAGGTTTCCTATACTTACATCCAGTTTTGCAGGCAATTCGGAACCTTCGTTCGTTTTCCCCACTGCCATTGCAACGGCGACATCTAGTGCCAATAAAAGCCTAGGCGGGCGTCCTTCTGTGCCCAACAAGCCTGGAGGTCTCACTAATTCCTCTATCGCCTCGAAACGTGGAATTGAAGACTTGGACTTCCATATCGGTTACGAGGCTTACGCCAACGCGAAAACCTATCAAGTGGATCAGCCAATCCGTCATGGAATTGTGGAAAACTGGGACCTTATGGAGCGATTTTGGGAGCAGTGCATTTTCAAATACCTGCGTGCCGAACCGGAAGAGAACTATTTCATGCTTACTGAGCCTCCGCTGAATCCACCGGAGAACCGCGAAGCGACAGCTGAGATTATGTTCGAGTCGTTCAACATCAAGGGTCTGTACATTGCTGTCCAGGCTGTACTTGCATTGGCAGCCAGCTGGACGAGCAACAAAGTATCTGATCGTACATTGACCGGTACTGTTGTCGACAGCGGTGATGGTGTGACACATGTGATTCCCGTGGCAGAAGGCTACGTCATCGGCAGTGCCATCAAACATATTCCTTTGGCTGGTCGAGACATCACATATTTTGTACAGCAGCTTCTCCGTGAGCGCGGGGAATCGGCGCATATCCCTGCCGAGGACAGCCGCCGTGTGGCCGAAAAAATCAAGGAAGACTACAGCTATGTGTGTCAGGACATTGTTCGTGAATTTCGTCGGTACGATGAGGACCCCTATAAGTACTTTGAACGTTACACCGGTGAAAATCAGGTAACTGGACGCAGTTTCACGATCGATGTTGGCTATGAACGTTTCCTTGCGCCCGAGATCTTCTTCAACCCAGAAATCGCGTCGTCTGACTTTTTGACACCCTTGCCAGAGGTTGTCGACAATGTGATCCAGCAAAGTCCTATTGATGTTCGACGTGGTCTATATAAAAACATTGTCTTGTCCGGTGGGTCCACTATGTTCCAGCACTTTGGACAGCGTTTGAAGAAGGATCTAAATGCCATTGTAAGCCAGCGTATCGCTGCCTCGGAAGCAGCAAGCGGAAACCTTGCTCGTAGCTCGGGCTTGGAAGTCAATGTCATTTCTCACCGCATGCAACGATATGCTGTCTGGTACGGTGGCTCTCTCCTGGGCTCCCTTCCTGACTTTTACTCGTTCTGCTATGATAAGAAGGATTATGAAGAACATGGTCCTAGCATTGTCCGCAAATTTAGTGTCTTTGGCGGCGTCTGATAGTGACTTATATGCTACGAAATATTATTCCCAAATGCGAAGGGTACCAGCTCGATCGCCGGCAACGATGCAACGGAAAGGTGCTTCGAGGCGTGCAATGCATGTAATCGAATCCTTGTGGGATTTTGCAAATGTATTGCCTGAATTTGTTTGCTCATGCACACACAAAGGAGAACGCCTCGAGAGACGCTCCCCCAAACTTCCACTGTACGCATAGTGACGTTGCTGTGCTTCTTGGATGAAAAATTCTCCATGAACCTCACATCCCCAAGCAACACTTTTCTCTGCACTGCCCAGATCCCAGAAACGAAGCACACGATCGGCGCCTGCAGTGATAACATAGCCTGCGGGAAGTGAATTGCCTTCAGATGTACTGCTGTAGCCTTCAACACTTGCTAGGACCGCATGAACAGCTTGGGTATATCGATTTTTGTTAGAATCCTCTTTTATCGCTCGCTTAATTCGTATCCGTTCGTGACCCTCCGGCAGTTCCTTGAATAAAAGAGTATCTGGAAGGTCTACCTCCTCATCCAATCGGTCCATGGTAGCCACATGCCAAACTTCCAAGGAGCGACTGCTCTCTAGATCCAAGGTGGCCATGACGCTGTCGCAAGTGCCCCATGCAACAATGACGCTGTTTTTCCTCTGAGGGTGCAATTGACACGCATGAACAGGCAAAGAATGGTCGCCTAATGTCCATTTGCGCAAAAGGAGCGAGAATCTAAGGTCCCATAATCCCAGGAATCCACGAGAAGAACCTGTGCAAACCCAGTGGCTCTGCGGATCGATGACCATGCACGTTATACTGCCGAAAGATGCAGGTTGAGCCACATGGTATGTCGGACGCATGGTACGCACATCCCACCATATCAACCTGCCATAATTCGTTCCAAGAAGTACGGTAGGCGCGGCGCCATAAGAAAGTTGGGACATGCATACCACATATTCACCTGCATCAAGATGCTTGCGACCCAGCACATGAGGACGGGAATAGTGTGGTAGGGAAGCTTTGGTCTGTAGTGCTATGCCCCAGGCATGAATTGAGCCATCTCGGGCAGTGCTGAAAATGCAGTGCGTACCACGCAGCACCAGCACATCCGTAATAGGGGCACCATGTGATGCGTAGGTGAGTCTAGAGTGCGTTGTGACATTTTTCTCTAGTCTAGCAGTATCCCACACCTTGATCATGCCATCATCTGAGCCACTTACGAAGAACATTTGATCTTGAGACACTGCTAGGGCCGTCACGCGATCCTTGTGTTCCTCATAATAAGCCAAAAGCGTTCCTTGCGGACGGGGATTGCTTAGTGTTCCTCCCCAAGATGCTGTTGTGCGCACTTCGAGTGCGGTATCAGTACTTACATGCGCATGAATTTGGCCAAGCACTGCACCCAAATGAGCATGCACGTATGGATCTTTTCCTTCAAAAGTGTGGTTCACGCTCGAAAACTGATCCTCTTCACGTGCCCGACCACGCGTGAATCGCTCCGAACGCTGAATACGCGCTCTCTCCGCATGTGCATGTACCAATGACGTCGACGCAGAGGCTACACTAGGTGTGCCAAATAGGGGAAGTTTGATCGAGCGCTCTGATATAGAGGCTGTGTCGGACTTTTCTGTTTTAATTGTATAAGCGTCCGTATCGTAAGCGTCGCGACACTGTTCATGCACTGGCAAGACTGCACCTTTCTCTGCCTTGGCCGATGCAAGCGACAGATTCTCATTGCTTTCAAGACGATTTCTCGCCATGCGAACAGAATCTTGTGATGGAAGTACCACGTTAGCTGGATGCTGTGTAAAAAAGATAGAGTGTTGTGTGAGCCCCTGTAGAGAGAGGGATGGTACAGGGCCAGGTGTTACAAGCTTATAAGTCATTTGCTCCAAATACCACCATAAAGCTGCCACTTTGAACAAATCATACCTGAGATCGAGCCCATACTTCTGCAGTTCCTGAAGCATATTTCGCTCAGCTTCAGAAGAAGGCGCAATCCTTGGTCGTGAAACAAAGGGAGGGCGAACAATGGTGTCCATGTTTTCGCGAGCCATTTCTTGTAGCTGTTCCTCATCCATGCCCAGGCGCCAAGCATGAGCGCGCCAAAACCGTGCGAGCACAGACTCAGTGTCGATTTTCAAGTTCAAAACACATGCGTTCCAAGCAGACGTAGGGATAGGCGCTTCCAAAGCGTTCCATATAGCTAGAGGTGTCATCTCCGTAACGTCGCACCGGAGGAAGGGTCGCAGAAATAGGTACACGCGAATCCACTTGTCCGTAGCACTGGTATTCTCCGCAGCTTTTGCAAAGACGCCGACAGAAGCTTCGCGAATCCAGACATTTGGATGACATAGGAACGTGGCAATATAAGGGAGAATTTCCAGCATGGACGCTTGGTCAAATGCATGCATGCATGCTTGAATATACTGCAAGACTCTTACGAGTACCAACTCATTGCCGTCGGAGAGTGAGCGAGGCAGCAATGGCTGTATATATTTCTGCATCCAGTGCGCTCCAAATAGAGACACCAAATGCGCCATTGTTTGAAAGAACATGGCGCGAAGCTCTCCTTGTTCCTCATTTAAATAAGTAAGAACGTGGCTCAAAATGACGGATGGTAGTCGCTCGGGACCTAAAAGGGTAAACAGAATGGGTGCAGAGACTAGAACAGCTCGCCGCACCTGACAGGATGAGTCCGTCACAAGACGAGTCAGCTGTTCTTGGACGTATCCTTGCAAAGTTTGCATATCTTCGTCAAAACTTGCTCCGGCCATGGTTCGACACAGACGCATCATACTTTGGGCGAAGCGAGTGAGACACATGACGCTGGTTGTTCGCACGTACGGACTACTATCCGCAGTCAAATGCGTCAAGCTGGGCAACACAAACTCTGTCCAAATTCCATCGTTCGTAGGGGGTATCTCGTGGATGCACTCCAGTGCACTTGCCATGCCATGTATAGCCAATGCACGCACTGTGGCGCTTTTATCGTCGAGCATAGTAGCAAGGTAAGGCAAGACGCGATCAAGGATCGCTTCGTCGTTGAGCCAACCCCATGCAAGATGTAAAATAAGTTCAATGGCATGACATCGGGAGGAGGCTCGCTGACAGTGCCGCAGGTTCGCCAGCAATATGTTCAGCACAATTAACGCCTTGGCATCTTTGCCAGCAGATTTCCGTGCCATATAGGGCCGAAGTGCAAGACCGGGTATATACACGCCCAAGAAGACATCTTCCCCCGAAAGAGTGTGGCCTTGATGGAAAAACTGCACAATCATAGACCAGTCTTCATACATCTTTTCAATACGATCATCTGCTTCAACTTGTCGGGTCAAACGGTCCATCTTCAAATCTCTCTCCGAGTTTCTAGCTTCTAAGCGTGTTGTATTCCTGTTTGAAAGCTGCACAGGGCGTTGCAGATCCACCAGGTAAAGGTGAAAAAACCCTGAAAAGGAAGGAGGAAATATATCTTTCTGCTCTTGACTCAGAATGTCTTGGAGACGAGGGCGCTGCGCTGGATCCAAGTGCAGCATGCGGCGTACTAAGTTACGGATACCAGCATGCTGGATTTCGTCCAGCGCCCCATCGATATCTAGATCTCCGCGTCGATACCGAAAGAGCTGACTGAGTGTAAAGAGCGGTGTCCCGTCACGCCATAACTCAGCCAGCACACATCCAAGCGAGAATACATCCATTGCTTCGGTGATGCGCCCGTTGGGGCGGCCCAAGCCAAGCATCTCCAGATAAGGCTCATAGGTGAGAACATCAGATACATTTTCGACGTCCTCTGTGCGCACCTGCATTGGGTTAGAGCCCGAGGGCAAATCCGATACCGAGTCGTAAAAGCGCTCAGGAGCAACATAACATGTCCGGCGACCAGACGTATCAAAAAACAAAGAAAAATCTGCTGGGTCATCCAATGGTAAGTATGTAGGCTTGAAAGATGAAGCAAAGTCCGTCACATACACGTCGAGAGAGGACGTGACCAGTACATTCTCGCACTTGAGATCACCATGCGCAATATTTCGCTCGTGCGCCGCTTGAATTGCATAAAGTATTTGGTAGCTAATCCATAACTTCTCCATCTCTGTGATAAAAGGTCGCGTACTGATTCTGTCGTAAAGACTGCACGCTAGCCATTGGCGAACAAGATACGCCGCCGCCTCTGTTTCAATAACCTGCTGGGTAGCCAACACATTAGGTACGTCTTCCAAGGCCTGTCGTTCCACTTTTATCAGCACACGGTACATACATTGAAGTCGCCTCATCAAGGCATTGAGGCGCATACTAGGATCCGGTTTGATAAACGTCTTGACGACCAACGATCCTAACGGATGCCTAATACGTGTAGCCCGAAGAAAGCGAGATGATCCTAGGCTATGCGTTGGCGAATAATACGTACCTGCATTCATACTGTAATGAAGGATCTTGCAACAACTCTCCAGCACCCGCCAATCGGTGGCTCAAGGTGCTCACCGTGTTGCCCATACGCACACAGTAAGCTAGGCCGCCAGTGCGGAAACCGGATGTGGAGGGTGGGATAGGTTTGGCCACTATGGTACATCACAGCACTATGAATCTGACAAGCCTGCTTTCCGGATCCTGGAGTCAGAGAGTTGAAACTTACGCCCGTCTGATTTCCCCTGCCGTTTTCTGCCAGATATTTCGTTTCCGGTCAAGAGCCATCGCTTTATGGTCAGATCCGTGAGCCTGGATGAGCTGAACGAGCCATTCATGCTCAGCCACAGAAGAGAATCTCTGAACCGGCTTGCTCTCGCCGGCAATTTTTTCAAGAACTGTTGAACATAAGTCAAAAATTGCATACCTTTTACTGTCTCTCCTTCTTTGCCTTCATTTAGCCGAGGCACAATCAACTTGAGATCAGGGGATTCACTTTCATGGTTTAGTTCTTTTCCCCATGGCGTCATCAATTCGTCGTCTTCGCTCTCATATTCCACAATATCCACAACTTTGCCATCCTCGTCACGGATGACCCGAGCCATACCCTTTTTCGGCTTGCTTTCAGCTGCAGAAGTGGGCCCAGATTCGACCACTTGTCGATAAGGATCATTACGGTCGAGACCGCCTGTTTGCTGCCCCAAGTTCGGAACGAGTCCTAACTTGGCATAGCTAAGGTCAGAGCGTAGCGAACATACTTTTGGCGAACTGTCAATTTAGGATCCCAATTGTCACGCAGGATCTCAGGTCCCATAACAGTAGGGGCCCGCTTAATTCTTTTGTTCTGTGCTCGTTTGGCACTCTTCGTCGCACCAGAATACTTGCTAGAGCGCGACTTGCGTCGCTGCCGTGGGTTCGCCATGCCAGTCAAGAGAAAAAGTGTGTGCGCCCAAAAAATTACTGTCACGTGGTCGCGCATAATGGCGAGTCTGCTCACAGGCCACTTTCGGCATCTATGAGCCGTATATAGAAGCACGGATCGACTTGAACCGCTCCAAGATGGAGTTCGACGATGTGCCTGCATTTCCTTGATCAATTTCACCTTTGGCATCAGCCTCTGTCACCTCTACTTGCGTGGGCTGAGCTGTTATAGATGGGCGACCAAAGGACACTGGCAATGCATCACGTAAAGAGATGCTAGCATCATCCATACCTGTTTCTTGATCTGTCGTGACGAAGTCTTCTTCCCTGCGCTTTTCTTCTGCGACTTCTTTTTGAATTTCGTATTGCATAGATAGATAAGCTTGTGTCGCTTCATCGTAGTCTTCGTCATAATATTGGTTCCATTGATCATTATACCACGCCTCGCAATCCGTGCTACTGATTGTCAATCCCTTTGGGACTTGATCAGGGGGTACAAGTGATGGTGGCGGCACTCGAATCTTTTTGGGCTCTTCGGTAATAGATATTGGGAGTTCCGACGCTTTCACAAACCCTGTATCAACCGCAGGGACAGGCTGCCGGGATCGGCGATTCCGGTACCCTACTGTTGTGCGAGCAAGCATCCGCTTCGCAATTGATTCAAGGGATGAATTGGTAGAACTGATACAGGCAGTGGATGCAGGCGTAATGTCAAGCGCCCCCCCACCAGGCGGTAGCTGGGCTGATGGACCGGCATCCTCAGAGCAAAGAAGCGAACCTTGGGACTGCGCTTCATATTGGGCACGTAGTTTCCCCCGTCTTTTTTGGTTTTTTCGTCTTGTGCGTGCCTTTCCTTGCCCAGGCGGGACCCATTGAGACACGTCATTGGGATGATGGGATATAGATGGCTCTTCTTCAGGACCAGAAGTATCAGAGGATGAACTTGACGATGAACGTGAACTAGATCGTGAAGAGCTGGTATCACTTGAATCATCGGAAGAAGAGGAAGAAGAAGCAATCTCATCTTCGCTCTCGTCTTCGCCCTCCTCATCCTCATCCTCATCCTCATCCTCATCCTCATCCTCATCCTCATCCTCATCCTCATCCTCATCCTCATCCTCATCCTCATCCTCATCCTCATCCTCATCCTCATCCTCATCCTCATCCTCATCCTCATCCTCATCCTCATCCTCATCCTCATCCTCATCCTCATCCTCATCCTCATCCTCATCCTCATCGCTGCTCTCATCCTCATCACTGCTTTCATTTTCATCGCTACTCTCATTGTCATTGTCATCATTATCCTTTCCATTGGAAAACCCTTGCTTTTCAAAATCCAATCTAGGTTCCCCATTCAAAACATGCTCGACAAGTAGGCTCTCATCGAGTTCATCGTCCATCGTAAGCCCGTGGTCTTCGTCAATTTCGTCAATATCCTCGTTGTCATCATCATAATCGATTTCAGCACCCGAATTGTCATCATTCTGAAGATCATTGCCGGGTATTACGAGCTCGTCTTTAGAAGAAAAATTTTGGCATGGGTTTTGAGCATTCGATACAGCTTCTGTTCGTATTTTCTTATCAGGATCAAGCGTGTCGAGAGCCCGTGCCATCGGATATTTAGGATCCCCGGAACTCATAGGGAGCGGAATGGATGCTTTTCGCTTCGTACCTAGGGTTTTTCTGGGATTTTTCCAGCCACATTCTGATCGCATCAAAAGCGAGATGCGACTCGCCTCGGCCATAAGGTCTCGTTCGAGAGATGCTTCGTTCGTGTCACGCTTTTTGGGCGACTCTGAGCCATGCGTTTCAGGGATTCGAACGCTCACGCGAACCAAGTCATTGTCATGAACAAGCCTCCCAAAGTCGCCTACAATCTCGAAGTCATCAAGGTAACTTACGAGATGTCTAGCTTGTGCCATTGGCAGATCACCGTATTGTCTACGCAATACATCCTTTACACGATCCTGGAACGACTGGAGACTCTCGTCAGATTCTACTAATATCCAAAATTTGGCCGGAGGCAGTGGGTCTGACGTGCATACTCGTACTCGGATCGTACGAGCAATGAATGCAGAATCAGCCATCCCTCCCATGGCGATTCGAAACTTCTCGTCGTGGGGCCAACGCGTTGACGTATAGTCGGCCGAGCATGTTTGAATACTCCACATGTGGGGAGACGGTTCTACTTGCCGTCATGGCGCACAAGCCTAGCGTTGAATGGATCCATTCCATTGATGCTGTGTATCAACTTATCGAAGATCCTGACCTGAAGCGTCAGTATCCTTCCTTATCAGACAAAGTTAAATCTGCTATACAAGCATGCGAATCTGCACTGAAGGATTTTGGCTTGGAGAAATGTGCCCTCAGCTTCAATGGTGGCAAGGATTGCACCGTGCTTGTCCATATTCTTGCTGCCGTCATGCGTCGAATAGCCAAGGTGACGTCAAATGATACTCTTGTACCAATACGGTCACTATATGTTGCGTGCAGCGATCCATTTCCGGAGGTTGAAGCTTTCATCCATTATGCCGCATCCCCTGTGACAGGATACGCCCTGCAATTGTGGACCGAACCCAACCCTATGCAAGAGGCTTTGCGGCGGTATACGCAAAGCGATGTAGGCCATGATATCGAGGCTATTTTCATTGGCCTAAGATATGACGACCCTCATGGTCCCAACGTACATGTTCGGGCAAAGTGTGACCCCAGCTGGCCGCCTATTATGCGAATCCATCCACTGCTACAATGGACATATGCCGACGTATGGGACTTTTTACGGTGTCCTCTTCTACGAAGCGGAGCATCATCAGCGCCATCCTATGTTGGTGGCTTCCAATATGGCGTGCCTTACTGCAAGCTTTATGACCATGGATACACGTCATTAGGGAGCCGGTTTAATACACTGCCAAACCCAACTTTAAAGATGCCAGACAATCTATCATACAAACCAGCCTATCTATTAACAGACAGTTCACTCGAAAGAGCAGGTCGGATCTCGTTTAAATAGCCCAAGTGCACGGGCTAAAGGCATGTCAAACTATTATGCCTTCGTATTGGGGGCAACGGAGGGCTTCCTAGATTCCTCCTCTTTAGCGCGGTCCTTCCTTTGATGTGACTTGCCATTTTTGGTACCTTTATTGTGACCAAGAGGCTTTCCTTGTGGTGTTACCTTTGCTGTAGGACCCTGTTGTTGCCTTTTCCATGCATTTGGCTGTGCCGGCTTGGAAAGAGATAGTGCCTGTAGGTGTGAGGCTGCCGTATCCACGGAAGCTCGGGGCCGACCTGAGCCAAGCCCTCGCTTAGGATTGTCGGCATGCTTCTTCTGTGGCGCGGGCTGATAAAACATAGAGTGCTGGACCTTAGTCTGTTTGTTTTGGCGTTGCGCTTTGAGGGTGCGTTGAAGAGGCGTAAGATGCGATTCAGATGTCTGTGTCTCACCCCATTCAGCGGCAATCTGTGGCGTCGTGAGATTAAGCACGTGGGCTCTACCCACAGTAGCTCCGCGGTAGGAAGAGCAAGCCCCATCCAAAGATGTGCCTGCTAGGAATGGTGCGTCAAAGACCACATCCACGTTATTCGCTCCAATACCGACCACTGTACCCTTCGCGGCCAGCGGCACAAATCCAAAGTCTAGCACGTTGATCACACGGTCACCAAGGTGGAACTCCTGTTCGGGGACGCGGAAACGGGCTTGCTCTGGCTTTAACAAAGCCTCCCGAGGGAGTCCCCGAAGAATCTGTCGCTTCACTGCACCATGCTCAACTCGTCGTTGAGCAATGAGGGTCACTGCAGACTCCAAAGTTGAAATGATGGGTTTTTGGAGCCGCTCAACGTGCAACGGCACGACTTCCAGATCTTTAATTTCATGAGCTTTGTACCAAGACCTCCATTCTTTGATACGTGTCTCTGCCTTGTCCCCGAATATCTCTTGAGCCGTATTGAATTCACCATCTGACAAACGTCGGGATAACGCTCGGACAATTTCGGGAAACATGGCTTGGTACTCGGCGACAAGTCGAACGGCACGTTCACTGTACTCCCAACCAGTGTGTGACCGTCTCGTGTAACCAAGTACCTTGCGGCTTTTGGCTTCAAATTTAAGATTAAGACCAATGTTAATCTTTTGCTTGTTGAAAAGCATCATCACACTGCTGGTGATCTTGCTCAGCACCAATGAGGACATTCGGAGGCGTTTTGCAACATCCGAAGCAGAGAAATAAGGATCTTGGGCACGCTGCTGAACAAGCTTTTGCAAAATAGTATGCTCCTGTGCCAAGTCTGAAATGAAGGCCAACTCGATAGTAATGGTATCGGAAGCGGTCCCAATGACACGAGCTGGGCACCCGAAACCACGGGAGCCGAGGAAAAAAACCTTATCCCCATCTTTGTATTCTTCGCTAACAGACATAGCAGGTCTTTCCAAAAAGCGACCATCAGGATGACGCAGCGACTTGACAGCCATACGCAAAGGATACGCTACCTCCGCCGAATGGTCAGATTCGTACTGCTTCACAATAGAGCCGTCATTACCACGAGATAAACCTTTCAGGGGTCGAACATGCAGTAAAATACTTACATAGCCAACATTCACACCATACCTCTTGTTGTATTGATGACTGAAATTCGCACAGAGCTTTCTGAATCCTTCGCCTGTTTCTGGGCCCTCAGAACGCCGAATCTTGACATCATTGTCTAACCAATGTGCCCGAATCACGTCATGTATATCACTGACGGCAACAATAATTCCTTCGAAAAGATAGGGCCAATGAATGTAGGTCGTCGTGCCGATCAAGTCCGCAACATCTTTGGCATCCTGCACGGCTTGGGTGTCAGACAAGGATAAAAGCATGGATGAATCATTCGAGGAATGACCATGAACATTGACACCCATTTTTACAAGCCTATGCTCAAAAGACAGAGTTTTGAGACTTGGGAAACCTGGCATTGCATCCAAACCGAGGTTAACGCCTTCGGGAAGCGTCTTAATAAATGACTTGCCAACCATGGATGGCAGTGAGTATACTTGAACCCGAGTACGATTGTCTGGCAATTCAGGGAGGAACCCAGGCATACTAGAGGGAAACTTGTGACTGAAATTCACCTCATAGGAAAAAATTTTAGGAGGTGCATGTCGGTTTCGCTCACGCTCTTCATTCGTCAACATATTTTCACGCCGATGAAGCGCCTCCAACAGCTTCTTTTCGTCAATAAACGGAATCTTAACAACAGCTTCCCAACTATTCTTTTTCCCATTCATATCGCTTTCATACTTCTCCGGGTAAAAATCGATAATAGGCGACGAGGGATCTGTCATCAGATCTTGGAAAGCAGCTGGGAGGAGTTGTTTGCTCAGGGGGGGAAGAACACCCATAAGCTGCTCAAACGGCAAGAAGGGCTTCCCCATTTCAAAGTGAAATTTGAAGTCTGAAATTTCCGTGAAATCGGAGATGCGTGGGGCATAATGATAGCGATAGAACCAGCCCCAAGAAGCATTCCCTTCATAATAGTAATGCAAAACCCATTGCATACCTTCAACATAATTGTAAACAAGCTCATGGATAGACTCCTTGTCTGACTTGAGATCCATCTTTTGCTGATAATAAACCCTTTTAAATTGGGACAATTTCTCATCGACGGCCTGGTTATAGATGCTCCATTCACGTTCCTCTTTCTCCAGTTCAAGCAACGATGGCATTTGTTCATAATCCATGCAATATACACGCGCTGCAAGAAAGGGATGCATGATACGACGCACATCCTCTTCGGTCTTTTGCAGAAAAGGAATCTTCTCCAAATCATCACCATTCTTGACAGCTTTCTGGACGTTTGTAGGGACAATCACCCATGTACCAACAATATCAGTCTCTGGATCGTAATCATCCTCAATGAGGTCCAAACCCAAAGCTTTGGCCATTCCATGAATTATCCATTCCATCGTCATAAGCTGATACCTGGTGAAAAATATTTCGGGTTTAGCGTTCTTGGGGTCCTCAAGGTACTGGATCATAAATTTATACATGCGTTCGATCTCCAACTGATTATGACGGTGAACAACCATTTGGCCTGGTAGCATCTGTTTGCTGTGATACTTTTTCTCGACAGGGCGCCGGAGGTTTGGCATATGGTCACGGATAAAATTTTCTCGCTCAAATTGACAGAGTTCGTTAATAACCAGCTGTAGACGTTCTGGCCTAAGTGTACCTTGTTCATTCAGGTAGCCTCCGGCATGCGGTAAAATCTTCTGATAGATTTGGAACAACATTTCGATAGCACCTTCATTGATGTGCAGTCCCGGTAAATGAGGCAAGAAATCGTTGCCGACAAACAAGTGCAGCAATATATAATCGTCAATAATTTTTTCCAGGTCAAACTCAAAAGGCAATCTCTTACGAAGGCCATCGAATTCAAGCTCTAGATATTCACGCAACAAAGAAATGTGAAGTAAATAAAATGTTTGGGACTCAAGCGTATCGCTTTTCTTCGCTCGGCGTGGTCCAAAAATAACCTCTTCTCGTAGCAGCGCAAAATGAGGGTCGTGGCTCAGCAACCCGAGCATGATCAGATCTGCATCCAAACCATACAAACAGTGACGGGTGTTAGGATCATACTCCGGTTGCGCCTTGAGAGTTCGAATGAATTCCATAATTTTATGTTCACCTTCACCACATGTTTCGTGTCCAGAAAGAATTACTTGAACGTCACGCCAGTTCGAGTCTTCGGATACTTTTTTGGCAATAAAATATTCTAGTTGCAGTGAAAGTTTTCGCATAAACAAAGTACCCGGCGTGATACAATTCGAGTCAAAGGGTGGTGAGTCCGGAAGTTCTTCGCCACGGCGAAGGGCCTTTTCTACGTTTTCTTTGGCCTCTTGTGCCGTTCGGAAGCGGCGAGATCGCTGCTGATTCATTTTAGCTCTTGGAGCCACACCATCAATAGCCAAGAAAAAGACTTTCTTCGGCCTGATTTTTGAGAAAAGATGTTCGATATATGCAAAAATTCCAAGGAATATGTCTTCTTCGGAAATTCGAAATGTCGCCTCATCATCCCGTGGATGCGAGCTGCGTCAGTGAAAGAGAAACGTGCCAATTGTGAATAATACCGTTCATATCTATGCGTTAGTGAGTGAAATGGCACGTACCCAAATACAAATTGTCAAATTCTGGTATACGGTTCTCCTCGACTAGCTGCATAATCACTGAGGTAAGTGACTAAATCATACAAGGATATCTCTCCGAAAGCCATCTGAAATATTTAGGCACGCCTTAAATGGTCAACAGAAAACTAAACATACCCATGGCGTTGACTGTGACTGATGGAGAGGCGGTGATGCATGAGACATGAAGACACCTAACATTTCGATCACGTGATACGTTTGCCCGGATTCGTGAAATTGAGTGGAGTGGCAAGCGCACGGACACTACCATATCGAGCATGGAGAGACATCGCCTCGCAACGACGCAGGACAAGCGACTGTCTCTCTTAGATGAACAATTTATTAATGAAAAACATATCCAAGAATATGCAGATGTACTTACAAGAGAGGAAACTGAAGGCCAGCGCGCTGGTATGGTGCGAAAGGTCAAACCTGTATCGGCCGCCTCTGACTTTGCTCCGATCTGTGAAGTTGTGAAGAAGCATCACACAAGCTCAAAATCGAATGAAACCAGTATACCGGAAGGAGGAATGTACAAGCTACTTCGTTGGCCGATTCTCTGGCTCATTTTCACGCTGATACTGATTGACTTTACATTATATGTGCTTGTACGCCAAATAGTCAATTTGATGGAGACTATTGTCGCCTGGAGGGGATACAGTGGTGTCCTTCGAAATAAACTTCGATCAGCTCAAACATATTCTGATTGGAAGCGCGCAGCTTTACAGTTTGACGAGTATCGTCATTACGATGAATGGAAAGAAAATGATTCATCTCCGTTTTTCGACTGGCGCTTGGTTCAGCGCATCGTAAGTGCGATTCGCGAATTCAGGGGAAATAAAGATATTTATGGACTCATGGGGATATTGAACCTGTGTCTTAGGCATGGATTTGCTGGTATGGAAAACCGATCACTGTACAGTCAGTCGTTCTACGGCACCAAACGACTGATTGAAGAGTTCTACGAAGAGGTAGATCGCGCCTTATCTGATTTTGAGGCGTCGACAGAAATCAGTCTCGATGTGAAACATGCATTTTACGCATCCGCTTCCAAAAACCTAGGACGCAGCGCACTTTGCCTTAGTGGTGGAGCAAGCTTCGCATATTATCATTTTGGCGTAGTGCGAACGCTTCTTGATGCTAATTTACTGCCTGATATCATTAGTGGGACATCAGCAGGGGGTCTCGTGGCTGCTTTGGTTTGTACGCGTACGAACGACGAGCTGAAGGAGATTTTGGTTCCAGAGCTTGCGCGTCATATCACTGGTTGTGACGATCCCATGCATGTGTGGATGTACCGCATGTTTATCACGGGTGCGCGCTTTGATGCAATTAAGTGGGCACGTCAAGTTCAGTTCTTCACACGAGGATCCTTGACATTTAGAGAAGCCTTCGAACGCACTGGAAAAATTCTGAATATCAGTGTTGTACCCTTCGACCAACACTCGCCTGCGCAACTTCTCAACTATGTGACCGCCCCAGACTGCCTTATTTGGAGTGCAGTTCTTGCTTCAGCAGCTGTTCCAGGTATCTTGAACCCCGTGTTTTTAATGCAGAAAATGCCTGATGATTCCGTGCAGCCATGGAGTTGGGGTAATAAGTTCCGCGACGGCAGTTTGCGCGTCGACATCCCTCTTGACACACTACACGCTATGTTTAACGTCACATATCCAATTGTGTCGCAAGTCAATCCTCATGTACATCTGTTCCACTTCGGCAATAGAGGTGCCCCTGGTCGGCCAACCGCCTACAGGAATGGTAGGGGATGGCGAGGAGGATTCCTGTTGTCTGCGGCTGAGCATGTACTGAAGCTTAATCTCCTCACTAATTTCCGAATTTTAAAAGACCTGGATTTGATGCCGAAGATATTGGGACAAGACTGGTCTAATGTCTTTCTCCAGTCCTTTGAGGGATCGGTAACAATTTATCCAAAATCCCGCTTCCTCGACTGGCCGCACATCCTCACAGATCCAACACCAAGTGAGTTGGCTCGGATGATGCGAGCAGGTCAATATGTAACATTCCCAAAGTTGCATATGCTCAGTAACCGCACACGGATCGAGAGGGCGATTGGACGTGGTCGTGCCAAATATCGACAGGAGACTAGCGAAACAGAGAACGATGACAGTGATTCTGAGCTGCATGTTGCATCCTCACATGCAAAAAGCATGCTTTTGGGTGGCAGTGGCCGGCATCCCTCAAGACTATTAAGATCGGCTCTCCAGCGAGAAGCGCAGAATGAACTAAGTCGCCGAGATCTGACCGGTATGGACGACCTGAACCGGGAGGACTTGTATCATCTGCTGGAAGAATATGAGGAGAGCCAAGATTTAGGAATCGACGAAGAAGACGAAGCGGCGCACTGGCACGCCCAACGCCCCGTGGTATTCGATTCTGACGAAGATTTACCATAGACGCTCAGACCACGTGCTGAATAAATGGTGCATCCGATCTCTAGCCTCCCCACCCTCGTTAGTATACGCCGATGCCACCATCGGACGTTGGCCACTTAGGATCACGGCCACGTATGGACTCCGGCCTAGCGTACCAAACACAACCATCTACAGGCTCTCTTCCATCAGAGAATGCTACGTCAAATTCACAAAGCAGCCATATGGAATCGTCCGTTACTCGTTTGCTAGTGGCCACCAAGTTGCTTCTTGAGTCATTGACCCAATGGTCACAAGGTAGACAAACCGAAACCAACGTGTCGAGAATCTACGTTCGCTTAGGAAACGACTTCAATGCTGCGCTTTCAGCATTTGTTAGCGCACATGTCGACATGGCGTACGTCCCTTTTGCTTACAACAGAGACTTGTATTCGGTCCCTGCGGACCTTCGCATCTGTCTTGAGGCTTGTTTGTCTGAGCCAGCCTCCCCAGATACTCTTGAGCGCCATCTGCCGAGGATTCGGGAAATTATCATTCGGCTGTTGCAGGGGCTCAAAGCGAAGCAGCACTACTACAAGCAGTTGCAGATGGAGCCTCAGCGCACGCTACCACCACCTGAGGCAAGAGCTGCTGTACCTACCAAAGTGGCATTGCATGCCCCGAACTCGTCCTCGTCTTCATCTCGCCCACCCACTCTACAAGGCCCCCGTCCGCCTATAAGCCGCCGTGTCTCACCTCAAGTCTCACGGGTTTCTCAGGCCCTGCCACCAACTCCAATACCCGGAAGTTTTGAGGTTTCAACATCATCAAAATCTGTTCCTGCAACGCCGCAAAGTATGTCCTCGGTGGCTCCTAGTGATATGTCTGCCACTCGGCTCTCGCCAGAGAAACAAAGTGCAGGAGACGATATCAATAATCGCTTGCGGAAGAGTGATGCTTTGGAACGACGGGCCAGCAAAAGATTTAGCGCCTATGCATTCAACCGGATGGGTGTTGGCTCGGGGTTGCTTGCAGCACTTGGCTCAACGCCTCCTGCATCGAGCCCCCGATCAGAGCGGCGTGCACACCAGGGGCCATTGAACAGTGTTCATGAGTTGCCGCAGGGCTCTCTCACTGTTCCGGCTTCGCCTACGCGGGCACCTAGTCAGACCAAAGAGCCGCTTTCTCTGCCAACAGAAGATGCGACTCTAGTACCAGGGGCTTCAGTGGTTTCTTCTCAAGTCCCAGCCACGGGGCCCTCGTCGATACCCACAGAGGGCATTGATGAGACCAAGCCCGCTTCATCTCCGTCGGAATTGTCTCCGACGCTGGAGTTGTTCCTGCAAGTGGGCCGGCAAACTAAAAAAACCAGTGTATCTATCGACCCGACCCAGGCCGACCGCGGCCTGAGCCTGGGTACGCTGCGGATGCTCTTTGTGGATCAATTTTCGTATTCAAGCGGGATTAGTGATTTTCCCGACATCTATATCAAAGATGCTACGACAGGTGTGGCCTATCAGCTGGAAAATTTGGACGAGCTGCAGCCCAAGAGCATATTGACACTGAATATCGAACGTATGTACTGGATGCTAACCACAGCGCTGGACCAGGTAAAAGAGCATGTGGATTTGGCAATTGCCGCCTTGTCCCGCGACCTTCGTGAGATCAAGTCGCTCGTTCAAGCCGCTCCTCGTGACGTGCCGGACAAGAGCCGATCTGTTTCAGGGGCGCGCACCCCAGCCACACCAATTAGCGACAAGGCATTCCAGGAGGCAGGCGATCGAATGTCCAGCCTGGCGTTACCTAGTCGTTCCGAGCCCTTAGCGGCCGCGGACTATGCAGGGGAGCTCAAATCTCATTATGACGCAGTGCAGCAGCTGCGTCATGATTTTGCTATATTAAGGCAGGTTCATGACGAGGGCGAGCGCGATATGCACAGCACCTTTGCCGCCATTCGTGAGCGTGTGAAGGAAATGAATTCGATTGTGGCGCTGGGCCCCTCGACAGGACGCAACCTGATCGAGTCTGGAAAGGCAAAGTTGGACGTTGAGTCTCAGCAGGTGCTTACCAGCGTCGAAGACTTGCAAGATGTGATTGAAGATTTGAAATTAGACGTGAGTCACCGAGGTGTGAAGCCGAAAGCGGCTGAAATGCGTCGGATTACTGGGGATATTGCTACAACGACAAAGCGTTTAAATGATCTTGAGCGATTCGTGCAAACTGTGCGACCCCACTGGAAAAAGACATGGGAAAGCGAACTACAGCTGATTGTCGACGAGCAAGAGTTCCTTAACTACCAAGAGGGTTTGCTTGTCGACATGCAGCAAGACCACAAAGCACTCCAGGACGTATTCAGCAACATACAACAAGTCGTGCGCCTGCGAGATGTAGGTATGGCGCATGGCAATGATCCCAGCCGGGGCCCACGGTATGTTCCACCACCACCAGATGAAGAGCATCAGGGACTACCATCCGTCATGGCTGAAGTCCGCACGCAGTCCATTGACCACGAGCGCCGGCTACGTGCATTGCAGGCGGCCGAGCGTTCGCGTGAGAAGGCCAAGGCTGGGCGCACGGACGAGTTCGCCAACGAGCTGGCTGGTTTCGTGGATGGCAAAGCTCTGCGTCGTACCGGCGGCCATCTCGAGGCGGAGCGTGTACGGCAAAAACGTGATCAGACGACTCTCCGGGCCATGCTGCACAATCAAGGTTCATCTTCGTCCTAAAGAGCCCACGGGAATCCACGTCCAGAAGGTATGCGCTTGGTGGCTGCCCACCACCTGCCAGGTGATCCTGAGCCCCAGCCATTCACCAGTGACTTTGGCACTTATAGACACCTGGTTTCGGTGCACTCGAGGACCCTGTTTGAACGCGTCCAGGGCGTCGTCCATGGTGTATTCATCGTCCCAATCAAATGCATCAGTCAAAGGTGGAATCTGAAACTGTGACATTGATAGTTCAGTAGACCCACTAAGAAAGATATCCATCGCATCCACAAGCGGGTTCGATAGCGTAATCGTCACTAGCCCAGACAAGGCAGGCGATGCCGTACACAATGGGAGATGCTGATGGGCCAGTAGCTTGATTTTAAAGCCCCCCGAACTCGTCTGCAAGTCGGGACGCACGAGAATATGTCGGCATGCGGGACACCGTTTGCTGAGCTTGCTTAATAGCTTGACACGCTGTGGTCTTAAATATTGATTATGGTAGGGGTGCTCGCCAGGCATCGCCCATCGTTGTGCTAATGTAGACACGCGCGAGGGATCGTTCTGAACTAGTGCCACTTGACTAGTCAGCCGTGCGGCATGCTTCGAAAGCGGCCGTGTCATGTTCGGTATATAAGGCTCTAGCGACTTCTGGTACATCCACCCGGCCCTTTTGCTTGTACGACACTGCATGTTGGATAAGATCTCGTCCTCGACATGCGCCTTCACCGCATGATACTCTTGGACATTCCAAGTGTTTTCCTCCATAGCTGTAAATTGCAAAGTGATATCACTGGGCTTGTCGGCGACAAGACCTAGCCGCTTTGAGTCCCAGCGACAGCATGTGCAACTAAGGTAGAAGGGCGCGATGCCCTGACTGGCTTCAGGGCTTGTCAGCGTGCCACGATGCGCAGGGTCGGATCCAACAATCGACAGCACATGAAAGCATATAGGACATTCGAAGCAGCTCCTGGCGCAGCGCGCTTTTTGAGCACGGACACTTGTTCCAGGGACTTCGAATAGACAATGCGGACAAAAGCTGCTGCTGATTTCCCACACGACGCATTCAGGACAGCGAATTTCGTAACAGTCTTCACAGAAATAGGCTTCATTGAGAGGAAGCTTGGCAGCTGTCAAAGCTGCTTCTTGGCTACCAAACAAGTTGGCCTGACATCGACATACGACGCTGCCTGCGATGCGCATGCTCTATTGCCCAAAGCAATAAAAACCGAATTTCGGACGTATGGGCCCAGGCTTCCTCCACATTCACCATGATGTCCGACGAGGGCGGCGGTAGCCAGCTACACACAGTATCGTCGATCGTTCGTCGCGATTTCTCGCGCATGCCGTTGAAGATTGATCACAATAGTAGACCCTTGTGGATATCTCCTGATGACGGCCATATTATCTTGGAGGGCTTCAATGCCTTGGCCGAACAGGCGCAAGACTTTCTTATCGCCATTGCAGAGCCCGTGAGCCGTCCCACTTTCGTGCATGAATACAAACTCACACCATATTCACTCTACGCTGCTGTTTCTGTTGGACTTGAACCTGATGATATTATTGAAGTGCTAAACCGTCTGTCCAAAGTACCTGTTCCCAAGTCTGTCCTGGATTTTATTCGGGAGTATACCATGAGTTTCGGCAAAATTAAGCTTGTACTGAAACAAAACAGATACTTCGTGGAAAGCTCGCACCCAGAAATTCTACAAATGCTTCTTCGAGACTCCGTCATTGGCGAGGCTCGCGTTCGCCCGGGCGAGGGAGAGCGACATTCTAAGTCTATACCCGCAACGGCAGATTCTCAACCTACTCAGGCTCCAGTGCCGCCTAATCCCCAAGAACAAGGGGGTATTGAACCACCTAGAGAAGATACAGGAACAGAGCAGGACCTTTTTAGTGCTGTCATTGGTGTATATGATGCTGATGAACTTGATGAAGATGACGCCGTGCACAGCTTTGAGATTCGCGAAGAACATATCGAGACAGTGAAGCGACGATGTAATGATCTTGGATTTCCGATGCTGGAAGAATACGACTTTCGAAACGACCAACTGAACCCCGATCTTGATATCGATCTCAAACCTGTCACACATATTCGGCCATACCAAGAAAAAAGCCTCGCTAAGATGTTCGGCAACAGCCGTGCACGCAGCGGTATTATTGTGTTGCCATGTGGCGCAGGGAAGACGTTAGTTGGAATCACTGCAGCTTGCACCATCAAGAAAAGCTGCCTTGTGTTGTGCACAAGCAGCGTCAGTGTTATGCAATGGCGCCAGCAGTTTTTACAATGGAGCAATGTACAAGAGTCACAAATCAGTGTTTTCACGGCCGATGAAAAGCAAAAGTTTTCTGGAGCTGCTGGTATTGTCGTATCTACATATTCCATGGTTGCCAACACTGGCAAGCGCTCTCATACGTCCCAAAAAATGATGAATTTTTTGGAGAGTCGAGAATGGGGTTTTATTCTTCTTGACGAGGTCCATGTCGTACCTGCGTCCATGTTCCGTCGCGTGCTCACCAAAATCAAAGCCCATGCGAAGCTGGGCTTGACTGCAACTCTAGTTCGCGAGGACGAAAAAATTGACGAACTCAATTTCCTTGTGGGACCCAAACTTTACGAGGCTAACTGGATGGATCTCGCCGCTAAGGGTCATATCGCCACCGTGCAGTGTGCGGAAGTTTGGTGCCCAATGACGGCTGAGTTTTATCGCGAATATTTGCGTGAGAAGAGTCGCAAGAAAATGCTTCTGTACTGCATGAATCCTACCAAATTCCAGGCTGCTCAATATTTAATTCAATTTCATGAGAATCGTGGTGACAAGATCATCGTGTTCTCGGACAATGTATATGCTCTCGAAGCCTACGCTATTAAGCTAGGTAAGCCCTATATCCACGGTGGCACACCTCAAATTGAACGTATGCGCATTTTGCAAAACTTCCAACACAATCCCATTGTGAATACCATCTTTTTGTCAAAGGTGGGCGATACCTCGATTGATCTTCCTGAAGCCACCTGCTTGATACAGATTTCGTCCCATTTTGGTTCGCGACGACAGGAGGCACAGCGTTTAGGACGTATTCTCCGTGCAAAACGCCGAAATGACGAGGGCTTTAATGCATTCTTTTACAGCCTGGTCAGCAAAGACACCGCCGAGATGTATTATTCCACCAAGCGTCAACAGTTTCTAATTGATCAAGGATACGCGTTCCGGGTTATTATGAATCTTGTCGGTCAGGAGGAAATGCCTGGTCTTGTTTATTCAAGGAAGTCGGAACAAATTGAGCTCTTACAGAGTGTACTAATCGCTAGCGAAAGCGCTGCTGAATTTGGTACTGATGTCAAGGTCAAGGACATTGGGTCATCATCTGGCTCTAATGCGAAGCGAGTCATGGGTAATCTTAACGCTCTTAGTGGCGCGCAGCACATGTCCTACGTGGAGCGCAATCGCTCCATGAACAAGACGTTGGCTAACGATCAGCCACGGCACAAAGCCTTCCAGAAGCGCGCTGCACAGGCCAAGCGGAAGGTGTAGAGCCACGCCTTCCATATATCACGTGAGAATGGTGACGTTGCAAATAATCCGTAGGGTACGCAAAGAATTTGCAATTCGCTCCTCCTCTCCAGTTGCTCCTTCTGTTGGATTGCAATTTATTTTTGATTAACTAGCGCGTCTGGTACGCGTATTTCTGAAAGCAACACGGGGTAACTGATAAAAATCTTTTGATGGCAGATCCGACGATTTCGTCGGCAATGCTTGACGGCGTCCCAGTGGGGGACGTTGGGGGTGTTGGTGGCGTTCGAGTAACCCTTACGGACTTGGCGCCACAGCCAGTTCAGACTGTTGCCCCTACTCAGCCGTCTTTAGATGCAGTCACAATCAAAGTAGGGGATCTCTTCCCCGATATGAAATCTTTCCGAGCTCGTCTTGGATTATATGGCATTACTCACAAATGCCCTTATCGGGCTCGGCGTAGTGACAACAGCAGGTTCGTTGGCATATGTCCTGCCGTCATGACAGAAATAAAGAAGGAAAACAACAAACAAAGCAAGGATTCGATACCTGATCCCAACGGAGACAGTGTATTTAGGGTCCAATGCCCATTCAATGTGATTGCCCGTCGACGCAAGGAAGGTGGCGTTTGTGTAACTCGTGCCGTGCTGGAACATTCACCCAATTGTACAGCCCCTATCTCATTCTCGACGTCTGCAACATCGGCATACATGTCGCAGTTGATGGAAGACACTCCCTCTAGCATTGCGCCGCGAGAAATCGGAAAATACGTTCATGAAGCCACTGGAACAAAGTTGTCGTATTCAACCCTGTGGCGTACATCCCACTTGCTGCAACTTAAAGAGCGCGAACGCCAGGATGCTACTTTTAGAAAGATTGTACCCTTTCTGAACGCTTTTCGCGAAGCAAATCCAGGCACACTGGCAGTTGTCGAACAACATCCTAATGGGCGATTTTATCGGTCATTCTTATGTCCCGGTGCGTTGGCTAGTGCTTTTGGGGATTGTCCCTTTTCTTTGCATGTTGAATCGAACCCCATCACGTCCTGTTATGAAGGCTCGCTCATGATTGCCTATGTAAAGGATGGCCTTGGCGCTTTATTCCCCCTAGCAATCGGAATAACTGCCCAGGAAGATGAGGAGAACTGGCGTTTCTTTTTTCATCAACTGCTGACAGCCCTACCCATTATTGGATGTCCAGGTGTCACTGTTTCACACTCTAAAGTTCCTGCCATTAGTGAAGCTCAACTCGCGGTCTTGCCTGCATCTCGCAGCACTACCAATTTCTCTCGTCTTGACTGGACAGCCTCAGGATCTTTACACGAATATTATGCGCAAATGGCTCAACTCTGTTCGAACAGCTATTTTGTTATTATGGTGGGATGGATCACACAGGTCGCCGTGCTGATATATGCGCGCTACATGGAGCTTGAATCTGAACGCAGCGTGTTTCCTGGCGGCATTCTAGGGCGAAGCAATATGAGTTTTAGTGGATGGGATGTTGCTTCATTTGGTCCCTCGGATTATCTGGTTGTCAATGCACACGAAAAGCAACAAGTAAATTTGGCGTTGCGGACATGCAGTTGTGGGCAATGGATCGAGCATTCTTTTCCTTGTATCCATGCCACACGATGTCTGCCTCTGGAACGGATGGTGGGTCTTGGTCAATTTGTTCATCCATCCTACTTCACTGAAAGCGTTCGGCGATGCTATTCTCGTCGCATGACTCTGATCGATGCCAATACCATAACACCACAAGGTGAATCACCATTGGATGAGGCGGGCGCATTTGTGAATGAACATGCAGCGGCAACCGGTCCAGATGGTGTCATCATACCTCAGGAAATTCCACTACTCCCTCCTGCGGCCATTGAACCAGTCAAAAGAGGACGCGGTCGGCCCAGGGTCGTTCGAGCCAACAACCAAGGTCGTGGAACAGGTTTAGGGGCTATGTACCAGTGTGGTCATTGCCACGGCAAGGGGCACAATTCACGGACTTGTCCGCTCAATCAAAAAACAGACTTGACATCTTCAGCTACAGCCGCCCAGGTCGCTACTGTAGCTCTCGGCACAACACCCACTGCCACCACAACGAACGTGTTTGGAGAAGCCACGGTTCCGTTCGCGATTGATGCGTCACTATCAACATCTGCACCACCTGTTTAATACTTTACCTCTCACGACGGCCTAAGATTTTGCCCTTTGTACAGTTTGTTTTTATAAATAGTAAATTAAATCTCGCGTCCTAATTCACTTTCTTGTCGTCATGGCGGTGAGCGCCAAGTTTCGCAATAGACTCTTGACGTTGCTTGTTCTCCGCAATACGATCAAGACGAATGGAATACCATTCTCCCAGTTGCATAAGAAGTACACCTGCCAACATAGCGGTAATGATGACGTTGGTTGCACCGATCACCTGCACCACGGAAGCAGTTTCTTGGAACGAAAGTGGCTGAAAGCTGTAGTTTTCCACCTTCCGGTACGACTCTGCATCAAAGACAGCACGGTGCACGATGGATGGCTCATCAGGCCTCGCAAGTACACGCATATTGGGAATCGACACGGCCACATACATGAGTACACTGCCAAAGTACAGCAGCAGGCTCAGGGTTCCAAAATATTTGTCATTCTCACTCCATCGAACCAGCTTCGCCACAATACCGACCATTCCAATAGAGAAAACCGTGTGAATTAGCACAGACACACTCAAAGGAGCATTGTACATTGAAAGATAAAAGCTGATGGCTTTATTGACAGCTGCCTCTGACACCTGCCCATGGAAAAGCAAGGGGTAATCGTAACTCGATGTTATGTAGAGTAAACCTGTTGTTAAACATCGCGAAAACTTACCATATATAAATAACACACTAGCCAACACAAAGCCTGTACGAAACCCCATGCTGTACGGAAGCTAGCTTCTTGACGTCGCGTGTCGGAGGTTGCGATGGCTCGTGCACCACGTGGCCCTTCCGTCATGCCATGGGCATCACGTCATGATTACGGCCGAACACATCAGGGTACGGGCCACGCACGGACGCCACGTAAGTTGTGAGTCTACCCTTATATAGAACCTGTATCCATACGGCATTCTTCAACCGTAACTACCATGTCTCAAAACATTGTAAGTTCAATATTGGCACTGACTTTAGAAAATTTCTCTAAATGACGGTAACCAAATCCCTCAGATTGGTCTTGGTACTTGGCAGTCTCAGCCGGGTGAGGTTGAAAACGCCATCGTGCATGCGGTGAAGTCTGGCTACCGCCACCTCGATCTGGCCAAGATCTATGGTAACCACCACGAAGTGGGTGCCGCTTTCCAGCAGGTGATTCCTTCTGTTGTTAAGCGTGAGGAACTCTTTATTACCGACAAACTTTGGAACAACTCGCATAAACCCGAGATGGTGGAGAAGGCGCTGGACCAGACACTGCAGGAGCTTGGACTGGAGTACCTGGACCTGTATCTGATTCACTGGCCGGTCGCTTTTGATGGGGACTTTGACACTCTTCTCCCCCAGGAGAACAATATGGCGAAGCTGGACCTCCAGACTTCACTGGTGGACACGTGGAAGGCTATGGTAGCTCTGAAGAAGACGGGTAAGGTCAAGTCGATTGGTGTCTCAAACTTCAGCCCTGCGCACATTGATGCTATCACTAAGGCCACTGGCGTGCCTCCAGCTGTTAACCAGATCGAGGCGCACCCTCTTCTTCCTCAGGACGAGCTCGTGGAATACCATAAGCAGAAGAACATTCACATCACTGCTTACTCGCCTCTTGGTAACAATCTGCGTGGTGAGACCAAGATTGTGGATTACCCTCAGGTGACCGAAATTGCCAAGAAGCGCAATGTGAATGCTGGTCAAGTATTGATCTCTTGGGGTGCTAAGCGTGGATACTCGGTGATTCCGAAGAGCGTCACCAACAACCGCATTACTAGCAACTTCCAGCAAATTGAACTTAGTGACGAGGAGTACCAGGCCGTGACTGACATCATCAAGACCGCTGGCAAGCATGTCCGTTACAACACCCCTTACACCTACACTCCCAAGTGGGACATTAATGTGTTTGGCGAGGAGGTCGAGAAGAATGCGACTCACCAGATTAAGATCGAGTAGAATCCATACATGCTATTAAATACGTAACGTACTCTGATCGTGCGCCTTGTCTAACCAGGCCTGTGCATCCCACGTAGCAAACACATGCGCCAGCTCATGTAGAGCAGAGCTATGTGAATCTGAACCATGGAACCCGTTCCGTGTATCGCCCAGCCCCAGCACGGCACGAAGGCAGTCTGTATTTTCCCAAGCGGTGCGATAAGCCTTGGTCGGGCCGATGAGCTCGCGCCACTGCTGTATTGCATCTGGCCCTGCAAGGGCCAATCCCACTGCCCTTCCAGACGTCATTCCTAGTATAAGTCGGTTATAATAAAATTTCCCTTGGTGTTCTTCGTAAAAAGAAGCTGCATCTTCGACGGTCCATTGAAACGACCGAGAGCGCAAAATCTAAGTAAGCTTCTTCAGCGTACACGAAGAGATGGGTGTTCATGGATTCGTTTCAGCACATATCGAATATGTGGCTGAAATACGCACACACTTGGCTTGATCAAAGCCAATGTCACTTCCATGAACGTGCGTGCTCAACAATGCTTCCAGATGGTCACTTTGGGATACACATGACTAAGCAAGTAGCCTTGGCCCTGGCCTCGTCGCGACTTCTTCATCAAGACGTGTATGCCTGTCTACACATACTACTTGAAATCAAACACGTAGAATACCATTCTTATATCGTTAAGCGGACATCCGTTTATTTGCGTAATAGTCATCAAATCGTCAGAAACATCATTTCTTTTAGTAGGACCAGGTTCAAAGTAGTGACACATTTAAATGCCGCCCCCACTGCGCTCAACAGGCACATAGCGGTTGCCGTTGACTTGGGAGATCATGTGCGAATGCTTGCGAGCGTTAGACACATAGTTGCCGACTAGAAACGTGGTAGCGGCACCAGCAAGGGCAGTCGAGGTCCGGATGGTGAACAACATCGCTTTGGGTTTGGAGAAAAAGGAGATGGTGGCAAGTTGGACTTACTCCCCCTCTTTATACACTAGTTGTCGGCATATGCGCCACAGGCCTCCCAACGAACGTCAAAGAGTGAGGCTGCCAGGGCCAACCACGGCGTACTATGGGGTAGGCTTTATTTTTGTGGATTGTGATAGGGCCAAGTCTTATTTCATCTCGGCCGAGAACTGTAATATCAGCCCTGAGACCTTCGTCGATTGGCATTATCGTCGCAAGTGCGTGTCTCGCCCGCCAGTGCGATTTTGCCAAACATTGTTCAGGCCTCCTCGTAATGCAAGGTGGAGTCGGCCCGAATCTTTCACAAGACGCGGGCCGCGATGTGGCGTCGCCGCTTCGGCGCTCAGCGCGGCTGAGCGGTGCCTTGTATCAGCGAAACGGCACTCCTAGCCAGACGTCTGCACCGGTGGGGTCCACGAGTCACTCGGGGCGTCGACGCACGCGGGGCGCCAAGTCGGATGTTATGGATGCCTCTGCATGGTCTTCGTCCCTCTATACAGCGCGTAACCCTTCGCAAGTGAGCAGTTATTATCTTCGACCGCAGGAGGATGGCAAAGATGGTGCCAATGAGTCTGTGTCCGTTGGCGAGTTTCCAGGGCTCGGCTCACTTCTCCGAGGTTCACAGCGGCCACCAGAGACGCCTAAATCGTTTTACAAGGGACCATCGCACTCAGCAGGACCATACACTCATGACTATTCGGAAGAAGACCGGTTCATGGAGCAGGTCGAGTCAGATTGGAGGCAGCGAGCTGATGCGGGCACATCAATGCCAGATACGCCTGCAGATGCGAACCTTGCTGATGCGGATGACTCAGTGTTTGTACCGCAACAAACACCCAGTGTGCCTGGGTTGTTCCGCTCAGTGCACCGGCCCTCTACGGGTGCACCACATGAGACTGGGAGTCCAACTGACGAAGCTTCGCGACGTGCGCGCTTCTTTGCATCACCGCATTCAAGTGAAATGTTGCCGAGGCGTAGGGTATCTAAGCGGTTCCTGCTTGTGGTGGCGCTACTCGGCTTGGCTCTTTTTGCGCTTTTCATTCTGCGCCGCGGCCGCCTCCATGGTGCACCCTCGCCTCTCGTGAGCGAGCCATGGACCGCAAACGCTTCTCAGAACGATGTGCACCAGCGCATTTCTGCGCTTGAAAAAGCGCTGAACAAGGTGTGGCAATCGCTAAGCGATACGGCCACCGAGACCCGCCGTGTACAGGAGACCTTTTCGGAGCGCCTTTCGTCTCTGGAACGTCGCAGTGTGTTTAAGCAAACACTGCAGGGTCTTGAGGACGACGTAAAGGCGTTGAGGAAAGCACAGGAAGACCGAATCTTGGTGTGGCAGTCAGAGAAGCAGCGCTTAGACGATATGTACCGTCGCCTCGTGACCCTAGAGCGCGGCTCCAAAGGCAGCCGTGCTGGTGGCGGGGTTATGTCGGCGGAGGGACTGCAGGAGCAGATTTCGGATGTGGCGCGCAAGCTGCAGCAAGTGGAACGCCAGGCGCGCGAGGCCGAGATGGCTGCAAGCGAAGCCAAGCGTACACTAGCTCCCCTAAAACAACTATTACCGGAGCATTTGCCTGTGCGCTACGATGTACACTCACGGAAACTGCTTGTCGACCCTGCTTTTTGGCAAGAGCTTAAGAAGCGCCTACCCAAGGCGTCTCATGCGCAGGAGTCCGTTTCATGGACCGAGTTTGTGAGCGAGCACCGTGCCGATTTAGACACTGCTTTGGAAGAGGTGATCCGTCGCCAAGTGGACAGTGGTTTACTGCTTGATCGAGCCTCGTTCATGCAACTCATGGAGGCAGAATTGGCCCGTGCAAAGGTCGATCTCAGCGCGCGCTTCAATGAGCATATGCAAGACCTGCAGAACGATGTACTGGCTAAGGTGCGGCAGCAGCAGGCTATGTATGAGCGCAGTGGCTCCTGGGAGCGGCCGGCCGCCCAGGACGATACGGATGTGGGCCACGTTCGGCGTCTCATCGATGCGGCGCTCGCCAAGTTTGCGGCAGATCACATTGCGCGTCCGGACTATGCGCAGTACTCGTCTGGCGGTCGTGTGATCCCCACACTTACAAGTCCGACGCATGAGCTGCAGCTGCCTGGTCGCCGCGTCGATGGTCTGACGTCGATGCTGTCGTACCTGTTACCCCTGCCAATGCGCTCGGGCGCCCACGACACGCACACTCTTCGTGGCCGCATGCCTGTGGTGGCGCTCCATCACGATATCTCGCCGGGCATGTGTTGGCCTTTTTCAGGCACGCACGGGCAACTGGGGATTCAACTTGTGCGCCGGATTCGGCCGACGGCCGTGACAATCGATCATGTACCTACTTCGCTCGCCCTGGATGGGCAGGCGTCGGCGCCCCGCGACATGGAGGTGTGGGGCGTGGCGGACTCGCCGACAGACCAAGAGGCTCTTTCGCGGTGGCGGCTTACGCCCGCGGCCCGTGCAGCGAGTGAGGAGCCGTCACCTGTGCCGCCATCGTCTGCACATGTGTTTCTGGGTTCGTTTGTGTACGATGCGGCTGGGCCGCCTATCCAGACGTTTCCGCTTAGCCACACTGCAAGTGCCGCACTGCCTTTGGGGTTCCGCGTGGTGCAAGTGAATGTGCTAAGCAACTATGGCATGCGCGACTATACATGCTTGTACCGTGTCCGAGTGCATGGCGATCCGGTGGCGTAACCATCTGCTGTATCATTATAGTACATTAATAGCCTTCCAAGTCCAGGGCTTCCAGCACAAGGCTGGCACCATTGGCATCCAAGTCGTCTTCGTCATCCACTTCATCGTCAATGTCGTCAATGTCGTCCACCGAGTCATCCGCCTCAGGCGCCGGTGTGGCAGATTCAGAGACGCGTGGGGCCCATGGACGAGGCAAGCCTGAGCCTAGATAAGCGTGCGCATCAAGGCCGAGCGGAGGGATATCGTCGATGCGGCGGTTGCGCCACTCGGGCTGTGCCGCATCGTAAGGCATGGCCAGCGGCGTACGCTCATCGTATGGCAAGTCCGTCGTATGCATTAGCTCTGATTCGGCGAGCGAACGGACCGCGCGTGTGCCCTGCCCATCCAGCGCAGAGAGTGGCGGCACATCACCTTGCATGTTTGACGGCCGTGCGCGCGGCGTGCGAAGTTCCTGGTCGTCCATGGTTGTCGTAGGCGGGCTACGCGAATAGTTCACGGCTGGATCGCCCGGATCTGTGCTCTCCCACCGGAGGCGCGAAGTGCGGATCCGCACGAGGTCGTGATCCGAATAGCGGCGCGACACGTTGTGAACGCTAGGAGACGGGGCCCGTGAGTCTGGGTGGCCGCCTTGCCCGTCTGAGCTGTCGGAGATGGAGAGCGAAGTGGGTGTATGCGATCGCGAATGGGAGACGAGGCTCCATACCGCGCCAAAGCGTGCTTGCTGGGCAGCAATGTAACTTTCGCTGCGCTCAAACTGGATGCGCAGCGTCGGATGCAGCACGGTCGGCCGCTTTTCGTTCCAGTTGTCGTGCGGGCTCAGTGGCACATGCAGCGAGGGCCAGAGCCACACAGGGATGCGGTCACGCTGGGGAAGCAGCACGTCCTCTGTCTGGCCATACCGCTCCACAAACTGAACCAGGTGTTTAGGCGCGGCCTCGATTGTGCCCGAGTAGCGGCCTGCAGCAGCGTTGACGCCGCGCGTAAGCTCTTCACCTAGGGCTGCGCTACTCCAGCCTTGGATCTTGCGCAGGCACGCCACCAGCGTCGACGTGACTTCGACACCGTCAAGGCAGTGCACGTATAGTGGCAGATTCTCGCGGTTCAGTACCTCCATGAGCGCACGCGCAGCGCCTTCGTGCGTGAGACCACCTGTCTCTTCCTTGGGCTTTTCGGTGCGTACGTGGATAATGTGCACACCGGCACCGCCATTCTGCGCTCGCGCCCAGGTGGAAACAACTGGATCGCTATCAATGGGTTTGGGTGTCAGCGACACAATGGTTCGAAGATGCAGCGTCTCGAGAAACGGCAGGTTCCGGTGCTTGGGATACGCGCCGCGGTACAGGCATTCGGAGAACGACGTAATACGCGACGAAGTGCCCATACTCGAGCCCGAATCGCTCGAATCGGGCATGCTCTGAGGAAAGGCCACGATGCCGAACCGCATCGGCGGCGAGAGCGGCCCACGCGTCATGGCACGCCCTGCTGCTACGCCTCGGCGATGCCCGCCGTAGCGCCGTGCATGTCACGTGGCCACCGCGACTTTGTGTTGGTCTGCGTCTGCCTCGTCCTGAGCGATGGCGTACGTGCGGGGCACACAAGCGCCCATGGACCTCACTGAGCCCGGGCCACGCCAACGTGCGTTGTGTACACTTACAGCAGCTTCCATATTTGATGCGCCGATGGACACCGCGACCCCCGATGCATCGCTGATGGATCTGGATCCCGACTCGCCGGCGGTAGAGCCGCCGTCATCTGCGCCGCCCGTCACCATGCTTGGCGCGCCACCGCCGGCAGAACGGAGTATACAGCCTGCACCGGCGATCCAGGAAGTCGGCTCGGATGGCGGCCATCTGATGCTGCGACCGGCGCCAGGTTCGCCGCATGTGCGCGCGCCCGAACCTAGTGAGCCAGTGCCGTTGCCCAAGCGCACTGCCCCTAGCGTACTTGAGCGTCCAGAGCTTCTGCTCACATACGCGCAGGTACTCTTCAATGCCAGTATCATATTTGTGTTTCTGTACCTGCTCTTCAGCCTAGTGTGGACGATCCAACGCGACGTCTCGCAGAAGGTGCGCGAATACGAGCTCGGTACGTTGACGGGACTGACGCAGACTACCTGGGTGAGATTGCATCGTGCTCGTCCGCTTATGCTCAGAACCGTTGCGGTACCGAAGCGCAAGCACCTGCGCTGTCGGAGCTGTGCGAGTCATGGAAACGGTGCTCTGCACGCGATCCCACCGTGGTGGGACGCGCACGCGTTACGGCAGAGACGTTTGCCGAGATCCTCAACGGCTTTGTGGATGCCGTCAGCTGGAAGACAATGCTATTTTCGCTACTTACTCTCTCGATTGTGGTTGGCGCGACCAACTCGACCCTCTCCTTTTTCCGTGTAAATGCGCGGCACGCGCATGAAGCTCCGCTGCCCGAGGCAGCATATGCATCGGCGTATCCTCCCTACGCGCTACCGCCCGATTGGGACGGTCGTGCGCCGCTGCGCCGACGTGTTCATGACGAGTCTGCCACTATACCCTATCGCGCTAACGAGTCTTAGAGGGGGTATCGCGTGCGGCCGCCCGCTCCTGGCGGCGGCGCACATGGAAAGCGTGCTTGGCGCGGCGCGCCGCCTTGGCGCGCGCGAGCTGTGCTGCGGTGAATGACATGCTGGCCCGCTCGCGCTCACGCGCAAACTGCGCCTGCAGCTCACGTTCATGAGCCTTGTAGGCCGCATGCCATTCGCCTACGCGCTCAAGGCCGCCGCTCGGCACCAGCCCATTTGCTTCGGCATCAATGAGGCGCTTTATCTCCTGGATCTCGTCCCAGCGCTGCAGGCGCTTTAGGCGCGCACGCCGTCGCCACTGGATCATCATAGTCATGTGGATAGGCTGCGTCGGTTTGTAGCGCAGCATTGGCTTGTTGTACAGCGTGGGGGGAAGCAGTGCACCAGAGGGGAACGATGGGCGTGCCGGTCCGCTCGGCCCTTTGGGACGGCGCATCGGTGCGCGGCATATGGGCTTCGGTATCCGACCGGCTGCATGCACTGGGCGCCCAGGCAGAAGTGCCTCGAGCGCCAAGAGGACGGCCATCGGGCGCTCGGGCCGCGTCGCAGCCGATGTGCTATACGCACGTCGCGGCGCACGTGGTGGCGGAGCCGGTCGCAGTAGGCGGCGGCGGCGGCGATCAAGCGTGCGAATCTCGTCGATCTCGGTAGATGCTTGCGCCTGCAGGAAGAGCAAGCCTGCCTCACCGGTGCACCTGTGCATTGCAGTAGACGGCACATACGGTGGATGAAGTGGGTCGGGCTGGGGCGTGGTGCCAGGCACGCGCGCTGTGTCGTCTAGTTCGTCGAGGCGCGGCATGGGCCGCGCGTCGCGGAAGAGCGAGCCTTGCGTGCGAGCAAGAATCGCATGAATGTCGAAAGACTCGCCCGCGGGGATAGGCTCGGGTTGCGACGGCGTTACACATGGGTCGTCGACCTCCTTGCGCAGCACATGGTCGATATCAACCGCGGCAAAGAATGCGCACGATTCCGGCAAGTCGTCCATATTGAGCTTGAAGGCGAACATGGCACGCGTCCACAGGTTGGCAATTTGCAGGGCCAATGCCGTGCGGTCTTTGTCTGACTCGCGCGCAAGGTACCGCACTTCGTCGTGGACGCTCAGCATGAAGCGTGCGTCAATATCGTACGTCGTGCATAAATGCTGCATTGCGGCGATTAACAGATGCAAGTAATCGACACCGCTAGACTGAACGACCCAGTTGATGCGGCTCGGCATAAAGTCCTGGCGCTCGGCGCCGCTGTCTTTGGGCAGGTACTGCTTCGACAGCGCAGCTGTGATCCCACAATCGAGCGCGGGTGTCTTGGGATGATCACTTGTGGCAATCTCTTCGAGCTTGTTGAACACGAAACTCTCAGTGCCGCCGAACCAAAACTTACGCCCAAAGAGGCCCGTACCCCGAGTAGACTGCCCTTTAGTAGCCGCATACAGCTGCTTGGCGCGTCGTGCCGCCTCGTCCATGGGCATACTGGGATTCGCCTTGAGGAGTAACTGCATTGCATGCCGGATGCCCGCACCGTAGATGCGACTGTAGTTGAACACTTTGGCTTGGTTACGGCCTGTACCAAGGATCGACGCCGTCTTGCTGTGCAGGTCTGTGCCCTGCGACTTGGAGCCCTCGAGTGTCATCCACCCAATCGCCGTCGCACCATGGATACCAAACTGGGCGTCGCCCATCACGCTGCATATCCACAACTCTTCACTGTCGACATCCGCGCCGACGATAGCCCACCCAGGCGGCGCCTTGACCATCGACTTGAGCTCACTGCCAATCCGGTTCTTCTTGGCATTCGACGCGGTCAGCCACGTCCGCTCAATGGCCCGTCGCGTCACCGTGCCCATGGAAATGACCTGTGGCAATATCATGCCGCGTGGCACTGCGTCGGCGTAGCCCATATCTACTCCGCCGCTCTTGTCCCACACGACAAACTGCCGCTCAATTCGGTCGCGAGCACTGATCCAGTAGCTGCACTGAGCATTCATGTCCAGGGCACCTTTCGCCGCCGAGGCCGCCTGCTCACTGGGATGTAGGCTATGCAGGCGCCCATTCTCAAAGTATGGCAAAAAGTGCTTGCTAAACGGATGGCCCACGTTACTCGCGTCACCATTCGCATGCGGTAGTTTGTAGAAGATGCCGGCGCGCAGGTGCGTGTCGGCCTCGTGCTCAAACTCTAGAGCCACTTTGTTGGGCAAGGGCGCTGCCGCGCGAAAGACCCAGCCATGCTGCCGACTTCGATATACAGGTGCACCATCCCATGCAATTTTCAGTAGCAGAGGCGCAATTTTCGCACGGATCGTGATCTCCACATCCTTTCGCGAAGCATCATACAGGTCCCAGTACCATTTGGGCCACCAGGGCGCACGTTCCGTGGGGTCCAGATACGGCACATCCGTCCAGTCGAGCTGCTGCAGACTTGGCTCCTCGCCCGGCCCCTCGTCGCGCACTTGCCTGGCAAGTTCCCGCAGTTGCGCGTCAATCTCCTGGCGGTCACCGCCCTGTTGGATCGCAGCGAGAATCTGCTCACCAAGGGGTCCAGCCGCGCTGGTGACCGTGTGCTTTTTCAACATAGCCTGGCTTAGCGGCGAGCTTGGAAGCGGCGTCTGCGTGTCCTGCCAATACCATCTGTTTCCCTCGCCGAGGAGCACTGGTTCGCCATTGCAGCGCAGCTGCAGCAGCTGTGCTACAAGGCGATTACGTGTAGTGAGTAGCGTCTTGCCATGCGCGATGCGGTCGCGCCACCACGCGGGCACATAACGCGACGGTTCCCAAGCCTTAGGCTTTTTTGGCGTCCAGTCGAGCTGGCTGTACCATGGATCTGTCTCCCACCAGCGGTCGGTCGGTGCGTCCTGGTCGATGGCCTCAATGCCACTCTGCATCAACCGGTGCACCATGTCTTTTAAAGTCGAAACAACCTGCGCATTCATCTCATCAAACTTGGCACTCGCTCGTTCCAAGTAGGCCATCCAACTTGCGTCCACTGGTAAGAATGTGCTTCCCAGTTCCAATACACCGGCAAGGGTCACTGGGTGTGGGCAGCTACGCGTGAAGGCGGGCCAGACCTTGGAAAACACAGCAGATGTAGTAGCCACATCGGTTGCACAGTAGGCCAATAAGGATGGAAGTTGCTCCCAAATCTTCTCACGGCTAGTACCGTCAACAAACACATCACGCTGGTGCTTCTCAAGGTGGATGTCACAGTGCAGCGCCGCGACATCGGCAAGAGAGTTTTTCGACGTCACGTCTTGCCACAGGACCTGGCTATGATCATCGTCGTTTCCCAACATAGGGCTCGTTTCACCGATAGACGTGTCAAGTAAAGCCACATTCTCATGTAGACACTCTCTCAGTTCCTCAGGCAAGCCTCCCAGCTCATTCATGGTAATGGCAGCCAACGCATCCTCGTCAAATTCACCTTTGTGAAGCAGCTGGCGGATCTGGCCGCGGGTATCATCCTCCATTCTCTGAGCCACAAGAAGCTTGTTGAGACGTCGCGTAGTTCGCCTCCGAGCATGTTCCGCCCATGCAGCACGCTGAGGAGACGATATGCCACTCGTGGCGACGTGCAGACTCATCGTATCCAGCCAGCGGATCGATGTCTGGTGCAGCGTGTATTCATCTAACACAGCTGCTCGGTCAAAGCCGGCATTGTGACAGATGACGAGCCGAGGCGGCGCGGTACCATCGCGAGGGCCCAGGGGAATGAGATGCTGCTTTGATGTATGTCTCGGGCCATCTTGAGCTAGCCATGGGCTAATCCAAGTGTACCACGCGTGCTCTCCCACAGCAGCAGCCATGACAGGATACGGGCTCTCTTTCACCATGACTTCCACGTCAAACACAAGCGTGGAATCCTCCACGTCAGGGTACGGTACCGAGATGGGATCAGCCAGCCCCACAATAGCGCCTTCCTTTGATCTCAAAAAGGAATACTTACTCCAGCCTGACTGGCTGGAAAAGACACTGGACCGAAGAGGCACATCATTCCGAAGTGACTCGTCGAGCGCCAACCAACTTTCCGACGACCAGTCGAACGAGTTCTCTTCTCTCTGCTCAGCAGGTGGTGGTGGTATTTGTAGCTGAGAGAAGCGCTCGGCATAATCGAGCCACGGCTGCGCGGCGCGTCGGCCAATAGTCCAGAAATGCTCGCCCAAGTCACCGCCTTGCAAAGGCGGGAGCTGGAACGTAGTGGGGGAAGGTCGAGTCGCCTTTGAGGGCTCTAATCCATGCCTGTGTAAGTGTTCTCTGCACACATCCAAAGACACAGGGTCGGTTGGTAGACAGTCAGTGCGACTAGGAGGAAACAGCTGGCGATGGAGCGAACGTTCCAGCAGTTGAACGCCCACAGGATTGCATGGTGCTGGTGTTACATGATCAAAACGTACCATTTATATTGGAATCCGTGCGTTCGTTATTTGCCACACTCGAAAAGCAACGAGAAAACGAGGCGTAGCTTGCCAAGGACGCCGAGCCAAGGCCTGTAGTGCTGTTGCATCGGCGCATACGCACACACACACTTCCCATATACACAGGACTCTTGTATCGAGAATTCAGAGCCTGCCATACATGATTATATGACACCCGGGCCGCACAGAGCAGGCGGCCAAGGGTCACGTTCATGCGAGCACAAGGTGGATTGCACTAAAAGCCAGGGTATCTATGACACTTTAGATCGGGCTTCGTTCAAGACTTGTGTCGCCCGATCGAGTCCAGCAAACTGCCTTTCTCAAATGGCACCTCGAGACTTTCGCTCGGAACAAGTTTGGATGCTTCGGAGGAAGGCAATGAAGGGCGGGTTGCAAATTTCATCGATTTTGACCTCTGAAGTTCAGCATTCCGACGCAATGACTGACCGCGACGGACATGCACAGCTGGGTCCTCGGCACGTTCGATTGATTTGGCCATGATGAATAAATCTGGTCTCTCTTGCTTTAACACATAGGATCGGGCACGTAGAATGGCACTGACCCAGTCCGCGTGCGCCGATACGTCTGATTGGCAAATATATACAATAGCTTGGGCCCGGGAGAATTGATGCCGAAGAGCGAATCCAAACTCTTTGGGCATAGAAATTTTTTGAGCATTCACCAGATACAAATCCGACTCCATCATCGTACAAATACGACCTTCTGGCTTACTCTGCAGGTGAGAAAAATGTACATACCTTTGCGTCCTTCGCAATAAAAAGTGAATGCTCTCGAAGTTCGAGCCACTTTTTACACCATTTCCCTTGTTCGAGCCGGATCGAAACAGGACCACACAGCACACTGGAAAAAGGAGGAATAGAATCAGTTCGGAGTAAATCAGGTCGGTTGTATAGCTTAATTAAGAAAAAGCCGGCGTCGCGCCCTCTTGCACGAACGATATCATCAATGCGCTCGTACTCACGCAGCGGTCGCTCTAAACCCCATTCTGGAATCACATCATATAACACCCATTCATCAAATGTGTTTTTGAGAGACGATATGCCATTCTGAACTAATGCTTGGTGTAACACGGTTATGACCGTGGCATTTTCGACCATAGGTACCATCGTGTACTTCTGCACATTCTGAAGAAAAACACGCAATGGTGGAACACTAGAGAATGAATTGGGCACGATGCGCGTAGCTGACAGATGTGACATCGCCATCGTGACATCTCGCATTTGTGTTTCTGTTCCGGTTTTGTCTGTTAGTATCTTTGTACCATGAACATCCGTAGATGGCGAGGCAATATGCGAATCGGCCAATTTCCATTGCGATTCCATTTTTCTAACATGTGTAGCTGATCTTTGAAGAGAACGTAACTTCCCCAACGGCACATCGACTGTTGCATCTGAGGAGGGAGGGTGGGTTGAAGCATTATTGTACGATAGCTTAGGTACATATATCTGCGGGTTGTTTCGCCGACGATGTGGTATTGAGCGGCTTCTCTGCGGTGCAACATTGATTTTCTTTGGTGAAGCTTTACCCTCTAGAATTTTCAGTGTTTTGTCGCTTTGCGCTTGCTTCTCCTGCTGAATGATACGTTCATGTGCAGCGCAAATATCCAGCGATGCACGAGAGCCGAGGGGCACGTCATCTTCATTCATACTGGTGGGCCTGGGTTGTGTGGAAACCCGAGAAGATAGGATGGGTTGTGCAAGGGTAGAGTAGTACATTTCATCGTCAGATGGCACCCCATAAACATCTTCGTCGTCCAATTCAGGTCCAGGTACAAAGGAATCATCAGGTTGATCCATATTCAATGGTGTGTTCGTAAGCGGAACATTTTCATTGTCTGTGAGCAGTTGCAGGACGGGTGCAGCGCGACCCCGCTGCATAGGTGGATTTATCGTGCTACAATGTGTGACTGAATATAAATAAGACATCGCACGCTCAATGTGGAGACAAACACCCCAGGCGCGGCACAAATGGTTGGCCAAATCTAGCATTTGTATGGCTACTGGATTCGCATGTCTTACAAGTGGTGGGGATAATTAGACTCAATCCTGCGTCGCTCAGGTGCATACTTAATGAACTGATACAGGACGATGAAGTCGAGGAATATGGTGCCCACACTGCCCATGATCCAACTCATATTTTCAACCAAGTAGGGCCAAGACATATCCTTAAGCAGTATAGAGAGGACATAAGTTGCATTACCAGCCAAAGCAAAGATAAAGAGAGCCAGACTTAGGCCTGCACACTTCGTGTGACGGTTTTTGAAAATTTGGGGAATACGCGAAGTCAAATACAGAACAGCGCTCAGCCACCCCAGAAGCTGAGCATCCCAACGCAGATGCCAGACTTGCTGCGTGGAATTTTTAAAAGTCCATAGCATTTTGGCGGCAGAGATCGATGTCGTATAGGTATCAGCAGCAAAGTAGGCGACAACGCCAACAATGATAACAAACAGCGTTGTGAAAACATACTTGATAAAGGCGACTTGGTGAGGTGTCAAGTAGTCTAGTAAATCCTCAAACTTTTCCGCAAGACGGACAGGTATGTGCGATATGATATACACAGAAGAAGTCTGGTTGCTTACAAGAGGCGTGCTCTCTGTCACAGCCTCTGAATTTTCCTGAACGAGCGGCTGTCCATCCTTGTAATACTTCCCGTAATACCACCATTGCCAAATCAATACTAAGTCACAGATACAATAGTAAAGAGCTAAATTGATCAAAATGTTAAGCATCGAAAACGTACCATTGTAAGCAACACCCCTTGAAGTAATCCGCCAAGAAGGTTAAACGCATCACCACCAAGCCAGATGAGGATGAACCAAATCGACAGACCCTCAGTCGATTTTAGAGCATAATTTTCTTGGATTTGACTGAACACAGGAAACGCCTAGGCAAAAAACAAGCAAATCCAAGAAGGAGCATAATTTCAATACAGAAAGCGGCTGGTGTTAGCAGTCCATTCTATCCCAAGCACTCACGGTGAGTAGACAATTACCCAGCATGCAATTCTGAATCGGCCAAAAATAATTATTCGAGTTAATCCATGTCCCAAACCATTTAGACTGTACGTACGAAACCCTAGCAATGTAAGTCATTTCTATAAAATCAAACTTACCATCCCATCACAAAAGACCAACGGTCCGACACTGTGATGGCGCCACCAGCCGCCTGCATAGCTTCATCCATATTCAGCTACCGTTAAGATCTTCGATCTCAAATTCAATATTTCAGAAGGCCAGATACTTTACTAATCCAAACAAAACAAGAAGATTGTCACGTGATATATCAGATGGTGGCAGCCAAGCCTTCCCCTTTGGTAGGAGAGTGCACTTTTTATTCGGTCCTGAATCAGGACGACAATTTATTGAGCAGCTCGATACCTCGATAAAACATTACGTAGCGATTCGTCATGATACCACCCAGGGCAACAACATCGTTGTAAATATAGATTTCAAGGGCAGTGTCGATAAATCATGATAATTTCTATTGGTCCAACAGTACCAATCCACGTGCGACGTTCTATAGACAGCGACATTTTGACCAACTCTCCACAAGATTGGGTGCCGAGAGTTCGCATTTGACGTACCAGTGTTGGGCACAAATTTGCCAAGTCCGATCCGAACTACCAACTTTGCGGCTCTCTCACAATCCTTGAACTCTGTGTTTAGAGGAAGATTCATCAAAGCTGTACTAAATTCGAATCTTCCTTTTTGCGGCCATCCTGCTTTTTTATTTCTTTTATTTTTTTCTTTTCTCGGATACCTTCCAATTCGTTTCATCTCGAAGGGCCCTTTCGCTTATTTTCTGTGCCCAGTATGGTTGAGGAAACTGATAGAGTCGGGACTTTCTTCCCAACATCTCGATATGTTTTGGCTCGCTCAGGCTCCAACTCACAGGAGGGTATCGAAAATAACCAAAAGCCGTTGCCAACCTCGCCGAGCACGCTATCGTTGGCAGAGCTAACTACGTCACCACCAAGTAAGCGACAGGGCCTTCGTTTACTACCATTTGACGCACTTATGAATCCTCGCTCTTGTCGGCGCTCTTCCGGAGCCTCATATTGTCGATCGCCGGAGCAATTAGTCCCTTTGCACTCGCCTCGTGAGGATCGAACGCACTCAGACGGTCGACATTCAGATGGTTCCTCCGTCCCATCTACTCTTGTCTCAACCAGTGAGCAGCATCCTGTGCGACGGAGATTCCAACCCTATCCGTCACTTTCCAAAAATGATAGGTATGATCTGGGACGTTTGGATTTTGCCACCATTACCTCTTGCACACGGGATACTCGCTCGCCTCGATCGCCTCATCCAGAATATGGAATGAAACCCCATTCACCTGATTTTTCTTACTTCTCGCCCCATGCACCGATTGTGGGACATCAGCGGGTCATGCCCCCGTCTGTGCTGACCTTCCGCGATGCATCACTGCGGCCCTATCTACGCCGCGCTGAGTCAGCGCCGCAATCGCGACCTGCGACGGTACTGCGTACCTACTCTGACAAAGTACTCTCAACGAACACGTCGTTCGCGAAGTCGCCACTGTCGTCTTGCTATGGCGCACAGACTCCTTTTAGGTCTTCTCTCCCAGATCATGATGGCTTTAACGACTACTCGAGTGGATCTCAAAGCAAACAGATATCTCTTTTACCAGACTCTGATTCTATGGTTTGGTCAAAACATCCGAAACAGGTTACGACCAGTATTAAGATGGATAAGTCTAATGGAAAGACTGGGAGAGCTGGCCGCCCATCGAATCGGTCGCGAAACTATGGGAACGTATGCCAGTCTTGTAACGCCACCACTACGCCGGAGTGGCGGAAAGGCCCAACTGGGCCACGAAGCCTATGTAATGCATGCGGGCTTCTGTATGCAAAAATGTGTCGAAAGAATGAGAACGATGCTGTTCTTGTGGCCCAATCAAAACATGAGGATACAGCTCAAGCCCGACAAGCCGCTATCGACGAATTATCGAAGCCTGAAAAACAACAACAGTTTCTTGAAGCGCTTCGTGCTGGCGTGCGTGCCGCTGCTCACTCAAAGAATCGTGCCCAGACAGGCTCAACACTGGAGGCTGGTACTCCTGTGAGCTCCAGTGCGGCTTGATTTTAGTCCTTTCTTACGAATCTTTGTTATGTATGGCTGTTGAATATCTTATATAAATTTGTGCACTTAGCTTTCTTGATTAGCCTATGTTTGACTCTATATCGGACATCCAGGTATTGGATGATCACGTTTAAAGGCAGCAGGCATTATTGAAGCGAAGGGAACGTGGGAAGCGCAATCGGCAATCGACGAACCCCGGCAGTGACACGCTTGAGCAGGTAAAATGTCGAGTAATGGAATTTGGGTGTACCGGTCTTGGTTTTGCTCCAAAAGCCATAGCTAAACAGGACAAAGAAACAGTACTTCAGGCGAAGCGGGCGGAAGCATAGGAATGACATGAACCAAAGGCACAGTTCCATGTATGTGAAGAAATCCAGTTGTCCTCCCGGCGCATGCTCCTTAATAAAATGAATACAATCGACCCAAAGACGCATATCACGGGGCTTTGGACGCGTGGCTTTGTCAAGTAGAAATAGGCTCAAAATACGCGCATAAATGCCGATGTGAATATGTCCAACAGTACCAACAGCATTGTGAAACGTGGAGTTAGTGCACAAAACGCTCCAGTCAACGACCGGGAAAACTTGCAGATACATGTTCGGAGCTTGGTACTTGTCTGGGAAAAGATCTTCGGGCAAGAAGTCGAAGGAAGGCCGCTCAAAGCCAGCAGCCAGTACAATCACGTCGGCACGGCTGAATGTCTTCTCACCTTCTTCTCCTTTCTTTTGAAAGCGAGTGCGTGCATTCCATTCAATACCATCTTCCTTGAGATCAATGACATCTCCACGTTGATAATCAGCGTGGCCTTCGCGCACATGCGTCAAAAAAGTGTTATTCACAATTGGCGTGCCAGTGAAGAATCCAGCCGTGGGGCACATTTTCTCTGCAAGATCACGGTAATGGAACTTCTTAAGCAGATATTCTGGAATGAACGAAAGCGGCATTTCACGTCCGAATGGTTGCAGGGACAGCAAGCAATCCACAACCATATTGCGTGGAATAATCCATTTGTCGCTGCGAGCAATAATAGTTGGCTTGGAGGCCCCAAGAGAATAGGCTGTTTCGGCGGCCTCAACTCCACTGGCGCCGCCACCAATGATTAATACTCTCTTGTCCTTGAAGTCAACCGAATCAAGCTGGCTGGAATGCACAATCTTGCCCTTGAACTTTTCTTGACCCGGAAGTTTGATCCACTTCGGTTTACCGCAGGTACCAATGGTAACGACAAGTCCGTCAAACACTTCAGACTGGTTGCCATTGATGACCCAACGAGTGTGACCCTTTCCGTCATCAAGAGGGGTTGAAGACGAATGTCGCTCCACCTTTGTCACCGGCGTGTTGAAACGAGTCCGCTCCTTTAGTCCATAACTAGTCCAAATACGACGGATGTTGCTGAGAATTTCGTCGCGATGGGGGTAAAAACCCTTCCATAGAACCAGTGGATGGAACCGATACATAATTGAGTTAATCTGTAATCCACTAGTTGAATTGACATTCGACCAGATGCCACCAGTTTCAGATTCAGCCTCAAAGATAGTAACATCAAATCCGTGTGAAATCAGTTGAGATGCCGTCGAGATACCAGTGAGACCAGCGCCAATCACAGCAACATGGCCAAATTTAACGTCGTTGGTCTTAGGTGGAATCGGACTAAACAGGCATGACACGATGCACTGAACCCACTCGTACAGATAAATTATAATAGCAGCAAAGAATCTCCATACACATTGGCAACCCATGTTGGAGAGGTTTCCAGGAAGGGCTTGATGGTCGGTAGTGGCGATTTAAGTTGCTAGCCCGCTGCATCCGGGAGATGCATGCGTTATCCGAATCGAGTATATTAGTCAGCATTCGTGCATGGGCCAACATGAAGGGAATGAATCCTGCTACACACTTCAGCCACAATCATGTTCATTCGATACTTGAGCAGTACTATTTCCCAGCAGATTGATAAGGAGCTCATGTCTTCAAACGGTGGGTTCAGTATAGACCAACTCATGGAACTTGCTGGTTTTTCTTGTGCGGAGGCTGTGTATCGTAGCTATCCCCCGCTTCAAGGCCATCGACGCGTGCTTATTGCTTGCGGCCCTGGAAACCAGGGTGGTGATGGCTTGGTTGCAGCAAGACATCTCAAACATTTTGGCTATCATCCTTTGGTCTGGTATCCAAAGCCTAAAGAAACTCCCCTTTTCCAAGGACTTCACCAGCAGCTCAAAAACTTGAACGTGGAATTCGTTACTCATGACAATTTCACATTGGAAACCTTAAATGCATCTGATATTGTTCTTGACGCTATATTCGGCTTTTCATTTAAGGGTGAGCCAAGGGAGCCGTTCAAGTCAGCGCTTGAGAATATGATTTCAGCTCAGCAAGGCGACCGACCTGTGCCTATTATATCTGTGGATATACCTTCTTCATGGAACGTTGATCTAGGGCCTGATACGTCCGATATTGCCCGAAAATTCATGCCAAATTCACTCGTATCTTTGACTGCCCCTAAGTTGGGGTCGAGATTTTTCAATGGTCAACATTGGTTGGGAGGTCGTTTTGTTGATCCTGTACTTGATGCGAAATTTGATCTTCGTTTACCGGCTTACCCTGGAGTGTCACAAATTGTAGACATTACTGAGGCTCGCCCTTTATACCAGTAGTTCATATTCTAAGGACTACCAGCTCCTATTTGGGTGGGGTAGGTAATGGCCTATATTGTCGAGACGATGTAGGTCGTGATAAAGTGTTTTCCGTTGGTGGCACATAAACGTATTCGTTAACCACATCAAGTTCTGAGCCCGCTGATGGCAATGAATCTTTTGATAAAGAAGCATCATCCGTCAGAATAGAATCGAGAGGCGGTAAATATTGTTTTGGAAGCAGCGATTCAGCCGCAGAATCGTTTGTACTTGCGTCAGGCGGGATTAAACCAGAACACGAAGGATCAGATACGTGGTTCTTTTCTGTACTGTCACAGTATAAGCAGTCCGCATTCTGGTTATTAAGAAACACTTTTTGGTCCATATCATTCGAGTTTAGAGAAGGGTAAAGAGATTCCATTTCAATGGCTTCGTCGAGTGAATGACGAGAAATGTCACAATTGAGGACAGAGTCATCGTCCATAGTATTTGCATCAGTAGAGACGGTGGCAGAAAGCGGGAGAAGGGTACTGTGTGGAATAGAAAGGAGATCTTCGGTGGTATATTTACTAGAGATAACAGGCCCTTGGTATAGTTGCCCTACCAGGTCCATGTATTGGGCACGGACAATGGGACGGGATAATGGTTGGTGAAGAAAAGGGTTACCGAACTGTCGCTCTAGTCTTTGATGGTCAGAATGGCTCACAATTTTTTGCATCTTATCGATACTGATTGCAGCAGGAGTGTACCAGCGAAAATTTGGTTCTAGTTTAAAGTGACAAAACAGAGCAAAAGCCACGACGAATAGAACCGGTGGAATACATGTAATGGCTTTTATCCAATTTTGCAAAAGGCCGACAACTAACGCAAGAATAATTTGCATACATGCAACTAGAGTCAAGAGACATTTCACGACCACACTCCATAGACGACCACCTGTCTCACTTTTTGTGAAACATACGTAGTACAATTGGTTCTTGTAAACAATTAGAGCCAGTATAAATACACCCGCACTGAAAGCCGTGACAATTGGAGCCAATGGGGCATAGATTAATCCCACTGCTGTCAACAGTAAAAGTTCAGCATAGGCCATCCAGTACGAAAAACTTTGAGGCTTTTTGAACATCCAAATATCTCGAGGCGTATGCGGTAAAATATAGCGATTGAGGAGAAGAAAGACCAACCTTCGTATCTGAGCGAGCTCAAATAGTAATAAGTAACCCCTTAGTACTATCCATGTCATCCAGTATGATGACAGGAGCTGGAATCGATGAGTAATTGCAGCCAAGATACCCGTAATAATATCGGCTACAGCCTCAGTGGCAGCTTGATTGTTATCAATAGCTGACTTGATCATCAAAGCAAGATCAAGAAACACACTGATTAAAGAGAAGAGAACAAATTGGGTTAATACAAGAAATATAAAGTACTGGGTAGTTAGGTGCAGATCACGAGATTGTCTTGTTCGAACGCCACGATAAATGATAATTTTGCGCATAATTTGGGGTAGAATAAGAGAAGCAGTCAATGATATCAAGGGAGGAACAATACCGGTGAGTGCAGCAAAAGATATTGAATGTTGCCAACGATCAATAAAGCTCGAAATAGAAGCAAATGCTTCAAGGTTGGAGACCAACGCCGCAAGTATCAATGGGATTGTATTTAGAAGAAACAATAACAGCAATAGAGCCCTGGCAAACCAGCGAGATTTTTGTCTTTCCAAAGAACTCATGGTTAAATTGGACCAAATGATATCCGATGGCCGGGGAGCAAGTCTTACGGAAAAGTCTTTGGGCTTAAGTTTTGAATAATGGTGAGCAGCAGAGTGTGCAATAAACACATTTGGTAAAGAAGCAAACCCATACGTTTCTGGTAGTGTAACTTCTGATTCACTTCGAGCAGAAATAATTTGATGCTCAAGATTGCGAAGCTCTTTGGTATAGTAATCGATCGCATCAACTCGAGTCCCACTGCATCTATACCATTCCTTATCAGGGGAGATTAGGGGCCGGTTTTGTAAATGGCTCCTTAAAGTTTTGTCGAGAGCCCGTTCAAGCTTGAGTACGATGTCTTTGTGTTGAGACAAGAGCGTAGGCAGATTATTCATACTTAAGCCAAGCTGCACTTCAGAAAACTTGTACAAAGAATTGGCTAACTCAAGGGACTCTCGCAAAGCGGCGTCAGTCACAATGTCGGGCGAAATATCCGTGAGCATAAGAGTTCTGGAAAAATAACTGCCTTGATACTCATTAGAGCCAAAATATTCCTGCCTTAACCGAATGACCTTTTGGTACGAACGGTAGATAAGGCCCAAAATTGCGACAGTTGCTAAATAGCCAAATGTAACATGAGCCCATAAACGTGGACCATCCACGTGTCCAATCGTAGCATACAAAAGTTTGTCATGGGTCTGGGAGCTTCTTCCAGAAGCGCTATTACTTTGTGGAACACTTTCATCAGAAGGGGAAGTGTATGTTGCATCCACAGGGACAAGCACGAGGCACATCGGTATAGCAATAACAGTAAGGGATATTGACATAAGTCGAACAAACTCAAGAAAAACCAAAGCATCTGTACCCGTCATTTTGAGGATGTCGTCGGCTCGCCATTGGTACACATTGCGAATCCAGCCCCAAGGTGTCATTCGAGTCTAGTGTGAGAGGTATATTACGTACCAATGCACCTAAAGCTTGAGGAGCAATCATGCGGGACTTGGGCGCATAGAGAGTCTAGATAGTGAGCATCCACAAACAACATACCCTATTCCAACGTCGACAAGCAAAGAAGACACATATTGTAGCGATACCGGCGACCAGCGCCACAGCTAAGAAGATGCCCACAGAAGAAAGCGACCTGCGCTGGGACTGGTGTTAATCAGTTTAAAACGTACCGAGCTAGTTTCGAATTGTTTTATGATATCTGTGGCACTGTCACGTTTCAACCCGGTGCCCATGGTTCTTGAAACATTCAAGGCAACAATAGTATAGAGCCACAATGGATTTGCTACTATTCATGCATTGCGAACCTCCACAGTGGCAGTGCAACGAGCGATCCATTTATCGCAGGCAACAGTTGCGTACAGATCCATACTTGTGCCCTACTTAGTGCAAACATTTGTGTCTAACGAAAAGCTGCAACGATAAAACAAGGCGACCATCAGGATTCATAATGAAACTCTCAGATCAAAAAGTGTAATTCATAATGAACTGGTAGCTATATTGTAGGCCAAGTCAGAGAGTTTCGACGAAATTTATTCCACATCATCTAGGACATTACAATAGATTCGGTGCATGTGTTAGTGTGTCCGTGAACGCAAAAGATGATGTTATGGTGCACTGTGAAGTCCCTTCGAGTTTCTCCTTTCATAATTTTAAAAATGCCCTTGCGATCTGCCGCGCCTGTTGATCGATGCACGCGTGGAGGAAATTTCAAACGGGACGACCGGTCAGACCTTTTTGTCTTCGCTCGAGGCGCCGCTTGCGCAGTGCTTTGACCTTGTATTGCTCCTTTTGTCACTTGTGCAACTGGTGCTTTTTGTTGGGAGACGGTTTCATTGCCTTTAAATTTGGTAGGGCTCTTAACACAACCAGACGAGGAGTATCATTTCCCACTAGAAGATTTTACCTCGCGTGAGGTATGCCTATTTCTGGCGTTGCTGTCGTGAGCGCATAAGTCAATGTCTGACACTATGCCAACAGATTTGGGACAGGGAACGGTACCAGACAAGCGTACGGCTGCCTTTGAAGATATCTTTGGTCGACGAAGCAGCCAATCACGGACCGGTGGCGCAACGCAATTAACAGCCCAGAGACAGACAAATACCGTGTCGCCATCTAGTACGAATCCCTTCGGAAATGTGCCTCAATACGTACCTAACTCTGGGGCTCCTAATAAGATGCACTCAGCTTCTCTCAATTCGAGAGGATCACATCGTGTCATATCCCAGCCCTCTCTCTCGAACTCATTTCGAATCTTTGAACCTGCCCGGAATAACGGCCAACCACAAAACATGCCGACTTCATTCTGTGCCAATACAGACGGCGTACATCAAGGTACTGTAAAAGCACCATCTTCTGGCGTTTTCCCTCCGCAACCCTCTGTATATCCACCACACTCGATTGAGCGTAGTTCGCATGGTTTAAATATCGCAATGGAAGATATGCATCTCGAGAATCCCCGACTCAAGCACTCAATTCCATTTCATCCAAAAACGAGTCGGAGTCAATCAACTAGCACCTCTTCTGCGATTCAGCAGGCGCTGCATGATCCTATGACAGATATATCGCGCACTGACGGAAACACAAGCATACCATCTACCAGCAGTCTGTCGATGACACCAGGTGCTTCGTCTAGGCAGCCGCCTCCTTTCCATCGTATCTCAATGGATCATGCACCATCCGCTGATGATTCAAGTATCAGCGCCTCTTCATATCAACACGGTATGACACGAAGCTTTGATCCTAATCATGACCTGAGAGCTGTTCAAAGCAATCTTGGTTTGGCCCGTGCCTATTGGTCAAGCGATGGGATGGCTTCTCCGGCCACAAGCACTCAATTAGATGCAACAGGCCATAAGCGAGATTCATCTCATTCAATGGTTGAAAGTACATCACCTCGCTCTAGCATTTATTTGAACCGCAATGATTCAAATGTTTCATTAACGCGGCTTGCGTCAGCTAATACCTTTACGCCTGTTCACTCGATGTCTCGACGTGATCCTCATGTGAATCCAGCTTTATTATCCCAGGTCGCTCAAGCATTTGAAGCGCATATTTTGCCTACTGATCGTTCAAAGAACGAGTTGACTTACACACATGCTTTTGATGGACGTGAAGCCGTGCATGCCTTGATGGATATCTGCAAAATCCAAGATAGGGGCCTGGCATTGTTACTGGGTCGTGCATTGGATGCACAGAAATTCTTTCATGAGGTTACATACGACCATCGTCTACGAGACTCGTCGAATGAGCTTTATCAATTTCGAAACCGTGGTTTTGGCCCCTTGGTTTACGGTACTGATTCTTCAGAGGGTATATCCAGGAATGGCTCAACAGGGTCTTTCAGTATCAACCCTTGGCGAGGATTACATCAACCTAATGACACTGACTTGAATTCGAAGCGAATGATACACTCTGATGTGACACAGGGCGTATCCACCTCTTATCCTACGGGTGTATTCACACCTCTTACAAAATGCTACAGTCCGACATGCTCGCCGGGAAATCAATGCTATTCAAGGTCATGTCCTAGGTATTCGCCACAAGATTCTCTTGCTCTTATGCAATCATTGAGGCATTCTGATAGCAACGAGGGTCTTGTGAACATCAATTCGCATCTCTGGGCCGAGACGGTGTCGAAAGAGGTTTACGAAAGTGTACCTGAACGGGAACGAAAACGCCAGGAGGTGATATTTGAGATTATTGCGACAGAGCGACAATATGTCCAAGACTTGGACTATTTACGCACCATTTGGATTCAGCCATTGAGTACTCAGCACATTATCCCTCCTCCTCGACGGGAAGAGTTTGTAAGCAAAGTATTTTGCAATTTGCTGGATATCCTCGCTATTAACATGCGACTTGCTGAAATGCTCACCCGGCGGCAAAAGCACCATTCTGTTGTGGAATACATTGGTGACATATTTGCGGAAATGGTACAGGAATTTGAGCCGTATGTCAAATATGGTGCGAATCAAGCATCAGCTAGGATTCGAGTTGTATCGGAACGCTCGTCAAATGCCGTTTTTGACATGTTTGTGGCCGATACCGAAAGAAAGGTCATATCTCGCAAGCTGGAACTCAATGGATATTTGACCAAGCCTACGACGCGCCTAGCACGCTACCCTCTGTTGTTTGAGCAGTTGTTAAAGTATACTACAGATGAAAATGTGGACAAAACTGTTCTTCCTAGAGTGATTTCGCACATACAGCGTCTTCTTAATCGAGTCAACGATGCGACGGGTCGAAGTGAAAATCGTATACAAATTGGGTTCTTGAGCAAGCAACTTGTATTTAAACCTCAGGACATGGTGGATCTACGACTAGATGATAATGAGCGTGAACTTGTGTTCAAAAGTTCGCTGAAAAAGCGTGGTACACAAAGTGACAGCTCTGAAATTCAAGTCTATTTGTTTGACCATGCTCTGTTAATGGTGAAAATCAAGATGGTTCATAAAACTGAGGTGTATCGCGTGTACAGGCGACCCATCCCGCTTGAACTTCTTCAAGTCACTATCTATGAAGATGGGAATATACAAAAAGGTCAAAAGCCTAGAGCCATTCATTCGAGCTCTTCCATGGGCCATCGTACATCCATTGGCCCTTCTCCCGGACATCCTATACCTAAGCAAGATGCCAAATCTGGCTATGCGATCACGTTTACATATCTAGGAAAGCAAGGATATTCTTTGACGTTGTGGGCAAGCACTATCAGCGGTCGCGACAAATGGTTCGAACATACTGAAGCGCGGCAAGAGATTGTACGCCAGCAAAGTCGCGTCTTTGACCTGGTTCCTGCATCATCTCTTCTGGTGGATCAGACGAACAACCGAATTGTATGCGCTGTGCCTTTTAATTTTGGTTGTCAGGTATTTTTTGCTAAGGAGGATGGTGTATACCTGTCGGATATGTGTGATCGCAGCCGTGCACCCTCTTTGTTGTTACCCTTGATCGGTATCACACAAATTGACCTGCTTGAGGACTATCAGATCTTGCTTGTGCTGGCAGAACAAGTGCTCTATACTTTTACTTTGGATACGCTCGATACGATGGATCCAGTTGGCTCTCTACGCCGTGGTCGACGCATTGCTTCCCACACGTCCTTTTTCAAAGCAGGTATTTGCATGGGAAGAACGCTTGTCTGTGTGGTGAAATCTGGTTCTCTCTCTTCTACGATTAAAACACTGGAACCTATTGAGTACAACCCGCGTGGAAAAAAACAGCAAACTCTTCGCAGATTCCGTCCAGGTGGTCAGGAGACGTTGCGTGTATTCAAAGAGTTTTATATTCCGACGGAATCTAGCTCCGTTCATTTCTTTAAGTCAAAGCTTTGTGTGGGCACGCCGAAAGGCTTTGAAATTGTGGACTTGGAAACTTTGGACACTCAGGGATTATTGGACCCTGCTGATATTTCCCTGGACTTCGTGCAACGTCGTGAAAACCTCAAGCCTATCGCGATTTTCCGTGTAGATGGTGAGTTTTTGCTTTGCTACAATGATTTTGCCTTCTATGTGAATAAGAATGGTTGGCGTGCACGAAGTGACTGGATCATCAACTGGGAAGGCAATCCTAATGCATTCGCAATGCACTATCCTTATGTCCTCGCATTTGAGCCGACTTTCATTGAAGTGCGTCATGTTGAAACAGGAGCATTGCATCAGGTTATCACAGGCTACAACTTACGTTGCCTCTTTGCTGACACTCTCCCTTCACGTTGGCATGGATCGCGTGTCCAAAAATTGGCACATGCTAGTCCGTTGCGTAATGCCTTGTCGAACGTGGCGTATGCAGAGTCTTTCCATGACGGTCCTACAAGTCCATCGTTCTCTGAGACAAACACAGTGACCAGTCCGATGTCTAGTTTGTTCTCTGCTCAGCGCCGAAACCCTGCTTGGGGCTCCGTGGCAGCTGCCAGTCCTACAATTTCGACGGGTATTGTGAGTCCAGGTTTGACCGGCACCAGTCCATCTACGAGTGGTAATCCCCATTTAATGGGCATTAGCACACCCTCTCCACCCTCTGTCGTCATGTCGCCTAATGCACCTTCACTAGACTCAGTTGCCCAGAGTCGAGGCATGATATTGTTTGTGGGCGATGCCACTCCATATATCATTCGCATGCATACCAGTCCTGTGTAAAATCCTCTATGGTACTTTAGCCTACGAATGCTCTTAATATGAACAAATAAATTAGTGCGATACCATATTCAATTTTTGACGCGTAACTTTAATAGCACTCGCATTCAGAGTCGCTGATGGCTGCGTGCATCGAACCTAGGCTTCACGAGGGGTCTGTCACGTGATAGTAAGAAATTTTATGCCACCTCGATCTAGTGTCGTGCTCCTGCGAGCTGCAATATGGGACGCCGTGCAAAGAACAAGCAACCCGCACCCCAGCCTCTACCGGAGATTCGGGATCCACCGAAGAAGGCTAATGCCAGTGATTTTTCTTCCAAGTCGCAGAAAGAAGACGCTGCTCATGCGAAAGCAATAGCAACGAAGAGCAAGCACCTGCCTCTAAAGGGGAAGAGTACACCCATACTCAAGGTCAGCCATAAGAGTCAAGACCGCAACCCTACAAAGAAGTATAAAACTTCACATAACTCCAAGGATGACATTGTTTCAAAACACAAGAAGAAACTAGATATGAGTGAGGATGAGGAGGAAGAGGGACTTGATGATGACGAGGCTTACGAGAACTTTGAAGGCGATAATGATCATGCCGAGGCCGTTGCAGACGATAATCAAGATGTTGAAGGTATTAAAAAGTATGGTATGGAGTCTTCTGATGAAGAAACTGGTGAACCTTCACAATCATTGTCTGAAGCTAGCATTCTCGCATCGCTAGGCTTGCCTAAGGATGGAAAGTTAAGTGCACGTCAGAAGAAAAAGGCACTTGCTGAAGCTGAGCGCCTTGAGCTTCTTCTGAAAAGCCATGGATATTCTCTTGATGATGAGGGGCAAGATCCCGGCGACGCCAATGATCAGGATGAATCTGGTGATGAACAACTTGATGATTTACCAGAGGAAGATGAAGAAGGCGATATCGAGTTGGATGACCAATTTGATGGTACTGAAGGGGACCTGCAGGATGAATTTACTGGAGATGAAGACGAGGAGGAACTAGATGATGTGCCTGAGGAGGATGAAGACCTCACCTTCGATAATGATAAGGAGGAGGAAGATGAGCGTGAAGATGAATCAGCTGAGGTTGGGCTAACTTCAGATGGAGACGGCGAAAACACGAGTGGCTTTCTCCTTCCTACTCTGGAAGAAGAGGAGCAGGAGCAGCGAGCTCCATTAGACCTCCAGTTCGTCCAGATGAGGATTCAGGAGGTGGTTTCGATTCTAGGAAACCTCGCCCACTTAGGAGAGCCTGGACGCTCGCGCGCTGACTATATGGATCGTCTTGCGAAGGACGTGCAGACATACTATGGCTATAATGAATTTTTGACCAATATGTTTTTGGAACTATTTTCGCCGGAGGAAGCCATTGCTTTCTTCGAAGCGAATGAAGTGCCTCGACCTGTGACAATCCGTGCCAATACTCTTCGTACACGTCGTCGAGACCTTGCCCAGAAACTGATCAATCGTGGAGTAAGTTTAGAACCTGTCGGTGCTTGGAGCAAAGTGGGACTGCAGGTCTTTGAGAGCTCGGTGCCAATTGGTGCTACACCGGAGTATCTGGTGGGTGACTACATGTTGCAAGCTGTATCTTCCTTTTTGCCTTGTATTGCGTTGGCTCCGCAGCCTAATGAACGCGTATTGGATATGGCTAGCGCCCCGGGCGGTAAGGTCACTTACCTTTCCGCCTTAATGCAGAACACTGGGTGTATATTTGCCAATGACAGCAACAAGGCACGCATCAAGAGTCTTACTGCCAACATTCATCGTATGGGGTGCCGAAATGTGGTCGTATGCAACTACGACGGTCGCCAATTCCCCAAGGTGATAGGTGGGTTCGACCGCGTCATGCTCGATTCTCCCTGCTCGGGTACAGGTGTCGTAAGTAAGGATCCCAGCGTGAAAACAAACAAGTCAAAGCGCGACTTTATATTGCTTTCTCAGCTACAAAAACAGCTTATTTTATGTGCTATTGACAGTGTCAACCCTAAGTCGGAGACGGGTGGCTATGTCGTGTACAGTACTTGCTCGGTAACCGTCGAAGAGAACGAGGAAGTCGTGGAATACGCACTGCGAAAACGACCAAATGTGCGTATCGTTCCTACTGGCATCGACTTTGGCCGCGACGGATTCAAGACGTTCCGTGGCAAGAAGTTTGACGAGCTCATGCCACTTTGCCGTCGCATCTTCCCCCATGTCCACAATATGGATGGCTTTTTCGTGTGCAAATTGAAGGTAGAGCCTATCAACAAGGGTGAGAAACGTCGTCAAGAGGCAGAAGCGGTGGAAATTGATAAAGCAGCGGAGCAATCAGCGCACGCTTCGTCAACATTGTCTTCTAAGGACACAAACAGAATGGAAGATGAGACGTCATTATTCAACGACGAAGAGGATTCAGCCATCATTGAGCGCTCTCGTGCTCGCATGGCGAAGAAGAGGCGTATGTAACTATGTAGAACATTACCAGCCAGTATCGAAGCGCTGGATTACACGGCTTGTGTCTTCCGCATCCATCTGTGCTCGCTTGCGCCTGAAGAAGATTGGGCAATCTTGATTCGAGCACAGCACATCGTGCGCAAGGGACCCTTGGCAACGCTGACAACATGTCCATAGGCGACTGAACTCGACCTCGACCTCAGAAGCTCTGGCGAGCTTCTCAAAGTAGATATCCATCTCTTTGGATTTACAATTAGGGCATACGGCAGCATTTTGGTCTTTCAGAGGAGTGCGACAGCCCAAACATAGTACTTTTTTGACAGCAAATTTCATCAAAGCGCCCACATTGGATGTCGCAACTTGAAGCACTCGCGTATGTTCACCACTCACTAGGGTTAGCTTCGGAGACGTACGCAAACTACTAGCGCGTGTGCCTAGAATTGGCTCGAAAATGCGCATCAATGGCTTAGAAAGCTGGTTTTCGAGATAATAGCGCGTATCGATAGGAATATTGTGCTCCAAGGCATACAGGGGATCCTCCGATTTTTCATAGGCGGCACTACCTGACGGTGAGAGTAGTCAACATACCTTTGCTGCCTTTCACAATCACATAGGCGACACGGTCTCCTAGAGCAGGAGCTGATCCGGCATCACGCTTGCGCATGCGCTCAGCAAGCTCGACATGGGCCTGTTTCGCAGCATAGTCCGCTTTGGCGAGGGCCTTGGAAATCACGAGCTGAGACATGTCGATCTTGTTCTGTAGGAGATCTGCAATGACTTGTTTGGTATATTCCTCTGCACCCTTGACATCTCGGTCGATGAGCATCTTGCGGAGACAAGTCTCAATCACGGTACGTACGAGGCGACAGTTGTCGCGACGCACTGTTTCAATGCCTTTGGTATCCATTTTGTCGTATCGGTCCGGATGAGTCCAGTAGAGCCCTGCATAGCGCTTTTTGTTGATAAGAAGATACGGGTAGTAAACCTTCTCGAACTCCAGACGAATTGGGCGAATAAAGGCTTTGGATACAAGCTCAGCTGCCTCCGCGCCCATTTCCATAGCTTTGCTGAGTTCGGAAACGCCAAACTTGACCATGACAGAGTCAGTATCACCATATATAACGACAGCGTCATGCTCATACCCGTTCTTGGTCGTATAATGTTCCTCTACACGGCGCTTTGTCTCCTCAATCATCTGACGACCGTAGGCGGTGACGCTCATGGAAATCTCAAGGCAAGGGAGACGCCCCACAGTTGCACCAGTGAAACCATAGACAGAGTTGGCGCTCACCTTTAGCGCAAGCTGCCGACCGTCAAGGACGGCGCGCCGTAGAGGATCTGTTTCTTTTTTCAAATCTGCCTTGGCCGCCTTACGAGCAGCCAGCAAATTCTCAAGTACCTCCGGTAGAAGACCTTTGCGCAAAGACGACTTCACAAAGCAGTTATTGTTGGGGGTTACAACATAGTCCTTGTCTTGAACGAGTTGCAAGCGGTCAATAGTGCGCTTGTCAAGCAACGTCGTGTAGCACAGATTATGAGCCATCATAATGGATGGATACAGTGACGCAAAGTCTAACGTAGCGATGGGCTTGTCATAATAACCTTGCTTAGGGTCGAGTACTGTAGCACCTTCATACTGCTCGTCACCGCCATCTCCTTTGTACGCAGGAATAAGGTAGCCATCATCGCGAGCTTTCCGAAATAACTGCGAAATCACTTTGATTTGTTGTCCACGGCTGAGCAGGTAATTGAATGGTACACCTGTAACACGTGCCATTTCAGTATAATTAATCAGGCACATGAGTTTATCCATGAGACGCTGGGGAAGGTAGGCATCCTGTCGTTAGATGAGAGCCACGTACCTTTAAGCAGTATATGGCTAGACGGCGTCGAGACTCTGGCCCTGAATTTTGGAGCTCAGTAATGAGCGAATGGTGAACATCCTCCTTTTGTTCCTCTGATGGTTAGCAAATAATACGCACTGAGGAACTCAAACGACACTGAATTAAGAGAATAGCTACGCAGCTTGTAGTCTCGTTGCATGACTTGAAGCATATCTAGTTGAATTCGACCTTGCAGCTCCGTATGTTTGGAATCGCGAGTGCCGTATGCTTTTGACGAGAAGTGGGTGTCCTTGGCCTCAGTCCGAGCGTCTGATGTTAGCAGTTGCAACGCACTCTTCTCACGACCAAGAAATGGAAAGTTAGTCACTTTGAGCGATTTGGCACGATCCAGGAGGTAAGGAAAATCAAAGTTGGAGATGTTGTAACCGATGACCACATCTGGATCCACGCGTTGCACAAAGTCGGCCCAAGCCTCAAGTAAATCTTTCTCGTTATCAAATGACATGACATGACAACCAACGATGTGAGAGCAAGAACCAAGAGTGAAGATGTTTTTCACGAAAGGTGATGACTCCCCTTGTCTTGTGACCATGTTGGCGATTTGAATCACAGGATCAACAGAGGGGTCAGGAAAAACGCCCTTTCGACCGGCGCATTCGATATCGAAACTAAGGGTTCGAAGAGGCGCCATTTTTAACCATTCGCCGTGAGGTGCATGAGAAAGTACCGCATCAGGTCTCCCGTTAGTGCAATAAATATACGCACTGGCAGTCCACCTCAATCTGGCATCGCGAAATGCAGGTATTAGGCGAACGAATTGAGTAACGACCGGCTTTGATTTCAACCCAGTTCATACCAACAATGTTTAGATCAATCATGAATCGCAGAGTGTATGCGACGTTATCAAAAGACTCAGATGGCTCTCCAGAGACAAATAAATCCCTAAACCCGATTTCTCCTCGTTCAAACGAGCGTGTCTGGTCAGTAGTTTGCATACGTATCTCTAATACGGGGAAGGTAGCGTAAATCTGCGACAGTAATTTTGATGAATGCAATATTCTCTGGTCCGGTATATTGCATCAAATTCTTTTTGCTTTCCAGAGAGATATCAAATACGGATCCGGCACCAAAAGTGGTCTGCGTAAATCGACAGGAAACGTACATTTAGGTAGTTTTTAAAATCGCCGCAGGTTGCTTGGGTAAATCCACGGGGAGCATGAACAAAAAAGTATGGCAAGAATCCATGCACATGAACTAGGACTGGGTTTCCCTCCTTTCGGGTCAATTCGCTTTAGAAACTCACCATCGTAGAGCCATACATCCTGATAGCTGGTGGTGCATGAGGAAGTTGACATTCTTCCACATCAATTTGCTGGAACACTGGCATTAGTTTCATTCTCATACCAATAGAGTCATTATTCGGATCAATACATGAAAGCTCAGGTCGTGCCCAGGTGGTGGTAGGGTCAACTGTCATAAGAGTGAAACAGACATACTGATTTCATGTTCTTTGGCAGTGTGCAAGCTCGCAAGCGTGTCACTGAATGATCCAGTTTGCTTCTCAGTTTTTCGCTTCTTGTTTGAGCTAAAAGTGAGCAAAATTTGACCCTACCTAACATCCACCATCGCGTCCGTGACGGGTTGCGGTGCCGACGCGTCGCGAACGTGCGCGTCGAAGTGGATGCGCATGCCACGTGGCGTGATCGAAAGGCCACGCCACGAAGATCGATGGCCATCTTAATACTCTCCACGTACAACGGAGGACAAGCTTCGATGATACGTACGAGGCAATCCCTCCAGCGCCTTTGGAGAGTATCTTCGAGGCCCTGGAAGGCTTATAGATATTCAAGCGCTATTGAATGGCACGCAAGAGTGGACGATTCTCGTGTGGCGTCAGTCATAACGCCAGCTGCCCACATCCATACGAGTGGCACATGTTTGCTTCCCCGCAACAAGGGTGGCTCGAATCGTGGACTGATAGGACCTGAAGATGATCCTGAATCCAAACAAAAGAGAATAAATTCTCCGAGTACGACATGCTCTGAGCGTGACATGGTGAACAAATCTGATTCTGCCCAGAAATGCATTGATGAACAGGCTCCTTCGGACGATAATCAAGGTCATGAGAATAGGAGCGCCAATGGCGGGAGCTCAAGTGGTTCCGAAGGTGACAATGGAAATGATGGGGACGGCAAGAAAGGTGACAAGCCCTCCATGATGGTTTCTCGGAACACCGTTCCCACAGTATATCCTCAGGTCTTGGCTCTTCCCATTACGCGCCGACCCCTTTTCCCTGGCTTTTATAAGGCCGTTGTTATTAAAAACTCCCAAGTGTGTGCTGCAATTAAGGAGGCGATGGAGCGTGGACAGCCCTATGTTGGCGCATTTCTGCTCAAGGATGAAGAAGAAGATTCAGATGTCATTGCCAATTTGGACCGTGTGCATCGTGTTGGAGTCTTTGCGCAAATCACTAGTATTTTTCCGACAAATACAAGTGGTAAAGCTGATGCTTCAGAGGATGGTATCACAGCTGTTCTGTATCCTCATCGTCGGATTGTGATTGACGAATTGATAACGCCAGTGCAAAAGGGAGATGAAAATGAGCCGATTCCAGAATCTTTGAGCTCTGTTGATGCAGAAAAATCCAACAAAGAGCTCGACACTATGCGGAATAGCGAATCAAGTCCAACAGAGTCGAAAGTCGACTCTCAAGTGAATGAAAAAACTTTAGATCAAGTGAATACTGGCGAGGATCTTCCATCGCATACACCACCGTATCAAACTGCATTTTTACACCGGTATGGGGTGTCTTTGGTCAATGTTACAAATCTTGAAATGGAACCGTACGATCGAAAGCCCAACCAATACATCCGCGCTGTCATGTCAGAGTTGATCTCAGTCTTTAAAGACATTGCAAACTTGAATCCGCTATTCCGTGACCAGATTGCCAACTTTAGCATCTCTCAGGGTGCTGGTAATGTATTTGAGGAGCCTGAGAAGCTGGCAGATTTTGCCGCTGCTGTCTCCAGCAGTGAAGTTGATGAGCTGCAAGGTGTACTCGAGTCGATGAATGTGGAGGATCGTTTGCAAAAAGCGCTTCTTGTCCTTAAAAAAGAGCTGGTTAATGCTCAGCTCCAGAGCAAGATTAGCAAAGATGTGGAAAATAAGATTCAAAAGAGACAACGAGAGTACTACTTGATGGAGCAGCTGAAGGGTATTAAACGCGAGCTTGGGATTGAATCTGATGGAAAGGACAAATTGATTGAAAAGTTCAAAGAAAAGGCGGCCAAACTCAACATGCCGGAGGCCGTCCGAAAGGTTTTCGATGAAGAACTTGCCAAACTTCAATCCCTTGAACAAGCTGCCAGTGAATTTAACGTAACTCGAGGATACCTCGAATGGATTACAAGTATTCCCTGGGGTGTACACTCCCGGGATAACTATGCCATCAAACGTGCTGCTGAGGTGCTAGATCATGACCATTTTGGTTTGAAGGATGTCAAAGATCGTATTTTGGAATTTCTGGCAGTTGGAAAGCTGCGTGGTACTGTTGAAGGAAAAATTATCTGCCTGGTTGGACCACCCGGTGTCGGCAAGACGTCTATTGGCAAGTCAATTTCGAAGGCTCTTGGGCGTGAGTTCTATCGCTTTAGCGTCGGTGGACTAAGTGACGTGGCTGAAATTAAAGGTCACCGTCGAACCTATGTGGGTGCTATGCCCGGTAAGGCAATTCAAGCCCTGAAAAAGGTTGGGACGGAGAATCCATTGATTCTTATCGACGAGGTCGATAAATTAGCCCGAGGCTACAATGGAGATCCCTCGTCCGCCCTGCTTGAGATGTTGGATCCAGAACAGAATGCCTCCTTCATGGACCACTATTTGGATGTTCCTGTGGATCTGTCTCGGGTTCTTTTTGTCTGTACAGCCAATACACTGAGTACAATACCTCAGCCCCTCATGGACCGGATGGAAGTGATTGAAGTTTCTTCATATACTGCGGAGGAAAAGCGGCATATAGCCCGTGGTTATCTTGCGCCTCAAGCCAAAGAAGCTTCTGGGTTAAAAGATGCGAAAGTCATTCTTCCAGATGAATCAATCGACTTTCTGATCAAGCGCTATGCGCGTGAGAGTGGCGTGCGCAGCCTACGCAAGCTTCTGGAGAAGGTCTACCGCAAGGTAGCCTACGATATTGTTAAGGAGCATGGTGAGGAAGTATTTCCTGAGCCAGAACCTTCCAAATGTACCGATACCGACAAGGAAACAGCAATCACAACTGAGCCTCGTGAGCCCATGAATATCCCGCCCACTGTATCCTTGGTGATTTCTGAAGACAAGCTTCGTGAGTATCTTGGTCCTCCTCTATACCACAAGGACCGTCTATACACTCAAACGATGCCAGCGGGAGTTGCTCTTGGCCTTGGTTATCTCGGCAATGGCTCTGGCTCATTGATGCCTATTGAGACGACCTTGATGCCCGGTAAAGGACACTTGCAGCTTACAGGAAAGCTCGGTGATGTTATCAAAGAAAGTGCTACAATTGCTTTGTCATGGGCCAAAACGCATGCGTACGAGCTGGGCATGACCAAAGAACAAGATACTTCACTCCTGGATCATCGTGATGTTCATCTTCATATGCCAGAGGGTGCCATTGGCAAAGACGGACCATCAGCAGGTGTAGCGTTCGCTGTAAGCCTGATTAGCCTTTTGCTGAACCGTCCATTGCCTACCACACTTGCTATGACGGGCGAAGTATCTCTTCGAGGCATGGTGCTACCAGTGGGTGGATTAAAGGAGAAGTTGCTTGCGGCCCATCGTGCAGGTGTCACTACTCTGATTCTACCTGCTCAGAACCGCCCCAGCGTCGAAGCAGATGTGCCAAAGACGGTCTTGAATGACTTGCATGTGCATTATGTAACGAATGTTTGGGCGGCCCTTGAAATCGCTTTTGGACCTGGTCCCTGGAGCGAGCAGGCGCGCGTGTGGAATGCGAATGAGTCGCCCGAAGCAGCTAGCCAATAGCATTGTGTCTTATAAGCCAGACCAGACCACTTGCGGCAAATATATTTGGCAAGCTTGCATGAAATTAGACTAGTCTCCTAGGCGCGACCTACACTGATGTCGTTTTATGGTAGTAGTGCCATGGATGATGATAATATAAATCATCGGGGTCGCAGGCTCAATATTAGTTCTTTTGGTCGTCTAGGGCGTCGGCGTAGCGCCTCATTGAGACGTATCGCCAACGAAGAAGAGTCGGAAACGACTACCGTCAACAATGCGACAACTGCGACGGGCGCCCAGTCGAGTCAAGTACCAAATGCAAATGACGGATCGACCCTGAATGCTATTCAAACTTCAACCGAAAGTGACATGGAAAATGATGCTAGCAGCATGATATCGGATGATGAGTCCGATGCATTTTCTGATAACGCAGACAGCCTGGATACAGAGGAAGATCCGCTATTGGAGTCGACCTTGCGCAATACAATGTATAATGCACATGCGCTTACAGGCACTACCAACATGTCAGAAATGACAAACTACGAAGATGAGGACTTATTGGATCCCGCTGCTGATGAATTCCAAACAGCGCCCAACATTGTGTTTTCGCGTTCTGAGAAGGAAGTGGAAACGCAACGTGCACTTCTTACAAACAACGAGCTACCAACTTCACAGCCAGGAAGACCGGCTTTAGTACACCATGGTCGTGTTTTTGAGCGGAACCGATGCACAGTGACGATGACATACGGCGACTATGAGACCTGTTCAAAAACAATCAGGCGCCCGAAACGATACATTGTTGCTAGTGATGGAAGTGAAGGGTCTCAATATGCAATCAACTGGGCAATGGGTACCGTTTTACGCGACGGAGATGAGACACTTATTATCTCAGTAATGGAAACGGACACGAAACTAGACACACCTCATGATGATCCTGCCAAAGTCGCGTTGAACCGAAAGATTCGGGGAGATATGGCGGTATTACTTTGCCATCAAGCTTTTGTCTTACTTCAGCGGACTTGCCTAAATGTTAAGGTGTCATGTCAGGCTTTACATGCCACCAACGCGCGGCATATGTTACTCGATTTGATTGATTTTTATTCGCCTACTATGTTGATTGTGGGAAGTCGTGGTATTGACAAGATTCGAGGAGTTCTAGGAAGCATGAGTCATTATCTAGTGCAGAAGGGATCTGTGCCTGTTATGGTGTGCCATAATCGACTCCAGCTTCCTCGACTTCCTCGAGGCAAAGCTGATGTGGTTAACAATGTACGCATGCGGCATATGCGTCTTGATCAGGCTGTGGTTGAAAAGTACACCAGCAAACATGATGAAGAAAAGGAAGAAGATGGTGAAGGACAGGTATCAGAGACCCCAGAACAGAAACAAGAACGTCATTTCCGCGACATTGAACGTATGAACCGTTTGAATCGTAAAAGTCTGGAACGACGTGGTGATAGGGGTAAAAGTGCCCACATTGTGGAACCTGGAGAACCACTGCAAGACAAGGATTCGCAAGAATTACCAACGTCGGAATTTGAGCAACTCCATATCAACGACGATGCAAGTAATTCGGTTCATGCCTTCTAAATGCTGCAAGACATACTAAATGTATATACCCAGGCCTTTCCGTGAAGCTATTCGTCACGACGAGAATGAGCTTCACGAGGAATATGCATCCGCAACTGCTTCAAAAATGTGCTAGCTTCTGTGGCATTTGCGAATTTGATAGCAAAGTGTGTAAGACCCTCAGATTCCATTGCAACGAGGCGCAAAAATCGTTCTTGTTCCAAATCACACTGCATTCCCGCAAATAGCTTCACGTTGAGAATCAATTTGAGAACGCCTTCGGAGCGCATGACTAAGATGTCAGTACATGACAGCGCACCTAGTCGGGCAGCTTCACTGCTCTCCTGGTAGTTCAGTTTTAGTGAGCCTGTTCCGCGCTCCTTCCATGACTGATCTTTAGCCATCGAATAGAGCTTCACACGGTTAGACTGAACGGTTGTTTCATCTTCCTCCCCGGTCGTCACTGTATATTAAACAAAGCATACATACATTCAAGATCAGGTCTTTGGACTTCCTTTTTACGAACGACAATTTCTTGGTTCTCAGGCACTTTCTCGTGGCTACTAGCAGCCCAGTCCTTGTCAACTTGAACAGCAGCATCCTCCGCTTTTTGTGTTAGTGCAGTTGCAGATTTAAATGGAGCAGAGTGAGACGCAAAAGCTCCAAATCCTAAATTTGCCCCAGAGTTATTATTAGACCTTTCGGTAGACTCTTCCGCTTTTTCTTGCGTCACTGTAGTTGCTTTGACAATCTCTTGTGTTGGGCAGTCTTTTGTTTTCCCGTCATCTTCTTGGATTGTCGTTCGTTTCTCCATTTCTTCTGGAGTCTTTATCTCTTCTTTTTCTCCTGCATTCTGCTTGGGACTTTCATTTGTCGACAAAGTCGATGATGCCCCGTTCATTTGAGTGGGTGCTATAGAGTCTGATGCCGCTGAAGTTGGTATCAAGGAGGAAGCTAACGCCTCTGAAGAAGTTTCAGTTTCATTACGCTGCTTCTTTGAGGTGGTGTCTTCTTTCGCAACGACACTCTCACCTGTTTCTTCGCGCTCGCGCTTGTTTTGCATTGGCGAATGATCGTCTCCACTTTCGCCAAGGCGGAACACTTGGACAGCACAGCGATCCTACTGACCCCGCTTTGTTCTCCACTCGGCCGGACCGTGCGCGGGTCCATCACGTGCGATCCAGGGTGACATCCACCTCGACGAGAACGGACTCTGCAAGTTCCGGAACGTATGGTGACTGGCGTGCCAACGGTCGATGAGGGACCACCCATCGTTGAAACCCATGATTTTTCTGCTAATACAAGGCATGCAGGTATTTCTCCTATAACTCTCAATGACCTTGCAGCAGAACTACAAACCACAGACCCACACGTGCTGCTTCAACATCTGTTAGTGCTCTACAACAATTTGGTCGGTGAATACCATCAACATATTGCGGGATTACCAGCATTAAGTGATCATACAAGTGATCGTGGAGAAACTATTGGCTTGGGAGTAGAGGGCCTCTCCTCTCCAACTTCCAGCTTCTCTGGGCGGTTACGGAATTTGAGAAGAAGAAGTATTAAGAGCTTGCGCGGTGAATCGCATAAAAGTGCGCATGCTATGTCACCATCACAGGATCTCTCCTCTGAAATTCCTCAAGTGCCAGAGCTCACCCCTCGCTCTAATCACGCGGCTGGATTAGAACTGCCGCGTGCTTTGTCGCCTGTTTCCAATTCATCACCGCGCTTATGGCGTAAGCCTAGCGGATCTCGCATAACGAGTACGCGTGTACCCGAATCCCCATCACAGAGAAGCACGTCCCAAAATGTCAGCCGGATACATGCTTCCGCTTCCCCTAACTTAAGCACAAGATCCCTAAGTTCTAGTGGTTCTCGTCGACCCAACAATTCCCGTCCTTCAACACCTGTTAGTCGCACCGTCGATGACATGGCATCTCTGGCTATCTTCGATCATGTTCACCTTTCTAATGCTGAAGTGACAACATACTGTTCGTCAGTGCGAACACAAGGTGGCGTTGATGTGCTCACGTTTCGTGTGCGGATAGTTGTGAATGCTTTACCCGGAGAATCTAGTCAACGACGACGTCACGTAATTCGGATTGAAAAATCGTATTTGGATATCGTGAACATACGCGAACGTATTCTAGTTCGATCTATGAATCTTGCTCCAGGGACTGCGATACCTTCATTGCCCCTTCCAGACCGCTCTTTGTTTGAGCTCCCATGTACACCATGGAGTTTAATGGATCGAGATCATGCAGTCGATTCGTTCTTGCACGCCATGCAACGACTTCCTGGACGTTATGATGACCTTGTTGTCCATTTTTTTACTACAGATCAGGTCCAGGAACCACCTATGGATCCAATATATGGAGTGTGCCTTCGGCAAGAGTGCTTATTGAGCGCTTATGGAGATGCTTGGACAATTGTGCGATGCTCTTTGCATACAAATACTCTCATAATCAGCGATCCACAGAGCATTGGTGCTCCTTTGGTCTTTGACCTTCGACGGACACGCATTGGACGTCAAATGGATAATTCGGTCCCACTTCGCGAACAAAGCTGTCGTTTTGCTACTATTATCCTCCAAAGTATAGTTCCAACGTCATCAACAGCATCTTTTGTCAAGCTTACCACAGAGTCACTCATTCAGCATACGGAATGGATGAGCGCACTGCTTCGAGAAAGCGGGGAACATCCACATGACAAAATTCCGTACGAGCCTTATTATGATCTTGATTCCCGTTCGGGTCATATGCCCACAGATCCACCGGTCACACCTAATCGTGACGTGGAAAGCCAGGATCTTTCATCAGCAATGTCACCCCGGCCAGACAAGCCGATGCTTACACCTCAGTCACCTTCTAAGACTGATATGCCACGGCACGTGTCTGGAATGAAGACTCGTATACGTCAAAATGCTGATAATGTATTGACTTCGCCTAATATGGGCGAGCGACGTCGCTATCTCTTTGGGATTTTGCCTGTGACTTCTTCAGATGAACCTCAACCAAAATCAGTATTTGGAGCTTCTCTGACGGAAGCAGTGCTTGAGACAGGGGTGCCTAGTACTATTTCAGGAGGTCTGATTCCAGGAGTAGTGCATCGATGTATTGAATTTCTTGAGGGATCCAATGCTATACAAGAAGAAGGGCTGTATCGCGTTAGTGGAAGTGCTTCTGGCATGAAACAATTGCAAGAACGATTTGCTTTACATGGTGATGTGGAACTTCTGGCGGAACTAAACACTGCTACGAAACAACGAATAGGGCCATGGCATGACTCACACGCAGTAGCTGGCCTACTGAAATTGTATTTGCGTATTTTACCCGAAAATCTCTGTACTGAGCCATTACTTCCACACTTTTCCAAGTCGGCTGAAATCCAAGAACAAGAACAGCGATGCGCAGTAATTAATTCACTAATGGAACAGCTTCCGCCAGAAAATTTCTCATTGCTAGATACATTATTTTCCCACTTAAACCATGTGCAACAGCTGTCTGCGAAAAACAAAATGACACCACATAACCTTGGGATTGTCTTTAGTGCGACATTGAACATGCCTGTCGACTTGGTGGTGACTCTCGTCTCCGATTATGAGCTAATTTTTCGAAACAAATCAACTGTGCCAACAGCCTTGGCTGCTAGTACAGTGATGGACCCTCCACCACCGCCAATCGTTGATGCTGTGTGAGTATACGAAATGATACAAATTCAGGCACTCTTTAATAGCGACTAGTATCCTAAAGTTGGTCGACCATTTGTGGAGGTCGTCACTCCAACCATGTCGACTTTGTATGTCACCGAGCCACCGACGGATGGCAAAGTCATTTTATACACACCAAAAGGGGAGATTGAAATTGAGTTATGGTCTAAGGAGGCACCAAAGGCATGCAAGAACTTCATCGCCTTGACACTTGAGGGTTATTTCGATAATTTGGTATGGCATCGCATTGTGCCAGGCTTCATTATACAAACTGGCGATCCAACTGGTACAGGACAAGGAGGTGTGTGTTCAATTATTAACACAATCAGGCGAATCGTTTTTTGGCTCCCCTTTCGAGAATGAGCTTCATCAACGGCTCCGGTTTAATCGTCGCGGTCTAGTCGCAATGGCCAATACTGGTGAGAAGAACTCCAACGACAGTCAATTTTTTGTACGTTTGAATTTAGCCTCACACAGATCACATTGGATTCTACACCTGAGTTGCAAAACAAACATACAATTTTTGGGCGGGTGGCAGGATCCACTATCTACAATGTGTTGGCATTAGCCAATGTCGAAATTTCAGAGAGTGAGCCTGACAGGCCTGTATACCCACCAAAGTTGAATCGAGCTGAAGTGGTACATAATCCATTCTCCGATTTGGTCCCGCGTATAACACCTGAAGAACGAATCGTTCAGAATCAAGCGAAAGCCATGGCAGCAGAACGTGCAGACTCGCTCAAACGGAAAAATAAGCGACCGAAAAAGAATGTAACATTGCTGAGTTTTGGTAGCGAGGAAGATGTTTCTCAAGAGGAACGTTCAAGAAAACCTATGAGCAGCCACGATTTACTGGAGGATAAGCGTCTTAGCAAGAAACCCCATCATGATATACAACTTAAACAGGAGAATGTTCCAACCGAAAACTTCCGCAAAGGCCATATTAAAGGACCACGTATTCCCGAGGAACTGAACCCAACCGAAAATGTATCTCAACAAGTTTCTGAAACAGAAAACTTGCTATCTACACCAGAAATTAAACCAAAGCAATCGTCTGGTCGTGAATTGTTAAATTCTATTGTTCAACAATACAAACAAGACAAAAAGGACTCCAATCCACCTAGAGATTTGGATCAGTTAAAACTTCTCGGCTCGTTCCAAAAGAACATTCGGGAGAAGACGAGTGTACCGAAGGGTCAATCAGAATTGACTAGGTTATCTTCAGAAAGTCTATGGGATGATGATGCAAATATGCATGAGTACGGGGCTGAAGACGATGATGATGTGAACTGGCGCTCACACAGGTATGTGCATTATAAGCTGACTCCAGATTCGATTCAGGGGGGATTCCTTTAAGTGGTTTGAATGACCAGTACTCAATTGAAGATTATCAAGTCATTGATTCTAGAAATACCCGTGGAGAGATGGCCCTGTCTTTAGGGTTCGGCGAGAAAAAATCTCGTAAGGCTTTTGAGGAAAAGGCTCGTCAAGAAAAGCTTCGTCGAGATGGGAGAAGAGGTAGAGATTGGATATAGCTCCACTTTGCGTTGACCTGTGAGATCCATACCTGCAATGTCGAACAACTCTGAAGAGACGTTGTTGGCATCTCCGGGGGTTTTATTTCATATTCCTGAAAGTTGTGTTCGTAAAGTAGAAGAGGTCGAAGAAGAGATATTTCTACTCTACACGCTGAGGTATGCAAAGGAGGAAGACCTGGGAATCCTAGAGCAAAAAAGTGATGTTGTAAATCTCACATTCAAATTGGCAGTTTCAACCCATGAAACTAGGCTATCAAATACTGGGAAGTCTCGTGAAATTACTCTGGATGTATTTCAAAACGTGAGTGCGTTGTCAATAACACAATAGTGTACAGCTTTACGTTCGCGTGTCGGAGATACAGGAAGCGTCGTATGGCGTTCTAGCGTCTATTTTGCCGAGCATATGCTAAGACAGTTGTGGGGATACTGGCCACCGTCAAGGCCTCGTTTATTTCAAACAGGTGCTTTATCTGGATGCAAGATATTAGAGCTTGGTGCGGGCACGGGCGTTTTGCCAACCTGCCTGCTATCGGATCCAGGATGGATCACCTCTGTTAACGCACCATTACAATGGATCGCCACAGATCAATACGATAATCTGCCAGTTATCGAGAAAAATTTATTTAACAGTGTGAAGAAACATCCGCATGTTCAGGCTACTGCTTGTGAGCTAGATTGGCTCCAAATCCATAACTTTGGAAATGATAAACGGTCACAAAGACTCAAATCAGAGTATGCCTTACATATTCTTCGCCGTTTTTCTTCCAAAGATGATACAGTAGAATACCCTGATTTGATCGTCTGCATCGATTGCGTCTTCAATCCTGCCTTACATTCGCCGCTAATCTCAACTTTGAATACCTTCTGTGAGCCTCGGAAAACAGTCATTCTACTGATAGCTCAGCTCAGAGATGTGGATAACACCCGCTCATTCCTCGGAGTATGGACAGAACAGGTCGGTTATGAAATATACCATCTAGAAGACGAACTGATGCCACCGAACATGCAACGAGGCTATGCGGCATGGGTGGCCTGGCGGTCGTGATTGGGCCACTAAACCTCCACATGTTACGCGGCGCGGCGCGCCTCCAATGCGTGGCGCGCCGAGAATCAATTATCACTTTCCTACCATGTCGATGCGTCTGCTTGTGCGTAAGAACCCTGCCTATCCGAAGGCAAAACTACTTACTCGTGGTAGTAAACATGCTGCTGGCTATGACCTTTATGCATGCGAGGATGCTTTGATTCCTAAGGGAGGACGTGCCGTCGTGCAAACCGGAATTCACATTGCTCTACCCGAGGGACATTATGGTCGTGTGGCACCCCGTAGTGGTCTGGGTATGTATTACATGTGTTAACATTAAGCTGTCAAGCATGGCATTGATACCGGAGCTGGTGTCGTTGACTGTGACTACAGAGGACTACTGGGAGTTGTGCTATTCAACTTTGGTTCCGAAGACTTCCAATGTACGAGACTTTGCGCTGACGGAAGTTCATGCTGGTGACAGGATTGCCCAGTTGATTGTTGAGAAGATTTCTATGCCAGATATTGAAGAAGTCGAAGTATGTGTGACAATGAGCTTACCGTAGACGCTCGATGAGACTGAAAGGGGGAGCGGTGGCTTTGGATCCACTGGCGGTTTCACTTCGAAGTCTGCCGCATCACAATAGGTTTTTGTATGAAATACCATCTAGAATATTTGTGCTAAATGATAGCAAAGAAGATTTCTCCTTCCTATCTATACCAAGGATGAATGGGGAACGGGATAGATCCGCAATGGAGGTTACGGGTTCAGAGGTGTCACAATCAGAGGCATACGAATACCCTCCTTCCATTGGCCTTCGACGAAGGCACGGCGAACAATCTGTTGACGCTGAATGAGGTCCCAGTTAGGCACAATGTCAAACTTGAAGTTCAGAAGCAAGTGAGCAATGATCACCTGCGTCTCCAGGAATGCAATACCCTTGCCAACACACGAACGAGGACCAGCAAGGAAAGAGAAAGTTTGACCAGGAGGCATCTTCGCATCAATCACGCTCTTAGGGATATTGTCCCAACGGTCGGGGTTGAACATTTGAGCATCTTCACCCCATAGATCCTTAGAAAGAGAGACCACGTTCAAGGGAATAAACAGCTCATGACCCTTTGGAATGAAAACAGAGTTGTAAGTGCCCTTACCATCCACACGCTTGTAGGGACGCGAGAGAGGGACCACATCGTCCTTAAGAGCAACACGAAGAGTGCTAGGAATCGAAGGAAGCATACGAACACATTCCTTCACAACATCGTCCAAGTACTTGATAGAATTGATGTCGCGAACAGGCTGGTACTCGTAGATCGCTTGCTCTTCTTCCGGCAAATCGTCTTTCTCGGCATTCTCCTTCGCAACAGCTTCCTGGAGAACCTTACGAAGCTTGTCCTGAACTTCGGGGTGCATGGCAAGCAGCCAGAGGGCCCAAGAGTTCTGGGTCGCAGTGGTTTCGTGGCCGGCAATAATTAGCGTGGTCATCTGACCCATAAGCTCCGCGTTCGACATGCGCTCAGATGCCTTCAGATCAGTGGCCATGTTTGCACGGATCATACGTGACACAAGCGACTTGGGACGCGAGTCACCCATGTCATCGAACATGTCCTTCGAGACACCCTGGTTCTCAGCAAGGATTTCGTTGCGCAGACGGTCAACAATGACGTGAGCGTGCTCTTCGACAGTCTTCTTGGCGCTCTTGATACGCATACGGCGACTGGTTGGGAGATATCGGATCCATTTGAGACCAGGCTTCTCGGACAAAATGACCAAGATGGCAGTCGAAAGGTCAAGGTCTAGAACAGCGCCCATCAGGACGTTCATGGCATTGGCGAGAGGGTCCTTATCACCGTGGTTGAGAGAATCAAACATGAAGCTAAAGCCGACTTCACCGATAATGTCAAGCGTGGTACGGGAGAGCCAGAAAAGAACATCGATAACAGCCTGGTGGGCTGGGTCCTGCAAGGTAACCGAACGGTCCGATGGGGCTTGGCCCTCAAGCAGATGGTCAGCACCAAACTTTCCTGCACGACGAGCATTCTCCTCCTTAATAACTTCGTTGATCTTTTTAACAAGTGCCTTAGCGTGACGGTGGACCACTGGCTGATACTCCTTGATAACACCTGGGGCGAAGGCAGGAGCAATGATCTTGCGTTGACGAGCGTGCTTTTCACCTTCGATAGACACAAGACCCTCACCAAGCACTGCAGTCAAAAAGGCGCTAGTATATTCAGGCTTGGGATACTGGTAGGCTTTGGCGGGGCTGAGAACGTACGACATAGCTTTGGGGTCGGCGAGCAAAATACGGTGCACCTGGAACATATGACGGTAGCGGTACACAGGGCCGAGCTCATTCATCCATTTCACATGCTGGTCAGCAGGCTGTTGGCTCTTGATTGCACGGAAGTCACCAAAGAATAACGCAAGCGGGTCCGTTTGCTTGACCTTCGGAATGTGCTTCCAAGGTGTGAACCACTCACCGATCGTCATGCGGTAGATAGCGCCGACGATCTGGTTGAGAATGAACACCACTGGCAAGGCCAAAACAAGAGCAATGCCGACTCCAATAATGGATAGGACATCTTTCCCAATCGGAAAACTTGAGGAATCCATGGTGAATGAGTGTTGAGGCTGTACACGGGATCAGGCCAGAACGACGACCTGGAATTATGAGCTCTAATCAATTGCAATCGATTGGCTGTACATAGGTCTGCAAAGCAACTAAGGCTTACGTTCGGACTCGGCCCAGGGTGAGTAGATAGAATTTTCCTGCGACCAGGTTTTACGTGCGTTGGCCCAATGAATTACTTCTACATGGACTCCATGTCGCAAAACATTGAATATTATGGTCTACGCAATACGTATGACTAATGATTACACATTTTCAGCATGGTAGCGCAAGGGTCAAGATAGCTCGTTAAAATGCCGAACTTATTGCCCAGGCTTGGCAAGTCCGCAAAAATTGAGCAACGGTTCCCGGTAAACCCTGGACTGCGTCGAATAAGAAATACTAAAAACAAGCTTATTTTTACAAAGTAGAAACGAGATCTTTTTGTGGGTTTACCCTGGTTATTGCATATTAGCATTGGGGGAGCAATTTGATTTGCTCACGAGGGGCATACAGTGCACAAACCGGATTTCACAACGGTACTGAGAGGCGTGCGCATTGGAGTAGCTGTCCAATTTATGCGCAAAATGGACAGGCTCATGTGTCATAAAAGAAGAGCTGAGTAAATTTTCGCTCTCTGGTGTTACCACGATGGTGCTCTCGCTACCTGCTCGTCGTCGTTACCTGTTCATCAGTAATCCAGCCACAGGTCAAATTAACCCGCTCCTTGCGGTGATGGAGGAGCTGGCGCTCCGTGGCAACCAGGCCGTCCTAGCTTCGTCGGAATCTGTATATCATAAATTCCAGAAGTTGCAGGCCCGTATGGGTTACACCGTGCAGTCTGAGTCGACGCCGTCGGAAGAATATCTAAAGCGTTGCCCGCTGGTTTTTATTTCGCTTGGGTCCTGTGATGTTATGGATGACTACACGAATAAAGCTGTGGCTCTAACGGATCAATTCCATGACCTTTGTCGCTCGAACCCTGGTGACATCTGGGGCTGGCTTAGTACATTTATTGAGCTTGTTCCCGGCGCCTCGACAGAGTATCGCGACATTGTGTTCCGCATTCGTGACTTGTGCGAGAAGCTTGATGCCGACATGCTACTTGTGGATAACTTCAGTCCCTTTGCCGTGGATGCTGCTCGTCTGACGAAGCGTCCTTTTATCGAGACATCTCCTGGTGCATCTTCAGCAGTGGCTAGCAATGTAGGCTTTTTGACCAATCCCTTGCCTATGAGCGGTGGTCGCAAAGCTGGCACTAGCATCTTTACTTTGTTCCGCAACCTTGTGTTCATGTTCATTTGGTTCAAGTTCATTTTCTTTAACCCTTGGCCTATTCGTCGTCGCCGCTTCCGCAGGGAGGTGCTTGGCCTTAAGCCGGTGGATGTAATTTGTGACTCTGTTATGACTCCTACGCCCGGTATGCTTCCTCAACAGATCGCCACAATCACCTTCAACGTAGCCAGCATGGACATCTATCCTACGGATGCTTACGATAAGTCTGTGTACTTTGTGGGACCATGCTTCTCTACTAAGGGAGGTATGATTCCCAGTACCCGTGCGCCATCGAGTCCTGTTTTTGCTAGCCGCCGTGCCGCCCTTGAGTCTGGTTCAAACACCCCGTCATCACCTTCCGTCAGTTTGACTCCTTCCAGGCTGGAGAAGGAGATGCGTAATGTGCAGGCAACGTCGGATGATGCTGTTAAGACTTGGATGGATCAGGCTATGAGTGATGGAAAGCGCGTTCTGTACATCAACATGGGAAGCATTTTCTTTTACAGCAGGCAAGACTATGATAACATTGTGGAGGCTCTGAAGATGCTTCATGAGCTGGCCCCTAACGCCCTGGTACTTTGGAAGGTGCCGAAGCTGCCTTACGATGTGCAGCCGATCCCTTCACTTGAAGAAGCGAACTTGCCGCCGTACATTCGTCGTGAGAACTGGATCCCCGATGTCGAAGTTGTGCTGCAACACCCGGCTTTGGCCGTGTTCATGCACCATGGCGGTGGCAACTCGTACAATGAAGCTATTGCGCACGGTATTCCGCAATTCTGTGTTTCCCAGTGGGTTGATACTCATGATATTGGTCTTTATGTGCAGCACTCTGGCGTCGGTTTGTGGGCGGAAAAGTCGCCTCGGTTCGACCCCGTCGATATGAGCACCAAACTTGCGAAACTCGTCAATGATGAGCACAACACATTCCAACATGTTGCGCTTTCTTGGCAACTGAAGGCTGCGCAAGCTGGTGGAACGGTAGGTGCTTGCGACATCATTGAGTCGCTCGTGACCTCATACAAGTTTGAAGGAGGCTCCAGCAAGGCGCCTATGCCTTCTGCCCTGTAAGACGCATGGATGAAATTCAATATGTTTGACTTAAGCCCGTACCGCTTTCGAGACGAATCAAATATTTACTACCAAGTTAGACACACGCGTATAATTCTGACTTCTGTAGATGAAAATTAATTGGACTATAAAACTGTCGCCTTAAGTGATTAAAAAATTGTAAGTACGTAATGATAGCATTTAGAGGAAGGCGGAATGCCCAAGCATAGAAGTATTTTTCTCTATACACTGTGGCACTTGCCACCAATACGCTGGCACCCGACTTTAATATTTGAGACTGCCGCGTTAGTTAATTGAAGTACACATACATGACAAAGCTGAAAAGAGTAACAGAGGTTTCCAAATAGGGAACAGGTCGGGTTAGTATCCATTCTCAACATATTCATTAGATCCCAAAAAGGGGTCCAATGAAAAAATACATACACCTGGACGTTAGAAGCGCTGGGAGTAAATACTCACAGCATGAATGATGCCCTATAGGTGTAAGCATATATGTCTCAGAGACGAACGTACCGGGATGTAACCAAGACAGGATAGCAGGATATTAACTGGAGAGTGTCAACGCCATCGTCCTATATCACGCACTCCAAAAGTCGGCGTGGCAACCGCGCTCCAAAAATACACCCAGAGGAGGTAGAATGATAGCAAAAATAAGCTTGAAAACGTCAGAACCACTGGGTTGTTAGCCGATTGATACATGCGTAGCAGGCATGAGGAAGGAAGATATCGAAGCGGGAGAACGTTGGCCTAAACGTTAAAGGCTTTACACGGGATCTCGGTGTATTACATAATCCCCCGAGCTTTTGACGCGAAAATACGGCTATGACATGCGGGTCATGCATCAAATGGGAAATCACTAGTCAAGGCCACGAGCATCATCATAAACTGAGAAAAAAAACTAAGGGAGCGTAGATGGATTCTGGGATAGACGTATTTTCTCCTGTTCAAGACGCTGATACAACAAAGTTACCGCCATCTGAATGTTCGGAGGAGGGCCAGTAATTGTCACTAGGCGTTCAGAGCCAGTACCTCCGGCGGCAATACCAGCACTACGTTCCATAATCTTGATATGACTTGCACTGAGTTGTCGGATTTCATTGATTTTTTGACCACCCTTACCAATAATACACCCAACTAAATCATTGGGAATAAATATTTGCTGTGTTTGAAGACCAGGGGCCAGAGTGGTTCCAAGTGTTTGAGGGCTGCCAGCAGCATTAAATCCGAACGAGCTAGAAGCAGGGGAGCTCACAGCCGGGCTAAACTGAGGAGTAGCCATAGTTCGAGGGATAGAAGAGGGGCGATAAGGCAAGTTATTGGAATTCCTGTCAGGATGCTCAAGGAGGATTGTGCCAACGTAGTACACTGCAATGTGCAATGCGTCAGCCACACCAGTGATACTGAGAATACGCTCCGTAGACCCAGGAAGCATGGTCTCTCCTGCGTGCAGTCTTGCGCCACTCGCCTCCTGGATTTCTTTGATCTTGCTTCCTTGTTTGCCAATGATGGAGCCCATGCGGGAGTTAGGGATAATGAAACGAATAGCGGCAGCACGAGAGCCCGGCAGTGATGGCTGGTCAAACGGTTCATCATTAATGCGACGGACAATCAGACCAAAAGCCTTACTGACGGCATCCAATGCACCCGACACTGTCAAGATACGCTCTGGATTCGATGGAATGCTTTCGCTAATGTTTAAGCGCGCACCGCTCAGCTCCCGAATCTCATTGATATGGCGACCTTGCTTTCCTATAATGACACTTGCATCGCTAGTGATAATGAGAGCACGCATGACGATGGGCGCAGCAACAGCCTGGGTATAGGGGGACATGGCGACAGCGGGGGTGCCAGTCACAGAAGACACAGCTGGGGAGGACACAACAAAAGAAGCAGGGCTTTGGGATCCCGAAACACCGCTGCCCACAAAGTCCGGCAAGGTAGGAGCAAGTGTGGTGGGAAGCGGAGCACTGTATGTGGATGCGTTTGAATCATCCATAGAATATTCAGCAGCCGTGTGACTAGAAGACTCCAAAATAGGATCAGTCATGTTTAATTGCAGGGAGGAAAGGATAAGTACCACAGTGGTTGATGAGAAAGCTCAAGGATTGGGCAAAATGGGAAGTGTGGAAGGATGGTCTTCGAGTCAGCGAAATGTACGTTAGAACCGGGCCACGACACGATCGCGAAATCCAGGACAGGTGATGAGCTTGATTCAGCTCAAGGGGAGAGAAAAGAATAGAAGTGACTTGGAAGAAGGGTAGTGTCGATAAGACAAATGCGGGAGCCGAGATGGTTGTAACGATGAAAGCCGAGATGGGATTGTGATTTCCTGTTGTAGAGGGGTAGCCAATAGGTCTAAACAGGGGCCAATCAGAAAAGGTGTCTATAATTTATTGGTCCAAACCACGCGCCAGAGCCCCTTGACAGGGCCACGCGCCGGCATCCTTGTGGAGCTCTGCTTGTGCAGGCCAGGCTGTCTATACATTCTGGTGCAGGATCCTGCATGGCCATCAAGCTACCAGACAATCTGTATGTGGGGGATGCAGCGAAGATGCCTGGCCAGACCATGTGAAGCTATAGTGAATTTATCGATGATATGGTAATCTAGGTGACAGAGCTGTTCTCAGGATCATAGACATTGAGTAGAGACGGCACGACCAACGCAAACAATGCTATGACTAATCATCCATGCGATGGCAGTGTCGGTGGCCGTACATTTGCCTTATGCCATGAGCACGGATGTGCAACGCTAATAGGTCACCATCAGCAAACGGGATGAGCGTGGGACCAATATCTGAAACGGGAGGTCCGGAGAACCGGGAAAAATGGAGGACAGACCTGCGTGATGTCAATGTGCGAGTATGGCTCGAAGGCCCTGCGCCGGCGCCGACGTCCTTGGACTCGTCATTGCGCCGTAACTCGGCCTTTATAAAACGACTAAAGCAGCCAAACTTATCTGAATCAAAAGCTCAAATATTGCAGGAGCTTGCATGTTTGAATCTGCGCAAATACTTGGACGAGCTTGTGCCGAGCCTGCCAGAGATACTTTGGAGAAACACTAGCTTGAAAGACAGGTATGCCGCTGTGGAGATCCTCAGTGCTTTGCATGTCAAGTTTGGTGGCGATGAATTTACGAAGCCGTTCATGAGCGCGCTAGCGCAAGAGTTAGTACCAGCGGCGACTGTATTCGAAGGGAGTGCGGAGCAGGCGCAAAAGGAGGAAGCCAATCGGACTGCCCGCCACCGAACTTTGGCACGCATTGTGACCGAACTTGTACTTGTGGGATTCGTGGGGCCCTTGGATAAGCAGGACGTACTGAGGCATGGTTTGGAATGGCTATTTGGGATTTTGCGCAGTTTGGTGTGTACGAGGCTCTGACATTAGTTGGCACAAGATCGGGACCACATATATACATCGCTTGTGCAAGGTCTGTTACGTTCGTACGGCTCTATCTTGCTTGCTTCTGTGCCGGAGCACGAGGCAGGCCAGCCGTGGATGACGGTGGGGGACTCATCCCCCTCACCCACGGCGCTGGTATCGGAGGAGTGGCAGACCAAGTTTCGTCGTTTGTTTGAAACCTATTATGTGACATTGACGCGCCATGCATCGCGACTGCATGCGAGCCTCCAAAAGCAAGCGCAGCGCAACCGGGACGCCTATATTCGGCACGGTGAGGTGTTCGAGGACCGGCAAGCCAAGTTTGAGCGACAAGCCAAGGAGACAAAGACGCTTATGGAGTCAACTCAGGCGATCTCTGTGATGCTTCAAGTGCATGGATTGGACCTCCCGGATCCGCAAAATGAGCCAGTGCAGAAACAGGGTTTGCTTCTTGGCGCCAAGTCCACCTTGGCCGAAATGAGCGCACGGACAGAGCAAGAATTCGCGTCGGGGAAGAGCCCCTGGGAGGATGAGGAGACCCGCAACTTCTATACAGATGTGTGTGATCTCCGCGCGCATGTGCCACCGAGCTTGCTAGCGGGCGGGGCCCAAGGGGACGATCCGAAAAAGGCCTCCACAGAGACCGAGGAGTTGAGCTCGCTCACGTCGCTCCTGGATCGACTGCCGTTGCTGGGCAACCGCGAAATGGTGGATCAGCTTGCAATTGAGCTGGCCTTTTACACGAAGCCGGCAACGCGCAAGCGCCTTGTGGAACGGCTGTTGAGCGTGCCTAAACAGCGATGGGACCTAGTGCCATATTACGCGCGTCTGATCGCCACCTTGCATCCGTATATGCCACTACTGGTAGACTCGGTGGTTGAACAGGTGGACCAGCGACTGCGCCGCATGAGCTTGCGGAGCAAGATGGATGCGCAGACGCGCGGTCAAGCGATTGTGTACTTGGGCGAGCTCACCAAGTTTGGGCTGGTGCCTGAGCATATTGTCTTCCACATGTTTAGCAGGCTACTGGATGACTTTGGTCGCGTGTCGCTGGAAATGCTGGCCCTGTTGCTCGAGACGTGTGGGCGGTACCTGTACCGAATGCCTGCCACGAATGCGCCTATGCAGAACGTGCTGGATCAGATGCGCCGGAAGCGCGCGGCGCACCACCTAGAAGAGCACCACGGCCTGCTGCTGGACAATGCGTATTTTAAGTGTGTGCCGCCCGAATACCCTGTGGTGGTGCACCGAACGTTGTCGATCAAAGAGCAATTTGTGGTGCACCTCTTCGAGGAGAAGCTGACGGAGATGAAAATGGACCGAATAAGCCAGCTGGTGCGCGCGCTCGACTGGCAGGACGCGAGTATGGAGGACCTGTTGTTTGACATGTTCACGTCGCCGTGGCGTGTCCGCTACGAGGGCGTGCGGGTCCTCGCCGACCTGTTGCGCGTACTGCACTCGTGGCACGCTCCGTTTGTGGTGCGTGTGCTGGACCGGGTGGTGGAGGGCATTGATACAGACCTGAGCCGGACCGATTATATGGCCGGACAGCAGCGTGTGGCGCGTGTGCGCTACCTGGGGGAGCTGTTCCAATGCCAACTGATACCCCCTGAAGCCGTGTTGGACCAGCTCTGGCGGCTGGTGGTGCGCCGTGTGCACCGCCCCGACCGCTACGACGACTTCACGCGTGTGCGCCTTGTGTGCACCCTTCTGCAGACGTGTGGTGAGGCGTTTAGTGCCCATCCATGGCGTAAGCGCATGGACGACTTTTTGGCAGCGTTCCAGTACTACCTGCTCGCTAAGCCGATGCCGCCCGTGGACGTGGCGTACCAAGTGGAGCAAACACTGGACCAGCTGCGGCCCCGCCGCTCGCGTCATCCCTCCAAGGCTGCGCTCGCGCAGCGTTTGGACAAAATTCTGCCGCTGTTTTACCAGCGGGACCTGACGAGTATTGTGGCTGGGCTTGTCAAGACGGGCGGCACAGAGCATCGCCCCGGGAACGACGAGTCCGACAGTGAGATACCCCGTGACCTGCGTGACGAGTGGGCGAGCTCCGGTGACGAGTCAGACAGTCAGGACGGTACTGATTCGCTGTATGCATCGGAGGGTGAGCCAGCGAGTGCGTCGGACAACGAGCTGGATCCTGAGGCGGCGCTCGACGAGCAAGCGGACGACGAGTTAGAGCATGAGCTTGCGCTGCTTATGGCCGAGGCGAATGCGGCGCCGGGCTGGCTCAGCGGGGGTGGCTCGACGCTAGAGCGCACGCGGCAGGCGTTGTCGGGTGCCTCCGTCCCGCCACGGCCGCCGCCAGCAGCGCCGACCGTGTCCTCGCCCGACTTTATGACCTTTTCGCTGCTCTCGCGCAAAGCTACCAAGGAGATCCAAGTGCCAGCGGCTGCCTCGATCTCTGTGCGCGCGCGGCAGCAGCAAGAGCAGGAGGCAGCGGAGCGGCAGCAGCTCAAAGCGTATGTGCTCGCGTACCGTGATCGTGAGGAGGGATCCAGGGCTACATAGCAGGAGGCTCGTCCTCGCCGTACACTACGAGCTTTTCATTTTTCGACTCGGTGTTGGGCGGCACGAGGTACCGGGGCCCGACATCGGTCTCCTTGAGCTGTGCGCGTTCGCCGATCTCGGCAGACGACGAGACAATGCAGTTTTCCAGCTTGGCATTGTCGCCCACAACGACGCCGTCCATAAGCACCGAGCGCATAATCCGCGCACCCTTGCCAATCACGCAGTTGCGGCCAAGGATCGAGTGCTTAATCGTCGCACGCTCGTCGATCTGCGTGCCTGTGCCAACGAGGCAGTCGGCAGACAGCTGCGCACGGGGATGGATGGGACTCTCGTCCTCCTTGGTCGCCTCGAACGGCACCGTGCCGCACCCCAAGGTCGCAGGCATGGGGAATGGCGCAGCGAGCCCGGCCTGCATGGCCTGGGAGCTCGCGAGCTTGAGCAGGAAGCGGTTGCACTCCAGGAACGTCGGCACGGTATTGGCGCGCGCGACGAACCCTTCGTCCGCCGTCGATGCGCTGAGCTTCTCCGCCTCGAGAACTTGCGCGGCCGGCCGCGGGCGCTGCGGCTCAGGGCGCAGCCGCGATACGAGCATCTCACAGCGGGGCTGGAACGGCGGGCTCAGGGCGTCCATATCCGCCACGCTGGTCCACGTCGGCAAGGCGCCGTCGGTGCTGCGCGCAGCATCGAGGCGCCAGCCGGCCTTAGCGCTCAGACGCGACTGCCAGCCGCACTTGATGATGAACGGCACGAGCTGCTCAGTGATGTGGTTCAGCTCGGGATGCGCTTCGAGCAGGGGCAGCAGGGGCGCGAGATGCAGCGCATACACGTGCGAGTCCAGGAGCGAGGTCGATATGCGCAGGTAGGGGTGCTTCCACAGCAGGCTCATGCGCAGCTCCAAGTCGGATGAGTTCTTGTCAGAGACATCGTCCGAGTCCATGACTAGCAGGGGCTCGTGCACACTCAAGGTATCTTTGGCGCCGCCGGGCCACACCTGGATGCCCTCGTGCAGACGGAGCGGTACGCGATCGTATGCAGTGAACAGATTCGCGGGCCCATCGCGCTCGCGCTCCTTGCCGGTACCTTCGCCAGCGCCGCGCTCGTAGAACAGGCACGAGACGGTGGGGGAATCGCCGACGGCACTCAGATGCGCCGTCAAAAAGTTGGACAGCGGCATGTGCGGCGCGATCAGGTCCACAGGCACGACGAGGGGGTCCTGGTCCAGCTGACGCGTGGCGGCGAGCCAGTAGAGCAGCTGCGCGGTGCCCCAGCGCGTGCGCTCGACCATCTGCGAGGGCTGGCGCAGGCTGCGCACGGCCTCGCCGGCCTTGGGGCCGTTCGGCACGAGCTCAACGTGCATCACCGGCGCTGCCGGCATGGGCTCAACGAGGCCGCTCACGCCGACAGGCACCGCGCATGTCGCGCCGCCCATCGTCACACACACGTTGCTTTCCGTGGACGCCGACGCCGCGACAGCTGCCGCCTGTGCCGAGCCTGCCTCGACCTCGCGCGCGCCACCAGGCGGTACCAGGTACAACGAGCGTAGTGCAGCCGTAAGCGCCGAGTGCTCGGCGACGGGCGCTACCAGCAGGCACGAGCGGAAGCCGGCGGTGACGAGCCATTGCAGCGGGTACGCAATCATCGGGCGGTTAAGCACGGGTAGGAGCGCCTTTGGCAGCGTATCATTCGGCAGATCACACAGCGGGTACAGATTCGAGCCGGCATCACTGAAGATGACCGGCTGGAACCGCTGTGCATACCCCGGCGCCATCGTAGTCCAGCGCGGCGGCGCTCGCCGGCCACGCCTTTTGTGCTTACCTAAGGTCCGCGAGACCTGCCCCACTCCATGCTGTGGCGGATGGGCGCTGTGCCGCGCCTCGCGGCGCACACTGGAGCCAGCATGCGCGTGTACCGGCCTGTGTGGACCGAGGTGTGCCGGAGGCCAGCGCTAGGCTGTGTGAGCGCTACGCGCGTGGGCCTCGACGCGGCACGCCGGTGGCGCAGCGGCGCGCCGCCCAAGACGCCGGCACCGAAGCCGGCCCCTCCGGCTGTGGCGCTTTCCGAAGACATTGTTACGCTGCCCAATATCCTCACGCTATCGCGCATAGGCCTATGCCCAGTGATTGGGTGGGCCGTCGCGACGCACCAGGCGCCCCTCGCACTGGGCCTGCTGGCCGTCGCGGGCAGCACCGACCTGCTGGACGGCTGGATCGCGCGGCGATACCAGAGCCGCACGGTGTTTGGAAGTATCGCAGACCCGGCCGCAGACAAGCTGCTGATGGCGACCATGGTCCTATCGCTGGGCGTGGGCGGCGCCATGCCATGGCCGCTCGCGCTGCTCATCCTTGGACGCGATGTGTTTCTCGTTGGCCTCGCCTTCTACATGCGATACCGCTCGCTGCCGCCGCCCCGCACATTCGCGCGCTACTTTAACCCACGGCTGCCGAGCGTGCATGTGACGCCGACGCGCGTCAGCAAGGGCAATACGTTTCTGCAGCTGGTGCTTGTGGGCATGTTGACGCTGCTGCCGCTCCTTCCTGAGGAATGGCGCACGCATCCCCATACGCAGCGCGCTGTAACCGTACTCGAGTGCGTCGTCGCCGGCACGACGCTGTGGACCGGCGTCGACTATGCCGTGAGCCGCCGCTCGGTGCGTTATTTGCACGTGCCATAGACCTACGAGGCGTCTACGTCGCCTGCCACGAGGAAGCCAGCGCGCCAACGTCCACCGCCCTTCTCGAATGCGCGCTTCGGCAGGGGCAGTGTATCGGCCTCGCGGCATGTCTCGAGCGCTTCGCCATGCAGCGCCGTGATCGGCGGCGCGGCGGATACGTTTTCATCGAGCGACCCCGTCTCCAGCGCCACGTGCAACATAGCGACAAGCGGCTCCAGCTCGGCGCGCAGCTGGTCCATCGCCGCAGGCGTCGCTGGCACTTGCAGGGCGGCAAGGCGGTGCAAACGCTCCAGCCGCGCGTGGTCGAGCAGCGGCGTGCGGTGCTCGCGCGCCATCGCCTTCGCAAGGGCCTCGTCGACGCTCCACGTCGGCGCACGCGGAATGTGCCGCCGCGTTGAATAGGCGCGCTTGCCAGTAGGCCATGCTGCCTACACGTCAGCCACATCGGTACGCACCGGCAAGGGCGCCGGCGCCTGCAGTTGCGACTGCATCAGCGCACGGAAGCGCGTGCCAGGCTGATCCAGCTGCTCGAACGAGCCCGCCTCGGCTACTTGCCCGTCCTGCAGAAGGAGGATGGTATCGGCGGCGCGAATTGTGCCTGCGGTCAGTGAGACAAACGTACTCAGGCGGTGCGCAACGATCCACACCGTCGTGCGGCCCTGCTCGATAATCGAGGTGATCGCCTCGTTGATCAGCAGCTCCGAGGCCGAGTCGAGCGCCGACGTCGCTTCATCCAGCAGCAGCACGCGCGGTTCGCGCACGAGTGCACGCGCAATCGCAATGCGCTGGCGCTGCCCACCGCTCAGCTCGCGGGGGCCGATGTGCGTGTCGAAGCCCTGCGGCAGCGCCTCGATAAACTCGGTGCAGTGCGCCGCGCGCGCCGCGCGCTCCATCTGCGCACGTGTAGCATTCGGTGTGCCGTAGCAGATATTCTCCGCTATCGTGCCTTCGAAAAGCACGGGCTCCTGCGGCACAAGCGCCATGATGGCGCGCAGCGACTCGGGCGTGAACGTGCGAATGTCCCGGCCGTCGACCGAGATGACACCTGCGTCAGGTTCGTAGAAGCGCATCATCAGCGCGTGCACGGACGACTTGCCCGCGCCGGAGGTGCCCACGAGCGCGACGCTCGTGCCAGGCTGGATGTCCAGGTTGACGCCACGTAGGATAGGCGTGTCGGGGCGCGTCGGGTACCGGAAGTGCACGTCGTCAAAGCGGATGTGCGCGCCGCGCTTGTCGACCTGCTCCGCGTGGAGCGAGCGGCCCTGGCCGAGGGGCACGCCGGGCGTACGGTCCAGCAGGCCAAACACGCGCGCACCGGCGCCCATGCCCTTCATCAGCGACGTAAAAAAGCTCGTCATAAGCATCACACCGCCGCCGAGGTACGCCGTGTACATGAGCAGCGACGTCAAGTCACCGACGGTCAGCTGCCCAAGGCTCACGAGGTGCCCGCCGTACGTGAGCAGCGTCACAATCGCACAGTTGCCCACGAACCCTAGGCCCGAATGGAAGATGCCGCCGGCGTACGCCTCCTTGGTCTGGAGCGCCGCAATCTCGTTCACCTGGCGGTTGAAGCGCGCCGCCTCGTGGGCCTGTGTGTTGAATGCGGTGATCGTCCGGAACGCCGGCGGGCTCAGACGCTCTTCAGCCGTGCGCGTCATCGTGCCGACCGCCTCTTGTGTGCGGTTCGTCAGGTGGCGCAGGTAGCGCCCGTAGATCGACGCACCAAGCGCCGCGGGCGGGATCACAGCCATCATCACGAGTGTGAGCTTGGTCGAGATGTAGAACATGGCCGAGCATGCGGCCGTCACAGTGAGCGCGGAACGCAGGCCATCGGCCAGGTCCGTCGTGATCGCCTCGCCGACCATGTTGCAGTCCATGTTGATGCGGCTGACCGTGTCGCCGGCCCCGCGATCGGCAAACGCCACATCCTGCCTGAGCGCGCTCGAAAATGCACGCTCACGCACACGCTGGATCACGCGCACGCCTGCCAGCTCCAGCATAATATTGGAGCTGGCGCGCGCCACAGCACCCAGCGCGAATATGGCGAGCAGAAGGAGCGCCACTGTCGACATGCTCAGGCCGAACGGCAGCGAGGTATCCGGCGACGAGAAGAAGTCGACGACCTTGCCGATCGTGAAGGGCACAGAGAGCGATACGGCGGACGCCACCAGCAGGAGCGCCATAGCGAGCGCCATGCCGCGGTACTCGGGGTACATGAGCGCCATGAGGCGCGGGAGCGTGGGAAACCGGCTGGCACTGGCCGCGCCGCGCGTACGTGCGCTGATCATGTCACGCAGCGTCACGACGACCTGGGATAGGGCACCGGGCCGCTGCGGAGCAGGCGCAGTGTCTTTGGCCGCGGCCAGGCGCGCGCGCACGGCGTCGTCTTGCGCCACCGAGCCGCGCGTGCGCTTGTCGTCGCCGCTCGGAGGAGGGGCCGCGCGCTGTACGCCACCGGCGTGTAGGCACCGCACGAGCGGCGGCACGCACACACGCACTGGCACCGCAACAGAAAGGGGCATGCGACCCACACACGCATGAAGAACCCGCGGCGGCTGCAGCAAACGGGGCGCCAACGCCCGAGCTAGCAGCGCCATCGTGGGAGGAGACAGGCGCGGGCGAATCTATCACGTGCTAAGAGCCTCGGCCTGCGCGCGGTACGCGTGCCACGCGGCGCGCGCCACGGCGTCGTGCGGCGCCGGCAGGCCCGTCCACAGACGGAACTGGTGGAAGGCCTGCTCGAGAAGGATCTCAAGGCCACGGACACCGTGCCATGCAGGATTCTGCTCGACGAGCGTGAGCAGCGGCGTCTTTTCGGGGCGGTACGCCATGTCAATCGCCACGCCGCCGCCGGCCGACAGCAGGTCGGCCGGCAGCACAATGTCGGCGCCGCCCGGCGTCAGCGACGTGCCGGAAGCCGGCACATTGCTCACAATGACGTCGGGCGCCTGGGCAGCGGCGTCCGTGAGCGCCTGCAACGGCTGCACGCGCCACTCGGTAGGCACGCCCGCCGCAAGCTCCGCGGCCTTCGAGTACGTGCGGTTGTACAGGAGGACGGTCGTGGCGCCCAACCTGTGCATTGCATACAGTGCGGCGCGCGCCGAGCCACCGGCGCCGATCACGAGGGCCGTGCGCGCTGCGCGGCGGGCCCGGTGCGCCAGCTCATAGATCGCACGCCAGTCCGTGTTCTCGCCGTGCAGCGACAGGCGCTCGCCGTCGCGCTGTGGCACCACCGTGTTGACTGCGCCAATGGCCTGCGCCTCAGGCGACAGCGTGTCCAGCAGTGCCAGGATGTCGCGCTTGTGGGGGATCGTGACACTCGCACCGCCAAAGTCGGGCGCGCGCACGAGCGCACGTACGCTCGCATCGACCTCGGCCGTCTCGTGCAGCGCGTACGAGTGCGGCAGGCCCAGCAGCTGAAACGCAGTATTGTGGATGAGCGGGCTCAGCGAGTGCACGATCGGCGTGCCCAGGAGGGCAAAGCGCTGCGCAGGCAGCAGGCCGAGGAGGTGGCGCGCCGCGTGGATCTCCTGCACGCTTAGCTGCCCCGGCGCCGCCCTGCTCGGCAGGCTGGGGTGCGTCACGGGCGTGAGAAGCGGGTTGAGCACGCGCGAAAGCTGGCCGGCCGCCTGCATGTTGATCGCAATGAGCGTCGAGGCATCGCGCGCCGCCCGGAAGTGCTCCAGCGCCACATTGTCCTGGACCGAATGGGCGATGCCGACGAGCTTGACAAGGTCGCCCCACTCGTGCCCGCGCTCGTACAGCTGCGCCATCGCCGGCGACGTCCACGGCACCTGTCCCGCCGTGTCGTGCGCCGACGCCACAATCCGCGAGGGCCCGCGGTGCGCGCGCAGCTCGCGCCACGCGTCCGGCGAGCGGCGCAGCTCCACGTCGACCCACTCGCAGCCGAGGCGCACGCCGAGGCGCACGAGCGCCCAGTACGCCTGCTCCTGGTCGTCAGGGAACCGCCCGCCCTCCGACACGCTGCGCACCGTGTACAGGATCGGGAGTGGCGAGTGCTGCCGCAGGAGGACGGCCTGCGCCCGCACCTCGTCGACAGACGGCATGCCCGCCGGGTCCAGGAGGTCCACGCGCAGCTCCAGCACGTCCACACCGGCCGAGGCCGTCGCAAGCACGGGGAGTGCGTCGCGGATGTGCGAAAAGGTGAGCGAGAGGAAGAAGGCAGGTCGCGCCGGCACAGGCGCGCCGAGCGCCGGGGCCAGCTGCCGCACGAGCGCGGTGACGACGTCGCCCTCGTTCACCGTCTCGAAGCATGCACACGCATTGTACCAAGGCTGCCGCCGCTCGAACACGTCGCGCAGCGGCTCGCCGTACGGCGGGCGGTGGCTCGTCGCAAGGAACGCCTCGATCTCCTCGAAGCGGCGCACCACGTGCACCACAGGGCCCGTGCGCTGGAACGCGGCGAGGAGCGCCCGACTGGCCGGTGCCTCGACGACGCCGCCGCCGAGTGCGAGGACGTGGCCGTGCGCACACTCGCGCAAGAGCTGCTCCAGCACGCGCGTCTCCTCTTGGCGGAAGGCGTCCCAGCCATGCTGCGCGATAAACGTGCCCAGGTCAAAGCGCTGCGAGAGCACCTCGTCCGCGTCGACGAACGTGCGGTGCATGCGCTCAGCGAGGAGGCGGCCAATGTGCGACTTGCCTGAGGCGCGCATTCCGATCAGCACAATGGTCGCGTCTGACGCGTAGCGCCCGGGTAAGCCCGAGAGGTCAGCGGACGCGCGCGGCGCCGGCACGAGCGACATGGCCTCGTCCGCAGCGGCGAGCGGCACACGCAGCTGCGTGCCGAGCACGTCCCACCAGGCAGGCCACGTCTTCTCGACGCACCGCTTTTCCTCCAGGGTCGTCGGCTGGCCTGGCACGACGCTGGCCAGGACACTGAAGGCCATGGCGATGCGGTGGTCGTCGTAGCAGGCGATGGGCGCCGAGGTCGCCAGGTCCGCGATCGAGCGGCCATACACCACGATGCCGTCGTCGTGCTCGTGCGCCTCGACGCCAAACTTGGCAAGCTCGGTGACCGTAGCACGCAGGCGGTCGCACTCCTTCACGCGCTGGTTCGCAATGCCGGTGATCTTGGTCGATGTGCCTTGTGCCACGGCGAACAGCACGGCGGCTGTCATGAACGCATCGGTCATGGGCTCCATGTCGACCTCGCCGAGCTGCCGCAGCGTGCCGGGCGGCGGACCAGTGACAGTCGTGCTGTTCTCGGTCTGCTCGACACGACAGCCCATCGCCGCGAGCACGTCGCGCGCAAAGCGCGCGTCGCCCTGGAGCGACGCGGAGCCAATCGACGGCACGGTGACCGTCGAGCCGGTGATCGCCGCGACAGCCAGGGGATACGTCGCGCTGCTCGCGTCGCTCTCGACCGTGTACACGGCTGGCGCACGGTAGGCCTGCTGCGGAATGCGGTACACATGCTCAGCGACCCGCTCGACCCGCACGCCAAACGACTCCATCATCGCCACCGTCATGTCGATGTACGGCTGCGAAATGACCTTGCCGCCGACAAGCTCGAGCGTGACGGGATCCTGGGCGTACGGCGCACACAGCAGCACCGCCGACACGTACTGCGACGACACGTCCGCGGCCAGGCGGATCACGCCGCCACGCAGACCGCCACGGCCCGTGATGCACAGAGGCAGGGCGCCCGGCGCCTCGACGTACGCCATGTCCGCACCGTTCGCACGGAGGGCGTCCACCAGCGGCCCAATCGGGCGCTGCTTCATCCGCGCATTGCCCGTGAGGGTCACCGTGCCATCCCGCAGCAGCGTCGTGACGCCGGTCATGAAGCGGGCAGCGGTGCCAGCGTTCTGCAGGTACACTGGCTTGTCGCACGCCTCCAGGCGGCCGCCACCACCGTGCACGACGAGCTGAGCGCCGTCCTCTTCCCATGCAAAGTCCGCGGCGCGCAGCGTGCGCAGCGCGTTCATCATGACCTGCGTGTCGTCCGAGTGCAGCAGGTTGCGCAGGCGGCAGGTGCCTTCGGCGAGGGCAGCGAGGACGAGTGCACGGTTCGACACGCTCTTCGAGCCGGGCGTCGGCAGCGTCACCGGCTCGCGCGGTACGCCGCGCGACGAGCTTACCTGGACAGACGGCGCGAGCACGCGCGCGATCACGGCGTCCGGCACGGTGCTGGCCCGCTCCTCGGCGGTCGCGCCGATGCGCGACAGGAGCACAATCTTCTTGGCCGTGCCGGCGTTTTTCTTGTCGACGCGCATAATGTCCAACAGACGCGCCGTGGTGATGGCCTGCGCCTGCGGCAGCGCGGCGATGCGCGCATCTTTGAGCGTGACGGGCAGTCCATAGTTCGTCAGCGCCCGCACGAGCCGCCCGATCACGACCTGCGGTAGGCCGTGCATCGCGCGCGCAATCTCCGCCTCGAGCACCATCCCGATGGCCACACACTCGCCGTGCAGGATGGCGGGCGTGAGCACAGCCTCGATCGCGTGGCCGACCGAGTGCCCAAAGTTGACGAGGTTGCGCAAGCCAGTCTCCTTCTCGTCGATCGTGACGATGTGGGCCTTGACGCCGATGCTCCCGCGGATCACATCGAGCAGGAGCGTCTGCGACGGCGTGCGCGTGGCGAGCGTGTGCCCGAGGCCGGCCGGAGCCGCGCGCGCCTCGTCGCTGAGCACGGCCGCGCGGATCGACTCGGACTCGCTCTCGAGCTTGTCAAAGTCGTCGGCATCCCAAATCGCCGCCGTCTTCACCACCTCGGCCATGCCGTTGCAGAACTCGCGCTCAGGCAGAGTGAGGAGCCATGCGGCGTCCACAAACACAAACTGCGGCTGGTGGAACGCGCCAATGAGGTTCTTGCCGTAGGGATGGTCGATCGCCGTTTTGCCGCCGACGGCCGAGTCCACCATGGCGAGCAGCGTCGTAGGAATCTGCACATACTTAAGGCCCCGCATGAACTGGTGTCAGCCTCGTCCACATACCGTCGCCGATACAAAGCCCACCAAGTCGCCCATCACGCCGCCACCGCAGGCCAGCACGACCGTGTCGCGTGTCAGGCGGTGCGCCAGCATCCAGTCCTCGATGCCTGCCTTGGTCTCGCGGCTCTTGCTCTCCTCGCCAGGTGGCAGCACGTGTGCGAGTACGCGCGATGCGTTGCCTTCTGGCCTATACTTCTCAAACGCTTCGCGGAACTGGTCAACCACGCCGAGCGCCTCGAGATGGGCGTCGGTGAACAGCACATACGAGCTCGTCGGCAGCTCAGCGTACAGCGTCTGCACAATGTGCGGCACCAGGTGGAAACCCAGCTGGATCCGCGTGTCTAGGCAACGAAGCTCGTGGATTGTAGCACCACTCAGCTTCGACGTAAAGGGCGGCGCATGGTACGACGGCACCTTGTGGCCCGCCCCGGCCTCGTTCATGGTGGGACTGGAAGGTCTTCGCCAGCTCGGCAGTGGAGGCACGTGGCTCTATGACTCTACACGCCTGTCCAAGGCTTGGCGAAGCAACGCCAGCGCCTCGGAGGTATCCAGGGGCCATGGCAGGCCCAGCGCGCGTGCCATGTCCTCATCTGTGCGCGACTGGCTCAGTTCCGTCCGTATCCGTATGAGCTCGCGCTTCGGGAGCGGAGACACCCGCTTGCCCCCCGACTCGCGCGCGCCGGCCATCGTGGAGAAGGCCAGCTGCGTCACACAGTACTTGGTGTTCCCAAAGGGATTGTCAAAGCGCACTGCATAGTGCATCCAGCGCGGTGCAATGACCGTGGCAACACACTGCCGCTCCAACTGGAAGCACGAGGGATTCAACTCAGCCGCGCGCGCCATCATCACAGCCGACGCCCCCGTCCGCTCGCGCAGACGCGGTGCATCGCTCGCCCCGAAACAGTCGCCATTGTAGATGACGGGCACACTCTGCCCAGTTTCAGCGGCCACCTTCGATACATGCTCTGCAATCTCACGGAATCGGTCCACGAGCGCGGCCTCGCGCGGCCGCATGGGCTTGGTCCGGCAGTGGATCGTCAGCGCGCGAATCGTGCGCGTCCGCACGATCTGCTCAACGAGGGCCAGCGTCTCGACCTGCGTGGGCAGGAGCCGGATCTTGCACGTCACACTCACATGCGGCGGCGCGGCACGACGCATTTGCCGCAAAATCTCGCACAGCAAATCCGGCTCCGTGAGCAAATTCGCCCCCATACCGCCGAGCGTAGAAAACGGTTTCGGGCAGCCGCAGTTGAGGTCGACCCCCGCGACGTCGTCGTGTGCCGTGACGATGCGCACCGCCTCTGCTGCATTCTCGGGCGTCGAACTGCCGACCTGGTATATCAAATAGGGGCGCTCGATCGGGTGGCACGAGAAGATCTGCTTGTCGTCCTTCATGTATTCGACAAGGCCCGTCGACGCATTGACGCGCCGCGTCGTGCCCATGATCGCACGGTCTACAATCTCCGGCGACCACACGAGATCCGCGCCATACTCCAGCGCTAGTAGACGCGAGGGGAGCGACCCAATGCGGACCATAGGCGCCAAAAATAGGCCCTTGTCAAACACTGGCATCCGGGGATCGCTAGGTGGTGGCATCTCCGTATCCAGTTTCACGCGCTTCGCTTGACTTTCTTCTGTGCCATTCTCGGCCCCTGGTCTAGTCGACATGACACTTCTTGCAGCGCTGAGAATGCGATACGGCCCCCAATTCCGTACCGCAACCAGCCGCATACAAGCGCGGAAGAAAATGTCAGCGTTCCCCGACTTGTGGAGGGCCAATTCGGCCCAATTCTACCTGCGCCCCAGCGACCAAGTCCATGGGTCTGCACGACTTGCACCATGTCTGGCTGGAGCGCCTCACTCTGGTGCAAGCACCCGAGTGCCAGGCACCGTCTCGTATCACTTTAGCACCGGATATGCACCCTCTTCCGCCCAGCATGGACGCATACTGCGTCTATCCCTTCACTGCAGAGAGCCTGGCCCAGGCGCAGACCACCCGTCTGTCCGCAGATCAGCTCCGCGCCCAGCGTGAGGAACATGCTACGTTCCTGCAGCATTATAGGGAAAAAAAGGAACATGAGCGCCAAGCCTACCTGCACAAAGTCGCGCCTGGCTGGGCGCACGGAGACCACTCAATCCTGCAGCCCGACTCTGCGCCGTTGCACGGACAGACAATCAATTCGAACGAATCTACTGAACCTTGTCCAGAGGCCGGTTAAAGCCTCCTTTCCTGCCCAGTAAGCACGTACGACGGATCCCACATACCGGTTCATGTACTGCCGCCAACTATGCTCCTTCTTGATCTCGGCGAATCCTTCCGAATTGTCCTCAACATGCTTGCCTTTGCTCGTTCCAAAGCTCCCAAATCCCATCATGGCCGCCATCTGGTCGGCCTCGGCATCGTCTGTATCGCCGGAGAGGGGGGTATCTTTGCTCTGGTTGTAGCGCTTGGCTTCACGTGAGTCCTCACGGTTCGCGGTACGCTGGGGCACAGGGCTTCGCTCTCGTGTGCTTCGCCGGTCGTCTTGGGGGCGCTGCGATTCTTTGTCATGGCTACGCCGAGCGCCCCAGCGGTCTCTCCTCTCATAGTCATCATGATATCTGCTTTCCCCAGAGGCACCGTCTCTCCCGCTCCAAGGTAGATGTCCTCGGTCGCGGTCGCGGTCGCGCCATGAGGGCCGCCGCTGGGCCTCTCGCGAGCGCTCGCGCGGCCTATTGTGAGTATCTTGAGACCAGGACCTCCGGTCCTCGGTCCACCTGTCCTGGCCTCGAATCCATCTCTCAGATTCATAGGCATCTGCCTGCCCTATGGGCAAGGGCTCAGCATCGTCGTACTGCACCCGTGAGCGGCGACGGTCCATCGGATCACCTGTGGAGCGCGCGGACTTGCATGGCGTCGTGGCTCAAAGAGGGTCACATGGGTCGGATGACTAATCTGATTCGCCTCGAGGCGCTCGTCGCACCCGTGTCTCCTCCCAGGTACCCTCTCCCCAAGCACATTCACTATGGCTGGCGGTCACCATCGTGCGTACAAAGTACATAATCTTACTTTCTAGGCTCTGTTAAGATCGACCCCGCTATTGAGCGGTGGCAGAACATGGTAGGTGCTCTTGCGTGGTCGAAATTCACTAACACGGCTCAGCACAACACTATGTACCAGCGTTTCCGCTGGACCCCCAAGAATGCACCCATCCTGCTGCTCTGGGGATTCGGTGTCCCTTCGCTCATCTACATGGGCATTTCGTCGACGAACGTACGTCTTCGCGTCGCGACAATGGTGCTAACTTTACAGAACCTGTGGGACTACACGGGCAAGAACAAAGACGAGTCGCTGTTGCGCGTGTCGCCTGAAGCCGAGTCGGCGTGAAATAGTCATCGCAGTCGTATATCTGGCGCTCTAAAGTGCTTATTATATATTGAGTCGTCCTCCATATGCTCTTCTTTCGTGTTGACACTTTCAATCACTACGAATGGCCATACTGGGCTCCTCTTGGCCAACCAACCAGGAGACCTTAGGCTGTGGCTCGCCATAGTCCCCCGGGCCATGGCGTCCCTGCGCCGAGGGCGCCGTGGTCACATCCTTCATCCAATCACGTGAGCTAGTATTTGTCATCGGCTCGAGACGGCCGAGTCATGCGGGTGGTTGACACTCAATTCCCTCTGATCTCGATTTTCTTCCCCCACTCCCACTTTCAACAGCATGTGTGACTGTCAGGATACTCGCCCCAGCAAAATGCAGCGTATTGAAGGTGAAGCCTCTGACGATGTCAAGGAAAGCCATGTCGCTGTAGACAGCAGCAGCGCTGTATCCAAGCCGGCCCGTTCTGAGAACGCGGCTCTCCAGGGTGCCCAGCCATTCTCTGCGTCACGTTACGCCGACTTCCTGAGCAATGTGTCCAACTTCAAGATCATTGAGTCTACTCTGCGTGGTACGTGCATTAAGAAACTAACCGAGTAGAGGGCGAACAGTTTGCGAATGCCTTCTTCGACACGGAGACGAAGATCAAGATTGCCAAAGCTTTGGACAACTTTGGTGTCGATTGCATTGAGCTCACCTCGCCGGCCGCCTCGGAGCAGAGCCGCAAGGACTGCGAAGCCATTTGCAAGCTTGGTCTGAAGGCCAAGGTCATTACGCATATCCGTTGCCACATGGATGACGCCCGCATCGCTGTCGAAACTGGTGTCGACGGTGTCGACGTGGTCATGGGCACCTCCAAGTTCCTACGCGAATACTCGCACGGAAAGGACATGACATACATCACCAAGGCAGCTGTTGAGGTGATCAACTTTGTAAAGAGCAAGGGTATTGAAATCCGTTTCTCCACGGAGGACTCGTTCCGTTCGGACCTGGTCGACCTGTTGAGCATCTACCAGGTAGTCGACAAGGTGGGCGTGAACCGTGTGGGTATTGCCGACACTGTGGGCGTGGCCAGCCCCCGTCAAGTGTACGACCTCGTGCGCACACTCCGTGGCGTGGTTGGCTGTGACATTGAATGCCACTTCCACAACGACACCGGTTGCGCTATCGCCAACGCTTACACGGCCTTGGAGGCTGGTGCGACTCACGTCGATACGTCTGTGCTTGGTATCGGTGAACGCAACGGTATTCCAAGCCTGGGTGGGTTTATTGCTCGTATGTACGCGGCCGACCGTGAGTTCGTGATGAACAAGTACAACCTCAAGGCCCTGCGTGAGGTCGAGGACATTGTCGCGGACGCTGTTCAGGTGCAGGTGCCCTTCAATAACCCCGTTACTGGCTACTGTGCCTTCACACACAAAGCCGGCATTCACGCCAAGGCCATTCTTGCGAACCCTAGTACCTACGAGATCATCAAGCCTGAGGACTTCGGTATGAGCCGCTACGTGTCGATCGGTCACCGCCTGACGGGTTGGAATGCTGTCAAGAGTCGTGCCCAGCAACTCGGTCTCGATCTGACGGATGAGCAGGTTAAGGCTGCCACCAACCGTATTAAGGTCATGGCGGATATCAAGGACCAAACCATGGAAGATGTGGATGCGGTACTGCATGTGTTCCACCGTGCCATCCGGAATGGCCAAGACGTGAGCCGCGACACTGTGTTCGACAAGCTGTTCGACCAACACGTTGCGTCACGGGGTCCGAGTGCCATTACAGAGGATGGTGAAAACTAAATATATGACACGTCCTGGCAATTCGTGCCTAGCAAATAGAAAATAAAAAGTCATGTCTTTTCCATACCACTTTCACATGGCAATCGCAGGGAAATAGAGTGGGCCGCTCGGCGTCGCGTATGGCTGACTCAGCGCCACATCGCTGTCCACATGGGGCAGCAGGATGAGGAGGCAATAGGCGGCTCTTACACAGAGTCAGAGAAGCCAGGTGCTGTCTTTGACTCAGGGCCAGATGAGAAACACGATCAAATACCCAAGGTGCTTGACAAACGCCGATGGTCTCGATTCGCGTGGATTGAATGGGCCAACATCGATCCCATCTCCAAGGACGAGCAGCGTGTGTCGCACCCGTACTCGATTGGTTTAATCTGGTTTAGCGTCAACATGAACGTCCTAAGCTTCTCTACCGGCATGCTTGCCCCTGAATTTGGGTTCGGCTTCAAGTATGCAAGCTATACAGTATTAGGCTTTCTGATCGCATGGGGTCTTTTCCCATCTTTTTTCGCACTCTTCGGCAAGAACCTTGGCTTGCGCCAGATGGTGCATGCACGATATTCTTTCGGATACTTTGGTGCCTCTTTGGTGTCCATTTTAAATGCTATCACAGGTATCGGTTACATGATTCTTAATGCAATTCTTGCTGGAGAGACACTGCAGGCTGTATCGCCTAATGGTAGCATGTCGGCGACTGTCGGCATCGTGATTGTTACCCTGCTTGGTCTCATTGTGTCTTTTTGCGGTATCCGCGTGCTGAATCTAATTGATATGTGGTTTTGGATCCCTGTCCTGATAAGCTTTGCCATTATGGCCCGGGAGGCCAAGTCCGGCCCTCAAGGTCTTCACTTGGACCCGAACGAGCAGCCTCCTTCTGCGAAATCTGTTTTGTCTATGGGATGTCTCATGGCAGGATTTTATGCTACCTACTCAGCATTCTCATCCGACGTCAGTTTGTATATGAACCGCGACAAGTCGTCTGTGTGGCTCTTTGTGGTGGTGATGCTAGGCCTGATCTTCTCTGCGCCGTTGGCCATGATGCTGGGGGCGGCATTCGCTACGTCAGCTGTCGATATCCCGGCTTGGAATACAGCCATTGAACAAAACCCTTCGCCGGGTCCCCTTATCAACCTTATTTTGTCCTCTCATTTGGGCAACTTTGGCAAGTTTCTAACGGTTCTCATTGCCCTCTCGGCCGTGAGTAATATTATGACAACCTTCTATTCCATGGGTCTCAGTGTACAAACAGCGATCCCTATCCTTACGGTTCTCCCACGCTTTGTGATTCCCATTCTGGCGACAGCCATTGTGCTGCCTCTGGCTATTGTGGGACAGGACCACTTTTACAATGCTCTGACTAACTTTGTGAGCATCATTGCTTATTGGGCGGCTCTTTATATCGGAGTCACGCTAGCCGATTTCATCGTTATTCGGAGGTGCCGTTTCTCTTCCTATGATCTTTCTATTTGGAACGACTGGCGGTCCTTGCCCCCCGGGTTCGCTGGCATCCTCTCAGCTGTATTGGCTCTCGGACTTGTAATACCCTTCATGGATCAGACATGGTACACGGGCCCCTTGGGAGCCAAGGTCGGTGATTTGGGATTCGAAATCGGCCTTGGCCTCTCCTTTTTATTGTATTGCTTCTTGCGCCCGCTCGAGATGAAACTTTGGCATTAGCCACGGCCAGGCTCAGGTACATAGTCACGTGAACAACACAACACCCAAACATACGCGCCGCGATGCCGCGCCCACCTCCACGCCATGGCAGACACGGCCGGCGGCAGTGCGGACGATGTGGCGCGCATGCCGCTGGGGGAGCGCCTATCATCGAAGCTATGGAAAGCTCGATTAACTGCGTACGAGGAACTGACAAAATCATTTTCACATACATCTTCAGACGAAGATCCGATCTTTGCTGACTATGCGCACCAAACCGACGTACTGCAAGGTATGGCTCTTGATACCAATGCAGCAGCCCAGGAGAAGGGCGTCGAATGTCTCTGTGCTTTTGTTCGGTATGGTGGCACACGTGCAGGTCGCACACGCATGGATGTACTGCCAGGGGTGGCAGAAAAATGCCTCTGCTCCATGCGCACAGGTACTCGTAAAGCGGCACAGGAGTTGGTCCTGCTTTTTGCAGAGCAGGAGGACGTGGCTGGTTGTGATGGGATCATTGGCGACCTTTGTGACAAGATTACATCTAAGCAGCCCAAGGTTGTCGCAGCTAATGTCAATGCCCTGACTCTTCTGGTACAAAACTTGGGTGGTGAGCAGGTGAATGTGCGCCTCATTTCCCAGTCCATTCCGCGAATATTTGCACATGCGGATAAGAATGTGCGTACAGAAGGCAGCGCGCTGGCAGTGGAGCTCCATCGGGTGATGGGCGCGGCCCTTGCGCCCGTGCTCTCTCAACTAAAAGACATTCAGGTGAAAGAACTGGAACGACAATTCAGTGAAGCTGCACCCGCTAGCGCACCTCTGAGGCATCTCGCATCGAACAAGGCACGAGCGGAGGCCTTAAGTGCGGCCGAGCCTGCGGCAACGTTGGACGAGGCGCCGGCTTCGTCAGGCGCCGCAGTGGATGAACAGGAGAGCGCTATGGATGCGCTTTTGGAAGATCCTTACGAAACGTCTGAGCCTGTGAATGTACTGAGCAGTCGCAAACTATCTCCACAGTTCTTTTCACTAGTCGCATCGACCAAGTGGCAAGAACGTATGGAAGCCCTCGACTCCTTGCATGCCGCGCTGAAGGACAGTCCACGTATCCAGCCTGATCCGGGCCTGGATAGCTACGTACAAGCATTGCAATTGCGTGTTCAGAAAGACGTCAATATAAACGTGGTACTGCAAGCATGTCGTTGCTTGTCTGGATTGGCACAAGGCCTGCGCAAAGACGGCACGTTCTTATTATCCGTGCTACCAACGGTGCTCGAGAGACTGAAAGAGCGCAAGCCCGCCACAGTCGAGGTTCTTTCTGCCACGCTTGATGCCTTGTTCCTCTGCGGCACGCTAAGCGACGTACTGGAACCAGTGGCTACGGCTGCGGCCCATAAGAATCCAGCTGTCAAGGCGGGCACCGTGCGCTTTCTCGCCCGGTGCCTGCAGTCTACCACCGCAGCACCTAATAATGCTGATATCAAGTCCATGGCATCGTTGCTGCTCACGTCGCTTGGTGAAGGGGCTGGTGACGTGCGTGATGCCGCGGCGCATGCCATGGGCACTTTGCTGAAACTTGTGGGCGAGCGGCCCATGGCGCCCTTCATGGAGCAACTTGACGATATCAAGCGGTCCAAAGTCCAGGAAGAGGCGGCGAATGTAATCTTGGCGGTCAGGCAAGCTCCTACTGGGAAAAGCGCCGGCATGCGTCCCCCTTCTAGCGCCGCATCTGCCAGTGCAGTGCACGGGACTCCTGCAAACTCTCGTGCTCCTGCCCGGCCGCAGCAGAACCCTACACCGGCTGCTTCAAGGCGGTCTGCGCTGCCTGCAGAGGGCACCACCCCTGCACATGCTCCCAGCAAGCCCCTCGCTGCTGTTCGTGCGACATCCCAGAAACCAGTGATGACTCGTGCACCTGTTGCGGCACCGAGCGGCCCGAGTAATACTACTTCACGCCGTCCTGCTCCACGGAATAATGCGGTGCAGTCTGCAGCAGAGGAGGCTGTCTCTTTCCGCTACTCACCCGAGGAGGGCGCCGCTCGAGCACTAGAACTACTTCCCGAGCATGTGCGTGCACAACTTGCTTCATCGAGCTGGAAAGAGCGCTTGGAAGGAGCTCAAAGTCTTGTGCCATGGATTCGCTCAACGGAGCCTGACACCGAGCTGGTGGCTCACCTTCTCGCGCGGCATCCCGGCTGGAAGGAAAGTAACTTCCAAGTCATGAACATGGTGTTCCAAGCCATGCAGGCTATGCAGGAACTTGGTTCCTTTGGACGAAACACGGCCGCCTTGACAATTCCACCACTGTGCGAAAAACTAGGCGACATGAAACTCAAGGCGACAGCAGGCGAGACGCTGATGCTGTATGCGGAAGCAGTCTCGTTTGGGTATGTTCTTGCTCAGAGTGTGCCTGTGCTAAGTGCTTTGAAAGCGCCCAAGGCCCAGGCAGATGCTCTGCTCTGGGTGAACGAAGCAGTACTTGCCTTTGGCCTCCAAGGCGTGGACACCAGGACACTTGTGTCATACTCGGTGGATGCGCTCAAATCGGCGAATGCGACCGTACGAGCTAATGCCACTACACTGTTTGGAACGCTCGCGCGATTTGTTGGTCGTGCACTGCTCGGCCTTGTATCAGATGTGACGCCGCAGCTCATGGCCACGTTGGAGACGCAAGTTGCGTCGGCAGAGCCGGCACCTGCGCCTACTCGCGCAACTCGCTCTGCGAAGGTGGGAGTCCCTCAGGAGGTTCCTGACGACGAGTCACCCGCCAACCCAGAGGTTGAAGAGGAGGTGGATCTAGACAGTCTCATTCCTCGTGTCGCGATCGAGACATTGGTGTCTTCCGCGACACTTCAGTCGATGGGCGACAGCTCGTGGAAGGTCCGCAAAGAGGCACTGGAAGCGGTCCAATCGTCCCTGCAGTCACATCCACGACTGCAGGGACAAGGCACGGATCTAGTGCAAGCGCTCAAGCCACGTCTTCAAGATACCAATATCATGGTGCGTACACTGGCGCTCGACACGGTGTCGCTACTTGCGCGCGGGTTGCAAAAGAGCTTTGAGCCACTCGCACGAATTCTCAGTGCTCCTGTCGTGCAGGTGCTGGCGGACGCCAAGGCGCCGATCCGCGCTGCTGCGGTCGCTGCGCTAGATGCAATGGTGGGGCAGGTGCATCTCGCGCCGCTTGTTCCAGGCATGGGTCTGGTGCTGGACGGCAAACATGCCAATCCTATGCTACGGCAGGATTTATTCCAGTGGCTTGAAGGCGCACTACCTGCGCACGGACCGTTGCCCGATCTTGCACCGCTCATTCCGTCCGTCCTTGCGTCACTCGACGATCGGTCAGGCCCCGTGCGCAAGGGCGCACAGGCCCTACTCCCTCTGCTCTTGACAAGTGTGGGACATAAGGTGCTTATTGACGCGACAGGAGCCCTGAAAGGTGCATCCCGTGCGACAGCATTGCCGCTAATCGAAGCTGCCCGCAGCCAAGCAGCGCGATTGGACCAACCTAGCGCAGCGGCCGTACCTGGGGCCAACGGTGCCGGGCCCCGACCAGCCCCACGGGCCATTGTGTCACCGAGTGCGATGCCTTCCGCGCCCTCGACGGCTCAGCGCCGCGCCGCGCCTACAAGTGGACCAGTTGTTCGCAAGGAAGCAGCTGCGGCGCCTGTGGCGCGTGTGCGCCCGGCCGTGACAACCGAGAAAGCGCGGCCGAAGGCGTCCGCGGTAAGCCGCACGCTGTCTTCCTCGACGCGTGCAGCGGAAACGGCACCGCCACCCACGCCATTTTTGACGTCGGATGACAAGTACAAAGCTGCGCGTGAGCGTGTTTCGCGAACACCTTTTGTTATCGAAGGTGCTGTCCGCGCACGCGATGTCGCGACACTGCGACAGCAGATGGAAACGTGCTGTGTGCCCACGCTAGTCGCGCGTCTTTTCAGCCAGGATCACCATGCGGAGCGGGACTATCTGCAGGGCCTCGATGACTTGATGACTGTGATTACAAACCCTGCGTGCGCGGAAGGGGCAGGCATATCCTCGTCAGAAGTGCGGGCACAGGTGTGTGCAAACTCTGATGTCCTGCTTAAGTACGCTTGTGTGCGTCTGTTGGAAAAGAACACGAGCGTAGCACTTCGATGCTTTGAGCTCGTGGGTGCACTGCTGGATTTACAAAGCCAAGAAAACGCACCTCTGGGCGATGCCGAGGCGCAAGCCCTCGTCCTTACCCTCGTCATTCGAACAGGCGATGCCAAAGCAGCTTTCCGCGAAGCGGCCCGTGATATGCTTCGACGCGTGTGTGTCTTGTTCCCGCCGTCCCGTCTCTTTCAGCTGCTGCTGGAGCATGGGCTATCATCGAAAAATGCGCGCACGCGCTCTGAATGCCTCGCTGAGCTTGGCTGCCTGTTAACGCGCCATGGAATTGCTGTGTGCACACCAGCCAAATCCTTACCAGTGGTGGCGCGACTTATAAGTGATCGCGATCCGTCCGTGCGCGGCGCAGCACTCAGCACCCTAGCTGAAGTATACAAACTCATGGGCGAGAGCCTCTGGCGGTTGCTGGGGCCACTGCCACCTAAGGACGAGAGCCTGCTGGAGGAACGCCTGAAGCGCACAAGTTTGCCTTCGTCTGCTCGAATGGCGCCGACCACCAGCTCGAGCAATGAGTTGGTCGACCGACGGGCGCAGCCCACAATGGCAGCGCGTGCGCCGCGCCCGTCGTCTTCGGTGCCGCCCGCCGACGGCCAAAGTGGCACTGAAGACGACGTCGCGCTGGTCAGCAGTGACGAGAAAGAGACAAGCATTGCCGGTCTCAAGTCCCTGCAGGCGCGCCTGCCCCAAATACTCTCGCCCAGCTCACGCCCATCGGTGGTGCGGGCGCTTTTGACCGCACTGCAGTACACTTCGCGAGGAGGTCTCGTGGATCATCGTTACGTCAAGCATGTCTTGCAGACCCTGCTAGTTCTTTTGGACTCACAATATGCGCGCGCGGCTCCACTAGACGTTGAGGATCTCGCACCACTATTGCAGTCGCTGCTTCAGCAGCTCATGCATATATCCGCACTGGACGATGAGGCGTCGCAGACACTCGCCAAGCAGCTAAACGCCGTGGTCTTACGCGTGCTCTCTACATGCCCTGGTGATGCGGTGTATGCTGCCCTCTTCGAGGTCCTCACAGAGGGTACACGCACACTCTCGGCAGACTCCATCGAGGACGCTCGTTTCGTTGAGCTCGTCGTCAAATGCTTGTGGAAAGTGGCCCGCAAACTCCCGGCTGCACTCGAGGCGCAGCAGGTGCATGGCGCGGCGCTGTTGGTAAGCGTGGAGAAGTTTTTGCAAGCTGTGCCACCCGCCGAGTGGGGCCGCCGAGCACGCGAGCATGTGCCTCTGCGCGACATTCCTTTGATTACCGCGACCAACGTGCTCAAGCAACTGACGGATGTGCTGGGAGAAGGTGCGCTAGCACTTACGGATTCGTGGGACGAGCCGGAAAACAGCCATGTGTATCGCTACCTCCTGCGCCTACTGTACGGCAGTGGTGCCACTCGAGAAGGTGAGTCGGCTACCACTTCATCCACGGTCCCTCTTCCTGCTGCGCCAACCAAAGATGAACCGAAAGAAACTGCCCCCGTGCGCCAGACTACCAGTCCTACGGACGATGCTCTCACTGCCGAACTGCGCGGTATATTTGATCGTATCTCGCAGAAGGACCAATCGCGTGCTGCGATCCGCGATCTGTACGAATTCCAGAAACGGCACCCTAGCAAGCATGCCAGTATCGAGCGCTCGCTACAAAACACCGGTCCTATTTTCCAGCGGTATATCAAGCGCGCCCTCGCGAACCATGCGGCCGAGGATCAGACGCCAGCACAGACACTGCCGTCCTCCAGTGTGGATGCGCGCCTTGCCGAGCTGAAAGCCAAGTTCCGTCGGGAGCCAGGGGACCAGCGCAGCACCGAGCGCATAGAGAAGCGCATGTCCATGTCCACGGAGGCCTTGCGCACGCGCCTGGCCGCCATGCGCACAGAGGACGCAGGACCTAGTACTTAGCACTTCATCACCGCCACTGTGGAGGTCTAGTCGTGTGCCACCGTCGTGGTCATAGGTACGAGCATTGGTAGTGTCATGGATGGCCGACGGGACATATCAGATCCGACTCACGTACACTGGCCATCTCTCCCGTCTCATTTGCGGCGGAACCACAGCCTGATACCCTCAAAGACACAACACTCGAATGGGCCTATGTCTATGGACCGATCGAACAAGGTCCCAGTTCGACCGTGGCAATCCACTGCCTGTGTGCCGACCATCTGGAGCGATTTGCCGTGGTCATATGATGCGAAGGAAGAAGATAAAGACACATGGCAGCTCTCCCGCAAGTCTAGCCTACATTCCGACTATGATCCCACTTTATGCGCTCGCTCTAGCCCGCCAGCTGATCTACAGCACCCATCCCGCCGTGTGCAGCACCTTCGTGCCCTAGATACACCGCGGCATAGTGCACCGCAAACATTTTTGGAGGCAACGATTGCAAAACTTGGCGCCGATGCTCGTGGAAGTATCAGCGAACCTGCTAATGGCACAATCAATGAATTAAAGACACGCCCGCGCACGGTCAGCGCTGCATCGACGTGGCAGACAGGTCCCGATGTGGATGATACAGCTATGAACACACGTCGGTGGCTTTCGCTGTCTGGTCAGGGGCGTGAACCTTCGTTCAGGACGGATTCTCTTGGCTCATATGACTTGACAAAGTTTTCGACCTCCCCGGCGCATGGTGGCAGATTGTCCTCCCCTCTGAAGTACGCTGCCATGGACCCGAGCGGTGTGTTCAACCAAATGAAATTGCATGATGCACACGCTCCGCCTCAGAGTCCCACATCACTAGACAGACCATGGAGCGCTACGGTGGCCGACCTGTACGAGGACCTCGCTCCGGATGCCCACAATGTATCCTCCTCAGGACCGCCTGACGCCATTCCTTATGTGGCGCCCATGCCCATGACCTCTATGTCTTCTGTACGGGCCCCCATCCCTACCGAATCGTTTATGACACCGTCTTCCATGCCGGTAGAACCGCCTCTATGGACGCCACCGCATTCCTATTCTGCACCGTATGGGCAGCCTAATTTGGTATTACCAGTTCCCTTTCCTCAGCGCGCCTTTGTCATCAAAAGCTTTACAGAGGTGGATATCCAACGATCCGTGCATCATGGCGTGTGGACAAGCACAGAAAAAGGCAACAAACGACTGGACAGTGCATGGAGACAGAGCCATGCAACAGGCCCTATTTATCTCTTCTTCTCTGTAAATGGAAGTGGTCGCTTCTGCGGCGTGGCGCAAATGACGTCGGGACTTGACTACACTCAGAGTAGCGATATATGGGCTGATGGTACTCGCTGGAAGGGCTTATTCCACGTACACTGGCTCCTTATCAAGGATGTGCCCAATGCTCAACTACGCCACATTTACTTGCGCAACACAGCGGATGTGCGACCTGTAACAAAGAGCCGCGACACACAGGAGCTTCTGCCCGAGGCAGCAGCAGCTGTTCTCCAAATCTTTTTCATCTATACGGGCTACTCTTCCCTCTTGACCCGAGAAACCTCTCCTATGTCTCGATGATCAGCGGGCTGATACTCTTTGAGTATTTTCCCTAGGTGCCCTCCAGGATGATTCTTGGCAAACGTAGTACATGTGAGCCCCTGAATTTGCACAAGGGCAAGGGCAAATGCATCGCCCAAGGCCATCATCAGCGTTGTGCTCGACGTAGGGGCAGGGATAGCGGGCCATGCTTCGCTTTCCGTTGACGATTTCGTATCCTTGAGAGGTTCTGCAGCGCTGCAGTCGAGCCATACGTCAGCTAATGGTATCAGTGCGCTAGACGCATTTGCTGTCATTACGATCCGAGTGCATTTTTGCACCTGCTCGAGTTGGAGAAAAGCATGGATCTCGGGCGTATTCCCCGAGTACGATAGTACCATGATCACATCAGATCCAGGAATCACTAGTCCTAGATCGCCATGCATACTCTCGATGGGATGCAAGTATATGGCAGGTACGCCCACCGATGTTAGTGTAGCAGCGATTTTGCGCGCTACAAGCCCGCTTTTTCCCACACCCACAAGCACCATTTTCCCTTGCATATCTTGAGTATACTTGGCAGAGATATACAAGGCTTCTTGCAAGCGGTCTTGCACAGCTTGCTGCGCACATAGCTTGTTGGCCTGAGCCTGGAGTGCAGCAGCCTCACGCTGCAGCACCATCTGGGCAAGTTCCATCCCCTTTCGCAGTGCTGCCTTAGTTAATATATGACTGCCAGCAGCTACGTTCCCGTTCATGCTCCACGGCGGCCAGTGTTTGGCATGGCTAGGCCGATATCCGGCAGATCAATAGGTCACAGTCTCTGGAACGCTGCCTGGTGGACGATCTTTCGAAATCGCACGTGTGTCGCACGTGGCACTCGGCGATCGTTGGCTATGGATTCTCACGAGGCGGGGCGTCTGGTTGCCCGCGGAACGGCGCCAAGAGCTCGCCAGACTCGTATTCTTGCATCAGTTTTTTCCACCGGAGTCGTGCAGTGTCCAGGTTACTAATGGCTGGACGCACATCAAGGTTGAAGCTGGCTTCATTCTCATCAGATTCATCCTCCCGCGAGTAGTAGTCAATAATGTAGCGCACTTCCTCCCCGCCGGGGTGAGTCTCCGTGGGACCGCGGCGCACAATCCAATCATGCCGATCAAAGGGAGGCTCAGAGCTAAATTTATCAGGCATGGCCCATGCCAGCCACCCGTACATCCGCGCCTTGGGCGTCAAGGTTCCCGGCTTGCCCTGGAAGCGTGCCAGTTGTAGCTTGGATACGTCACTGCCGGCCATCTTTTCCCATTCCACAATTTCCTGCCACGCACGCTCATTGAGGAAGTTATGTATGAGCACCATCATATCAACACTCTCCTCCGGCGTTTCCCAACCCTTGCGCACGAGAGCATTGTAGAACTGCTGCGGCGACGGGTACTCCCAGTACCCCAGAGACTCCTCATCTTGGTCCTTGTGATCCACAGGACAAGCAGACGACGACTTTGAGCTCGCCCGGGCTTCATGGGGGATCGGGCATTGCGCTGCCCCATAAGGCGAATCGCCTGGTGCTGCAGAAGTAGGGGCTCGCGGAATTGACGAAACGACTCTCTCGCGCGAAAGATCCATCGTCTGGTTGGGTGCACGATCCTGCGTGAGTTCAGGCATTTTATTCAAAGGATTAAGCTCCGAGCTAGGCGCCATCGCTCCGCGTCGGCCATGGTGCGGAACCGGGCACACGGCCTTTGGAGCGCCACCCTGGTCATTTGAATTCTCCAATGCGACACGGTGATGATGCAGCAGCATAGCCGCCACCACTTCCTGGTTGCTGTAAGGACGTGGACGTCCACCAGCGTCCTGCGAAGTCGACTGTACAGCGCCCATGTCGATTGCGTCCAAGTGGAGCAGAACAAATCGTTTTGGCGGGTCCACACTGGCACGTGCGTCCAACAGAGGGCATGCTTGAAGTATCTACGGACTAGGGGTAGGGCCAATTCCAGACTTGAGCGACGAACCGTGCCATGTCTGCATTAGAAATCTGCTCAGCACGCAGAATGAGCGGATGATGAAGCAGATATCGTGGCCCAACGCGCAGTGCCCCATCCCGCACCAAGCATCGGTCGACCAAGTCACGCAAGGAACGGCTCCATTTGATACCTTGAGCTTGATCATCTGCCAATGTAGGCAATGGCGAGTTTAGAAGATAGGTCAAAAGTTCAATGGGACCCATGGGGGGCTCTCCATCAGAAGTAAAAGGATACCGATTGAGGGCAAGCTCCAATATGGTCACACCCAGGGACCATACGTCAGAGGTAATGGTATATGGTTGGCCCATGATTCGCTCAGGCTGGCGTCAGAATCTAGTACGTACAGCCATATAAGTACAAGTACCAGTAAAAGTGCCTGCCACGCTGTTGATTAATTCGCCCGAGACACCAAAGTCACACAGCTTCATTTGGCCCTCTTGCGTCACCAGGATGTTACTGGGCTTCACATCTCGATGAATGATGCGCTGTTGGTGCAGATACTCAAGTCCCTTCAAAATCGACTCAGCCAGCTTTGCAAGCACCTTTTCACCTACACGACCACCGCGCCCCTTGACTCGGCGATAAATAGAGTCCATGCTCCCAGCCTTGCAATATTCCATGCAAATGGTAATACTTGCACTTTCAGGTTCAAAGAAAGCGCCAAAGTACTGCACAATATAAGGACTGTGACAATTTTTGTTAATATTCAATTCACGTAGTAGCTGACGGTGGATCGTAGGATCAGGAGAGGTAGTAATAGTCTTACCATAAGCATAGTATTACATACCTTGCGTGCAATTATTTGTCCAGTGGTCTTGATGCACGCCTTGGCCACCTCGCCACTGGCGCCCTCACCCAAGGAACATATCACTTCTAGATTATCCCGTAAATCCTTCATTGATATATGCGAAGAAGTGCTTGAGATGTCTGAGTCTTGAGATGCACCTCGCTGCATGGCGATCGAAGAGAGGTTGTCATAAGAGTTCGAGCTAAATCGCTCGGTTGACGAGCCCAAGTTTCCTTTTTGCTCATTTTCAAATTTATCGAGTATATTTTCACTTTCATTAACATTCATTTGATCCAGTACACGCCTGATTTCGTCCATATAGGTATCCATATCTGTAGTTTGTACGTTTGGACAAGAAGGTGGCATTATGGTGGCCTCACCCGCACTCGGCGGCCCACTCTCACCATTATCTGGCGAATTTGCTGTGATGTTAGTAAAATAAAAGACGCACAGATAGCCAAGGATAGTTTTGGTACCCCGGGACGACTGCGCCGCTTGGGTGGGATCAAAGAAGCCATGATGCTGGTCCAGTGCAGCAACCGTGATCAAAGTTCCGTCACCTCCACTTTCTTAACCACAGTACAACCGTGGCTAGCAGACCCTTCGGCACCATGCCCATATTAGAGACACTATTTGGTAGGGCCACAACTCCTGCCGAACGACTCCGACAACATCTTAGATCACTACAGCGTGCGCAGAGGGAGCTTGAACGGGAACGCTCGAAGCTCGAAGCACAGGAAAAGAAACTCGTGAATGACATTAAGCGTCATGCACGCCAAGGCCAAATGGTATGTAAGGATAAATTGACCAAAGTCGGCTTGCAATGTTATGGCCAAAGATCTCGTAAGAACTCGAAAAAATATCCATAAGTTTTATCAGATGAGCACTCAGCTCCAGGCTGTGGGCCTTCGGATGCAAACATTACGGAGTTCCCAGCAAATGGCAGAGGCGATGCGCGGAGCATCACGGGTATGTGGGATTGCACTAATTACAGTCACTTGCATCTATGAATCGTTCGATGAATGTCGTGGCTGTTCAGCGCATACTTCAGGAATTTGAACGTGAGTCTAGCGCGATGGATATGAAGGATGAAATTATGAACGATACGATTGAGGATGCGATTGGAAATGAAGATGACGTCCTAGGAGATGCTATAAATGAAGATGAAGAAAGTGATGCTATATTGCGAGAAGTCTTGGACGAAATTGGAGTCGACCTTAGCCAAAAGGTATGTGATATTATGACTGACCTTAGCTACGCAATGCACCTCAAAGCAGCATTTCAGCTAACGTTGTTGACAATTCATCAAAAATAGCACTCAGTGAAGGAGATTTGGATGGTATGGGAAGGGAAGATATGGCTTTACAAGAGCGTTTGGACCGTCTACGTAAGACAAGTTAATAGCGGTCATACGAACTAGGATTAGTTGAGGCCCGATTCGCCGATCGATATTTTCGCAACATCGCACTCCACAGTGCATGGTCATTCAACAAGACTCGATTCCATTACAAACGATGGATGAAGGGGCTCAAACGTTCTATCCAGATTCTAATAGTCGAAAACACCCACGGCATGCTATTGCTTTCTTTTTACTAGGATTGCTCAATAATATGATGTATGTCGTCATCCTGACGGCTGCTCTGGAGCTCCTTCCATCACAAGTACCCACGGGCCTATTGGCCTTTGCGAACATAACCCCTGCATTAATTGCAAAAGCTGTTTTTCCGTATTGGCTGAAGGGGGAAATCCAGTACAATGGTCGAGTATGGGCGTGCACATGCCTGGCATTTGTTGGAATGCTGGTACGTTTATGATGACTTACGCTAGACCATTGCTTACATGGACTCTCTTGTCATTCGACTTCTGGGTATTGCTACTGCTAGCTTCGCAAATGGCCTCGGTGAGATAACTTATCTACAATATGCGACACGCTTTCCACATGACATCACTACGTACACTGTCGGATGGTTCTCATCAGGAACTGGTGCGGCAGGTTTAATAGGCGCAACTGCCTGGTGGGCGGTTCGTCCGCTAGGAGTCAAGAGTGGTTTAAGCATTTTAGCGTTTTTCTCGTTCGGCACAACTCTGGCCTTCTTCGTGATCTTGCCGCATCCCCAAATTCATGTGAGGAAGCGTGCGAGTGCGGATGATACACGCGAAGCTCTCATTGCGCCTGAGAATGAATTCAGCGAAGTGGAAGCAAACGATGGAGCTAACGCTTTATCTTTTTCACATAAGATGCGTTTGCTTAAACCCATGCTTATTCCCTACGTGATGCCCTTGACGTGTGTGTATTTTGCTGAATACACAATTAATCAAGGTGTTGCACCAACTCTCTTGTACAATATTCCTGACCCTCATCAGCATCCTCTCCTTTCTTTTGTGCTCAAAAACTTGCGTGACTATTATCCGCTTTACCAACTTACTTACCAAACATTTGTCTTTATATCGAGGTCCTACACATCTATCTTTTCTCTCCCGGCGATACCAACAAAGTGGATGTGGATGCCAGCTGCTGTGCAATTCGCGTTATTTTTTCTTCTCACATCGGAGAGCATCTTCTCTTGGTTTAAAGACTCTATCGCTCGGTCTCTTGTCATTGTACTGGTTGCAGTTGAGGGACTTGCGGGCGGATCTGCTTAGTATGTATATAATGTTGTCACTAATATCCAGTGTCTCCGTTATGAGTCGCATCGGGGGAATCGAACGCCAAAGGGGATACCAAAACGTGGCCCTTCACAATCAAGAATATGAATTTCGAATGGGATCTGTTAGTGTATGTTCACTGATATTCTCACAAGACAGCTCGGTGACTCTCTCGGTATTGTTTTGGCATCTATTGTATCGATTCCAATGCAGGTCGCTTTATGTGCCGCCCAGGTTAAACGAGGAAAAGAATTGTGCACACAAACATAGTTTCTATTTATAAATGATTGTTTGAGACGCCCTAGCAGGGTTGGTCCGTTCGTATAGTGGTTAGTATAGTGGATTTTGATGTTACAAATTTCCATTGACCCCGGTTCGAACCCGGGACGGACCTTTTTTGCTCAAGGCAAAACGCAAATGATGCGAAAATAAGGGCTACATCGAGTTACGAATTTGCTTAAATTTGGCATCCATTGCTTTGGAAATATCCTTGTATACTTGGTCGACAGGATTCTTGGCATCCACATCGATCACTTTGTTTTGAGAACGTTGATAATCGACCACAGGCATACTTGTCTCCACGAATGTGCCTTAATGTCAGCAACTTGTACTTACGGAATCTCTTCTTAATCGACTCAATGTTGTCATCGGACCTCCCGCTCGTCTCACCCCTACGCAGCAGACGCTCTAGCATAATTTCTTCAGAGCATTGAAGGAATAGAACCATTTGGGCAGGACACACGCTTTCTTCAAACTTGTGGGACTGATCAAGTTTGCGAGGAAAGCCATCAATCAGGAAGCGACCTTTTCCATCACCCCATCCCTCACGCTGAGATGCCTCATTCTCACGCAAAGCCTGCTGAATGGCATTCCTCAAAAGAGAAATCGTCACTTCCATAGGAACGATTTTTCCATCCTTGATATAATCAGCAATCATCTGACCATATTGGGATCCGGGGCGAGCTTGTTCAGCTCGGAGGAGATCTCCTGCACTCAGATGGACAAAGCCATAGTCTTCTACAAGGTGGGCGCAATGCGTGCCTTTGCCAGCACCAGGCCCACCAAGGACAAAGACTACAACTACTTTCTTCGGGTCGTATTCGAAAGAGGCCATTTTTATTATTCTTTTTTAAGAGTAGGAACAAGAGGGTTTGGGTAAGGGATACGTTTTTCGCGACTCTCTTTCTCGGGATCAGATTCGCGTGCTTTCACAATGTACGTCAGTGCACCGAAAGACAGAGCACCCAAAATAAGAAAAGCTAGAGGGTTAGGACCCGATTTATTTGAGCGAGGTTTGCTTTGACGAGGAACACCAAGGATGCGGGAGCTGACACTAAACTGCCGGCGTACCAACACCCCAAACATGCAATGTCGGCTAAATATGTCAGTAAAGGGGGGCGGCCCTATTTATGTTAAATCACATAATCACCCATTTCTCCCTATTGTGGATAGCCGAGTTGATTGCAATACAGACGCGACTCGTGACATGACCTCGCCCTACAGCTTCAAGCCTGGCGGGGCATTGAAGCTAAAGGGAGAGAAGCCAAGGTATGCTTAAAGAGTGATACTAACTTTTACAGGAAAAGAAAATCAAGTACATCTAATAATGTGCAATCATCGCTAGGAAGCAATGCGCATATTCGCTCTACAAAAGACTTTGTTCATGAGAGCCATAAAGGCCTTTTGATCTCTCACGGAACAACGAAAGCGGAACAAAAATTTGAAGAAGTTCAGCGCAGAAGAGTACGTATCTACAGGTGCTGATTCTTTAGTTACATGAACAGGCTCGGCTCGAAGCCCGGAAAACACATAAGGAGAAGGTGGACACTTTCAACAAGTATTTGGACTCTCTTAGTGAGCACCACGACATGCCCCGTATCGGACCTGGCTAATGTTCTAAATATTGCTATTTGACATCATTTTCGCAAAACACCGTTTCTAATGGTTGCCCTGTACTATATAACTAGTCACTAGCAATACTGTTCTTTAAGCTGCAGGCGCCCAAGATGGGAAACAGTCCTTTACAGTCTGTGTGAGTCTTTCGTGCGACGGACCTTGCCATGCTTGTTCTCCGCGTGCTGAGCAAGACTGCATAGTTAGTCAATTTATAGACTTACGCTGGCTCTCTCACCGTTTGAAGGAATGTCTGACGACACGTAACACAAATCACGCTCTTGGCAGCTTCATTTGCCTTCAATTGGGATTTGGCTTCCTTAGGACCGCCAGTTTTAGCATTCCGTTCTCTCTTTTGCTGAGCTCTCGAATAAGTCAGTATATGTGTGTTACTGTTTCATACCGTGCGCCGTTACCCATGATACCTTAAGGAACCTTGAATCGACCTTGCCGGATTTTAGCTCGAGTGGGCCATTACCTTAAGGAGCCTCATCGAATTTTCGGCCGAATGCATACGTACTCTCGGGCCTCGAACCGGTCCCATATACCACCAACGCCTGCGGTCGGACCAATTCAAGCATGTCGTCCTCGGGGCAGCGTGAGGCCGTTTTCCCGACGCGGATGACACTTGGGAACACGAAGCAGAGGTTGAAAGGCGCCCAAAATGGTCATTCACTTTTGAAACGAAAGGCAGATGCTCTTTCAAAGCGTTTCCGCACCATCACTTCTAAGATACAGGACGCCAAGAAACAAATGGGAACTGTGCTTCAGGTGGCAGCCTTTAGCATGGTCGAAGTTGGATATGCAACTGGTGATATTGGTTATGCAGTTCGTGAAAATGTCAAGCGTGCAACATTCAAGGTTCGCTCGCGTCAGGAAAACATAAGTGGTGTCCTGCTACCCGCGTTTGCAGTTCAGTTATCTACTTCGTCGGATTCGAAAACTGACGGTGATGCTGAGTCTTTCAATGCGGCTCCAGCTGAGTTCAGTCTTACGGGTCTATCACGAGGTGGTCAACAAGTGCAAAAGGCTCGTGAAACATACACGAAAGCTCTCCGGGTTCTTGTGGACCTGGCAAGTTTACAGACGGCTTTCGTTATTTTGGACGAGGTAATTCGTCTAACTAATCGCCGAGTTAATGCTATCGAGCATGTCATTATTCCTCGCCTGGAAAACACGATTGCGGTATGTTTGACTAAATCTAATGTACAGTACATCATTTCCGAACTTGATGAGATGGATCGGTATGTGATACCTATACGACTAACTGAAGTGAGGAATTTTTCCGTCTTAAAAAGGTTCAAGGCAAGAAGAAGCGGGAAACCACCGACCAGAAACCGAAGGTGGAAGAGGAGGTGCAAGGCCAGCCATCTTCGTCTTCGGCAGAGCCAGCTGCTGAAGCAGGAGATATGCTTTCTGCTGACAAGGACAACGATGTGATTTTCTGATCATGTAGAACATATGTGAGCCATACCAATTTACAGAGGCTAGATAACAAATTCATCTATTTCAAACTCATCCGGGGTCGTCACCTGTAGCGGTGAGTCCATAGTTGATGAGGTCGCCTGGGAGCTGCGTCTTTGAGCATCTGGCGTCAAATAGAGCGAGTCCGGCGAGCATCGAGACACAGGCGTCGGTGATACAGCCATAAGATTAGCTTCCATCGGTTGTGACTGCGACGGTGGTGTCTTCGTTGCAGAGCGAGAGTTTGCGTCTGGCGAGGTGGATGTGATTGGAGCGTTATCTTCCGACTCGGGACTTTTCAGACCTGTGTCAGGGGTATCGGTGCGACTGCTGGCACGAGAAGAAGGTGGACGAGGGATATCTTGAAGTACTGGGATGCTGTTCCTTTCGCGTCGCTCACGTCGCCGATCTTCTCGCGCGGCCACAGTGGCCAAAGCAGTGGCAGTGAGTCCACTTGTGTGTTCTCGTTTCTCTCCGCCTTGAAGCTGCGCGAGCATCTCTGCAGCTTTTGTTGACGGGTGCTCAGATGTCTCTTCGGCATCTGTCTCGGGCACTGTTCGTAAATCTGCCGTAGATGGTCTTGCACGCCTACGCTGATTGCGTTTCTGACGTGGTGTTCCACCACTAGTGCGCAAGGAGGTAAGTAGGGTCTCCAGCACAGCACTATCATCGATGCCAGCTTCCCGACGAGCGCGTGCCTCTTTGAGTTCCTTATCACGCTCCTCAGCAGCAGCACGGCGTGCTGCTTCTAATGCACGTTGCTGTGCCAAAGTCGCATTGTCCATCTTTGCTTTTCGGTACGCAGTTAGAAACTCTTTAAAAATACCAAAAAATTCTTCTGTCGGCATAGTCTTGGCCCCAGTGAAGCTCCTTCGCAGCGGGTCAGGACCTTCACCATAGTAGCGTAGAGCATCATTAAAAACACGCTCAGTATACTGCGTTTGATCAGAAAGACGTTGCAGCTCTGTTGTGGCTGTGTTCAGGAAGGGTAACATAAGTTTACTGTAAGGATCCTCCGAATTCTCCTCATTTTCACCCAGAAGACGATCAAGGTCTTTCTTGTGCTGCACATTGGCGGATTTGAGCTCGGCTAAATCATGTTTCAAGTCAAGCAGCTGAACCCGACAAGCTTCAGTTGCCAATGAAATCTCATCCACAAAACCTTCTAGTTCTGGGAAACGATTGGAAACCGCGCGTTCAACAAAGTGCAAGAGGGTCGTACCATCCGCAGCCTTTGTATCAACTAGCTTGTTAATGCTGCTAATCTTAAAACCGTAGGCACCACCCTTGATACCTGTAGCGTTCAAATAATTTCCAAAGAGAAGAACCACACTCAAAAGTTTGGCAAAGTTAGGGGCATCCATAATAGCTTCGGCACCGTTTTGAATTTTGTCCAGTCCGCTTCGAATGAGGTCCACTGTATCCTGATATTTTGTCTTGTATAACATGCCTTTCACCTTATCTTTCAGGTGCGGTACAGTCATCAACAATACAACCAAGCGATCAGCTGGGTGCAAAAGACGGAGCTGCTCATCGGGAGCATTCTTATATTCGCCCAAACGGCCCTTGGTTTCCGATTCAGGGTAATACCTGAGCAATTCAGTCAAAAGACTTTGGTCAAACACCTGAGGATCACATTGTATAATCAAATGGGCAAGTTCTTCAGGCGTACACTGCTTGCTGTCAGTTAAGCGACTCTTGAGACGCTTGAGCACCATCTCAATACCTTGACGCGTTGCATAATTGAGGTGGGTCTGCAGCTCTTTGTTGTCCCTTTTGACATTCTGAAGTTTCTTTGATGATTCTTTTGCTTTGAATTCTTCATCCATTTCACCAAATAAGCCATGCTGCAGAATCATGTCACGGAGCAACATTTCATTTTTAGACGCCTTGTCCCATACCGTGCTGGAGGCATGTTCCGCAGATAACTTATCCCACTGAAGCTGCTTCATTCGTGATTTAGCCATATCCAGTACATTCTTGCGCAAATTCGACGACAGAGGAAGTGTATTAGATGGCGCAGGAGGTGCATGAATCGGTCCCGGAGGGCCCAGATCCGATTGGAACGAGGTGCGAACACCTAGTAGGGAAGAGTAACCATCACTTGCAGCATCGGGAGAGTGAATAACGGAAGAGCCTGCTTTTTCTGCCATCTTTTGCTTGAGTGCAGCAAGAACAGTATTGTTTCCAGGCCCCGATGAAGGTGGCGGAGGCGGAGGCGGAGGCGGAGGCATAGCTGCACCAGAACCATTCTGCGGAGGAGGAGGCGGTGGCGGAGGCGGAGGCGGAGCCACGGACGTACCGTCTTTGGGGGAGTATGCTGGTTCTTCACAAGTCTCCACAGGGGCAACTGATGGAGGCGGCGGCGGCGGTGGTGGTGGTGGCGGTGGTGGCGGACATTGTTCAATGTTTTGGGATTCAGGATCAGGGGTGGATATGCGCAAATTGGGATCTGACATGGACGGGTCCTGTGATTCCTTGTGTACTTCTGATAAGTCCGCAATCCGAGCCGCTGCTAAATCTGTACCAACAATGGGGCCTTGACTAAGTGAAAAGGTAGTGCGCACCGGGCTTTTTGCTGCAATAAGAGGCGGCTCGCTTTGCTCGTGCAAAGTTCTAGGTCCTTGTGTCTTCGAATCGGAAAGACTCGCGCGAGGTGTAAGACTAGAAGAGTGCGGCGAAGTATGTTGAGGCTTTTGAGTCGGTGTGGCAAATTCTTCCGGCGTGGACGTACGAGCATGCGGCACTGGCACCAGCGTTATACCCTGAGACTTTCGAGGCGTCATGTCCTGCGAAGAAGTATCTTGAAAAGTATCTTCCATAGTATCACGTCGGCGCATCCGGGAAGCGCGGACGCTGCGCATCCGTTCTTGCATATCTGCATCATTAGCCATAGTAGAGGCAAGCTTTGCTTGCAGGCCCCATTCGTTTGATTCGTCCAGTTCATTCTGAGATGAGAACTTTTCAACACTTTCACTAGCTGGCGAAGGATTGGCAGACGCAGAAAGACCCATGGCTGTGAGCCCTATTCTTTCCTGTGCATCATTGTTCAAATTAGGAGAGGACGAAGAAACCCGACGAATGGACCGCGGCGGTGGGATAGGCGAACTGTAGGAATCATGCGACGCTCCTACAGTATCGAGCACCTTCACCTTTTCAGTCGAGTTTGCCACAAGTTTTCGAATCGTACGACTGCGTTCAACCTGTCGTTCTAATGAATCACGTAACACTTGACGATTAAATTGAGTGAATTCGGGGTCAGTCTTAACTTCATCAGCTTGGCGCAGAAGTGAGCTGGACTCACGAAGCTCCAATTCCAATCCAAGGATTCTGTCCACATAGGATCGCTCCATTTCATCCATGTCATGCTGCAAGGCTGCTGCATTTTCCCGAGATATTTCCAAGTCATTCTGGAGCTCTTTGATCTGTGCTTCCAATTGTCCAACAAGCCCACCAGCCGCATCATCCAAGCGTTTTTGTAAGTTCTGTAGCTCACTTTCACGCGTGTTCAGCCTAAGTCGGGTTTCCTTGAGTTCATTTTGCATGCGTTCCATTAGATCTTGGTCTGCAAAACGGTCTAGCACATTATTCACTGAGGAACCAATAAGTGACGCCATATCACCAGCTGATGCTGTACCATCTTTATCAAGGACAACCGTGGAAATCATGGAGTCAATGAGTTTGAAATAGTGAACCATTTCGTTTCCATCATGCTGGATCAAGAGCAGATGCTGCATGGCACTCATAAAAAAGTCTTTTGCACGTGTGTCTTTTACACGTTCCATAACGAGGTTAAACACCTCATTGGGGTTGCTTAAATCGCGTGAAGCTTCTCGCTGGAAGCTTAACATAAGGTCTTCATTGTCTGCTGCTGCACTGCGCTCAAACACTTGAAGTTGTAAATTCAAGTCAGGTGTCCCAAGCTCGCGCATCTTGGCCATTATCCTTGGTAGCCCACTCGTAGTCATCTGCGATCGCAAGTGAACTCGTGCCTTGACAGACTCAACAATATCACTGTTCACCAGAGCATTGACTAGGAACATGTTATTCACCACATATTCAGGAAGACTTGCCTCGGGTAATGCCGTTAACTGCAGTTTTCGAAATTCTTCACTGGCGCCCACCAGGCTACCCATGCGCCCTCGTCCATCAATGGCAGTTTCAAGGGCCCCAAACCACGCATCAAAGCGGCCAGGAAGCTTCATGGTATCCTTAAGTTCATCAATACCTTGTAGCACCAGTCGATGACCCTGGGGCTTCTCCCAGTGACATAAGAAAAGAAGAATATCTGCTGCCTGTTTGCGAGTGGGAAGATGCGGCGATATCAATGACCGTGTTATTCCGTTAATGCATTTTTGGTGATGGAGTGCATCATAAGCCCCAGGCTTACTGTTAAAAAGAGAACGAAAAGCTTTAAGAACCTCATACTCTTGTATCAGATCTTGATCGGTAGGAGACGGGTTCGACTGTAGCGCGGCCAAAAAGCTGGAAAGTACGTGAGTGCCTTTTGCTTCAACAAAGCTTTGAATCCACCCAATCGCACATGTGCGAAGTGTGACTGCAAGAGACTCAATGTGTTTGGTTGTAACAGTCTGATCCATAAATTTTTTTATGTACCATTCAGGCGAGTTGCGGACCAGGACCATAGACGTGGCTTGGGCACTTGCTGCTGACGTAGCTGGAGTAGGAAAGCGACGCTGTCGATCCCTCTCTGCTGATTGGGTAGTCAGCAGATCATTATACACCAGTGTCCATTTCTTGTCAGGCGTAAATTCAAACATGCTGTTTACAGCCTCCTGAGATGGAGCGCTCGGTCCTTGAAGCATATCTCGTCGGTTCATGAGATCTGCAAACATGATTTCGACTTCTCCATCAGAAGGTCTAGAGCTTCGCAACTCGGGAAGACGTGTCATGAAAGATTGTCGTAATGTAGCAGCGTCAGTGCCACTAGAGGATCGATCGGACATAATAGCTTTGGATGTAGATGGTCGATACTGACCATCCAAAGACTTACGCACGTCATAATTCATAGAGTTCGCTCTTGATGCCACAGGAGTAATTGTAGGGGCGCTCATGGCAAATGCTCCTGGTGAGTCGTCCATGATATCCACAGTTTTTTTTGAAGAGGATTTGTCTTCGGACTGTCGCGCCCAGCGCTTACGCCCGAATAAGCTCTCCATGGCACACCCCTATAGTATACAAAGGAACAAAACAAGAGGACTAAGAGGGACGAACTGGTGTACTGAAATAGGTGGGAGACACCACGGCCTTGGGTAGACCGTCTGCGCGGACGCGGTGTGTCGCGCCCACCCATCTCCACTTCATTATGTATATTCGGCCGACGTATCGAAGATTCCTGGCGCCTTAGACTGGCCGGTGGCTCAGTGCAGACTACTTTGCGAGCAGGTGCAAGGATGATGGCTTAAACAATACCCGCTATAATTACAATACAACTAAGATAGTCGACTGAAGTTGCATTTAAATTGCACTTTTGCTTAAATTTTATGTGGGTCATCATGCATAGGACTCCAGATACCGCGTGCTGATTCAGTCGTGCTGACCACAGGGTTACGCTTCAAACCATGTGTCTTCGCACCACTTGAATCTAGAATGAGTTGCATTTTGGCAGCAATTTGAGTAGCTGCTAGATTGTGAGTAGAAATCTGCTTTGTTCGACCATTCACTGTACATAAGCCAACATATACGTACGGTAAAACCCACGCAGTAGCGGGGAGCGTTGTGGACGAGCAGATATAACAAACTCGACACTTGGATGAGCACGGGCAATAGAGTTCGCCTGTTGAAGAATATAGTCGCGCATGCCTTTGCTAGCAACACTTTTCTCGCAATATTCTAACACAACCTTACGGCATGGAAGCACAAATGTACCTGAAGAGCCGCCTAGCGGGGGGGCAGTTGAAAGAGGAACGCGAAGCACCGGTGATAGACGTGTCATCTCAACCAGTCTCACAAGGTGAGGATAGGAAGAAGCATGTGATCAACTCTGCCGAAGGCGGGCGGATGGGGTATTTTTGAAAGAAAAAAATGGTTCAGTCTTACTGCACAAACCTTCTACGACGGACACTGACTAGAAGGGGTCTAGTGTCTGCCTTATTCATATACCGGAGCGCTTGCCGACTTGAGGCGCCGTATCGTCACTATGTCATCCAACATGAATGAGACTGACCAAAATATCCAAGTAAGTTTAAGCCCACTTACCGTAAGATCTGGAAAGTAAAAAAGCTCATTAAGAGTCTTGAGAGTGCACGAGGTGCCGGTACATCGATGATCAGTTTGATCTTGCCGCCCAAGTCGCAGCTGTCTCAAGCAACGAATATGTTAACCCAGGAATATGGTACCGCAAGTAACATCAAGTCTCGAGTTAATCGCTTGTCGGTGCTTGCCGCCATCACTTCCACACAACAGCGTCTTAAGCTTTACACACGTGTCCCAGACAATGGTCTTGTGGTCTATTGTGGTACGATCCTCACACCTGAGGGCAAAGAAAAGAAGGTTAACTTCTCGTTTGAACCATTCAAGCCCATCAACACCTCTCTCTATCTCTGTGATAACAAATTCCATACGGAGGCACTTTCCGAGCTGTTGGAGTCGGATGCTCGTTTCGGTTTCATCATCATGGATGGTAATGGGTCTCTTTTTGGTACTGTTTCTGGAAATACTAGGACGGTGCTACACAAATTCTCCGTGGATTTGCCCAAGAAGCACGGTCGCGGTGGTCAGTCTGCCTTGCGTTTCTCTCGTTTGCGCGAGGAAGCACGCCACAACTATGTGCGAAAGGTAGCAGAATATGCGACCCAGCACTTCATCACCGATAACAAGTGCAATGTTACTGGTTTGGTGCTTGCTGGCTCTGCTGACTTCAAAACCGAACTTAGTCAGTCGGATATGTTGGACTATCGACTCGCGCCCAAAATTATCCAAATTGTCGATGTTTCGTACGGAGGTGAAAATGGATTCAACCAGGCTATTGAGCTGGCGGCAGACAGCTTGGCCAACGTCAAGTTTGTCCAAGAAAAGCGTTTAATTCAAAAATACTTTGACGAAATTTCCACAGAGACAGGCAAGTACTGTTTTGGTCTTGAAGATACGTTCCGCGCTCTTGAAATGGGTGCTGTTGAGACACTTATTGTCTGGGAGAACCTTGAGCATATGCGCCACGTTCTCAAAGACTCTGAGGGCAATGAACATGTCCTTATGCTCACCAAAGAGCAGGAAGAAGATCGTTCTCGTTTCATCGACAAGGCTACAGGTTTGGAAATGGAAGAAGTTGGAGAGCCACAGCCTCTTCTTGAGTGGATCGCTGAGAACTACAAGCAATTTGGTACCACTCTCGAATTCGTAACTGATCGTTCTCAAGAGGGCATGCAGTTCTGCAAAGGCTTTGGTGGTATTGGTGGCATTCTTCGCTATAAGGTTGCATTCGAGGATTTGGCTATGTATGATGAGGCCGAGGATGAGTTCATGAGTGACGACGACGAAGACTACTAAGTTTGCGCGCAATAGACACATCCTCAGGGTGACATAGACTGTTGCCTTGCTGGCGACAGACTGCTTTAAATTATTTGCTTTTGTATCCCTATTGGCGCCCGACCGGCACTCCACGTCTACAACACCGACCGTCACAGTACTGCTGGTCGGATGTCCCACATGGCCGCACCGGTGAGAAATCGTCCGTCAGGTGCTGCGCGACCTCCTATAGAGCGCAGCGCTCCAGCGAGACCGCCTGTATCTCGGCCGTCTATGAGGCCTGTACCATCAGGGCCACCCAATCCATCGAATTATACGCCTCACGCGGCTCAACAAGATGATGTATTTGGTGCCGTGCAGAGTGCACCTAATCTACCTTATCAGCGTCAATCCAATGCAACTAGAATAAATCGTGTACAAGCTCAGTCCACCCCTAAAGTCACACAGCCCAGCTCAGATTCATCTCCATCCTTGGGTTCAGGGCCAACTCCATCATCCGGGGTAGGTACCCCTCGGCAGCCATCTGGCCCAACTCATGGTCCCCCTTCAGCTATTCCTACCCTTACAGGATCAGAGAGGAAGCTACAGCCGGCACAGTCTAATGCGAATGCCCCAGGTTTGATGAAGCGAATCCCACCTCAAGGCAATCGACCTCGGCCATCGGCGCAAATGTCTGGAAATGGCCCTCCAGCACAAGTGAAAGCAGCCACCAATGTGACGCAGCCATCAATCCCCCCTCCTTCGCAAAAATTTGTGCCCACAAAGCCCCAACTTGGGAAACTTAGTGTGCAGCCAGCACAAAGACCGTCGGCTGAGCAGCCTGTGGTGGCTCAGGCTCAAGTACAGCCAGCACCAAGACCGTCGGTTGAGCAGCCTGTGGTGGCTCAGGCTCAAGTGCACCCACCAGAGGGACTTTCAGAGGACCAGGGCGAGGTACAAGAACAAGACCCATGGTCCCTGGAGTGGAGTAATGACGAATGGCAAGTCGATCAAGCAGATCAAGGTGATAGAATCCCTTTCGACAACCAGGCGCCAGAACTTGAACAACCTTTGGAGCAGTATAGCGCTCAAGATCAAATTCCTTTCGAGTCTGAAAGTCAAGTTTTAAATGATCCTATGGGATTAGACGCTGCTGCCGGAGGTGACCAAGGTGATCCTTGGGGTTTGAACTATGAAGCACAGGACTATGGTGAGCCATTTCTTGACCCGTCGCAATATGATGCTGAATTGGAAAACCTAATGAGTGCTGTTGTGACTGATAAGCAGTCGCCTCAGAATGTTAGGGATCAGTTCGATCAGCAGACTTATGCCCAGGAAGGCACTCTTGATGGAGCCGGAATTTTCCAAGGATATGAAGGCATTCAAAATTCAGGGGGGCAAGAGACTGAATTCTTGCCAGATGGTATTTATGACACGCAAAGCTTTTTGCCCGAGCATGACTATGCTTTACAAGAGGGGCACGCTGGAGGAGACTTTGCCCAGGATGTATATGCACAAGGCGACTATGCTGGAACTGAATATGTTCAAGGCGACTATGCTGGTGCTGACTATGCTCAAGGCGACTATGCTGGTACTGACTATGCTCAAGGCGACTATGCTGGTGCTGACTATGCTCGAGGCGACTATGCTGGAACTGAATATGTTCAAGGCGACTATGCTGGTGTTGACTATGCTCAAGGCGACTATGCTGGTGCTGACTATGCCCAAAGCAACTTTGATCAAGGCGACTATGTCCAGGGTACAAAGGCACAGGGTGACTATGCGCAAGATCAATTCACTCCTGATGGAAATAGTCATCCCCAATATGTTGGGTACGACTACGCACAAGCTGAACAGCCTGGGGAGGAGTATGCCCAAGATCCGTACTCACAAGGCGAATATGATGAAGGTAATCTTGCTTGGTACGAGAACGCTCAACATGGCCATTATGAATCTGGCCAGGGAATCATGGGCGATGTCCAACCTTCGAGTAACTTGTACGGTGAAGAGGATGTTTATGCCGTTGATGCATATGCCGAACCTGAGCAGCAAGCATTAGCTCAGTTGCCCTCTCAACCTTCTGCGGAAGCTCACAACCAAGTGCCGGCATCCAACTTAGTAACACCGGAAGTATCCAAGCCTGTAATACAGCAGAAACCTCCGCAGAGGGGACCACCTGTACAGACAGCTCGCAGAACGGTTCCGGTGTCAGAGGGTCGGTCTGATGCATCTATGCCCCACTCAGTCGAGCCACCAAGTTCTGCGGCATCTGCTGGCAATATTGAGATTTTGGAAGCATCGAGCCGTCCTTTGGGTCTTCCGAAAACTGGAGTACGCAAGTCTGGACCGTTAAAGATGCCTTATGAGCAACTTCACAAAGCTCCTACGCCAGCAGGCCCACCGGCACAGCGAAAGGCTCCTCCCTATGCTCGTTCTCCTACCAAGTCTCCAAACAAGCTTCTTTCTCCACCTATGGTGGCAGAGCGAGTTCAGCCACCTCCCTCATTGATGGAGCCGTTGTCCGCTTCATCTTTGAATGCCGGTGATGACTGGGGATGGAATGATGGTATCGAAGCTCCTGCTTCGGAAGCTGCAGATGATGCATGGGGTTGGGACGGTGAAGACCAGGAATGGCAGAAGCCTGAAATGGTGGAGGATGATACATATGCACAAAAGCCGCATGTATCTCCAAGCCGCGTTCGTTCTAAGCCTATCTCAAGTTCAACATCTGGAAAGGCCGGTGTTAAAGCCAAAACCAAGTCCAATGTTGACAAAGTTTCGCGGTCTGATCCTGTACAAGAGCGGCTGGGGAAATCAGTACCCATTGCCTCCTTCGGTGTCGGTGGCAAACTCATTGTCCATTTGCCGCAGTCCAAGGCTGAGGGTGATGCGTATGAATATGATACCCCCCGCATTATGCGCCAAGTTCATATTCGACCACTTGTGGGATATATGGGTGCTCGTCCGTTTTCAACGCTGGACATGCAAAAGTTCCCTGGTCCTTTAATGGAGTCTTCGAAGTCCAGCCATAAAGGCAAAAAAGCTGCCATCTTAAAATACTTGCATGAACAAATTGCTGAGTCTGCGAGTGGTGTTGGCTATTTGCGTCGCAAGTCTGCTCTTTTCAGTTCGGAAACCCCCATCTCTGAACAAGGTTATGTGGAAGAATGGCGTCGCATGGAAGACAAGATCCTACTATTGAAACTTCTTGCCCTCCTGGTCGAAAATGACGGGCAGTGGAATGCGTCGGGCTCGATGGCAACGACTGTTTGCAACTTGCTCACTGGGCGCTCCGAAGAGACGGAACTGGGCGCTTTTTCCGTTCCTACGTACTCGCGAACGTCCTCTCAGTCAGCTATGAAGCGGCCGATTCGTACATATGCTCTTCGCCAAGGCTTTCTGGAGGAGTTACAGCCTATGCTCCAGCAAGGCGATCTTCAACGCGCTGTTGACTATGCTATGGAAGAGAAGATGTGGGCACATGCCATGACGATTTCCCAGCAGTTGGACTCTTCGGTGCGCACTCATGTGATCAAAGAGTTCATACGATATGAATTGGATGAGACCCCTGCCGACAGTATGCTGCAAAAAGATTTCACGAGCATTAAGGTTGCTTACGGGCTTTACTCTAACCAATCTTCTGATCAAATCACAGCCATGTTCCGTGATGCAACCAATTTATCGCCCGAAGCACAGCATGTGCAATGGCGGCACGCTGTTGCCACGCTGATTGCCAATCATAATGTTGCCAATGGGTATGAGACTATTGTGAATGCTATTGGTGAGAGCCTTATGGCTAATGGGCTACCAGAGGCGGCACATGTTTGCTATCTGTTGTCGCATCAATACCGCAAGTGGCTTGGTTCAGCTTCGTCACCTTTCCTGTTGCTGGGCACTACATCTTTGACCCCTGTTTCCGCGCTGGTTAATGACATGGATGCGTTACTTATGACTGAAGTTCTGGAGTTTATTTTGTGTCTTTCGCATCCGAAGGGTGCTGAGCCATTTAGTGGTATCCCTGCATTGGCTCCCTTCAAGCTCATGCGTGCCATTGTATGTGACGAGCTCGGTGACACGACCCAAGCTAAGAAATACTGTGAAGCTTTGGCTCAGCTGTCGCAGACCAAGGGGACTGCACAGGTCCTTCCCCCCAGCGTGCAATTGGAACTGCATGAGTTTATGGCACGTCTGAACGGCCCGCGTGCTGATGAAAACCACTCTTGGAGTAAGAAACTCCAACGTCCCACGTTGGATGGCGTCTGGGGTGCACTTGAAGGTCGCCTTACAAAATTCATTGCTGGGGAAGAGATGACTCCTGAAGCCCAACCTACCAAAACGGCAGGGAAAGGCGTGGGTGCATTTACGCATTACAGTGCTATAACTCCCGAGGTGGCTTCATCGGAAGCTGCTTCTGGAAACGATGCGGAAGTGGATAAAGGTTTTGAAGCCCAACCTCAAAATGATCGTGAGCACGAAATTAAACAAGATCAGGAAAGCTATGCCGGGTCCACCGCTCTTCATACGAATCAGGATGACGGCCTAGGTGGATATGCTCATGGTCTTGAGCTCAATAAAGACGGTGCTCAAGAGATTTTGATGCAAGACCAGTACGACGAAGGAGCGTATGCCGAGGAAGAATACCCGGACCGTCAATACCCTGAAGGAGAATATGCCGAAGGACAGTATCCGGATGGTGAATACGTTACGGATCAATATCCTGATGGTCAACGCACTGCTAGCGAGTATCCGGAAGAGCAATTCTCAGGGGGCGAGTATCCTGACGGTCAACACGTTGAAGGCGAATATCCCGAAGCCGAATATCCTGAGGGTCAACTCGGGGATGGCGAATACGCTGAGGGTGAATATGCCACAGGTGAATATCCCGAGGCCGAACTTCCTGAAGGTCAATACGATGAAGGCGATTACGCTGAGGGTGATTATCCCGAGGGCGGGCATGCCGAAGGTGAATATCCTGAGGCCGAATATCCTGAAGGCGAGTATGCCGAAGGCGAATACGCTGAGGGCGAATATCCCCAGGGTGAATATGCCGAAGGCGAGTATGTTGAGGGCGAATACGCTGAGGGCGAATATCCCCAGGGTGAATATGCCGAAGGCGAGTATGTTGAGGGCGAATACGCTGAGGGCGAATATCCCCAGGGTGAATATGCCGAAGGCGAGTATGCTGAAGGCGAGTACGCTGAGGGCGAATATCCTGAAGGCGAGTATGCCGAAGGCGAGTATGCCGAAGGCGAGTATGCTGAGGGCGATTATCCCCAGGGTGAATATGCCGAAGGCGAGTATGTTGAGGGCGAATACGCTGAGGGCGAATATCCCCAAGGTGAATATGCCGAGGGCGAGTATGCTGAAGGCGAGTACGCTGAGGGCGAATATCCTGAAGGCGAGTATGCCGAAGGCGAGTATGCTGAGGGCGATTATCCCCAGGGTGAATATGCCGAAGGCGAATATCCTGAGGCCGAATATCCTGAAGGTGAATATCCTGAAGGTGAACATCCTGAAGGTGAACATCCTGAAGGTGAATATCCTGAAGGTGAACATCCTGAAGGCGAATATCCTGAAGGTCATAACAATGAAGACGAGTATGCCGGGGGCGAATATGAAAAAGGCGAGAGTGCCGAGGGCGACTATGCCGAGGGTAAGCATACAGAACGCCATCTTTCTCAGATTAATGAAGAAAAGGCTTCCGACCCTGGAAGGCAGGCCGATGCCTCAGTGCAATTAGAAGAGCAAGAAACTGTGGGCAATGGCAGCAAACCTTCCGAGCCAATGCCAGTTTCTAATGCCGAAAATGCAGATCCTTCTGAGCAGTCAAATGCGTCAAAGCCGCCTCTGTTGCACAGAGTTGATGCGGAAGTGGAACCTGAAGTTGGCGAGGATGGACTTTTGTCTACCATGCCCATCCCAACTCTAGGCCCCGTATCGGTTTCTGCTCCAAAGCAAGAGACAAACAACGCTAAAGGCATCGAGGATGTCAAGGATGTCGACGATGATCTTGGCCTCGGAAATACCAGTCATAAGGAGCCAGAAAAACTTGCTGAGACAAATGAACAAGAAAAATCACCAGCGGAGAATGCACCTAAGAAGCCAGCGGAAAAGGCGTCGGGCAATTCTTGGCTGGGTCGGCTGTTGGGTTCGCGCGGCAACACGCAGAATCAGTCCGACAAAGAGGGCAAGGCAAGTAAAGCTCATTTGGGCGAAGAAACATCATTTTATTATGACAAAGATTTGAAGCGTTGGGTTAATAAGAAAGCAGGGGACGATGGGAAGGCGGCCCCTGCTGCCCTTCCACCGCCGCCCAAAGCAGCACCAAAACCTGCGGCAACTTTGTCTGAAAAACAAGTTCCACCTGCCCCCCAAAAGAAGCTAGATGTTGACGTTGCGGAGAGTAACACTGTACAAACAGAAAAGACCAGCGAGAAAGGTTATGGAGATCCGCCCGTCCGCAAGCCAGCCGCTAGCAAGTCAGGAGACCGGCCCCCTGCAGGAGGCGCTAGCAAAAAGCGACCTCTTAAATCGCGCTACATCGTAGTTGACTAGATGTGTGTGCATTACATAGCTTGCTTTCATTACATATATATGTCCCACAGCACCATCAATTGCGCAGTGCATCGACGAGCCTGTACATAAGGGCGTATGCACGTACCAATCAAGACCCTCGTTTAGACCGGTGCCGTCCTTGGCACAACAGCGCCATATGCTCCATTGGCGGTCACGCAGTTCATCTAGGCCAATGGCCTTGCCAACCTGAGCTTCATCCATAGCATTTGGAAGATCTTGTTTATTAGCAAATACAAGAAGTTTGCTGTTGGCGAGCTCTTCTTCAGCAAGCATAGCCAAAAGTTCAGCCCGAGCAGTCGGCATCCTATCATGGTCCGACGCATCAACCACGTAAATAATCGCTGCTGTATCAGCATAATAACAGCGCCAGTATGGCCTTATGCTTGATTGTCCTCCAAGATCCCACACTTGGAGTTGTATGTTTTTGTATTCGACTGTTTCAACATTAAACCCGATGGCTAGAGATCAGGCTGGCAAACACGTACTCGGAATGGTAGAAATCACTTCACCAAGTTGTAGACGATACAAAATAGTTGTTTTCCCGGCACTGTCGAGACCAAGCATTAAGATTCGCATGGGCGCTTGGCGTCGCCACAGAAAGAGAGCATCATACAGTGACGAAAAAGTTACACCCATGGCGATCCGTGCGTACTTACGTCTGCGACGCGATGTTGTAACCACCGTAGAACAACGTCATGTGATTCAAATGCCGTATTGAGCTAGAAGAACTCATATTGCAAGCTCCAATTGGATTATAGTGACTCAGCAAGTTAAACGATCATATTAGTGTTATTAGTAAGCAAACTGAAAGTGCGGATGGATATTGAGCATCGCTCCCCTCCACGACGTTGGACCGTTAGAGCTAGGTTGCAGCGAAGCTTTCAGAGTGAGCGGCCTTCTGTGTCCAATTTATAATGAATCCACATCTAGGAGATCCAAGATCCTCCCTGGTACCCGATAATGGCCCCGAAGATATGGCCAAGGCAGATCCTCTAGCCACTCAAATTTGGCGCATGTATGCCAAACATCGTGAACAACTTCCGAATGCTGCTAGAATGGAAAACCTGACGTGGAGAATGATGTCTCTCACATTGCGCAAACAAAGGGACGAAAAAGAAGATGCTCTCGCCAAGGAGAGCAAAAATTCATCGATAGCCCGCGACTTTCCCCACCGGCCGTCTGACCCAGCAGTGGCAACAACAGCTAATGTGGGTTCTGGAGAGGAAACACCCGTTATCCGTGGTCGGAACAAAACAGTGCGTCCTATTGAAGCAAGTGTGCATAAATCAAACGCCCCTATTCGTGCCAATAGGCCGCCAATGTCGTGGCAGCGCTCCCGTTCGAGATCTTTGAGTATGATGGACATTGAACATTCTAAAGAACGACGCTCTGTCTCGCGGCACCAAAATCGGCATACGAAACTATCGGAACATAATTCTTTGACAGAAAACGATCACAGCAGCGGGATCCCTGAACATTTGCCTTTGAATATGGGGATGGACGACCATCATGATTTCTTGTTAGCTGAATGCCATGGTCTTGATGTAAGCTTGATGGATGGTTACAAGGGTATTGATTCACCTTCCATGGATTCTAACTTTGATAAATGGGTCAAATACCGGAAATCAGGCGGAATTTCTATCGAGACGCCGGACTCGCAAAAGGGTATCATGGATAATTTTGCTCAAGCAGCCCACAAGAACTTGTTTGATTTAAACGACCCAATTGATTGGAAAGCTACGACTCCCCTCGAGCAACATGCACGGATTGTCATGGAAATGAGTGCGAAACGGATGGGTTATGCTCCTGTGGGTGGTGATCGCGACGACCAGTTTCTTTCTAACTACGCCTTACTGGATAGTGTACCTGGCATTGATGATTTTGTGGGGCATGAAGCAAACCAGCATCCAGACTATGGATTTTTGCCGCGTCTAGTTCGGAAAACGTCATTTGATCACAAGGTTCGGGAGCGAAGTGAGTCACGCGGACCCCGTTCACGGATTTCTCAGGTCTCTGATGTGTATTCGGGTGACCAAAGAATTCGAAAACGTATTCGTGAGGCATCACCAATGGCATTCAATCTCCGTCCCCCAACGACGGCTGATCAACGTATGGCGTCGGGCTTGTCACGAGAGACCCCTCTTGTTTCTGCTGAATTTCTTCAGTATATGCCATCTATGCCCTGCAATTTCACTTTCTCCCCTGCTTCAAATGTATCATTGTCGCATGAGCATGATATTATGAACAGTGCTATGAATGAAAACCAGGTTCCATTGAATGATAATACTATCTCCACTATGTTGGGACTAGATACGAGCGCATCCACTCAAATATCTCTAGATCCACAGGCGGGTCTTTCGAACGTAACCGACTCTTTTTCCATGAACTCCATGGCAGTGAATGCTACGCCTCATGCCCAAATCGTGAGTTCGACAAATTTGGCACCACATACAGGCATATCTCCGAGCGTCGTACACGTGGATCCTTCTGACATTTTTGCCACGGATACTATACCATCGAGCTCAAACAACGCCATTCATGATTTAGGCATGCCGACGCCTGGGTACTCGAAAGTCCAAGAGGAGTCATCTCACAGTACAGCAAGCTCGTCAGCAGATTCAAATTTATTGTACAATTCACAAGAAAAACCTGCGCAGTATTACACTTCCGTTTTCCACCCTTTAAACTCTTTGAGTGGGGATCTATCGAATTTCAACGTCTTGAACAATTATGACCCTCAGGCGGTTTCTGCTATGAATTCCATGGGCGACCATACGGGTAACCCGACCTATTTGACTGACTCTGGAACTGGTGTGGAAGACACTCCATCACTAGCCCAGAGGCCTAGTGTTCAGTCTGGAAGTTCTACCTCTTCTTCTGCACCTAACGTTTCAGAAACTACGTCCACGATTTCGTGTTCAAATTGTCAGACCACCACCACCCCGCTGTGGCGTCGTGATGCAGAAGGCAATGCTCTTTGTAATGCATGCGGCCTTTTTCAAAGACTGCATGGCGTTATGCGACCGCTTTCATTGAAAACAGATGTCATTAAGAAACGCAACCGAAGTGGGACAAATACCAAGGATACTTCGCGCCGCAATTCAACATCGCGTCGCAACAGCAAACCTAGTGTTTCATCTAATCTGGTCGACAACTATCAGATGTCTTGAAACCCTTTTTTTGTCACAACTTTCGTGGCAGTAAGGGTCCAACTGGAGCTTTGTGTATTATATCGGGTCAAATGTTTGGTCGTGTAGTATAGTCAAAATCTGTACCATTAAGACTTTCGAACTTTAGACGCGACGGTATCTATTAGTTAGCATGCACGTGATGTTGCGCTTTGTGGAGACGTGGTGGTCGACATGGTACTTCATTGCCGCGGCAACCATGTGGGTTCATGCCTCTCGCTTCGTTATTGCGGAAGGGCCCCTATATGGTGGTTTGCGATGCATGAATAGATTTCATCGCTCTATAATGGATTTTCCGCAAAGGCCTGTTGCTTTTGGAATTCTGCGCACCTCTCCGAAGCCAATTCCGCTCTCAACGGCTTTTTTGATGCAAGTTCGGGGTCATAGGCATATGGCTGGCTCTGCTTCTAAAAATGATGCATTGACAAAATCTAGGTCTCCTAAGGAAAGGATGAACTGGGAGATTGTTCGCCAGCTTTTACGTTACGTTTGGCCCAGGAACGATTTTGGAACTAAGGCGCGAGTTGTGTTGGCATTGTCCTTACTGTTGGCGGGAAAGTTACTCAATGTTCAGGTCCCCTTTTTCTTCAAAGCTGTTGTCGACCGTGTGAACCATGTATTTTCTGAACCATTAGATCTGACTAGCCCTGCTAGTGTATGGGTTGTAGCGGGTGCATCAATTTTGGGCTATGGTTTGGCACGCATTGGTGCAGCAGCTTTCTCAGAGCTTCGCAATGCTGTTTTCGCTAATGTTGCACAGCGTTCCATTCGTACTATCGCTCGCAGTGTCTTTGACCACTTGTTGACTATGGATTTGAATTGGCATCTAAGCCGTCAAACTGGTGGCCTTACACGTGCAATCGATAGAGGGACTAAGGGTGTTTCCTTCCTTCTTTCATCTATTGTGTTTCATATTGTCCCTACTGCACTCGAGATCTCTCTTGTGTGTGGTATTTTGAGTTATAAATGCGGACCGTCATTTGCAGGAATGGCTGCTCTGACAATGATTTCTTATGCGTGGTTTACTGTGCGGACAACTAGCTGGCGTACACAATTTCGACGACAGGCAAATGCAGCGGACCAGCGCGGAGCCACAGCCTCTTTGGATACCTTGCTGAACTTTGAATCGGTAAAGTATTTCAACAACGAACAGTACGAGGTAAAAAAGTACGATGTTGCTTTGAAAGATTATGAAAGTGCAAGTGTGCGAGTTGCTACAAGTTTGGCAGCACTCAATTCAGGACAGAATGCCATATTCTCCACCAGTCTCACTATAATGATGTTGATGACGGTTCAAGGCATTGCAAATGGTACCATGACTCTTGGTGATTTGGTTATGGTCAATCAATTGGTTTTCCAGTTATCTGTTCCACTCAACTTCTTGGGCTCTGTATATCGCGAGCTTCGCCAGAGTCTGATTGATATGGAGACGATGTTTAATTTACAAAAGCAGCAAACCAATGTGAAAGAACTTCCTGACGCCGCAGCTCTGCCGCCTGTGCGAGGTGAAATCCGTTTCGAGAATGTGACATTTGGATATCATCCAGACCGACCTATTTTAAAGAACTGCTCTTTTACTATACCTGCAGGAACCAAGACAGCACTGGTGGGCCCCTCTGGCTGTGGTAAATCAACCATCTTCCGTCTTCTTTTCCGATTTTATGAACCACAAAGCGGTAAGATCTATATTGACGGGCATGATATTTCTCAATACACGCTCGAAAGTCTTCGCAAGGCAATAGGTATTGTTCCTCAGGATACCACTCTGTTCAATGCATCCATATGGGATAATGTCAAATATGGACGCCTTAGTGCAACGGATGAAGAAATTTGGAGGGCCTCACGTCTCGCCCGCGTTGATGCAATTGTTGAGAAATTACCTAATGGGTTCCAGACTTTGGTTGGTGAACGCGGCCTGATGATTTCAGGTGGTGAAAAGCAGCGTCTGGCCATTGCTCGAATGCTGCTAAAGAACCCTAACATTATGTTCTTTGACGAGGCTACGTCGGCCCTCGACTCTCATACAGAGACAAACTTGATGCGAAACGTCAACAGCGTACTCGATACTATGAATCGCACATCTGTATTCATCGCACATCGCCTTCGCACTATTGAGGACGCCGACTTGATTATTGTGCTGGATCGAGGCCACATGGTTGAAGAAGGCACTCATGAGAGCTTACTTGCCAGCCCTGGTCTATACCATAACTTGTGGATGGCGCAAATTGAGCGTATTCATCAAGATGAACAGGATTCTGAAGAACAGCAGATTCAAACAGAACAAACTGATGTGCCAATGTCCAAGCAATCTAGCACGTAAGCTTTTAGGCTCGTAATTAGGTTTGCTCCCGTCCCGTTTGACCCTCCACTTTGTCCTCATCCTATGAGTGAGAGCCTTGGTGCATTGAGCCGCCGCGTAGCACGGCTTTATCGTCATTGTGACAATGGCATGATACGATGGGCGGTCGACTGGCTTGGATGTTTCCTTTTGTTCTTTATCGAACGATATGGTATCCATCGTCTGCATGGATTTCGTCAGATGTTCAGCCTAAACGATGCATCGATCCAGCATCCTTTTGCCCAGCAGGAGCGGGTCCCCGAAGAACTGCTGTCTGTTCTTGCTTTCTGGGTTCCACTTATTTCTGTTATTTTACTGTCGCTAGTACAAAAGAGTCGTTCGGCTCGCATCAATACGGCCATTTTGGGGCTTGTCCTTTCTATCACTTTTACGGGCTTTGTTACGGAGTTGTTCAAGAAATTGGTGGGTCGTCCTCGCCCAGACTTCCTCGACCGATGCCAACCTGATATTCTCTCTATTGTACCTGATACACAGCACTACACCAGTGAACTTCATACTTATCAGATTTGTACCGCCGATGCGAATACCAGTCGAGTAAAGGATGGCTTCAAGAGCTTTCCTAGTGGTCATTCAAGCATGTCATTTGCTGGACTTACATATCTAGCGTGGTATTTGCGGGGTACACTTAATGCGCTAGTACTTAAATGGGCGCAATATGCCTATTCTGACTACGAAACTACTCCTAATGACGATTCGATCCACCAACAGTTAGAAGAAGGTACAATTGACGCTGAAGAACGTCGTCAATTAGAAACCCCATATGTTCTGGCTCTGGCATCTGTGGTCATGCCGGCAGTGCCATTGATGATAGCAGGCTATGTGGCAGCCAGCCGTCTTATGGATTATCGACACCATCCTACAGATGTGCTTGCTGGATCACTGCTTGGATTCTCCATTGCCTCAATGATATTTTTCACTTATCATCCTCGTAATATTATGAAGGCTTGATCATTTGACTCTTCATTTGAGAGTAAATAAGTTGCAAAAGTTGTCCACTGGCAGCTTGCGCTGGCGTGCCACTTTTATCTTGGCATAGTACTTCCAGCTCGCATTTATAGCCTGCGTGTAGCTGTGCAGCCAGTTCATTCCTCTGATAAGTTTGCGAATACGCACCGAAGAATGGGATGCATCTTTCTAGATCGAAGAAGATGTAGTGCCTTCTGACGGTCAGCTAGATTTAAAAGTTGCCAGGTGCCAGGTCGACCGATCTCCATCCACAAATTTGTGCGCAATCCTAGCCAATAGACATGCTTGTATGGTATCAATGCATCCATATAGATTCAGGTATCAGTTTTCCAGCATACCTCGCAATATCAAGTCCGTGAGGGTCCAGGTGAGATCCGTTTCCATACTTACCTGCATCCATGAGAATGAATATTTTTAGACTGTGTCAGCGTCAAGGACGAACTTGAATGAGGTACCGAGTAGCCATAAAAACGACCGAACAGCATAATCAGGGTAGCCTTTTCCCTGGTCATTAGCATATATTGCGCACTGTGATGAGAAGACCAGCTCCAGTTATACCATAGGTGGCTGCATGGTGTAGGAAGTTGCATGATTGTAGGGTTTGAAATATTGCGTGTTTCTCTACAACCAACGCCCACGATGCGCTTGTGCGGATATGCGCTGGATCCAAAGCATCCGGTATAAGCTGTTCCTTGTGCAAGCATCTTGATATACTATTTCGTCCGATAAAATCGAGAGGGCCCAATGCAATACTTCGTGGTGATGCACAAATGTTCAGACTCGAGCGCGAGCATTGTAATGTCAATGCCAATCTAGCAAGCATTGAGTCGGCCTTCGCTTGTGTCCCAAATAAAATAGGATCTCGATAAAATATATCCCTGGAATGAGATTAGTTTCCATACCGCTTGGACAAGACAGTGTCAGACACGAGCGCAGCATGAACTTGGGCCATCACACTAAAAAACTGGGCTATGTTTTAGTCCTGCGGCGACGCGTACCCCATTGCTTCATGTTTTTATCTCTTTTAGATGGAAATTCCCACTGTACTCTAGCCAACTGATCTTTGGACCTCGGTGCACCCATAGACACCGAGAGGGGTTTTCCAGTCAGGGGAATGTCTTGTATACCTTGCATGAAAAAACGAAGAAAATTCTCAATCTTGGAGATCGAATCATCTCTAGATCTCTTGTTCACATACATATACCCTTTGGACCGATCCATCATAACATTATGACTGGAAGAGTTACAACTGGATTCGATCGCATGCTCATCTTGTGCCTGTACAATTCTCGCACGGCCCCTAAATGTGGAGGAAGCACTGAAGGTTGTCCACATGCATCACGGTACGTGTGGTTGTCAGTAATTGTAGCTACAAGTCGTTTCACCGAGTCAACAGAATTGTGTGCGGACTCTATCGAGTCTCATCCGAGTATTCCTTTAATTTTTGCAGAATCAACTTATCAGGTCGATCAAGATCAAAAGGACGCTTTAGTATCTTCGAGTCCGGCGTATACACGCCGAGGTCGATGTAATCTAAAAAAAGCGAGTATAGATATTGAAGGAAAAGTCACATGGTATGTTTGCTATAGGCACTGATTAAAGCTCTATTATTGATTCATGGGAAGGAGCTGCCGTGTTAGATACGAAATGGTGTGTTCATTATTCTTACATCAGGTGTTTGGCGAAATCGCACGAGCCCAGCCCGCATTCAGGAGTGCTCGGAATCGCAGATGCAACTGGCTGCCTTAATCTTATGAAACTCACGACAGAAGATTCTCAATTCCATTTAAGTCCTTGGAAAGTTTGGCAGATGAACGATGAAGGGGCTTTATGTTTGAGTCTTGATTGGTCCGACCGCGGACCGAATGAGATGGCAACAGACGCCAAGCTTATTTTAAGTCAAAGTAATGGTACTCTTTGCATGGTGCCTAGTCTAAATTCTGAATCTTCGCTAAAAGACGAAATGCAAGTATGGAGGGCACATGACTATGAAGCATGGATTGCTGCCTGGGATTGCTGGAGTAACGGCAACGTTGTATGGAGTGGTATGTTTGCTGGCTAACCCTAGGTGGCGATGACCTGAGTTTAAAAGGATGGGACATGCGGATGACAATTCAAAGTGGTAGTCGAGATCCTACATTTACGTGTAAACGAGGGTATGTTAGATGAGCTAATCTTAGATTTGATGGTGGTATCACGTCGATTCAAAGTCACCCACACCGACCCCATTATTGGGCGGTAGGAAGGTATGGAGGCTCACCTGACGTACAGCTATGACGAAAAAATAAGGATATTCGATTCCAGAAACACATTCAAGCCTCTTTGTTCGACTGATGTCGGCGGTGGTATATGGAGAACTAAATGGCATCCTACTCTTTCCTCTAAGCTTCTTCTGGGATGTATGCACGGAGGGTTTTGTGTGCTGGACTGTCCGTTTCTTGAGAATTTTGGTTCCAAACAAGAATCTATGGATATCATAACGCGATTTGATGAGCACAAAAGTATTGCGTATGGCTGTGACTGGGAACGAGGGGACCCGGATCAACGTCTTGTGTACAGCTGCTCCTTCTACGACGCAACTCTCCACATATGGTCTTGGTAGCTAGATTATGTAATGTGGAGAGCATTAATGAGACATCCGTTAGGACTTCCTCGAGGTGTTGTGTCACGGTAATGCCGATAAGCACGCAGGCATGAGGGTCCTGTGTGTTGCAGAAAAGCGTATGAAATTAAATTAGATACTTACTATAGCTTCCATGGCAAAATCACTGACAGAGATTCTATCACATGGCAGTTTTCAAAATGTTAGTGTCGATTTATTGACATCATAGCGACCTGGACATGACAAGTACTGCCGCAATTATGACTTTTCTTACCGTCTTCCTAAGTCATTGTTCGATTTGGGATCGCATTCAGAAAGATCTGTTATCTCAGTTGAAATGACATTCACCTCTGTACGAGGTCATATGATGGAATATGAGTTTCCTGACGAGTTTCGATGGACAAAATGTCATCCTATTGCTTTATTTACTGCACCACTAATTCATCGTATAACGAGTGTACGTTCAGATATCTTATTCAAGGATGCAAGTAAAATTGCTAAAAACCTTACGGATGAAGTTCGAAGATCCGATATGTTAATGATATGGACGGATTGTGATCGAGAAGGAGAAAACATAGGGTATGAGATTGCACAGCACTGTATGAAAGTCAAGAACATTCTTGTCAAGCGTGCAAAATTTAGCGCTGTAATCGCCGAGTGAGTCCTCTTAATTAACACAGTCAAATCCATCAAGCCTGTAGGGCTCCAGGTGACTTGGATATTAACGCAGCCAAAGCCGTTGAGGCAAGACAGGAGATTGACTTACGAACTGGCGCTGCTTTTACACGTCTACAAACAATGGAACTGCGAAATAAATTTTCTTTGAATGATATGTTATTAAGTTATGGACCCTGTCAATTTCCAACTCTTGGATTTGTGGTTGATCATTACAAAAGGGTCCAGTCATTTGTCTCGGAACCCTTTTGGTATATTGAAGTACAACATAAGGTAAAAGAAAATTCAACGACACACAAGGTTTTATTTCAATGGAATCGAAAACACCTATTCGATGAATTAATCGTTCAAATGCTACACACTCGATGCAAACAAGCGACACATGCTACAGTTACCCGCGCTACACGCAAGTCCACGAAAAAGCGAAAACCCACTCCTCTAACAACTGTTGAGCTCCAGAAAAACCTTTCTCGCATGACAGGAATGGCACCGAAAAAAATTCTTGACGTGGCCGAATCACTGTATCAGCGGGGATTTCTGTCGTACCCACGCACGGAAACCGATCAATATGACAAGGATTTTGACTTTCTTGCATTAATTCAAAAGCAAAAAAATGATCGTACATGGGGTACATTGGCCACAGAACTCTATTTATCCGCTTCAGGTTCTCACGCAGACGGCCATCTTCAATTCGAGCCTCCGCGAAATGGACGAAAAAACGACAAAGCTCATCCCCCTATTCACCCGACTAGTCACGCTAATGACCTCTCAGCTGACGAAAAGAAGGTGTATGAGTATGTGACCAGACGATTTTTGGCTGGTTGTGCTACAGATGCTTTGGGAGAAGAAACCAGAGTAGAAATCGAACTTGCTGGGGAGTGTTTCCATACGACTGGCCTGGTGGTGCTTGCACTTAACTATTTGGAAATATTTACGTACGAGAAATGGGACAATAAATGGATGCCTGGATTTCATGAGCAACAACAGTTTGAACCAGATAAGGTTGAATTAAAAAAAGGGACAACCTCAGCCCCTAGCTTGCTGACAGAGGCAGATCTCGTTAATCTTATGGACAAGAATGGGATTGGAACTGATGCAACGATCGCAGAGCACATCAAGAAAATCATTGACCGCCAGTATGTTGTGACACAGAAACAAGGGAAAATTAACTACTTAATTCCATCAACTCTGGGCATGGGACTTGTTGAAGGTTATGAAGGTATGGAGGTTAGCCAACATCTTTGCAAGCCTATGTTGCGGCGAGAAACTGAAGAGAAACTCGGCTTGGTTGCCCAGGCGCAAATTTCCAAACAAGAAACAGTCTCGCAAAGTTTGCAAGAGTACAAGACCATATTCGGGGCAGTGAAAAGCGATTTTACTACGGTAATTCAGGTAAAGTATAAGAATGAGCTCATGATAGGCCGTGGGCAAATACATGCAGTTACAATCCGATACGAATGCTACGAATTCGGGGACTGTATCGTCAGCACAGATAAACAATCAGTTGCTTCAATGTCACTGTAATCTTCCGTGCTCAAGAGCAATTGATTCTAGTTCAAATCAAGAATATTGGGCATGTGCACAAATTGATGATCTAGGTATTTCGTGTGGGTTCTTTCGTTGGCTTCAACAACCAATTTTAGACCACACTCAAAACGTTTCGTCTGTTAATGGACGAGGGGGGAATATGCGCAAACGAACACAACCTGACGATATAATGTGTGATTGCGATCTTGTGGCAAAACGCTGTCTGACCCAAAGGGTACGAGAAGCATATTAACATGCTCAGGGCTCCAATGCAGGCCGTGCATTCTGGACTTGTTCCAAAGAAAGCAAGCGAGCCAGGTATGTTTATGATAATTTCACTCTCTAGATGCAATTTCTTTCTATGGGATGATGAAAGTAATAGCACACTTGATGCTTCATCCAGCCACAGTCGCACTCAGGGACCTCCATCGCGACGGCAGTCATCTCGAAGTCGACGTGACAGGCCCAATCGAAGCAAAGGAACTGGCCGGAGTCGCACCAATGTCAATACGCATGATTGTTTTCGTTGTGGCCAACCAGGACACTGGTCAAATGCATGGTGCGTAATGATGAGGTAATTAATTTGACAAAAGTCCCAATTAACGTAGACCATGTTAACGTGATAAACCAGCCAGACCTGAAACATTGAGTTACGGTAGCGGCGTACACCGACTTACACTTGAGGATCCATCGTCAAAAAAAAAAAATAGCGGAGCCATTCTTGCCAATACGTGTAGTGAAGTTTCTCCGGAGAACAGCTAAACTAGAATTGTTCTTGGAACACTTTCGTTAGTGTTGACTGCATGATGGAGAACTTTGACTTCCAAGCTAATTATCCGATGGATGAGCTACACCATTTGTATCCGGGACATGGGACCCATCCACCTGTCGATCAGTTAGGAGACAAACAGAACACCTATGATTTCCAAACCTACATGTTAGCAAATCAAAGCATGGGGAATTCCATGAACAGCGCTTCCGAAACCCAGCAGGAAATGCTCCCCTTGAATCAACAGCATACCCAGCTCGAGACAATGATGAATGAAGGGATGATCTCTATGCACTCGTCTGAAATGAATGATTCGTTTGCTCGTCATAATATGGGACAGTACCATGATCCGCAACAGACAACTGTCACAGAAATGCCTGACCTCTCAAACATGGACACGAATTTAGGATATGCTATGCATAATCAATTGACCGAACAAGATGGTAATCAGTTGCAGCTATCTTCCAATTCCCATGTAAACTCTGGACAAAACCTTTTGTCGCAAAAACCTTATTCAACATTGGAATCATCTGCAATCACGCCAGCCAGTGTATTTTCGACCGTGAGCAGCGCGAGCACTAATGATTTTCTATCACCTATCACTTCTCCGATGTTACAACCCCAAGCTGGACAAGCTAGTATGTTTGGACTTGGTGACAATGAGATGCGGATCTCTCATGAAATGCTCAACGGGAACCCGACTTCACCAGCGCACTCATTTCTCAATCGAGAGAATACTACTGCATACACACAGAGTTTTTCTTCATTGATGAAAAACAATGCCAGTCGCTCCTCGGTCGCTTCTCCTATGAGTCCTCTCGAAAGACCGGTGATGCGCCGTGCTCGTACTGGGGATAAGACTGGACGTATCCGTCCTTCGCCTCTCATGAAACCAATTCAAAGTCCGAAATCTGGGTCGACTAATTTGATTTGGAATGCATCTAAGCGAGATAATAATTCGCATTCACCTGCGCTTGGGGCTATTGAGTCTTTATCATCTACAATGCACGATGCTAATCCGCTCGTGATGCCTTCTCCCTCTTTCTCGCCCGCCATGATTCCGCTTAATGGTCATGGAGGCAGTCAAGTTCCGGACAGTGCCACTCGTTCACATTCTGTCGATGAGTTTGTCATGTCTCCAACTGTAAAACGTGATAACCCAAGTGAACTTTCAAACTCTGGTCGGGGTTCGTTGAATAGTCCATCCCCCATTGATCTTGCTCAAAATGAGTATCGAGGCTCTCCGTCTGGACAAACAGTACCTGCGACACCAGGTACGATAATGGGGTTGGTGAATTCTTCTTCACAGCACTCACAGAGTTTAACGCCACAGGAACATGAGTCACCCTCAGTTGCCCAATCATCAAGTACCCTGGCGCAAGAGTCCAGCCAACACAACACAGTATACCCTTCTACGCAAGTTCCTCCCATTTCAGAGGCAAATAAAAATTCCAAGGTTATTTCATCATTACAAGCGCAGGATGCAGTCCATGCGGTTGCTACATCTGCTATGGTAAATGCGGCCCAGGCACGCTCGAACCTGATGTATATGGCGCCTCATCACAAGACCATTTTACCTGGAGGGCTCTCTCTAGATGATCGCAATGCTTGGCTGAATGTACGTCGTGTGGGACATGGACTCGATCAACGACGCACATCCCACAAAGCCGCCGAGCAAAAACGACGTGATTCCTTGAAATGTTGCTTTGATGAATTGCGCACATTACTTCCACCTATTACTGTGGATGACTCTGTACCCGGTGGTTCTATACTCGGCCCTGATGGCTCCAGTGAAGATCGTTTAGCAGAGGGCTTTGACTCCGAGAGCAATATGAAAGCAACAAGCAGCGAGAACGAGCCAGCAGTAGTCCCACCGGTGGACTTGAGCTCGGAGCAGGCGCGAGACGCCAACCGCGCAGTCGCTAAAGTATTGCTACTGCGACATTCAAACGAATATTTGATTCGCCTAAAACGTCGCATCGAGCGTCGAGATTTAGCTGTTCAGAGCCTGAGTGAAGAGGTCGTCCGGTTACGAGCTCTCTTAGCAGATGCAGAGAAACGAAAAGGCGACGGCATGGAAGCTAAAGTTTCAAGTGAGTTAAGTTCATTGTCAATTGAGCAAAAAGGACATCCTGCGGATGTTAGCAATCAGCAATCAGTGAAAGTCGAAGTGAAGGACAAAGCATAAATTGATCATAGGAAAACTTAGCATGTATTTCTGTATCTGGAATATAGTAGAAATAGGGGTTCATTTCTAAGAGCCTAAGAAAGCCAGGAGTGTCTCATGGAGATATACTTACATAAAAGACGTCTCGGGCGTAACACACTTCGCGGCGGGTTGTTGGCTTAGCAGCTGGTTCAACGTGGATATCAATTCAACACGTCGGATGGGCTTGCTAACATAGGCATTCATGCCAGCTTGTAGACATTTTTCTTTATCTCCCAACATGGCATGCGCTGTAAGCGCCACAATAGGTATGTGCTCAAGTTTGTGCAATACCTCGTAGTCACGAATTGCCATGGTGGCCTCAATGCCCCCCATGACGGGCATACTTACATCCATCAAAATTACATCGTAGCGGTGGTTCTGGATAGCCTCCACAGCCTGTTCACCATTGTCCACAACAGCGACACGATGTCCCTGGTTCTGCAGAATTTTACAGGCAAGCTTTTGGTTGACCAGGTTGTCCTCAGCCAACAAGATATCAAAGGAGACGTCATGACCGCCTTCACTAGGCGTCGCTGCACTACTTTCCAGAGAGGGAAGAAGGGCATAATACAAGTCCTCCAGAGACACTGGCGTATTGATGTAGGAAGAAATGCCGTAGTCCAAGCAGTAGGTCAAGTTCAATGAAAGCACCGTCGGAGTAATAAGATTGATCGGGATGTAATGGAGCCTCTCAATGGAACGCAGTTGTGTGACAACAGATAATGTGTCCGTAACGATAGCATCGATTCGGTCGAAGGAAACACGTTTTGCAATCGCTTCATTAAGCGAGTGAGATACAATAGGTACAAGGCCTAGTTCAGTGAGCATGCCTGCCACATTGGTCTGATCCTGTAAAGTATCCAAGAAGAATACCTTGCGGCCCACGTAGGGCCGCATGCGTTCTGTCAATTGCTCTTTGGTGAATTTATCGCACTTGACCACCATTGTGAAGAAGAAGTCGGAACCCTTGCCAAAGTGGCTACGCACCCACATGTCGCCACCCATGAGGTTGACAAGACGACGAGAAATCGAAAGACCTAGGCCAGTGCCACCATATTTGCGAGTCGTGGAGCCATCGGCTTGACAGAATGTATCAAATATCATATCCAGTTTGTCCTGCTTGATCCCAATGCCAGAATCGGAGGCGCAAAACTCGAGCACAGTCTCAGCTGCACCTGGGGGACTGTTGAGTTTGCAGCGCAGAGCAACAATCCCGCCACTCTCGGTGAATTTGACGGCATTGCCAATGAGGTTCGTGATAATCTGTTTCAAACGAAGCGCATCACCAATCAAAGGGTCTGGCACATTCGGTGCCACTTCATACACAAGATTTAGTTTTTTCTGCGTCGCGCGCACACTGAGTGTCTTGAGAACGCTAAACAAGATACCTCGTAAACTGAACGGAATCTCTTCGATATTCATGCGCCCAGCTTCAATCTTGGAAATATCCAAAATGTCGTCGATGATGGCCAGTAGGTTGCTCGCTAATGTAGACACAGTCACCAAGTTCTCGCGCTGCGTACGAGAGAGATCCGTTTCAAGAGTCAGAGCTGTCATACCAATGATACCATTCATCGGCGTACGAATCTCATGCGACATGTTGGCAAGGAACTCCGACTTCGATCGGTTGGCCAGCTCGGCTGCCTCACGGGCGGCGGTGTTCTTCTGAATACTGTCGCGCAAACTGTACACCATCTGGTTAATTTTCGTCTTGAGGGAGTCCATCTCACCGCTAGCCTCAACGGTCACAAAGCGGGAAAAGTCACCATCGGTAGCCGCGGCAGTAATCTGGGCAAAGGCACGCACTTGAGATGTCAAATTGTTGGCCATGATATTCACATTGTCCGTAATCTCACCCCATGTACCTTGGATGTCTTTCTTTTGAGCCTGAACTCCCAGTTTACCCTCCGTGCCGACCTCACGCGCAACACGGGTGACCTCGGAAGCGAAGAAAGAGAGCTGGTCAATCATGTTGTTGATAGTATTCACGAGATCAAGGATCTCACCGCTGACCGAGATGGTGACTTTCTGTGTAAGGTCACCGTGAGCCACAGCCGTAGTCGCATGTGCAATCGTACGCACTTGCAGGGTCAAGTTGGCAGCCATCGTGTTCACCGAGTCAGTGAGGTCCTTCCAAGTACCATCGACGCCCAGCACATTCGCACGGCCACCGAGACGCCCTTCTGTACCGACCTCAGTAGCTACACGCGTCACCTCAGTGGAAAAGGTTCGCAGACTTTCCACCATGTTATTAACTGTGTGCTTCAGATCCAGAAACTCGCCGCGAACTTCCACATTGATGGTCTTCGAAAGATCCCCACGCGCTACAGCCGTATTGACGGCCGCAATCGAACGCACCTGCGTCGTGAGGTTTGAGGCCATCATATTAACACGTTCTGTCAGCACTTGCCACTGTCCCTCGACGTCTTCGACATTAGCTTGACCACCCAGTCGGCCTTCAGTACCGACTTCCACAGACACACGGATAATTTCATCAGACAAGGTGCGAAGTTGGCGAACCATATTGTTGACGGTATTTTTGAGCTCCAGAATTTCACCCTTAACATCAACGGTGATAAACTCGGTAAGTACACCCTCTGCGACGCATTTAGTCACACGTGCAATCTCTCGCACTTGCGAAGTGAGGTTGTCAGCCATCTTGTTGACACTCATCGTCAGGTCCTTCCAGATACCCTCTACGTTTGGTACATGCGCCTGGCCACCCAAACGCCCATAGGTACCGACTTCAAGCGACATGCGCACCACTTCACTGGCAAACACGCGCAACTGGGCCACCATGCTGTTGACCGTATCCTTGAGCTGGGCCATTTCACCCTCCGCCTCAATCTCAATGGTCTTCGTCAGATCACCGCGAGCCACAGCGGTTGTGACCATACCGATAGAGCGCACTTGTTCTGTGAGGTTAAGACACATTCGATTGACATTGTCTGTTAGTTCCTTCCAAACCCCCCGCACACCAGGCACATGCGCTTGACCTCCAAGGCGGCCCTGCGAACCGACTTCGCGTGAGACTCGTGTTACTTCATTAGCAAAATGCCGTAGTTGATCTACCATGACATTGATCGTAACCTTAAGCTCGAGGATTTCACCGCCCGCATGCACGTCAATTTTCTTCGACAGATCACCCCTCGCCACTGCCTTAGTGACCAAGGCTACACCACGCACTTGGTTGGTAAGGTTTTCAGCGAGACGATTCACCACATCCTTGAGCTCTTTCCAGGTGCCCTCGACACCAGGGACATGAGCTTGGCCGCCTAGCTTGCCCTGTGTACCGACTTCAAGGGAGACGCGGGTGACCTCGCTGGCAAAGTTGTTCAGTCGGTCCACCATCTGGTTAATAATGTCCTTGAGCTCCACCATGACAGGACCTTGGACCGGAACCATGATATGTTGCGTCAGGTCGCCTAGGGCTACCGCTTTACACACACGCGCAATATCACGCACCTGTGCGCGGAGCAAATGGAGTTCTTCCTCAGCACTTAGACCACTCTCCGCCGATGCATAGTCCAGCATCTCACCGGGATCCATCCCCGTGGGTGCCACTGCGGCCAGAATCGGCGCGATATGAGGTAGCTGAAGAACAGGATCAGATCGCTCTGCACACAAGCGCGACACAGAATCAGGCCAGAGAGGCTTGGACATGGGCTCGGGGGCCTTTTGCACCGTCTGCTGGGCATCCTCCGAAGACCAGAGTCTGTGAGCTAGAGCCTGTACCAGTTGCTGTACCTCAGCCACGCGTGCATTTCCGGGAGCCGAATCGGGAAGCTCCATCTTTTGCCAATCCTTGTAAGCATCTTTGTTTGGCGGGGTTTTCTCGGGCACACGCTCCGCATGAACCACCGAACGTAGCAGGGCGATAATGTAATCAAGAGCCGCATCCCCCTCTACCGGAGATGTTCCGATAATCGGTAAGTGATACGGCGAATGGCGGTCCACAATTGGGACTGCCGTGAGCATCACGACAGAGCTACTGCACCCAGGCACGCCGAGTCGTACAAAGTGGCTAGGACGGTACGTCGGAAGCTCCACCTGACCGCAAGAGGACTGCCTCCACTGCGTAGGGGCCTAGTTGGCTGTGCTATGTAGACGGTTCTAACGACGACCGCTGCGACGTGCACCTCCACCTTTACGAAGAGAGCGGTCATTGGACCGCTCTGCATTCCCGCCGTACCAACCCCCCGGTCCTACTGGAAATGGCGGCGGGGGTCCGACGGAGGTCATCGGCGGCGGAAAGGAAGGTGGGGGCTGTGCAACGGTATGGGCACCACCCCACGGTCGCATCGGCCTGGCAACAGGCACGGGTGGTGGGGGGCCAGGGGGACCCAGGCCATGAGGTGGGAGCCCATGCATAGGTAGCATAGGTGGGGGTCCAGGCGGCACATTCGAACCAGGGGGGCCAAGAGGCCCTGGTCCGGGGGGCGGCGTCGCTAGAGGCGGTGGAGTGCTCATCGCTTGGAGGGGTGATGCGCCGCCACTCCCATTTAATGTTGATAAGAGATTTTGAATAGCGTCTGGCTTGACGTTCAGGAGAGTGTCAAGGGATACTGGCGCAACTGGGGCTGTTGGAGGTACAAACCCATCCTCGTCAGCCGCCGCGCTAGGGGGCGCCGTTGTCTTGCCCTCCATGGCTGCCTTGAACAGTACAAGAATCACAAGAAGCACATGAGCCGGGCGCTCCATGGCCCATGCATCCCCCAAACCTTCCGGGCTCAACATTGTGAGCCAATCCGGGACAGGCTCATGCGACAAGAGCGGCGCCAAGTAAAAGTCTTTTACAAGCGAGCCTTGCATCCCAGGCGCAGGCGCTAGCACACCGAAACGCTGCTTGTCTGCAAAGTAGTGCACAAGCTTGTCCAGGGCGGGCGAGCTGTGCAGCGTCCCTTCGTGCCGCCCAGATGCAGCAGATGCACCCCCCGCATCCAGAGCCAGCACTACTATCTCATTGCGTGGCGACATGCGCACCTGGGCGAGGTAATCAATCGCAGTTTGACTGGGTAAGCGACCCTCGACAGTACGCTCAGGCGTCGGAAAGCAGTCGCGCCAGAGCGGCGCCTCCGGTGCATACCAGGGGTGGGACAAGGGCCGTACATGCACATACGCCGATGTGTATTCAGGCATAGTAATCACGCCGTCCCATATAACTGGACTACCGGTCAACGTATTCTTTGATCGTGCGGCCCAGCGTGCGGCAAAAGAATCTGGCGGGGGTGTCCCGGCAGGGGTATGGCTCTCGAGCGTGTCTGGGGCTGCATCCACCATAGATTTCTCTTGCACTTTGTGCCCTGCACTTGGTGCTGACGACGAAGGACGCTCGTCGCCGAGAAAAGAGTCAACGAAAGAGTCGGCCTCCGTAGGGGCAGCAATGCCCAGGTCGGTGGGCTCATCCATAGGAGCCTCCTCAGGTATAGGCGCGGCCTGCTTGTCCCATAGCCCTGTGAGTGAATCGGGCTCTGGGAAGGAAGGCATGTCATCATGGTTTTTGGCCAGCATGGAAGGAGACGAAGAGGGCATGGCCGACGCGTCTGCCGCAGAATCAGATATAGGCTGAGGCTCAGTCGCTGGCAGAGAACGAATTTCCTTCGACGCAAACGCAGGGTCGTCGCGCTCAATATCGACTTCTCCCTTGTGTGTAATCTTTCGTGCGGGTCCTTCCTTCTCGCGCAGAAGCACAGCTTGTTGAAGCGCATCGCGCTTGGCCTTTTCTGTCGCCTCACGAATCGCATCGTTGGCTAGTGCTTCGTTGGACATATGCACCACTTCTTCCGCAGGCAATTGCCCCGAAGTGATACGCTCATGCAGCGTGACATTGCGTGGGTCCTTGAGGTTAAAGTGCAGCGTGCGAAAGCGCTCCTTATACGCCCGAAGATTTGGGTCTGTTCCAAGTGCATGGAACAATTCACTTTCGAGTTCCGTCGCATAGGAAGCGGCTTTGTCCGCGGTAAGGCCTTGGTTGGTGAATAGTGGGGTGAAAATGGAAGTGAAGGTAGACAGTACATGGCGCCGGACTGGGTCGTCGTCCACGCCGGAGCTAGACCGCCTCGGTGCCTTTAGAGGCGCACGTTTTGTCCTTACTGTACGCGTACGAGGCCGCTCTGATGAAGCCGACGCGTCAGAGAAGTGGGCCTCCATCTCAGCATCGGGGTCATCCCCATGAGTGTCTTCTTCTTCGTCGTCCTCGTCTTCGTCGTCATCCTGTCCTTCGTTGTATTCTTCATCCTCCTTTTTGGTATTTCCGGGTTCCTTGGCTTGGCAGCCTTGGCAAATGTATTCGTCGAGGCGATCGGCGGCACGTTTGTTCAGTCCTATGCATTTGAAATGAAACCATTCATCACAATGGCTACAGCAGATCATCGGTGAGCCGTCGTTACCACGGCGGCACACACAGTACTCTTGCTCCTCATCGTCATCTTCGTCAGTTTCGTCCGTGCCAGCTGATTTAGGGCGCTTCGCCTGTTCACCCGTATCGGAAGGGTCGTTCGCGCGCTTCCGCGAGCTGGGCCGGGGACGTGGCTGTTGCTCCTCGACCTCTGCCACGTATCGTGCAGCAGGACGCTTGACACGAGAACCTCGTCCCAGGGACACAGATTCACCTGTATCCACGCCCATCTATAGCACGCTACGGATCGTGTGCAATCAAGATGCTTACCACGACGCCACCGTCGGCGACGGCCGTCGCGAACGCCGCGTGGCACCAGCTATTCACGTGACTGGGCTCTTCCTTCGCAGGTGGGCCGTCCCTGCGCTCATTACGACCGACAACCTGGGGTGCAGTACGATGTCCGCCCCTATTGTGACACCCGTTCCGCCGCCCTCGCCTGTGGCGCCACAGGATCTTGTTGTGACTCAGAAACCTTTGGTGGAGAAGTCGCTGAACAGCTACTTCGCCGGCCTCGACCCGATCGTGCGTCCGGTCAAGGAGCTGTTTGGCAAGATGAGTGAGATTCGTCACTCGCTCAACCTGCCGAACTTGGGCACTGTCGAGAAGATGCAGAATGAGGTCAAAAGTACGTGATAGTGGCTGACGACCAGTGGTGCAAACGACCAACTTCCAGTTTGATGGCGCGCGCGCTGACCTGACGAAGGCGTTGAACATGAACCCCATCTTCCAGGTCACTCACGCGTTCACCCTGGGTGCAGCGGGCAAGAACTCTTACAACTTTGGTGCTGTATACGGTGACGAAAACCGCTTCTACCAGGCCGGCCTGGACGATGCCGGCAATGTCACGATGCGCCTGAACCGCCGCTGGCTTCCGGGCCATATCTCCAAGGTGCAGGCCCAGCTCGCCCCGCTGGGTGGCCAGTCGTTTGTGCAGCTGGAGCACGACTTCCAGGGTGCCGACTACAGCGTGAACTTTAAGGCACTGAACCCGTCGCCGACGGACCTCACTGGTATTTACGTGGCCAACTACCTGCAGACGCTCACGCCCCGCTTTGCTCTTGGTGCTGAGGCTATCTACCAGCACCCCAGTGCGGAGATCGAGGAGGCCAGCCTGGGCTACATGGCCAAGTGGGTCGGCCCCAAGAATGACTGGATTGCCACGGCACAGTGGCAGCCGCAGGGCGTAGGTCAACTGACCTACTGGCACCAGCTGAGCGAGCAAGTCGATGTGGCCGGTGACTTGCAGATGATCCTGATGCCGCAGCGCCGCGATGCGCAGGCTTCGCTGGCTGCGCGGTACTCGTTCCGCATGGCGTCACTGCGTGCCCAGATCGATAGCCTGGGTAAGCTGACGTCCGTGTACGAGGCGCGCATCTCGCCCGCCTTTGCTTTCACCTTCAGTGGTGAGATTGACCACCTGAGCGGTGGTGCCAAAGTCGGTCTGGGTGTCTCAATCGAGAGTGGTGCCGAGCCTATCGATCCCATGTCGCCGCCGCCCATCCCCCCGAGCGTGCCTATGTAGAGACGTAGAGCTGAGCTATCCGCTACCTAAACAAATGCAAGAAGTAAGCGTGTTGCGGGGGAGTGCCACGAGGAAGCAAAAGGAGCTGGAGCAGTATCTGCGGCTCGGCGAGCATGTTGTGCGTTTGCAATGGAACAAAGAAGAGATGCGAAAGGCAGCAGCAAAACAGCGTTAGTATCAGGTAGCGCACGAATGTGGGCGTCCGGCGTGTGATTCCAGGAGCATACCGGGCGATCGCAGTCGCCGAAACGGCCAACAGGCCATTGAGCAGGAAAAACAGCGTCTGCCAGCCATAGAGACCGGGTGTCGAGCATAAGAGGAGGAATTCATGGAACAGGCCAGACACGAGGAATGTGGCCATCGCCATAAGCGATGTCTGTGCGAACCGCACGAGCGACGGGGGCCGCTTGGGCGACGAGTCGCTCTGCTTCTTTTTGGGGCGGGCTGTGCTCAGACTGCCAAACACAACACGGTGCAACACTGTAGAGACGGCGCGATTCCATCTCGACCAGAACTGCTGCACGCTTGTGGTGAAAAACGGGTTCTCGAAGAGAGGCGCCTGCTCGATGCCAACCACCAGCCCAGACATGTTTACCAAAAACATCCCAGTAGACGAGAGCATGGCATACAGGCCAACCACCATAAAGGGCCCATAGCACATGTATTGATACTTGGGCATCTCGCGCACCACTTCAATAGGCGGGAAGAAAAGTAGGCAGAGCTGCACGAACAGCACGGACACAAGGCCCTTACCCACTTCCCGCAGACAGTGGAGACGCGGACGCTGGGGACCAGGGCGCTTCGCCAGAACAGCTACTTCGACGGGAAAGAGCCATACCTGCGCAAACGTGCGCGCCGCGGACCATGACCGAACTTCGGCAACGGGGCGGATCATGAAGATATCCCAGAGAAGCAAGCTGGAGCGAAAAGCCAAAGCAGCGCGTAAATAGTTGGTCATCCTCGATTGGCCACCGGAGCCAAGCACGGCCCAGGGCAAGAGTACCATGATGTGTAGGATCACCAGAAGGCGGCGTGTTGCCGGCGACGCCCCGCGCTTCAAAACATTCAGACTTGGCTGGATCCACAAAATCTGAAATAGTACCAGGTCTAGCACCAGGCGAAGGAACTCGTCACAAAAGGCTTCCAGGGTATAGGGCGTGACAGGGTACGCCTGCACCTGGAATCCCAGGGATCCAAACCAGTGCTGCCAAACATTCTCACGCATTTGGAGCTGTGGGAAGAGCTCCAAAAAGCGTGGTAGATGTGGCACCAACACATAGGCTGGGTTCAGAGAGCGCGGTAGCACGAGTCCGGTATACGACCACGGCAAGTCGGCCCAAGTCGCTTTGAGCCAGTCCATCGGAGATCTGGGATCGGATTGTAGAGCGGGAAAGCTATGTTATGTCACACTTAAATTCACGTGCGCCTCGCCAATGCGCATGTGGACACCGTGCGCGTCACGCCACTGGAGCGAGACACCGCCCAGTGTGTCGGCGAGTGGGAGCTGCGCGGCGTCGCCAAGATGCAAGGGGATGGACCGATACGCTGACGCCTCACCCTTGGTACGTCGCGGGCGTAGCATATCGACGAAGCCAGCGCTAAGGCGCCATAGTAGCACGAGGCCCTCGCTTAGGCACAGGGAGAGGAAGCGCCGGCCGTCTGGCGAGAACGAACACGCGGTAACGGGCGCCGTATGTCCGTCAAGCACATAGAGCCGCGTCGCCGTCTTGAGATCGTACAGAACGACAGGGCCGTCGTGGGTACCGACCGCGAGGCGCTGCGTGCCGCTGTGGAACGCAATCGAAGGGTACGTCTCGACGAGTTCCTTGATCATCACCGTCGCGGAGCGCGTCAGCGACGAGCGCACCGCCACTAATGTGGGATCAAGTGACTTGACGACAGCCTCAACAAGGCGTGGCAGGCTGGGATACAGCACGAGCGGCTTTTGGCGGATCAAGAACGCGACGAGGCGCAGCGTCACTTGACTCTGCTCGACCGACGGAGCGTGCAAAATGTCCATGGCCAGCGTGCTCATAAACAGGGCACCGTGCTTCGAGGCCAGCTCAAGTGTCGCACGTCGCGCCAGGCCACGCAGCGTAAGGCCTGTGAGACGGAGATGCGTCGCAGCCACATCGTCGGGCTCGGTGGCCACGCGGAAAATATGCCGCACGAGTGCCACGGTGTCGACATAGTGCTGCCACACGTGGCACCCCGTACAGCATAGCTCCGTCGCGACCCATATGGGCAGCGAGTCGGCGGCAGGCCGCGCGAGGTATGCTGCGACCATCGCTGCCACGCGTTTCAGCAGCAAGGGCGAAAAGTGCGCGTACCGCTCACACATCACGAGTCCCAGCACCAGCACAGCGTACGGCGTGCATGGCGTGGCGGGGTCCGACGGCGCAAGGGGCACATGTCCACGCCACGTCCGCTCCAGCTCCGTAAGCTCGCTCTCCGTCGCAACAGGCACGTACCGCGCCAAGAGGAGCTTGGCAGCCGTGCGCAACACTTCGTTCTCGTCCAGCACATGCACGCCAAGCGCGGCAAGAGATGGAGGGCAGTACGCGGGGCCCACAAGCTGCGCGAGGAAGGCAGGTGAGAGCAGCGCATGTAGTACACCACGCGCTTCAGTGTGAATAGCATCCCATAGCAGCGCGAGCGATACAGCGGCCAGCAACTGATGCGCCGTCGCCTCCGGCGACTGACAGAAGCGCTGAGCTGCACCAGCATGGCATGCCATACTCACAAAGCCTAGCACGCGCGCACTGCCTGGGTAGGCGTCGCACGAGGATGCTGCGCCAAAGACCGCGTCTAGCGCGGTGGGCCAGAACAGGGGGAGCAGAGGCTGCAGCATACTCTGCAGCTTGGCCGCACCCGCACTCTCGGCAGGCAGGGCAGGCGCTTCGGGTGCGTGGGCCTCGAGCACGTGGCGCGTGCGCGCCTCGAGGAGCGGTACAAGTGACGGCACTTGGAGCGCCGTCCGCAGCGTCTGCGCCCCTGCTTCAATAGCGCGCCGAACATCCGCCAAAAGAACGCTCACAGCCTCTGCTTGTGCGCCGCCACAGGGCGAGAGCATGCCAGTGATAGCATCGCTGCGTGGCGGCGCGCTGCGTGGCGACGATGGGATCGCATACATGAGCCACGATGGCTGCGCGTCGTGTAAGAGCGTGCGTGCCTCGACAGGCGTGATGCTGCGCACCATCTCGAGCGTTCGCAGGTCCCAGATCCGCGCGCGCGATGTGCCATAGAGGAGCAGGACTTGATGATCGCGCACGGCCACAGAGGTCAACGGCGCGCCACAGCCGGGGAATAGCTGCACGAGTCGCACGTCGTCGAGCGCTAGCAGTGCACTTGTGCCGTCCAGCGAAACACAGAGCACACAGCCGTACAAGCGCGAATGGGGCGGTACGCCCGTGAGCGGCACAAACGCCTGGAGCGGGGACGTGAACCACGACCACGCCGCCTCACTGCGCAGCGTCGTGAGGCCCCACACGCCCAAGTCGCCCTGCGCCGTGCCGCCCATCAGGTGCCGCGTGCCTGTGCGGGGATTCGCCACGAGCTGCAGCGACGATACGGGCGCGGCCCACGACGCATGCGAGTGGGCCACGGCCGTCTGTGCTGCTGGTGCATCGTTCAGCACGTCGTTCAGCGAGGCCACAGCGAGGCCGCCAGTAGGCAGGCCCAGCACGAGGCGATTCAGACTTAGTGGAAGGATTGCACTCCAGCGCGGAAGCGGTGCTGGGCCGTCTGGGGCGGTGCGCAGCACACGGACAAGGAGGTCAGGGACTGGAACGGCCAGCTGCACGGCGTCACAGAGCGCCTCATCGATGATCGCCAAATGCGGCGCCTCGGCGCGCAACATCGCCTGTACGGTCAGGGCATGGGCGGTGCATGCAACACCAACGCGCGTGCCAAGCTGCACGAGCTGCTCAGCTGCACTCGGCAGGGCCAGGCGCACCACCTCGGGCGCCTCGGAGCCCGAGGCGCGGGCGACACCGACGAGGGCCGGCATATCTCCACCGCACGCACATACGAGCATGTCATCCAGCAAAAGTGCTTGATCCACAGGCGCATCTACCATGGCGAGGCGCGCGGTGGACGTCGGGTCGAGAGAAGTAGCGACGTGGACATCGAGAAGCGGCGCCGACACGTCGTCCGGTGCCCGCAGCCGCTGCTGGAGCGTCGAAAGCGCCGGATCGCTAGACGCGCCGCAAGGAGCGTCAAGGCCCTGACCATAGACATCGTACTGTGAGGTGTGCCAGCAAGCCGCCTCGTCTAGCGAGTATAGCACGAGACTGGTGGATTGCAACTCCCAGAGCATCACAGACGTTGCACTCGATAGGTGCAGCACGGCGGCGGGTAGCAGCGCTGCACGCGCCGTATCGACATACAGCAGGAAAGCATACGCAGCGGAACCGGGCCATTGGACAACGACGCAGGGTGCCATGGGCTCGCATCCCTTCGCGAGGCGCACGGGCGCGACGTGGTATGGGCCCAGATCAGGCGGAGCCTCCATGCGGTAGGTACACCGAGCAACGCTTTGGTATACGGGCTTGTCAGTGCTAGCCGCCTGATACTCGAATACGATGTCCGTCATCCCAGAGGAGTCATGGCAACCTGCGTTGATAGAGACGGTGCCAAGCATCGTAAGAGTCGTCCGATCCCATGCAGTGAGACGCCCAGACGCCTGCTGCACAAGTAGGAGACCAGGGTCAGATGGCGTGCCCGTCACAGTGATGGCAACGACAGCTGACGCATCGGGCGAGTATAAGCACCGCTGGCAGGACCAGGGTGTGGCGTCATCCGTAGTCCAGGGCGCCGGTTCACCGGCGGACGGCCGGTCGGGCGCGGGGTCTGTACAGGGCGCCGTCATGGGTATCGGTGCAGACGCTTCAGCAGGCGCCTTCGTGGGCGCCTTATCAGGCGCCTCGGCAGCGGCATGGTGTGTATGAACATGTGGCACATACTTGGGATGGTCGTGAAAAGGATGCTCAATGACGGTTGGCACATCCGCTGCATGGTACTGAGCCTCGAGGAGGTTTTCAGCAAGGCTTCGCTTAGGATCCTCGGGCGTGGACGAAGCCGTCGCATGGGACGTGCTGACCGTCGGATCCCGCCGTCCTATCTGGGGCGACGTCGCCGCGCAAGACGGAGGAGCACTATGCAACGAGGACACATCGCTCGGAGCAAGGCTTGCGACAAGTAGCTGCAAGTTTTGGCGGTGGTGTCTCCGCGTTACAATGCCAGGCCGCGCATTCTCAGAGGGCGACAAGGTGGATGACCGAGGCTCGACAGGCGGCGACGGTGTCGCTGGCGCCTCGTCAGGGGGCGCAGTGCCATCCGGGCGTGTAATAGCACGCGCAAACACATATACACTGCCCTCGTCGCCCCCCATAGCAGCGCGCACCTCGCCTGTCTTGATCAGTGCGTCGGGGCTCGATGCGCCACCAGCATGAAACCAGGGGACGGACCACACAGGCTCAGCGTCGCTGCCGGCATCAGACCATGCGCTCTCATCATTCGCCTCTTTGCGCTCCTCTGGATCAACATGTTGCTCTTGGTAGTGCGCGCCAATGAGCGGGGGCACGCAGGGCGGCGCCAGCGCCGCGCCCAGCGGGACGAGGAGCGCCGCGGCGTGGCTCATACGGAAGTGGAGTGGCGGCTCGGCGCCCCAGGCACGACGCGTGTCTGTCGGCCGAAACGCGCGCGCTGATCAACACGTACCGGCGCGTCCTCGCTTCTGCCCAGCAACCACGATGGCGGCAGGCACTGGCGGCAAGACAGGCCCGACGACGGGCCAAAAGACAGAATCGCGGAAGCCCGTGTCGCAGTCGGTGCGTGCGGGCCTGCAGGTAGGTGCATGCTACTCATGACAGTTCCCCGTTGGACGTATCCACCGTCACCTGAAGAACAAGTCGCAGAACAACATTCGTGTGGGCGCCAAGGCCGCCGTGTACACGAGTGCGATCCTGGAGTACCTCACGGCTGAGGTGCTAGAGCTGGCAGGTACGTTGTGACTTCTCACACCAGGCAACGCGTCGAAGGACCTGCGTGTGAAGCGTATCACGCCCCGGCACTTGCAGCTGGCGATCCGTGGTGACGAGGAATTGGACTCGCTCATCCGCGCGACGATCGCGGGTGGTGGTGTGCTGCCTTACATTCACAAGTCGCGTACGTATGCTCTGTCTCACCCTACAGTAATCAAGACGCCTGGCAAGAAGAAGAACGCGGCATCCGAGTAATCCTTATGGTAGTGTGTTAGTATAAGAGTCTTGCGCGAATGATACCGTGCTACGCTGAGTCTGCGCGCACGTAGCGACTTGCCCGTACAAACGCCTGGGGGTCGTACCGCATGATCCACGGGTGTCGCAGCACCTTGGACAACGGGAGGCGGTCCGCCGGCTGGTACCGCAACAGCGAGCGAACGAGGTCCTTGGCCTCCTCGCTAAAGTGCGTCGGAATATGCAGATCCACCGATGCGATCCGCTTGTACGTCATGCTCGCGCCACTGAGCTCCTCAAATGGAGGTACGCCCTCCAGAAACTCGTACGTGAGAACACCCATCGCCCAGAGATCCACAGCGCCGCCATGTGACTTGCCCTCAACCATCTCTGGCGGCAAGTAGTCCAGCGTGCCGCATAGCGTCGCACGCCGGTTGCTGGGCGCATGCACACTCCACCCAAAGTCTGCAATTTTGACTTCCCCGCGGATACCGACGAGTAGATTCTCCGGCTTGATGTCGCGGTGAATAATATGCTTGGAGTGTAGGTATTGGAGCGCATCTGCGATCTGCGCAATGTATTTGGCCGCTGTTGCCTCGTCAAAGCGCCGCTCTGGCAGCTTGGATAGGATCTTGAACAGTTCGCCGCGACCCGCAAACTCGAGCATCATGAATATGCGGCCAGGATCATGGAAGTAGCCAAACATGCGAAGCACATTCGGATGCCGCAGGTTCATCTGGATCTCAATCTCGCGCCGGAGCTGCAGGTCCACCTTGTTCTCCACGAGCTCTTTCTTGTATACACACTTGAGCGCTACCACATAGCCCTGGTGGCCCGGCCGCGCCGACGGGACGGCCTTCGTCCGCGCAAGATACACGCGCCCAAATTTGCCCTTGCCGAGCGGGCGCCCGATTTCAAACTGCGACAGGCTCCAGGGCCGCGTCGGCTGATGCTGCAGCCCGTCCATGGATGAGTCCATCGCAAGCAAGTCAGGGTCGTCCGAATTGCTTGGCTCGCGCCGTCCCTTGTGCTCATCACGCTCGAGACCACCATCGTAGCGACCCAAATCCAATTTGACTTCACTCGGCGCAGCGGACGTGCCCTTGGATGCCGTGCTGCTCGAACCCGTCGGGCGCCCCTGCGCGATCGAGCTGTGCGACGGCGCCTGCGAGTTCGCGCTCACGTTGCCTGCTGCATGCCTCGATACGAGGGGGGCGCGCGGCTGCGCGGGCGCATGAGACTCCACTTTCGCGACCGTTTTGAGGGGACGTGGTTGAAACGGCGGCGGTGCTGCCTTGCGCTGCTGCGATGCCAGCCACGTTGTGTTCATGAGTGCTGTGGCTCCATGTCCTCGAGATTGGGTCTTGGGCTCATGCGAACCTAGTGACATGGACGTCATGCGGGCCTCGAGGCCCCCCGGCTCGCCCTCGCCCATGATATCGGTTCGAGATCAACACCCCCCGCCACACGCGTCGGCGGTAGTGTCACGTGGTCACACCTCGCCCCTACCACGCAACGACGCACGGCCGGTCATCAAGAGCTAGCTCAAAGCGATGGTGCTGTTCTTCACGTCCCATGGTACGCTTCGCATGCTTACAGCCAGTCCATAGTGTCCCAGTAATCATTTACATGGGCAAGGACAAGGTCGAAAGTATGCTGCAGACACTTGCACTGACGCAAAGACGAGGATCTGATCCGGCATGGCTTCCCCGAGGTATGCCCACGACATGGCTGACTGCAGGATGTATGGTTCCATGTCGATAAGGTAGGCAGTGACCTGTTTACATGAGCTTTCGTCTGCCCATGTGTACCTCCGCATGCCTGAGGGCATGGAGTGGACGGCCATTCCCGACGCGCTCTTGGAAGATTGCTCGCAGCTGGTCAAGGCCAACTCCATTGAGGGCAACAAGAAGAACAATGTTACGATTATATACACGCCCCATGCCAATGTCAAGGTAGGCCCGCTACGCTTACGCAGAAAACGGGCGATATGGCCGTAGGCGCCGTGTCCTTTCACAACGACAGGCTCGTGAAACGCTTTTACGTCAAGGAACGCAAGAACGAGATTGTCAACCGCCTGAATAAGACCAAAGAAGAGCGCACGGTGGACTTTGAGGCCGAGAGGCAAGAGCGCGAGCGCGCCGCAGGCCGCAAGAAAAAGGAGCATGCGTTACAGCAGGTACGCTCGCACTCTTATGTCAGAAAAAGGAGACACTAGAGGCCAAGCGGCAGTACAAAGAGCAGGCGGCCGCGAAGGACTACTCGCACTGTACGTGACCTGCGACTCACACAGTGTTTTCCGACGAAGCCATTGCTGAGTCGCAGCGTGAAAAGCAGCGTCATGCACGGATTCAAGCCGCACAGAAGCAGGCGGCGAGAGAGGATGGTAATGGCAGCGAGGAAGATGTGTACGAGAGCGACGACTCGTTCATGTAGTTTGAACTTATAGTGATGCAAACGCCCGTCGCTGGCGTTGGTGTGGCAAGATGGCCGAGTGGTTAAGGCGGTAGCCTGCTATAAGCACAACCGTACGGTTGGTAAGCTATTGGGTTCTGCCCGCGTGAGTTCGAGTCTCACTCTTGTCGGATTTTTTTTTCTACATCGATTCACTTAGAAGACGCCGTGGTTGACTCCTGCAGTGGTAAGCGCGGTTGGATACATACGGGAAAATGTGCCCCAAGAAGGACCGCCAAAGATGAGCGTGGTCAGCACCCACTTGCACTGCAACGTCAGCTAGCGTCCGCACTACGCACCGTCACACGCAATGATGCACCGCGGCGAATGTTGACAAGGAGCATCACTACCGCTTCAAGAATATGAATGCCAATGGCAATACGGCGGATCTTATCGATCACCGACGGACCTCCCACCGCCTGGCGAATACGTGCGCCAAGCGTGTTGGGGCCTGCCTGGTCCACATACAGGAAGAGGCTCAACAATAGCAGAACCTGGTATGCCTCCGGTGGAAATTTGTACTGGATGCTCAGAGACATTGCGTTCACACTCCTCGTTGTGGGGGACAACGATCGCTCGCCGTGGAGGCTATCGGCGACGCGGCGCCGGCGTTGGCCCCGGTCGCCCAGCTCCACGTGGAGGGCTGCAGGGCCCCGTCGTTCGCTTGCTTCTTCCCAAGCAATGGGCGCAGCCTGCTGTGCGGGCTCGCTCGCTGGCGTCGTCCCCGAGGCATCGCCTCTATCATACCTCCTCGGTATGGTACTGGCAGGGATAGGTGGTGTGCCTACATCTGTGCTGCTGGCCACGGTCGCCGCTGCCGTCCTTCTCGTACGTCGCCCAACTAACCGCAGCCATACGCCGCACTGTGGCTCGCTACGCCGGCGACGTCCCGAACGAGCGCAGAGGAATGCACCTACATGACCGCCGATGATGCAGGTCACTGGCATCCGCTGCCCACGATGGCCGACGAGGCGGCCGTGCAGCTGACGGTGGTTGTGCCCATGTACAATGAAGAGAAGCGGCTCATGGCCATGCTAGACGACACGCTCGACTGGCTGGAATTTCAGCGGGAGAAGAAACAGCCACTGAGCCGTGATGCAGGCCTGGATGTGGCTCGCGCCCTGACGCAGCCGCTATCGACCTATGAGCTGCTGCTCGTCGACGATGGGTCGCGCGATGGCACGTGCGAGTGTGCCGTGGCCTACGCGCAGAGGCGCGCGCTTCCGAGCGGTGCAGAGATCCGCATCACACGTCTGCACAAGAACCGCGGTAAGGGTGCCGCTGTGCGGCATGGCATGCTCCATGCGCGCGGTGCGTTCGTGCTGTTTGCCGACGCGGATGGTGCGACGCGCTTTGCAGACCTGTCGGTGCTGGCCCGCGAGATGGTGCGCGTCATCACGCCGGCAGGTCATGGCATTGTCGTCGGCTCGCGCGCACATCTGGTGACGAGTGACGCGGTGGTCAAGCGCAGCTTCCTGCGCAACCTGCTGATGCGGTGCTTCCACCTGGTGCTCTCGCTGCTGATGCACCCCCCCTCGCTAAGCAGGCTGTGGCCCCGTGCCGTGCCGAAGAGTGCTACGGTGCAGCACCTACCGCAGCAGCCCGACATCCAGGACACGCAGTGTGGCTTCAAGCTCTTTGCGCGCGCGTCCGTGGCGCGCCTGTTTCCCCTGGCGCACATTGACCGCTGGATCTTTGACGTAGAGATCCTGCTGCTGGCCCAGATGGCCTGTCGTGCGAGCGAGGGCACACATGCGCTGCGGCCAGAGGCGCAGCGGGGCGACGGAGATGCCCTACTGCGCCTCCCGCTGCCTATCGCGGAGGTCGCCGTGCACTGGACCGAGATCGACGGCAGCAAAATCCATCTGCTGGCAGATTCGATGCGCATGGGCCGCGACCTGATTGTTCTCCGACTCAACTATGCCCTGGGGCGGTGGCGCCGCCCAGAGAACCTATATACCTGCGGGGCTCGTAGCCAGCGATAGACGACGCGGCCCTGGCGTCGGCCGCGCACCTCCACGGACGGGCCCGAGGTAGCAGAGTGGAGAGTCACGTGCTCTTGCCGTGCCGGCTGCAGCTGCAGCTCTCCGCCTTGCCCTTACGGCGTTGCGCTGGGAGCGTGGCGAAAGGCAGCAAGCTCGCGCACGCATAGGCCGAAGATCGGCAGAGGCGCAGTCCACGGAGCGACATGGTACGTGTGCCGCAGCTGACAGAAGGCGACACTCAACGTGCGCGATGCGCTGTCCTACCTGGACCAGGTCAAGGTCCAGTTCACCGACCACCCCGATGTGTACAACCGGTTCCTGGATATCATGAAAGACGTACGTGCGGCCCACTCACAGCAGTTCAAGAGCCAGGCTATCGATACGCCCGGCGTCATTGACCGTGTATCGACGCTGTTCCGCGGACAGCCGAGCCTGATCCAGGGCTTCAACACGTTCCTCCCGCCCGGCTACCGCATCGAATGCAGCATGGATCAGAACGACGGCAACTTCATCACTGTCACCACGCCCAGCGGGACCACGACACAGGCTCTTGGAGGCCACGGCCCCCCTGCCCTCCATCGCCTCCCCGACGCGCCGCCGCCCGGCCCGCCGCCCATGCCGCTGCACGAGGGCGCCCGCCCGCCGNAGGCATATGTGCCCGCGCCTGAGTACGCCGAGCGCGCGCCGCTGCCGGGACCCGCGCTGTCGCGTGCGCCGCCGCTGCGTGGCGCGTCGCCGGGGCCGATGGGCATGCCGCCCATGGCTGCGCCTGGGGCGTATGCGGGTGCGCCGCCCGGAGCTCCGCTCGCGAATGGGCCGCCGGTCGGCTACGAGCCGATGGCGCGTGGTGCGCCGGAGCCGGTGCCGCGGCCCCCTGTCGAGTTCAACCATGCGATCAACTATGTGAACAAAATCAAGCAGCGCTTTAGTGCGGAACCCGATACGTACAAGCAGTTCTTGGAGATCCTGCAGACCTACCAGAAGGAGCAGCGGCCGATCCACGAGGTGTATGCGCAAGTTACGGTGCTGTTCGACCATGCCAAGGATCTGCTGGAAGAGTTCCAGCAGTTTTTGCCCGACACTGGCGCGGCGCCGGGCGGCAGTGGCTTGTTTGGCATGCTGGGGCACGTCACGAATGGCATGGGCCCCGCCGAGGGCGCGCCACCCGGTGCGGCGCCGTACGACATGGTCGGCGGTGTGCCTCGGCATGCGGCGCCGCCGCTGCCGCGCAAGAAGCGGATGGCAGACGAGCCGGGTGTGCCGCCCGAGGCGTCCCTGCCCCCGCCCAAGGCCGGCGCGAGCCGCAAGCGCAGCAAGAAGGCGGAGCATGGGCTGCCGCCCCCGGGCGCGCCGTATGTGCAGGCGATCCCAGGCCCGGGCGAGGTGGTGGGCGATGCGGTGTACCCGCCTGGTGCTCCGCTACCGCCCGGCTACGAGGCGATGCCGCCCGAGGGCTATGTGCCTGCGGGCGCGATGTATGGCCTGCAGGCGTATCCCCCGCCGCATATGGTCGGCGGTGAGTTGGTGCCTGTGGCGCCGATGGCGACGATGGACGAGGTAGCGTTCTTCGAGCGCGTGAAGAAGCACTTGGACGACCGCGCCACGTACCTGGACTTTTTGAAGCTGTTGAACCTGTACACGCAGGAGGTCATTGATGTGGCGACGCTGGTGGACCGTGCATCGCTGTTCCTGGGCGGTCACAGCGAGCTCTTCGATGCCTTCAAGCAGCTCGTGGGCTACGACATGGGGCGGCATGGGTGGCTCGAGCACGAGGACCCCGTGCTGGAGAACGTGCCCGCGCTGGAGCGCGAGCGCTTTGACCTGTCGACGCAGAAGTCGTATGGACCGTCGTACCGCAAGCTGCCCGAGTCGGAGGTGAACCTGTCGTGCAGCGGCCGTGACGCGCTGTGCTGGGAGGTGCTGAACGACGGGTGGGTCAGCTACCCCACGTGGGCGAGCGAGGGCGAGTCGTTCAACCCGCACAAGAAGAACGTGTATGAGGACGCGCTGTACCGCAGCGAGGAGGAGCGGCACGAGTACGACTACCACATCGAGGCGAACCTGCGCACCATTGCGCTGCTGGAGCCGATCGCCGCGCGCATTGCCGTGATGGACGCGGAGGAGCGCGCAGCGTTCCGCCTCAAACCGGGGCTTGGCGGGCAGAGCAAGAGCATCTACCAGCGCATCATCAAAAAGGTGTATGGGCGCAGCCATGGCCTCGAGGTGATTGCGGCGCTGCACGACAACCCGTCGGTCGCGGTGCCTGTGGTCCTCGCGCGCTTGAAGCAGAAGGACGAGGAGTGGAAGCGCGCGCAGCGCGAGTGGAACAAGGTGTGGCGCGAGGTCGACGCACGCAACTTTTACAAGGCGCTCGACCACCAGGGCGTCAACTTCAAGAGCACCGATAAGAAGGCCATCACGAACAAGGCGTTCGTGCAGGAGATGGAGACGCTGCAGGCCGCGCAGCAGCAACGCCGCCTCGCGGCCGACCCGAGCCTGCCCCGCCTCGTGCCGCGCTTCCAGCTCGCCTATGCGGTGCACGACACGGATGTGCTCGTGCATGTGCTGCAGCTGCTCGCGCAGTTCCTCGAGCGCTCGTCCGCCTCGACCGGCGCCCACGACCGCCCGCGCGTCCTCTCAGTACTGCACGCGCTCCTGCCCCGCCTATGGGGCGTGCCGCTGGACACGGTGCGTGCGCTCATCGTGCCGCACCGGACCTCGGCGCCCCGCGAGGCCTCCGACGAGCCGGACGCCGAGTCGGCGAGCGCGTCGCCCGCGGACGACGACGGCCCGGCCGAGGCGCCGGTGCAGGCCATTGACACATGGCACGTCCGCCCGCTGGCGCCGCACACGGATGCACAGCCGACGCCGCGTGCGCTGCCCGAGACGGTGCAGCTGTTTGGCAATACGACGCTCTATGTGCTCGTGCGCCTGCTGCACTTGCTGTACGAGCGGCTGCACCGCCTGAAGTGCGTCGGCGCCGAGCTCGCGGCGCGAACGCCCTCGTCGTGGACCAAGGTGAATCCGCTGGCCGCGACGCTGGGGCTGGCCGATATTGCGACGGGCCCAGCGGGGCTCGTCGCGTCGATCGCTGCGCACGTGCCGGGAGCGCAGCTGACGGACGCGGCGCACCTCCCTGAGGCGGACCAGGCGGTGATGCGGCTGCATCCGGCGCAATTCTATGCGGTGACGCTCGAGCTGATTGCGCGCCTGCTCGACAATGAGGTGGATCAGAGCACGTTCGAGGAGGCGGTGCGCTTCATGTACACCAAGGACGGGTATGTGCTGTTCACCATCGACAAGGTGCTGCAGGCGCTCGTCAAGACGGCAGTGACGGTAAGCACAGACGCCAAGGGCCAGGCGCTCCTCGCGCAGTTTGAGGCGACGCAGCAGGCGCTCGAGGCGCTGCGTGCGGACCCTGATGTGGACGCGCGCGACGTGCAGATGTACCAGCGGCTCGTGGCAGCGCGCATGGAGGCGGAGCACACGGTGGGCCGCGAAGAGCCGCTGTTCCGCATCGAGGTGGCGCCGGTCGCAGACGCGCCGACGTCGGGGCCGCTGCCCGCGCGCGACGTGCGTATCCAGCTCCTCTCGCACGACGATACGACGCTGGACGATCCGCAGGACGCGGAGCAGCGGTGGCTGCAGTACATTGCTTCCTACTGCCTGTGGGCGCCGACCGAGGGCCTGCCGGCCCAGACACGCGCGCCGCTGCTGCAGCGCAACCTGCCGGCTGCGCCGGAGGACGGCTCGGAGGCGGACGGCTCGCGCTTCCTCGTCAAGAACGGACTGGACATCCGTGTGTGCATGAAGACATACCGCCTCTTTTTCGTGCAGGACACAGAGGATGTCCTCGTGCGTGTGCGTCCAGCCGACACGACAGGCGCGGCCGCGCGGCATGCGGCGGCGCGGCGGCGCAAGTGGCACGAGTGGCTCGACGTGCGCCTCGAGGCGATGCGCGAGGCGCCCGGCGCGGACGCCGATGCATCGCAGGCCGAGGCGGCCGCGGCCCGTAGGGACTAGTGCACATAGGTCTACGGATCTGCGTAGTTTTAAAGATCGTCGAGGTCCTCGTCCTCCTCGTCGCTGGCCTCTTCGAACTCGATCTCGCCGCCCTCGTCGTCGCCAAAGGTCTCTTCGCTGATCTTGGTCGTTTCCGGCAGCTCACCGTACTGCTTGAGGCTGCGGGCCTCGTCGGGCGTGTATTTCTGGATGACATCGGCCTTGCCGTCCTCAAACTCACGCAGCGACAGGAGAATAATGTCGCCATTGTTGATCCAGACCTTCTTGCGCAGCTTGCCACGGATGTGCGCGAGACGCTTCTCGCCGTCAAAGCACATGGCCTCTAGACGGCCGTTGCCCAGCATCTTGACGACCTGGGCATACTCCTGGCTCTCGTCCTTGAAAACTAGCTCGCGCTTGTCGTCGCTGTCATTCTTTCCGCGGCGGCGGTTCTTACCGCCCTTGCCCTTGGCCTTCGGCATGGTGGCTGGTCCTTTTCTTTTGCGCCCGCGCACCGAGCGGCTGCGGTTTGTCACGTGATGTTCCCCCGAGCCGCGCGCCGTCCGTCCTCGGCTGTCGACGTTCCGTATGCATCCCCAGGGACCTTCGGCGCGCTCTCCGGCGCCGCCGCTGCAGCGCCCCGTACCGACGCGCGCCCGCCCGCCCGCGAATGCACGTGCGAACGATCCCAGCCACCAGCCCGCGGCGCGCGGCGGCCGCCCGGCCATGCGCGGATCCGTCGCCCGCCCGCCTGCCCNCCTGCCCGTGGTGGCGCGGCGGCGCGCGGCGGCCCCGGCGCGCGCCCTGTCGCGCGTGCACCGCCGCCGCAGTCCGAGTACCAGCGCATCCGCTCGCCGCCGCCAGTGTCGACGCCCAGCCCCATGTCATCGTCGACGCACCTCGACATGGGCGCCTCGTACACACCGCCGCCCGCTGTGCCGCACCGCTCGGGCTCGGCGGCGAGCCTGCCGCAGAGCATGGACACGTATCAATCAGCCAGTGCATGGATGGACGACACGTACACAGCGAATCCGAGTCAGCCATACACGCCGCAGGGCGACATGTATGGCTACGTCCCCGAGTCGCCTGGACACAGCGCCAGTGCGTGGGAGAGTTTCGCGGGGGGTACCGGCATGCCGTCGTTCCAGGCGGGCAACATGATGAACGACGCCACGGCGCAGATGGGCATGCAGTTTGGGCGCCACGTCGCGCAGGTCGGCGGGGCGTACGTGCAGAAAAACTTCCGTGCACTGCTGCCGATGCGCATCATAAAGCACTACTTCAAGGTATCCAACTCGTACGTGTTGCATAAGCTGCGGATCCTGCTCTTCCCGTGGCGCCACAAGCCGTGGTCGCGCCGTCTGCGCTACTCGACGCCGTACGGCAGCTCAGGCATCATGTCGCCGGGACAGGGTCCGTCGACGCTCTCGGCGGGAATGAGCACGCCGGACCGCCCGCTCTCTGCCGACGGCCGGCGGCCCAGTGCCTCAGGCGAGCCGGTCTCGTACTGCGTGCCGCGGGAGGACGTGAACAGCCCGGATATGTATATACCCCTGATGGCCTTTGTCACGTACGTCATTGCCGCGTCGATCATCTACGGGCTGCGCGGCCGCTTCCACCCCGAGGTGCTGGGCTACACGGCATCGCGGGCCCTTGCGATCATCCTTATCGAGTTTTTTGCCATCAAACTGGGGTGCTACCTGCTCAACATCCAGGGCGATCACACTATCTTCGACTTGCTCGCTTACGCGGGCTACAAGTTTGTCGGCACGCTTGTCGTGCTGGCGGTCGGTGTGCTGGGCCTGGGCCGCTGGATCTACTGGCTCACGTTTCTGTACATGTTTGCCTCGAATGCATTCTTCCTGGTACGTATCCATGGCTGACACACAGCTTCGCTCGCTCCGCTACGTGGTCCTCCCGGACCCCACGTCACCTAGCAGCGTGACAGTGACGCAGGCTCAACGCACTGCGCGGATCCAGTTCCTATTTGGAATTGCCATGTCACAAATGCTCTTTGGCTGGCTACTGATCGTAGGTGTCTACTAGCAACCGAGCCATGTAGTGCTTCATTCTTGTGGTGACAATGGGCAAAATGAGAAAAAAAAAATCGAACTCGCAGTTGGCGGGTATCGGGAAAAAAGCTGACCAGCACGGGGCTCGAACCCGCAACCTCCTGATAACTGGGATGATCCCATCGTAGTCAGACACACTACCAATTGTGCTAACCGGCCGATGTTGTTGGATGACGATTTGCCTAGATGCTATATGAGGTGTTTTATGTGTCGTGAAGGGAAAGAAAAGAATGACCAGCACGGGGCTCGAACCCGCAACCTCCTGATAACTGGGAAGTCCCATCGTAGTCAGACACACTACCAATTGTGCTAACCGGCCGCTTGTTATTGATGATTTTGAAGCGGTCGTCCAAAAGGGGATAGCTCTCTCCGGAGGGCGAGACGGTCATGAAAGTATGGCTGCTGTGCCGTCGCGCTTCGAATGCCGCAGTGTGTGTGATTAAGTGGTTTGTGAGTGACACGAGAGATGTCAAATGCGAGATGCCAAAGGGAGGATCGGACATGCTCATGTACAGGCACAGATGGCACAACTCTCTTAAATGGGCCAATTTCACGATCACCGTAGCACGTGAGTATGATCGGAGGTAGAACAAGCCATGCAAAACACACCCTGTGCCGAGTCCCTACTACACTGATGTGCCCGCTCTACAGTACGTGTATGAACAAGAAAGACGGCTGGGCGCGCACCTGGTGCGCGTCAGACGATATGGAAACGATCTGCTGACAAATATCGCAAGATCCCCGGGACGCTGCTGTCGCTCACGCTTTCAAACCCCGCGCCTTATTCAGGCACCAGTACGTCCTCCATCACGATGTGCATCGCGCCTCGCGCACGCGTGCGATGCTCGTTGGCGTCGGCGAGCTCGCACGACCCACCGCGGCGGTGGAGGGGGGGGCGGTCGGCCGAGCACTTTTTTCTGCGAGGCGGCTCGACCGGCCAGACTTGCCTTCTTGTCCCGCAGCATGCGAAGTGCGTCGCCGTCGTCCGACTCGTCGGGCCCCGGTACGCCGCCTGAGGAGTCGCCTCTGGCGAAGGACCGTATGCACGATGACATATGGGATGCACCCTATACGTTTCACACGCTGGATATGCAGCGACGCTTCATGAAGCCGTCGTCGCACACCTGGGATGTCAAGGCGCTCCGGGAGATTACGCGCCCACATATCGAGAGCTTCAATGCACTGTGGTCCGAGGACCCGTCCATTGATGTACCGGGCGGTGCAGATCGGATCGGGATGGAGGGTGCGGGCCTGCTTGAGCGCAGCCTGCAAACGCTTGCGCCGCGCGTGGTATTTGACGCGCACGGCGGCGAGGGCGAGCTGGGCAACCGCCTCGAGATGCGGATCGACTCGGTGTCTCTTAGTCGGCCGATGGTGCCGGACCGTGCCAAGGACGCGCTGGACCGGCGAGTATTCCCGGACGAGTGCCGGAACCGCCTTGTATCGTATCGCGGGCGGCTCACTGCGCGGGTATCGTGGCGCGTCAACGACGGCCCGGAGCAGAGCGACCTGCGCGATCTGGGGCAGGTCCCGATCATGGTTGGGTCGAACCGGTGCCACCTGCGCGGTCTCACGTCGCAGGACCTCGTTGCGCACCACGAGGAGCCGAACGAGATGGGCGGCTACTTTATCATCAACGGCAACGAGCGACTGATCCGCTTCCTGATCCTGGCCAAGGCGAACCACGCGATGGCGATCGAGCGCTCGTCGTTCACGCGCCGTGGCCCCTCCTACTCGAACAAGGCCGTGTCGATCCGCTGTGTCGGGCGGCACGATCTGATCAGTGTGACCAACTCGGTGCACTATCTCGAAAATGGCGGTGCGACCCTGCGCTTTAGCTGGCGGAAGCAAGAGTACATGGTTCCTATTGTGATGGTGCTCAAGGCGCTCGTGAGCGCCACGGACAAGGAGATCTTCACGTCCATTGTGCAGACGGACACGGACAATACGTTCCTCACGGACCGCGTCGAGCTGCTGCTCCGTGGCTTCCACCGGTACGCGCTGTGGACCGGCGAGCAGTGCCTCGAGTACCTCGGCGACAAGTTCCGCGTCGTGATGCGCGCGCCCGAGGACTGGAGCAACGCGCAGGTCGGCGAGGACCTGATCAACCGCCTTGTGCTGACGCACCTCGAGATGCCGCGCGACAAGTACCGCATGCTCGTGTTCATGCTGCGCAAGTTGTACGCGTTTGTCGCGGGCGAGTGCTGTGCGGACAACCCCGACAGCCCGCAGCACCAGGATGTGCTGATGCCCGGCTTTTTGTACGGCGCGATTATCCAGGAGCGCCTCGACGAGTACCTGATCAACGTGCGTGCGCAGCTGGCGCGCGACGTGCGGGCTGGCGCGCCTGGGTGCGACTTCTTCGACCGCCGGTACATCCAGCGCACGCTCGGCAAAGTGAACAGCGACGTGGGCGCGCGTCTCTCTTCGTTCCTGGCGACGGGCAACCTGAGCTCGCCGAGTGGCCTCGACCTGCAGCAGGTCGGTGGCTTTACGATCGTCGCCGAGAAGCTCAACTTTTACCGTTTCCTCTCGCACTTCCGCAGCGTGCACCGTGGTGCCTTTTTCGCCGAGCTCAAGACCACGACAGTGCGTAAGCTGCTGCCCGAGGCGTGGGGCTTTCTGTGCCCGGTGCACACGCCCGACGGTAGCCCGTGTGGCCTGCTGAACCACTTTGCGCACGCGTGCCAGCTGACGACGCGCGACCTCGATGTGTCGCAGGTGCCGGCGCTGCTCGCGTCGCTCGGTATGACCGAGGTCGTGGCTGCGCATGTGAGTCCGCGCACGCACGTCACGGTGCAGCTGAACGGCACGCTCCTGGGCTACGCGACGCCTGCGCTCGCGCGGCACATGGCTACGGTGCTGCGTGTGTGGAAGACGGAGGGGCGGCATGGCGTGCCGCTCGACCTCGAGGTCGGCTTCGTGCCGACGAGTCTGGGCGGCCAGTACCCCGGCCTCTACCTGTTTGGCGGTCGCGCGCGCATGGTGCGCCCCGTCACCTACCTGTTCAACGGGCGCGAGGACCACGTGGGTCCGTTTGAGCAGGTGTACCTGGACATTGCGTGCCGGCGCCCCGAGATTGAGGCTGGCGTCTCGACGCACGTCGAGGTGTCGCCGACGCATGTGCTGAGCGTGGTGGCGAACCTCACGCCCTTCTCCGACTTCAACCAGAGTCCCCGCAACATGTACCAGTGCCAGATGGGCAAGCAGACGATGGGCACGCCGAGCGGCGCCATTTCGCGGCGCACGGACAACAAGCTGTATCGCCTGCAGAGTGGGCAGACGCCCGTCGTGCGCCCTGCGCTGCACCACCGGTACGCCATGGACGACTTTCCGAACGGCACGAATGCGATCGTAGCCGTCATCTCCTACACGGGCTACGACATGGAGGACGCCATGATCCTCAACAAGTCTGCGCACGAGCGCGGCTTTGGGTACGGCACCGTGTACAAGTCCGAGGTCGTGCACCTGCGCGACGCCGGCGGCGGCCGTGGCGGCGGCCAGGCGCTGCTCCTCGGATGGGGCCCGGACATCCGTGCGGACGACCCGCGGCGCGCGCAGCTCGATGTGGACGGCCTCCCCCGCGTCGGCACGCCGATGACGAAGGGCACGCCGCTGTGCGCCTACTACAACGAGGCGAGCGGCCGCACGCGGCTCCAGCGCTACAAGGGCGACGAGGCCGCGTACGTCGACACCGTCCGTGTGATTGGCACCGACACAGGCGACGGCCCGTGCCAGCGTGTGCAGATCACGTTCCGCGTGCCGCGTGCGCCGGTGATTGGCGACAAGTTCAGCTCGCGGCACGGGCAGAAGGGTGTCTGCTCGCAAAAGTGGCCGGCGGTCGACATGCCGTTCAGCGAGAGCGGCATGCAGCCGGACGTGATCATCAACCCCCACGCGTTCCCGAGTCGTATGACGATCGGCATGCTTATCGAGAGCATGGCCGGCAAGGCCGGCGCCATGCACGGCCTGGCGCAGGACGCGACGCCGTGGACGTTTGGCGAGGACGACACGCCCGTGGAGTACTTTGGCGAGCAGCTGCGCGCGGCAGGCTACAACTACCTCGGCAACGAGCCCATGTACTCGGGCATCACGGGCCAGGAGCTGCGCGCGGACATATACCTCGGCGTCGTGTTCTACCAGCGCCTGCGTCACATGGTCAACGACAAGTTCCAGGTGCGCACGACCGGTCCGGTGCATGCGCTCACGCGCCAGCCCGTCAAGGGCCGCAAGCGCGCGGGCGGTATCCGCTTCGGTGAGATGGAGCGCGATGCCCTGCTGGCGCACGGCACGTCGTTCCTGCTGCAGGACCGCCTGTTCCACTGCTCGGACGCGACGACCGCGTACGTGTGCCGCACCTGCGGCAGCCTGCTCTCGGTCGCGTACGACGACGCGGCCGGCATTTCCGTGCCGGGCCTCGGCACCGTGCAGGCCATCGAGAAGTCGGCCCACCGCACCGCGCCCCTCGGCCCGCGCGGCGAGTACTGCCGCGTGTGCCGCCGCGCCGCGGAGGCGGGCGCACCGCCGCCGGCCGCGGCCCCCGAGCACCGTGTGCCGGTGCCGCGCCACTGCGTGGTGCGCCGCACTGGCGACCTCGATGTGGTGGCCGTCCCGTACGTGCTCAAGTACCTGGTCGCGGAGCTTGCGGCTATGGGACTGCGCATGAGCTTCGCTGTAGCGCCGTAGCTAGGGAGAAAAACCACGCTCGCGTTCCGCGCGCGCCTGCGCCAGGCGCTCCTCGAGCTTGCCAAACTCGTCGAGGGCGACCTGCTCCGACTCGTCGAGCACCTGCTCGACGCCCTTGACCTCCGGCACGTAGTGCATGAGCATGCGCTCAATGCCCGCCTTGAGCGTGACCGTCGAGCTGTCGCACCCACGGCAGCTGCCCTTGAGCCGCACACGCACGATCCCGTCCGTGTCCTCGCCAAAGCCGCGGTACTCGAGGTCGCCACCGTCCTCCTGGATCGCCGGACGCACTCGCGTGTCGAGCAGCTCCTTAATCATCGCCACCACCTCCGAGTCCGTCTCGAGGATCGTCGTGTCCGAGCCGGCCTGCGCCGTGCTGGGGTCCGGAAACAGGCTGTGGCCAGCGGTGAAGAACTCCATCATGCTGCTGTAGATCTCCGGCTTGATCGACGACCACGGCGTGTCAGCGCTCTTCGACACCGTGACAAAGTCGGGGCCGTAAAACACGCCCGTCACGCCGTCCACACCAAACAGCGTCTTGGCGAGCGGCGACGTCATCGACGCGCGCTTGTCCAGGAACTCAGCCGTCCCCTTCTCCATCACTGTGCACCCCGGAATGAACTTGAGCGAGTCGTCGTTCGGCGTCGCTTCCGTCTGGATGAACATGCTCCGGCTCAGCACATGCGGCCGCCACATCTGCGGGTGAGGCCCACGACGCGGCGCCATCCACCCGTGGAACGTACGCGGCGCCGCAGCAGCCCAGACCGCGCGGCCCACGCCTGCGGCACGACGAGGCACTACACCGATCATGGTGGCGGACACGCCGCCACCGCGGCGCCAGTGCACGGACAAGCGTCTCGGCCGACCACTTTTTTTCTGCCGCCCCCTGCTCGCCCTGCTCGCTCTGTCCTGGGTGGTGCGCGATGGCCGCTCCTAGTGGTGCCCCGGCGCCGCTCCTGCAGACGCCCATCCAGCTCTCTACCTACAGCCGAGCACGCTCGCCGCACACACATGAGCTGTGCGCGTCGAGCACCTCGCACCAGCACCGCTCGTCCGTGGCGGTCGGCGAGGTCGTGCGGGTCAGCGGCCGCGGCCTTCGCCGCCGCCGCGGCCTCCTGGCCACGCTCGAGCAGGGCGTCGCGATCGTCCTCATGGACCTGCACACACAGACACCCGTGCACACCTACACGCTCGCGCCGTCCGACCGCGCATGCACGCCGCCCCTCGTCGTCGAGGCGCGCGCCACGCATGGCACGCGCCCGTATCTGCGCACGACCTACTATGGCGTCGTAGCCGACGACGGCGCGCACACGCGCGTGCACGCAATCACCGAGCACCTCGACGCGCGCGGCCAGCTCCTCGCCGCTGCGCCAGACACGGCCCACACCTCGTTTGTCGTGCCGGGCATCCTTGCGACGCTGCACCCCATCGGCCCCGCGGCGCTCTTCGCCACGCGCCGCGATGGCGCGGTTGTGCTCCTGCACCCCAGCGAGACAGATGCACTCACGGCCACGTACACGGCCGCGCCCGTCGTCCTGGACGTGCAGCGGCTGTGCCCCACGGCCGACGCGCCCCTCGTGCGCGCCACAGGCGCCGCACCGGATGACGCGCCCCTCGGCGCGCTCGCGCTCGTGGCGGCGGAGCGCGATGCTGCCTCTGCCCACCTGCACGTCGTGACGGCACACGCCGCCGCGCCCTTCCTCCGCGCCCAATCGTGTGCGCTGCCGGCCGGCGACGCGCGGCATCTCGTCTCGTGCGCCGTCCATGCGTCCGGGCGCGTCGCGGCGCTGCAACGCGACGGCACGCTCGTGACGCTTCGAGTCACGGCGCCGTCGCCAGGCGTCCTTGCGCTGGAGCCGGCGCCGGCGCCGGCGCCGGCGGTGGCGCTGCGCATCACCTGTGCGCGCCTCGTGTTTCTCTCCGCGTCGCACTTGCTCCTGGTCGCCCTGCACACGGAGGGCGGAAAGGCGCGCGCGGCCGCGCTCGTGTGGGACGTCGACCTCGATGCCGTGCTGGCCGTCGTCGAGTGGTCGCTCAGTGTCAGTGGCGCCGGGTGCGTGAGCGCAGCGCGCGTCCTCGACGACCATGTGCTCGTGCAGATCGACCCCGCGGACGACAGCGCGCTCAAAAGCAGCATTGCCGCGCTGCCCGTGAGTGTGCCGCCGGCCGGGCTCTTGCGCCACGCGCTGGGCGCGGCAGCGCGCACGCAGCCGTGGCTCGCTGCGCCCCCTGCGGCGCCGCTGCTCTCCACGTCGCAGCAGGCGCTGCGCGCCGCCCTCGATGCACTGCCGACCGAGCCGGCCGCATGCACGCGCGCCCTGGACGAGCAGTTCCGCGCGTGGGTCCAGGGCGAGACGGAGCGTGTGCGTGCGGCCGAGCAGATCAAGGCAGGCCGCAAGGCGCCGCGTGTCGCGATCGACAGCGCCCTGGTCGCTGCCGTGCTGGACCGCGCGCTGCCTGCCTATGCGCCGGGGCACACGGGTCCCGCGCCGTTCGCGCGCGAGACGGTGCGCTTCCTCCTGGAGCGTGGCTACGTCTCGGCCGCGGCCTCGGTGCCGCACCTCGTGGCGCGCGTGCAGGCGACGCACGACTGGTCGGTGCGGATCCTGCTCCTGCGCCACGTGCCGGATCTGAGCGAGGCGCATGCGGTGGCGCTGCTGCAGGCTGCGCTCGCGGCGCGCGACGACGCAGGCACGCCGCCGGTCGCGCGGGTGCTGCAGCATGTCCTTGCGCCGCCGTCGTTCTCCAAGCCGGCGCTCCGCATGGCACTGCGCACGCACATCCAGCGCGACGACGACGTGCTGCTGCTGCTGGACATCCTCCACCTGTGGCTCGACCGCCAACTCGCTGCGCCGCTGGACGGCCGTGTGCCCCGGGAGGCCGAGGCGGTGCGTACCGTGCCGCACACGTCGATTGTGTACCGCACGGGCGATGTGGTACCGCCGAGCCTCGAGATGTGTGTGTCGTTCGCGGAAGATTTGCTCGATACCTTCTTCCCGCAGTGGATCGCCGCGCCGCGCACGCACGCGTTCCTGCGCGACTGGGCCAGGGGCGTCGCGCAGCATGTGCAGGCGCTGCAGGCGCTCGAGCGCCTGCGCGCGCCGCTCGCGTCCGTCACTGCGCGCGCGACCGAGGCTCCCGACACCCGCTCGCGCCGCGCGGAGCTGCATGAGGCCAGCCTGCTGGTGCCTGTATACGCTATCGAGGCGCTCGAGATCTAGGCGCCCTCCTCGTCGTCCAGTACGAACGTGTTCATTTCCAAGTCGTGCGCGCGCATGCGCGGCTCGTCGACAATGTGTTGGCCGACCGCATAGTACCCGCCGCTCGCCGGGCGCCGCGCGCGCCGGCGCCGGTACAGGCAGAAGGCCACGCCCAACACGAGGAGCGCGACGAGCATCCATTCGCGCGACAGGCCCAGCGACGCCGGCGCGGCGACGAGCCACGCCTCGCTGTCGCCGATGCGCGTGCGCACCGAGGGCACCGAGCCGGGCGGCCATGTGCGCTCCGCGCCGACAAAGCGGAGCATCATATCGTGCGCTGCGTACGGCGCGTCGTAGGGCGCCATGTGCGAGGCATTGTAGAACGTCGCGAGGGTGAGATTGCGTGCCTCGATCCAGGTGCCGACCGGGGCCTCGTTGAGGAGGTACGGCGCGGGGCGCGCATGTGCGCCCATGCCCGTCTGCCCCTGCCATGTCAGCGCATCGACGAGGCGCTGGTGCCCCAGCGCCGAGCACACCAGGTCCTGGTCGCCGGCGAACAGCAGCACACGCACGCCCTGCTCCAGCAGCGTCGGGAGGAAGTGCACACTGGCCTCCTCGGTCTGGGCGGCGGCCCGCAGCACGCGCCCGACGCGGCTATTGCACTCGACCCAGGCCTCGGGCTGCAGGCGCCCATCGACGTGCAGGGCGCCGCGCACGTCCGCCCGCGCGAGGTACGCACTCATGGCGCTGATCTCAGGGGGCCAGTTCATGCCGCAGGCGGGCGCCGTGTCGTTGAGGCGCAGGTCGAACATGTTGATGCAGCGCTCGCCGCCCGGCACGCTCGTGAGCGTCAGGTGCTCGACCTCGATGGCCACGGCCTCACACTCGGGGTACTCGGCGCGCACCACCGTGTCTTTTTTCATGGCGTCGCGGCACTGCTGCACGAACGGCGCCATGTGCTGGAGCTCGGGTCCCTGCGCCTGCCACACGCCGGCCAGCTGCATCGTCTCGACCGATGTGCCGTACTGCGTGCGCGGGTCGATGAAGCCATTCCCGATCATCACGCCGCGCAGCGTGAGCGGCGCATCGGGCGTCTGCAGCAGGGTCTTGGCCACATAGGGAATGTACTGCCCCGCGTAGCTCTCGCCCGCGAGGTACACGTCCGTGTCGTCGCGCGCGTACTCGGGGTACCGCTGCACGAGACCACGCAGGAATGCGACAAACTCGTCGGCGACCTGCTGCAACGACTGCGCGAACGCGTCGCCGTCCACGATCGAGAAGCCCGTGCCGACCGGCTGATCGACGTACACCACGTCCGCGTACTCGTTCCATGCCATGCCGCGCGCCACGCGGGCCAGTGTGCCGTTCCCCTGGAACCGGAACGGGCCGAGCTCCAGGAGCGCGCCGTCCATGCTGGAGCAGCCGGGGCCGCCATTGAGCCAGAGGATCAGCTTGCGGCGCCGCTGGGGCCACATGGCGCCGTGCCGCCAGAAGAACACGTGCGCAAAGTCTTTCGGCGTGCCCGTCGCACTCTCGGTCCCACGCACAGGCACGTACCCTGCATCCATACCGAACGACGGCAGGCCGTCGCCCCTCTCGAGCCCGGGCAGGCCCACCACGGCGCCCGCCCAGCCGGGTGGCGAGGACGACATGGTGGAGGGGAGTCGTCACGTGTGTGAAAAAGGTCGGCGCTCGCCTCGCCCTGCGCAGTGGCGACGATGGCGCGGGGCACGACGCGGGCGCCGCCGGCGCGCACGCGCAAGGCAGGTGCAGCTGCGAGCTCGGGCAAGAGTGCCAAGCGTGCGCGCATTGCGCCGGTCGATAGCGACGACGACGACGACGAGCGGGCGCGTGATGCGCAGGACATGGCGGCCGATGGCGACGACCAACTCGCTGCGCTGCAATTCCTCTCGCGCGCCACGCTGCCGGACGTGACGCAGGCCGGTGCACAGGCCAAGGAGAAGGAGCGCATGCTCGCGGAGAAGCGCAGGCAGCGCGAGGCATTGAATGCACGGCGCCGGCCGGCCGAGCTGAGCGACAGCGACGCGAGCACGGACATGGAGGGCGCGAGTGAGAGTGAGGACGAGGAGCTAGACGGCCGGGACGAGGAGCTGGACGACCTGGACGACCTGGACGACCTGGACGACCTGGACGAGGAGCTGGACGAGGAGCGCGACGACGACTACGAAGAGCGATACCTACATATGGCCGCGCGGCGCGAGAGACGCGAGGCAGCGGCGCGCGAGATGCGCGCTCAGCAGCCCTTGCCGATCCGCACAGAGCGCGGCGTCGTCGAGGCGGTCTCCGACGACGACGCCCCGGCGCTCCACAGCCGCGCCGTGTTCTCCGACGACGACTATGACGAGAGCGACGAAGCGCCCGAGGCGCCTGCGCCTTATGTGCCCTCCTCGGCAGCACACTCACGGCGATTCGGCCTCGCGCCGCCCTACGAGCTTGCGCGTGGTGCCCTCTCTCCGCAGGCGGCGCAGCGCACCCGCGCGCTGGGCGAGGCGCGCGAGCAGATTGCGCACCTTGCGTCGCAGATCGTGGGCGACCCCGAGATGGGCACGGCCGCGCTGCAGCGCCTGCTCGTGTTTGCTCAGGCCAGGGTGGCGCCGCCGCCGGGCGAGGGAGGCTCGGCAGTGCAGGTACACCCCCATATCCGACAGCTAGCGCTGCTTTCGCTGCTGGCTGTATGGGTGGACGTAATTCCCGGCTACCGCATCCGCGCGCTGTCGGAGCAGGAGCAAAAAGAGCGGGTGAGCCAGGAGGTCGCGCGCCGGCGCGACTGGGAGCAGAGTCTCGTGCGGTTCTACCGCGAGTATCTCGAGTGCTGTGAGGCCGAGGTGCGCGACGCCTCCTCGCCCCTCTCGCGCGTGGCACTGCGCTGCTTTTGCACGCTGCTCGTGCGTGTGCCGCACTTCAACTTCCGCAAGAACCTGCTCGCCTCGGTGATTTCACACCTCTCGCGCAAGTCGTGGACGCCGGCGAGCGAGCAGTGTGCCTCGTCGCTCGTCCAGCTGCTGCGGCAGGATGCGGACGGCGAGATTGCGCTCGAGCTCGTCCAGCTCCTGTACCGCATGGTCCGCGAGCGCAAGTTTGCCGTGCACGCGAATGTGCTCGATGTGCTTGTGCACTTGAGGCTGCGCAGCGAGCTGAGCCGCGACGTAAAGAGCGGCCCCATGGGCGCCGCGAGTGCGCGCCCGACGCCGCGCCGCGCCGACCCAAAGAAGGTGCGCCAGGGCCTCGCTGTCCACCGCAGCAAGAAGCAAGTCAAGAAGGACCGCGAGCTGCAGGCAATCGAGCAGGAGATGCGCGAGGCGGACGCCGCCCTCGACGTCGAGGCGCGCGAGCGCAACCAGTCCGAGACACTCAAGCTGCTCTTCGCGCTGTACTTCCGCGTCTTGAAGAGCGACGTGCCGCTGCCGCTCCTTGCGTCGGCGCTCGAAGGCCTCGTGCACTATGCTCATCACGTGAGTGTCGACTTCTTCCGCGACGTGGTCGGTGTGCTGCGCGGCCGGCTGGCGGACGCGCTGGAGGCGCGCACGTACCGCGCGGCGCTGCTGTGCATGGTCGCTGCGTTAGCACTGCAGCACGGACAGGGCGGCGCGCTGGAGCTGGATCTCGGCGACATGTACGCGGCGCTGTACACGGTGCTCCTGCCGCTGAGCACGAGCGGGCAGCTGGAAGAGGGCGACGTGCCCCGGCGCGGCCAGGTCACGGGCCTGCGGCGCTGGAGCGAAGCGTCCCTGCTGTTTTACGCGATGGACATGGCGCTTGTGCAGGCGCCGCGCGCGACGCTCCAGGTGTCGCTGGAGCGCACGGCGGCGCTGGTGCGCCGCCTGTTGGGCGCGGCGCTGCACTGGCCCACGACCAGTGCGCTGCGGGCGCTGGAACTCGCGCAGGCCGTGCTGGTGCGTACGGCCACGATCGAGGCGCGCTTCGAGGCCCTGCTGGACAACCGCGATGCCGTGCAGGATGGGCAGTACGACCCGTACGCTGCGCAGCCCGAGAGCGCGCGCGCCCTGGCCAGTGGCGAGCCGTGCTGGGAGCTGTGCCTGCTGAGTCGCACGCACGCCAATGCGCAAGTGCGCGAAACTGCCACGGCGCTGCTTCTTGGGACTCGGAGACTGGACCGCTAGGTAGTGCTACTATACAGGCGCCCGCAGCGGACCGACCGCAGCCCGATGCTACGGGGCAGGAGCGGCCCAGCGCGAGGCCCCTAGGCCGTCGCCTCGGCGCCCTCGCGGCTCTCGTACTCGCGAAGCACCGTCAGCGCCTCGTCAACCTTGCTGCTCAGAGCCTCGTCGTCCTCGAGCAGATGCAGCAGCTCGCCGACCGGCAGCTCGAGAATCATACCCGTCAGCTTACCAGCGAGCTGCGGCTGCGACGCAGCAATCTTGGGGTAGATCGCCTCACCAAGCATCTGCTTCTGCTCCTCCGGCGACGCATTCGCGAGCGCTGCGGCGGTGAGCGCCTCGGGCTGCGCAGGCACCGCGACGGGCACCGGCGCACCCTGGCCACGCTGCACGCCAGCGGGGGCCGCACCAGCAGTGGGCGCAGCGCCACGCGGCGGGCGCGGCGGGCGGTAGCCCTGCGGGAACATGCCGCCCGCGGGGAACTGGCCGGGGTACGGCGCGCCCGGCGCGCCAGCCATCGGGGGCATGCCCTGCATCATGCCCGGCGGGTACTGCGGACGCACCTGGCCGGGGAACTGCGCGGGCGGCTGGGGGTAGTACATGCCGGGGGCGCCGGGGTACATCTGCGCAGCGGCGGCAGCGGCAGCCTGCTGCTGCTGCAGACGCAGCTGGTTGTGCTGCATCATCTGCGCGGCGAGCTGCTGGTGGCGCACGTCCTTGCGCTGCGCGAGCGCCACGTACAGCGGACGGTTTTCGATCATCTTGCCGTTCATCTCCGCCACGGCCTTGTTCGCCTCCTCGGGCGCCGAGTAGCACACAAAGCCAAAGCCGCGCGACGCGCCGGTGGGCGTGCGCATCACCTTGGCCGACGTCGTGGTGCCAAACGGCGCAAACTCTTCCTGGAGGCGCTCGTCGTCAAACTCCTCCGGCAGGTTCTTGATGTACAGGTTCACGCCCTGGTACTTGGACAGCTTTTCGTTCTTCGCCGCCTCGTACGCCTTGCGCAGCTCCTCCTCACGCTCCGACTTCTTCTGTGCACGACCCAGGAACAGCTTCTGGCCGTGGAACTCCGTGTCGTTGAGCTCCTCGACCGCCTTCGCCGCCTGCGCGTGCTCGGCAAAGTTGACAAAGCCAAAGCCACGGCTCTTGCCCTCCTCGTCGGTGGCCAGGGCAGCCGAGGTGATCGTGCCGTACTTGTCAAAGAGCTTCTCAAACTCCTCCTGCGTCACAGCAGGGTCGAGGTTCTTCACGTACACGTTCGTGTACTGCGCACGCGCCTCCTCGATCTTGGCCTGGCGGTCCTTCTTCGAGATGTGGTGGCCCACGTACACCTTCTTGTCGTTCAGAAGCATGCCGTTGACGTGCTTGATCGCCGCCTCAGCCGCCTCCTTCGACTCGTAGTGCACGAAGCCGTAGCCAAGACTGCCCTGCTCGTTCGACGCCACCTTGCACGACAAAATCTTGCCGAAGGCCGCGAAGGTGTCGTGCAGCGCCTTGTTGTCGATGGCCTCGTCCAGGTTCTTGATGAAGATATTGCCCTGGCCCGCACGGCGCTGACCGGGGTCACGCTGCGACCACATGATACGGCACGGGCGGCCGCGGATCGGCGTGTAGTTCAGCTGCTCCAGCGCACGCTCACTGTCCTCCGCATTCAAAAAGTTCACGTACGCGTAGCCCAGCGAGCGACGAGTCACCGCATCACGGCACACACGGATGCTGCTCACGGGGCCGACCATGTTGAAGATCTCGAACAGGATGGCCTCGTTCACATTCGGGTCCAGCTCACCCACGTAGAGCGAGGTGTTCACCGAGCCCTGGCTGGCCTTGGGCTTCTCATCCTCCTTCTTCTCAGCAGGCTTCTCCTCTGCAGGAGCCTCGGCGGCCGCAGGCGCCGCGGCCGGGGTCTCGGTCACCGGGGCCGACTCGGCAGGAGGGTTGGTAGCAGCAGGCTGCGTCGAAGCGGCTTCAGCAGACATTGTAATAATAGTTAACTTTTTTTTTCAGGGTTTTTCGATCGTTCACAAGAAGAAGACGCAACCGCTTTCCAAGGATACGTCGACCACGAGAGCAGGAGGATAGGTTTCGGCTGCGCACCCGCGGCGATTTTTCACCGCCGACGCCGCACGCCCTGCACTGCGAAGAAAACTCGTGGCTTTTCCGACGCACGTGATTTCTGCGCCGCCGCGCTCCCTCCGTCGACCTGTATTCACGTGATGTACTTCAGGGCGGCCGCCACGCTGGCTGCTGGCCACGGTGATATACGATACCGGTATATTCCTATATCGACGCTATCGATACGTTTTTAAGCGCTGTCCTGCACGACGCCGACCTGGGCGGCACGCAGGAGCTTCCCTTTAATCATATAGCCCGTCTTGCTGCAGTCGAGTACACTGCCCGGCTCCTTGCCCGGCACCGGCGCCTGGTATAATGCTTCGTGCAGCTTGGGGTCAAACTTTTCGCCCGTAGGGTTGAATGCCTCGATGCCATGCGTCCGCAGCATGTCGACAATGCTCTTGCGCGTGAGACTCACGCCGTCATATAGCTCGGCCAGTGCACGCGGCGCCTCGGCCGCATCACTGGGAGCTGTGCGCAGCAGTTCAGGCACCGACTTGAGCGCGAGTTCCAGCACATCGATCGACTCGGTCAGGTCCTTGGCGAGTTTCGCGATGGCCACGTCGCTGATGCTCTTCTTCTCCTCAGCGGAGCGGCGCTGCAGATTCTGCAGCTCAGCCTTTGTATAGAGCAGGTCATCTGTCAGGTCTTTGACGCGCTCCTCCTTCTCCTTCAGCTGCGCCTCGAGCGGATTCGCCTCAGCCTGCGGCGCCTCGTCCTTCGCCTCCGTGTTGGGCGTCGCTTCAGCGGCCTTGTCGGAGTAGTAGCGCACGCACGCAGCTGTGCGCATCCGAGGCGCAGCCAAAGTACGCGAAAATAGGCCGAAGACGGCGTTCTTCGAAGGAGCAGCAAGCATCGCAAGTCGGGGGTGAACGTCGATTTGCGGAGGCGATGTGGCGAGACGGACATCGCGGCGCTTACTCAGCATGACACGACTGCGGCATGTCTCGACCTATTGGGCCTTGTTAGAACGGCCGTGAGCAACGCGGGCCAAACTTGCAGTGTTGTCCCGGCAGAGACAAACGCCACGTTTTCCATCTTACTATTGTCAACATGGCGTCGCAGGCTCAAGTGATCCAACAGAAGTTTGACAAGTTCATGCGTCAGGTATGTAGCGCAGCCGGTGTGGATTCTTGGTGCTGACACCGTGGCGCCCTGGCGCTTTCCATTACAGCTCGACACGGAGGTATGGGCATTTGACGCTGACGGCAGCTCTCGAAGTACCCTAGCCTGAACCGCTTCGACAAGCACCTCCCTGTGCCGAAGTCGTACATTGTGTGCGGTGCTCTGGCTATCTTGACCTTCGTACGTACCGTGTGGCTGACTCTGTAGCTGATCTTCTTCAACATGTGGGTACACGACCTCTGACCGCAGTTGCGCTGGCTTCCTGACCAACTTCATCGGCTTCTTCGTGCCGATGTACTTCTCGCTCGCCGCCCTGGAGACCCCCCAGCCCCAGGACGACATTCAGTGGTGCGTTTTGCGGCGCGCTTACGTACAGGCTCACGTACTGGGTTGTGTTTGGCTTCTTCAACTTCCTCGAGACCTTCATCAGCTTTGTGCTGTACTGGTTCCCCTTCTACTACACTTTCAAGACCCTCGCGATTGTCTGGCTCGTCCTGCCCCAGACCCAGGGTGCGAAGCTCGTGTACTACAAGCTCCTGCGCCCTGCGTTCCTGGCCGTGCACGGCTCGCAGGCCAGGACTCCCGCGACTGTCGACGCTACCAAGCCCGGCTTCTCGGCTGCTTCGACTGGCGTGCACACCCAGTAAGCCCCTAGATCTATAGTTGGAAGCCCGCGTGGTGCCTCTTGCCGCCGCCCCCGCCGGCCGTCGGCCCCGTAGTGCTGAGTCAGCGGCACATTTTTTGTCTTGTCCACAACCATGACCAAGGCGACGCCCGCGCCCCGCGCCGGCCCCGCCAAGAGCAAGAGCACGAGCAAGCGCACGGCACAAGAGGAGCCTGCCTCTCTGCCGGAGCGCAAGCCGTTCGGTCAAGAAGACTCAGACGACGAGGAGATGCCCGAGACGCTGCCGGACGAGGCTGACGACGACGACGACGACCTTGTCATTGACCAAGACCTGCCAGATGTGACGCAGGCGCCTGGACAGGGCGCAGACGTCGATGACGGTCGCTTGCGCTTCCAGCCGATCAGTGCGACTGCCCTCGCGGCAGCGAATGCGGGCGTGGATCCGAAGGTCAAGTCGCAGCTGCGCAAAGTGCCCATCCCGCCGCACCGCATGAGCCCGCTGAAGCGCGACTGGCCCAAGATTTACACGCCGCTCGTCGAGCAGGCGGGGCTCATGGTGCGTATGAATGTGCGAACGCGCTGCGTTGAGATCAAGTCGTCGAAGCACACGGAGGACCTCGGTGTGCTGCAAAAAGCGAGCGACTTTGTCAAGGCGTACGCACTGGGCTTTGATGCCGACGACGCTCTGGCGCTGTTGCGTCTCGACGATTTGTACGTCGACTCGTTTGAAATGAAGGACGTGAAGACCCTACACGGCGACCACCTAAGCCGTGCGATCGGCCGCATCGCTGGAAAAGACGGCCGTACGCGCTTCGCGATTGAGAACGCGAGCCGTACGCGTATCGTGTTGGCCGATACAAAGATCCATATCCTGGGTGCCTACCAAAATATCCGCGTGGCCAAGGACGCGATTGTGGCCCTGATCATGGGCAGCCCGCCCGGCAAGGTCTACTCCAAGCTGCGCACCGTCAGCGCGCGCATGCGCCAGCGCTCTTAGTACTGCCCCTGTAGCATAGCACCGCATCAGCCCTGCAGCGACGGCACGAGGGCCTGCAGCAGCGCCCCAATATGGGGGGCGCCCGCCTTGGCCAGCCATGCCAGAAACTGGCGCCGGATATCGGAGTACTGCAGGTGCTCGGGCAGTCCGCCCGCGCCGCGCGCGCCGCGCAGCGCCGACGGCGTGATGGGCGCGCGGATGTCCATGCCAGGCAGCAGCGACTCATGGCAAAACTGCTCAAAGAGCGGCGCTAGGAGCGCGCCATGCGAGAGCGAGGCGACCAGCACGAACGGCACGATCCGCTGCTCGTCGCAGGCCTGCTTCCAGACTGCGACGGCGCTCCGATCGCACACGAGCACGTCATCAATGGTGATGCCACGCTGGAGAAACTGCGCAAATGCGCGCCCACTCCATATCATATCGGCGAGCGCCAGGGCCATTTCGTCCACAGCGCGCGCGTTCAGTGCGCTGTCCGGTACGCTCAGCACATGCGTGCGCATATACAGGACATGCTCACATGCGCGATCGAGCGTGGCCACTGAGCCGGCCAGCATCGGCGGCGCAGCGAGCTGGACAAAAGGAAACGGGAAGAGGTGCGTGGCCGCCGCACAGTGGGCATGCGCTAGGGCCCCCTGCAGCTCGAGCATGGCCGCATAGACGGGCAGCGTCGGATCGCCATCGAGGACAAGGGCCTCCTGGCACTCGATGGCACAGGCCATGAGCGCCGGCGTCGCTGGCGCGCCCAAGTCCGCCCAGTGCTCGAGGAGGCGAACCATGCCATGCAGCACCGACGCCGAGAACAGGTCCGAGACGCCGTCCATAGCCGCCATGTGGCACAGGGGGCGGAAGAATGGCGCAAACAATTCGTCCCACGGCCGCGGCGGCAGCCACGCACAAAAGCGCACGAGCCGGCGCATCGTTGGGCGCCACCGGCGCTCCCACACCGCGAGCCCGCCGGGCTGCGCGAGGTGGGTGAGTACATCCTGGCCCATCGACTGCACCACATGCACGAGGAGCGGCATTAGGGGGCGCGGCACGGCTTGTAGCGCGGCCACATGCAGGTATAGGGCGTCCAGCAGCGCCCAGGCGCCAGGGTCAAAAGGCGGCACGTCCGCCGGAGGAGCTGCACCTTTGTCGCGGCGGTGGGCATGGTGCGCCGCGAGGAGACGCCCCGCAGACGCCGCTAGGCGTGTCCCGACGCTGTGGCTGTTGCTGGGCTCGAGCGCCGGCAATAGGGCGAGGGCATGGCGAAGCAGACGTGGCACGCGCGAGCGAACCTGTGCACTGGCGAGGCCCGGTACCGTGTCAGGGAGCGTAAGCGTCGGCAGTGCGTGCGCCCAGGTATCTAGGGGCATTCCCCTCGCATCTGCCCCCCCGTCCATGGGCACCGGCTCGTCCACAGGGAGCAGGAGCGCCGGCTGGAAGAGGGCATACGCGTCGAGCAGGGTATACAGCGCGCGGTCGTGTGTGGCCTTGTACAGCTGGAGCCTGGAGTTAGGCGTGCGCACGTACAGTGTACGAATACGGAAGGCCCGCACATGCCGCGCCTCCGTAAGCTGGCACAAGAGCGCACAGAGTGGCAGGCTGGGTGAGCGAGGCCCACGTACCGTAGGGGGGCCTCATGGAGGCACGCGAACAAGAGGCCATACGAGCGACGCAGCACAGCCGCCGCCTCGGGCGTCAGAGCGTCCCGAGGGTGGTCCCGGAGCAGAGCGAGAGCGTCTCCCTAGGGTAAGCCGGCAGTACGTACACGGTCGGCCACGGGCGTGAGCATGTCACATGCGTGCCCCACAAGCGCGAGGACGAGTGGGGCATCCCATGCAGGATCCTGCCGGGCCTTTTCGATCCACGGCCATACGCGGTGCGCGCGCGCGTTGCTAAACCCGGCCACGGTGCAAGCGGGGCCGCGCCGGCCAGCAGGGAGGGCCTGGCCGGTGCGTCCGCCTAGCGCGTCGACATCACGTGAGTGATCGGGTGTGCGTGGCGGAGATGCGAGCGCTGCGACAAGGCACCTTGCGATGCCGACGACGGAGGAGGTGCGTAGAGCCTGGCTGACCTCAGTCCCCCTTGCCTGTGACGGCTACATCGGTCGTGGTGCACCCGCTGGTGCTTTTGTCCGTGACGGACCATGCATCGCGCATGGCCATCAGTGCGCGGAAGCGCGTGGTCGGCGTGCTGCTGGGCCAGGACATGGGCAAGACGATCAATGTGGCGAACAGCTTTGCCGTGCCGTTTGAAGAGGACGAGAACGATCCCAAGACGCTGTTCCTCGACCATGACTATATCTATGGCATGCTGGAGATGTTCAAGAAAGTGAACGGTATGCACGACGGGACTGACAGCAGCGCGCGAGCGTTTTGTTGGATGGTACCACACGGGGCCGAAGCTGCGCTCGTCGGACCTGGAGATCAACCACATGATGAAGCGGTTCACGCCGCGCCCGGTGATGGTGATCATCGACCCACGGCGCGAGGACGTGGGCATCCCGACGGATGCGTACATGGCCGTGGACGAGATCAAGGACGACGGCACGGCGACACAGACCACGTTCATGCATGTGCCGACGGTGATCGAGGCGGAGGAAGCCGAGGAGGTCGGCGTGGAGCACCTCCAGCGCGACATCCACGATACGACAACGATGGGCTCGTTGTCGGACCGCGTCGCGCAGCAGCTGCTCTCACTGCGGGGCCTGCACCGCCGTCTTCTGGATATCCGCGACTACCTCGCGGCGGTCATGCGTGGCGAGCTGCCAGTGAACCATGAGATCGTATACGAGCTGCAGAATGTGTTCAACTACCTGCCGGACCTCGACAAGCCCGAGACCGTGCGCAGCTTCCGCGTGGCGAACAACGACCGGTTGCTCATCGTATACCTCAGCAGTCTCATCCGCGCGGTGATTGCGCTGCACGCCCTCGTGAACAACCGCTTGGAAATGGCCCATGGAGAGAACAAGGACCAGGTGGCACCCGAAACACAGGGTCCCAAGGAGTCGTCCGAGGCTCAGGCGTCCTCGTCGTAGATGCGCACCGCGCTTCGTAGCTGATCCGCCTGCTCGCCAGTGGACTCCACCCGTCGCTGACAAAGCCATTTTTTTGGACGGCGCTTTCTTGCTGAAGCGACGATGCCGTTCTCGCACCGGCCGACGCTCAAGCAGCAAAACAAGCGCTTCAAGTCGGGGCATGCGACGAAGGGCGAGCGAAAACGTGCCGCTAAAGGTATGTACCCTGCGCTGACGCAGGTAAAAACGAAGCGCCCGTAGGTGGCGCACGCCCCTCCAAGGCGCACACGTTGCGCATGGCCGGTAGCGCCGAGGGCTCACGGAGCAACCGCCGCAACGAGGCGCGCCAGGTCTCGCAGCAAAAGCGCGCTGCAATCGTCGAGAGCACGCGTATTTTTACCGGGACGGGTCTGCGTGGCGAGCAGCGCGGCGTGGGCGGACGCCATGCCAAGGCAGGTGCGCCGCGTATCTGTGCGGTGGTGGCGCTGGCGCCTGATGTGGACGAGTGGGACGTCGCGCGCACACTTGAGCAGCACGACGAGTCGCTCGGTCTCGGCCGCATGCCGGGCAAGAGCGCCGACGAGGCCCTGGCTCAGGCACGGCCGCAGTGCGAGCTCGATGCGCCGCGCTTCCGGCAGTCGTTGCAGTTTTTGCCGATCCCCTACGGTGCACTCATGCCGGCAATGGATGCATGCCGCTGCGCAGACTTTGTCATTCTGCTCCTGTCCGCATCGACGTCCATTGAGCCGGGCTCATGGGGCGAGCTGTGCCTGCGCACGCTGCAGGCGCAGGGCGTGCCCCAGACGTTGGCCGTCGTACCGACGCTACACTCGGAGGAAGATGCGGCCAAAACGAAGCCCTCTGCGCTGGCCAAGGAGGCCCAGGGCGTGCGCAAGAGTCTCTTGAGCTTTATCCAGTACTTTTGCCCTGACGTGAGCAAGGTTCATGCGCTGGACGAGCCAGCGAGCCGCAGCGCGCTTGTTCGTACACTTGTGACTACAGCACCCAAGCGCATGGCGTGGCGCGATTACCGTGCGTGGCTCGTAGCCGAAGACGCTGCGTATGTGCCACACAACGGGGAGCAGGGCCTGCTCAAGATCCAAGGCTGGATTCGCGGCGCGCCGCTCAGTGCGAACCGCCTCGTGCATATTCCCGACTTTGGCGACTTTGCCGTCGATCGCATCACGTATGCGCCGCCCGGAACCGATGTGAACACCGAGCCCGAGGCGGTGATGCGAGACGCGGACGACGTCTCGGCGCCCGCCGCGCCGGGGGCGGTGCTGGACGTGCGGGATGAAGAGGAAGCGGATGACCTCGTGAGCGAAAACGAGCCGGACATGCTCGCGAACGAGCAGACATGGCCCACGGAGGAGGAAATGGCGGAGGCGCCTGCGCATGCCGAGGCGCCGGTCGACGAGGAACTGCCGCCTGCGGCGCCTGGCACGACGCCGCGCGAGATCCTTAAGCGTCGCGCCGAGAAAGAGGGCCAACGTCGGTACCAAGCTGCGTGGATCATCGAGAGTGATGACGAGGAGGAGGAGGACGAGGACAACACAGATGAGGACGGCATGGACGAGGAAGAAGAGGAAACAGGGGAGGACCCGGAGGGTGTCGACGATGACGCTGAGGAAGCTTCCGTTGCTGACGACGCGCCGGAGGAAGATGACGAGTACGACGACGAGGAAGAACTGCGCGCCATTGAGGCATACCGCGAGCAGATGCAGCGGGAGCGCGAGGCCAAGAAGGAGGAGGCAGCACAGGCCGAGTTCCCTGACGAGGTCGACACACCGATGGATGTGCCAGCGCGCCAGCGCTTCGCGCGGTACCGCGGCTTGGAGAGCATGTACACCACGTACTGGGACCCATATGAGGACCTGCCAGAGGACTATGCACGTCTCTTCCAATTTGACGATTTTAGCAAGACGCGCAAGCGCGTCGAGAGCCACTCGCTCATGGAGGGTGTCGCGCCCGGCATCCGCGTGTGCCTGTGGGTGCGTGATGTGCCGGTCGCCGCGGCGACGCGCGCGCTGTGTGCGACGGGGCAGGGGTCGCTGGGCAAGAAGTGCGAGAATGTGCCGTTTGTGCTGTTTGGCCTCCTCCGCCACGAGCACAAGAAGAGTGTGATCCACTTCACCGTCACGCGCAACACCGAGTACGATGCGCCGGTGCGTTCCAAGGATCCGCTGGTGGTCTGCCTCGGCTTCCGCCGTTATGCGGCACGCCCGACCTACTCACAACACATCCGACGCGTTGGGCGCCAAGGCAACCATGTCTACAAGTTTGAGCGGTACCTCCCGCACGGCATTGGCGCTGCGGTGGGCAGTATCTATGCACCGGTGACGATGGGCGGCGCGAATGTGCCGGTAGTGCTCCTGCGCATGCGTTCAGAAGGCCAAGAGTACGGCTACGATGCACAGGGTGTGAGTGCCGAGCAGACTCCGCACCTGGTGGGCGCGGGTTCCGTGCTGGATGTGGCGCCGACGCGCATCTTGGCGAAGCGGATCGTTCTCTCAGGCCACCCTTTCAAGCTACACAAGAAGACCGCGACGATCCGGTTCATGTTCTTTAACGCGGACGATGTGCGCTACTTTGCACCTATCACCCTACGGACCAAGTACGGGCGCACCGGGCACATTACGGAGAGTCTGGGCACCCATGGCTACTTTAAAGGTACGACGAACGAACTAACGTCAGCGCATTTCGACGGTCCCCTGACGCAGATGGATACGGTTCTGATGAGCCTGTACAAGGTGCGTGCTTGAGGCTAACGGTAGCGCGTGTACCCTCGTTGGTCGACGCTATTCCAGGGCAGCCGGGACAATCTGCCGCTTCGCCGTGCGCCCGGCGACCCGTAGTGTACGTAGGCCATTGGTCACGTGTACGTAAGCAGTAGCGCCAACGCTGGACCCAGGGGTGATCAGGGTAAGCGTCTGTTGCCGTGCTGCTTGACGCATGAGTGCCACGTCTGCCGCGGAGAAATTGCACCCGCAGGCGCCCGCGATGGTCCACACGACAAGTGAGCCACTACTGGCACCAGGTTCTAATGCGCGCCCTTCTGGCTCTCGCCACCGGCGCAGCAACAGCTTCCTGGTAGTGAAGCATATGCAGGAGACACCAGACGAGGAAGTCGACCAGTCCGTGAGCCCCAACGTGAATGCTGAATGGGTGAACATGAAGGGTGCCTGGGTGATCCATGTCGTACTCGTGGTTCTCGCCAAGCTGATCATCAACGAGATTCCTGGCATTTCCGACTCGATCAAGTGGACCATCATCAACTTAGGCTACATGATGGTGCGTTACACACACTCACAGCAGGTCTCCTATGTGATTTTCCACTACGTCAAGGGCGCACCACTCGACCTTAACAGTGGCGCCTACGACGAGCTCACCCTGTGGGAGCAGATCGACCAGGGATTCCAATATACACCGGCCAAGAAATATCTCACGAGTCTGCCGATTGCTCTGTACGTATGCGCGACTGACACAGCTTTCTGCTGTCGACACACTACTCTCACTATAATCCATGGCTATTCACTCTGAACCTCGCGGCGCTACTGTTTGTTCTCTTCCCAAAACTTCCGATAGTACGTGGCCGCCACTGACCCAGCTTCATCGATCGCGTCTTCTGTTTTTCCCGGGCGCCTGCCCTAGTACAGGCACCAATACACCAATGCGACAGCCCTCGCACGATTCGCTCACGAAGACTAAATAAATAGCTTGGCCTCGTTGATGTAGAGTTTGATTCACGTCCAGCGCCACTGATCGATCGCGGATGGCACTGCCCGAATGTGGAGGCCTTTACCCCACTGCGCCGCACCATTATAGCAGGGCGAAGGGCTGTGCCAGCCTGACAATGGAACCTGCGACGCCGCGGGAGCGTCCGCCAGATGCCACGCCCTCAATCCTGCGGAATCCACTGCATCATATCCCGCGCTGGAGTCGGCAGCATGGCGGCTACGTAACGTACGTGAGATCACCGCGCCTCCCTTCATCCCCGCGCGCCATTCTGGTTCTGCCCAGGCGCTCATTGCCCCACACATGGCTCTACTCTCTTGGAAATGGGACATTGTCTGCGTGGCCTATGCGGGCGGAGCGTTTGCACCGCTGGTACTCGCATTACCGCTCCTCGCGTACGCCCCCCGCACCCGACGAACTAAAGCCCATGGACCCCGAAGAGCTTGCCATGCTCAACTCCATTATCAATACCCGCCGCAGTATGGCTGCAGCGCAGGCACTCGCTAAGCAGGAGGTCAACTTTTCAGATACCCCAAGGTCATCGCATACTCCTGTTGTCCCCCGAGTTCCCCAAGTGCACTTTGCTCCCCTGCCGTTCCCAGAGGACGACATGGATCTCGAAACGTCCCATTCGGACCTGGACGAGCCTACCGCCGCCGATGCGCCTGACACGTCCATGCATGCCTTTTCTGGGGATGAACCACGCGCCACGGGCCACAGCCCGAGTCCCTCGCTGGACCGGAGCCCTAGCCGCAAGGCCCTCTGGCCCTGGCCCCTCGGCACCGATGCACTCTCGCTGCGCCGCTGGCCCAGTATGCAGCGTTCCGAGTCACCCTCCATGGAAGAGCCTGAATCGCCACGTACGCCGTCGCCGCCCGTGTCAATAAAAGAGCGCCGGCGCCGGCGCAAGCATATCCTCTCACAGCGCCCTGGCGGGACCGGCATGGTGACCCTGCTCGATGGGAAGCGGATTCCCGCGAGACAGGTGGGCGATCCGCAGCAGGAGCAAGATATGGATGCCGATTTACAGGCGCAGCTATGGGGCTTTGCGGCGCTCGAGCGGCAGCGCGCGCGCGTGCAAGCAGCTACACCACCGCGCCTTACCCTCTCGTCGGAGCGCGCCGCCGAGATGCGCCGCCGTCACGAGGACGAAATGACGGCGCTCGGCGTCGAGGCGCTGAAAAGGGTGCGTGGCGACAAGGCCAAGTCGCATGAGCGCGCTCGTTCCGAGCCGCACAGGCATGTGGATCCGAGCATCAGTATGCCGTCGCCGTCGCCGCACCTACCACGCCGCCCCGACGCAAAAGGCATCGTCGTGGTGCCTCTTCCTCAGCTGGGCCGCCGACCGAAGCACCCGTACGAGGGGCGCTCCTGGCTCTATACACTTCCAATCGACGATATGGACACATCTAGCGATACCAAACCGCACAAAGATGGCGTTAGGCGGCGCGCCACGACCGACGCAGCGCGCCAGGAAGTTGTGCACGCAAGTCGCCACAAGCACAAACACGATTGGGCCGATGAGTTTTGGCCGGAGCCCAGCGCGACGTGCGCATTGGTCACCTAGAGTACTTAGCCCTGCCACTCGAACTGAATATCGCCCGACTCGAGTAAGGGATCGTCGTGCTCGGACTCTGACGCAGGCGCTTGGCCGCCGTCATGCGGCACAGTCCGTGCGCGACGTTCACCGTCATCGAGGCTCAGTGACGACGAGCCGTATAAGAGGCGGTAGCGGCGCTCCCGGCGGCGACGCGCGTCCGGTTCAAGTGCTTCACGCTCGAACTGTTCGTCGTCGAGTTCCCCGGCGTCCTGCATCTCGTCGGGATCGTCGTACGTCAAAATTTGCCTGTCCCAACGTGGACTCGAGGGCGAAAGACTCAGGCTCGGGGGGCTCATTGAGCCTTCAGACAGGTCGAAGGAGCGCGCCTGCATGTCGGGGCTTTGTGTGCCTGACGGCGCCTCACGCTTGTCTTTGCGGCGCAGGCCGAGCAGGCGGCGCAGGCGACTCGGCTTAGGCATATCGTCCGCAGCAGGTGGCCCTTCTGTCTGGCTGCGGACCGGCGCGCTCGCCGCCGCCGACTGCTTGGGACTGCGCAGGCCGCGCAGCGAGGGCGACGTTGGCTGGACGGGCGGCACAAGCTCTTCGATGGGCGGCAGTTCCACATCCGTTGGCACATCATCACGCCAATAGTTAAAGTCGGAAAACGCGGCGCTCTTCTCGTTCCGCTTCTTGGTCGCGGTGGGCGGGAACATTTGGTCGACGAGGTCGGTCATGTTGGGGTACGACGTGTTGTACCCAGCGAGCTCGAGTAGCTCCATCTTGACTTGGCCGTTCGAGTCGATCGTGAAGATGCGCGAGCTCGGGATGTTGACGCTGCGGTAGCTCAGCGCATCTGTGATGCGGTTTCCGAAGCCCGCATAAAATGGCGTCGAGCGATCCTCATCAGGATGGGCAGGGTCCACGCCAAACAGCCGCGCAAGATCGCGCAAACACGCCATCTTGAACACCTCCGGCTTGCGCAGAATGACCTCACGATGCAAAGACGCCATCAGTCGATCTGGGCTCATAATCACCGGCCCGTCTGGCAGCTGGTAGTTGTTCTGGTTGATGTTGTGCAGGTAGTCGCGCGTGATATCCGCCTGTCCAATTGCCCGTGACGTCAGGTACATTAGTCGGTAGCCATTCTGTGCAATATCGTGGTAGAGCTTTGCAACACCCAAGTGTGTCCAGTCGCGCCCCATGAGCGTAAAGACGTGCCCTAGCGCATCTGACTTGGTGATAGTGCCGTCAATGTCTGACACGACCACTGGCTTCTCACAGTCCCATAAAAAGATGCGCGCACGGCACGTAGCGACGCCCGAGTACGATGATGTCACGGAAAAAGTAATCGTGTTGGTACCCTTGCGGAGCCCGAGCTGCTTTAGCTGGTCGGACGATAAGCGGAGCGTCTTGACGTACGTCTCGTGCAGGGGCGCCTCATTCGAGCTTGAGCTCCCGCTAGAGGCCGGCGTCGCAGGCGCGGACGATGACACCGGCTCTGCTGACGTCTCGGGCAGCACCGGCTCAGGTGCACTCGTCGGTGGTGCCGCGGCGTCCTTGCCCCATAAACGGCGCCACACGCTTGCCTTGGCTATTGCCTTGGGCTTTTCGTCGGTCGAGCGGAGAAGTGCTTCACGATACAGCATGAGCGTCGTGAACATATCAGGCTCCGACGCGCGCCAGTGGTAGGTATCCTTGTGGCGCAGACACAGGCGCGCATCGACCACCATGGAACTATCCTCGAGGAAGCGCTGGAAGGAGACACGACCCTCGTCAAACATGCGCTCACAGTCCATGTCGCTCGCTTGCCGTGGACGGGGGCAAAGGCTCAGCTCAAACGTGTATACTGTGCTGTCATCGATCTGCAACTGGAAGAGATAGGGGTCCGCTTCCGCGCACGTCAACGTGCCAATTTCGCCGTCGTCCTCGGTCGGTGCCTCCATGGCGTCTGACGCGACTGGTTCATGCTCGTAAGCCTCTGTCTCAGCCATAAAGGGTAGGGCCGTGTCGCTTACCGACACGGGAATGCGTGTCCGCTCATGACGCGTTATCGAGTCGCGCAGCGACAAATCACTCGATGGCCGACGTAATGTGGACACTGGGCGCCGCTGAGGCTGAAAGCGTGCGAGAAACTCTTGCTGCCAGCGAAGCTGCGGCTGGTCAAGACGGTCGCTGATTGAAAGCAGGTTGTGCCCGCCGTGCCGGTGGCCTAAGGGCATCTCATCCGCAAAGCGCCGGCCCTGCTTGAGCGCTAGTTCCCGCTTGAGGTCGGACACTTTATAGCCCTCCATATCGAGGTCGAGACCAGAGGGATCGCCGACGTTGGGCACCGATATATCGACACTCTTATCAGCCTCGTCGGCCGGCGGCGACGCTGAGCCTGGCGTCGAAGCCTCGGCAACACCGAGGTCCAAGGGCTCCGGATCCCCTGGCTTCTCAGGCGTAGACGCATGCACCATGGGACTCGTCACCAAGTCGTCCGGCACATCTGACCGGGCGCTCTCCAACTTCATCACGAAAAAGGCCTCCCCATTCTCCCCCACCTTCATCGCGAATGGCAGCGGGTCAGGCGAGTCATTCAGATGCAACGTCACTTTGCGTTCAGCAGGACGCAGTACGCTCATTTTGCCAAAGCGCACATGGAACGGAGACGACGAGAGCTCCGTTGTGCGCCGCTTCGTTGTGGTCTGCGACCCGTCCTGCAAGGTGGTCGTCTCGTCCACCTCGACTTCCCGCTCCACCACAATCACATCGATCGCTCCTGTGAGGGTCGATGGATTGATATTGGGCGTAATAGTATTGTACACGGAGGACACGAGCTTCCCCACATACTGCATCGCGGTGCCCGTGTGGCTAGCCGAAGAACCGCAGTCGCTGAGCACGGCCCTGCTCCGCTGCAGCACCTCCACACGCCGGGATGCCCACGTGTCCGAGGATGTGAGCGAATGATGACAGCACGAGGGGGTATCGTGGGCAGGCTACAAGGGCTACTTACAGGTGGCTGCAAGCGTTACACACGGTCGTGAGGCCTTGTGTGCATGCTCCATACTGGGCGCCGCCGCTTACGTGGGCGGTCCGCGGCAGGTGTCGCTTGCGCCGGCGCAGCTGGATGGCCCTCGTTATCGTCGGGATGTGATGCCTCTGCATAGGGTGTGCGCCGTCCGTGGTCATGGCGCGCACCTAGGGTTTTGGGTTTTGTGTCTGGCGCGCTCGAGGGCGTGCGGTGGCCCTCGGCGCGCCGCTCGCCATGGGGCCTGCGCATACGCGCGCTTGGGGACACCGATTGCGCTGGTTTCCCCTCGCTTGCCTCTTCATGTTCTTGTGCATCGCTCTGTAGGGCTTCCATACGACGCAACAGGTAGCTGCGCAAGCGGTCCAGCCGCGTCTGCGCCTCTAGCTGAGAATCCTGAGCAAGAAACTCGATTGTATCATAGAGAGCTTTGGTGTAGCCGTCCACAAATGCCTTGTGCGTATTTTGGCGGCCTTGCTTGTACAGGTTCGTCAGTTGAAGGGCCGCCACTAAATATCAGATGTAAAAACGTACCACGAAATTCGTCCGTTAGGCGCTCATCATGCTCGTGGCATAGTGCCGCAGGCGACTGCTCTCCAGACACCTCCAGACTCTCGCGCAAGTTGGTAAGATCCATCCCTGCGAATGTACCCGAGAAGCGCGCTGGCGAGGAGCAAGGATGCAAAAATCTAGGACAAACGGCGACGAACTTGAGGTCACGTGGTTACGCTTGGGCCACCTCTACGACGCGAGACGATCCCACTGCACGGGACGACTACGAGACGCTGGACGCAGTGCGCGCCATAAACATACGGCCGATGGACTTAAATCAGTGTGGCAATACATACCGACCATGTGCGCACTGAAACGGAAAGGCCGCCTTGCCCCACTGTTGAAGCAGGCGCTCCATCTGCTCGTGCGTTAGCGGCTGGTGGAACCGGATGGCTGTGTGGCATGCGCTGGAGGCGAGCGCCCGCCGAAGTATGGGCGGCATAAAACGCAATGCTACCAGAGGGGGCTCCACGTGCTGTAGCGAGGCGGGCAGTTCTGTCTCGGCAATCCACGCTGCACAGGATGTGGCACACATAGAGAGCTCCTCCGTAGATCGCTGCAGTTGGGCGGACAGCACCCATGGCACCGCATGAATGGTACAGGTTGATACAGATGCATCAATGGAGAGGCTCCAGCCCCAGAATTCCATATGCGCCTGCACCTCTGGGAGCGGCACTGTGTGCATAGGCACGGGCGCAGGCAGCGGAACGTTGTGGTTTTCCTGCGTCTGACAGGCCCGTACATACGTGGTCGTGAGTGTTTCGAGGCGCACACGCTCATCAATAGCATGTTGGTCCAAGCATAGGAGCGAGAGTGGCTCAGACGCATATCCACCACATACACAGACGAGATACTTTTGGTCGACCTGGGCAATCGCACGAACCGACGGCAGAGCACTCGGAAGGAGGAGCGGGAGTGATGGCGGCAGGGCCTCAGTGCGTACCATTCGATGCACCTGAGCCGGTGCTACACCGGTAAAGTACGGCGACCGGATGCGTTCTTCTCGTGCATCGAGAGGCAGCCGAGCTGATACCGGCGCGGGTTTTGGCAGCAGACAGGATAGAAGCGCGGGCCAGTTGGCCAAGGGAGGAACAGGTGCGTGCACACGCTGAACATGTACATGCAGGACATACACGGAAAGGTCAGCTGCTAGACATTGCGCGATATGCCGGTATAGACGCGTGCTGTCGTCCCATGCATGAGCGAGTGCAGGATGCCAAGGTACGTCGGCAGGGCAAGTCGACATCCATGCAAGCGCCCTGTGTGTGTGCGGTGGCACTAGCTGTCCATTGACAAACAAACACCGGAGCGATTCCGAGGCGCGACCCACAATACCGTTCATCGTAGCTTGCCATGCGCCATCTTCGGCAGAAAATGTACAGCGCGTGTGCACCGTCTGCGCACGCTCGAAGGTGGGCACTAGCGCACGCACGCGCTCATATAATTCTGAAGGCCGCAAGCGCAGCCCCGGCGCTCGAATGCGCACCTGAGGGTATAAGAGCGCCAGCCGGACAACGGCCTGGCGGATGTGGTATCGAATACGCCGCTCTCGGCGGTGGGCCATGTGGCGACGGACAGGCATGCGCCACCACAGATCATGCACGACAATGTGCGTGTCGCGCTTAGGCCGCTTGGTAGACGGGCCTGCATACAGCACATGATGGTCCTGCGTAAGCTGTCTACCACGTACGCGCTGCAACACGGTCCAGGGGCGCTCAGACCCTGTGTGCACTTCCAGCAGACCAAGCCACGCTAGGCACGCAAAAATAGGCGCCTGTTCGAGACTGTGCGCATGCAGGTCAAGCGGAAAGCCCTGCGCGCGCAGCGAGCTGTCCTCGCCGTTGTGAATGCATACGAGCCGCCACCTTGCCAAGTCGACTTGGATATCGAGCCGCGTAGCCCCTACCGCTATCGCATGCTCAGCGAGTTCCACAGCTATGCGCTCTACAGACGCTAGCCGTGCGTGCGCACGCACAGCACTTGCCGTGTCGGCAGACAGGGGCCGCACGGGCCCAGGCGGCATGCCGCAGGACGCGACGTGGTGCACGTGCGTTTAGCTCCACTTGGGGCGCGTCGCTTGCTGCTGCGCATGACACTTCGAAAGGCGCTTGCGCGCGCCCTGGAGACACATGCGCCTGCCCTCTCTGAAAGTGGCTGCCTGCGGCTCCATACCGTGTTTAGCCGTCCGCTTTTGGTCCGCTCGCTGTACCCTCTTGCCCATATACACCCCAGTGACGCGTGTACGCCGCCTGACGCGCCGGCGCATGTATGGCAAGAGCAGGTCCTGATCACAGCGGCGTGGAGGCCGGACGATGGCGACGAGCGACTTGCATATGCATTAGAGCTCTACGTGTATACTCTGCCAGAGCAGAGTGCGGCCCTCGTCTACGTTTCTAAACTCGATACCACCGGCTACGGTCCTCGAGCGCATCCGCGGCGCATCCGCACGCACCTGCCTGGTGTCTACAGCCAAGCGCCGTCCATGACATCGACCCTGACATCGGCAGCGATCGACTACTTTGCGTCCCGAATGCACTGGGCGCGCTCCGACTCGGTGGCTGTGCAGCATGTGTCGGTGCATGTACTCGCGCGCGCACAAGGCGCGTACCTTTTCCCCTCGTCGGCAGCCCAGGCTAGCAAGCACGTACTCAGCGATGCCGCACTCATTCGCTGGTGGCACGCGTGTCTGAGTGATGTGGTACGTGCGTGCCACGACGCGGGTCACGTTGATGCGTTTTATCTCATACCCGGCTACCAGCGTCTCGACTCGCATGCGATCGTGCCTATCGCGCAGGAGCCCTCAAGGTCGTCGGGGGGTGCTTGGCACTATGGCCACCCCTATAGCGAGAAAGGGTCTGGTCGAACAGCAGAAACGCTCCCGCCTCTGCCACTGCATGCCGCTGCATGGGAGCCATACCGGTCGCACCTGACGCCATCGGCTGCCATGCAATTACGCACACTCGCAACGCTGATCCCCGTGTTCCCTGACGATCCCAAGGGGCGCTACATCAACGAGCTTTGCAGTACGGCCCATGAGCCTGGCTTTTTGCCCAAGATCCACAAAGGCCACAAACCAGCGCCGGAGCATCGCGAGGCAATGGCCGAGAGACAGGCTCTGGAAAAAGTATCGATCGATGCATTCTGGGAGCAGATGGGCTTCCGCCAGGAGTGTAGTTCTGGGAATGCGGTGGGCGTCTTTGTCGTAGGCGCGAGCGCCAGAGACGCACCATCAACGACGACACCTTTGCCCCCCGAGGCACAGCCGCTGTCTCTACCGCACCCCCTCCTCCCGAACCTGATGCTTCAGCATCTGCAGCAGGATGCATGTGTGTGGTCGGACGCAGCGCAAGCGACGCGCCTGACGCGGCAGTTTTATGAGGGCGTCGATCGTGCATTGCGCCGAAAGGGCGGCGCATCATCTAGGGACGACGATGCGTTGGTCGGCGAGGGACTCGTCTGGTTGACAGTGCCGCTCGCCGCCGTGTCGCGTGACATGGTGGCCCAAGCGGAGCAGCGCGCCTGCGAGGTGGTGCCTGCTGCACGTGGCACAGACGCGCCAGTACGCATGCTGGGTGTCAAGCGGCGCCGCCGTTCATAGGAAGTGGAGGTATTCGGCGGGGTTCTTTGCACGTGCGTTGAAAAAAACGTCGGGCGGGTGGGTGTACGTGGCCCTGGCCACCGTAACCGCATCCATCTACCTCCATCAGTATGGCTGCGCCTGTTGAGTTTTTCACGCTTCGGCTCCTTCCTGGTGAGATTTACCACCTTGATACGGTGCGTGATCTCCAGATCACCAACGTGAGCTACTCAGACCCTGAGAACCTCTCGGGTAAGAAGCGTAGTGTGCTCCGTGTGCACTACGCCGGTAGCCCGCTCGACCTCGATGACGACGAGGACGATGAAGACGAAGACGATGAGGACGAGGACAATGAAGACGAGGACGATGAAGACGAGGACGATGAAGACGAGGACGATGAAGACGAGGACGATGAGGACGAGGATGAAGACGAGGACGAGGATGAGGATGAGGACGAGGACGAGGGCGAGGACGAGGACGACGTTATGGACCTTGAGCCCCGCGTGCCTGTCTTTTCCGACGAGGACTCGTACGTCGTGTGCTCCCTGATTCCCGAGAAGGTATGTGCCTTACACTCACACCAGGTGGAACAGGTGTCGTTGAACCTCCAGATCAGTGAGGAAGAGGAGGTTGGTCTGTCGGTCTCGGGCAACGAGCCCGTGGACATTATCGGTAACTACCTCCTCCCTGCCGCCCTGAACAACATCGACCCTGAGGACTTTGACTATGAGGATCTCAAGGACCTCGAGGATGACGAGGACGACGACGATGAGGACGAGGACGACGAGGACGACGAGGACGACGAGGGCGATGGTCCTCTTCTCCTGGAGGCTGGCGAGGCCGACGATGATGACGAGGATGACGACGACGAGGATGATGAGGATGAGGATGACAACGACGACGAGGACGGTGTTCTGATCGAGGAGGTCGATGAGGAGGACGACGATGAGGACGACGATGACGAGGAGGACGAGGACGAGGAGGACGATGACGAGGAGATCGTTGTTGTGCCTAGCAAGAAGCGCCCCGCCTCGGAGCTCGACAACGACTCTGTTCTTGTCGAGGAGGGCAAGCTCAGCCGTGGCCAGCGCAAGCGTCTGAACAAGAAGCTGAAGGCTGAGGCCGCTGCTGCTGGCGGTGCCCAGCCTCGCGACAACAAGGTACGAGACGTCTTGGCATCCGTGCTGACTGATGCTTTGTTCGGTCTGTAAGATCAAGCTTCATTCCGGTCTGCTAATCGAGGATAAGAAGATTGGAACGGGCCCCGTGGCCAAGCCTGGCAACCGCGTGAGCATGCGCTACGTTGGCAAGCTGCAGAACGGCTCGATCTTTGACTCGAACACGAAGGGCAAGCCGTTCTCGTTCCGCCTCGGCAAGGGCGAGGTAATCAAGGGTAGGTTTCATTCTCTGTGCTGATATGCAGGGTGGGACGAGGGTGTCAAGGGCATGCAAGTCGGCAGCGAGCGCCGTCTCACCTGCCCTCCGCATCTCGCATACGGCAAGACGAAGCTTCCCGGTATTCCGGCGAACTCGACACTCATCTTTGACGTGAAGCTGCTCGAGATTAAGTAGATGTAGGTCTACTCAGGTCGTGTCTAGTCACGTGTGCATGAACGGTACGTGCGCCAACCACTCGATATGTTGGTTGACGTCATGCCACCCAAAGGTAGTCGTGCCCCTGACTCACGCGCAGCAGCTACGCGTTCCAGGAAGAGTGATGCAGCGCCGCAGCGCCGTGCAGCTGCACGCGCTCCGCGCCGTACGTCGACGGCGCCTGCGTCTCGCAAGCGCGCCGCACCGGAGGACCGGGAGGCAACCCCCAAGCGCGCGCGCTCATCGCTGCTGAACGAGCCTCCGACCGCGATTCCCCCGCTGACTGCTGGTGATATTGCCCAAGGCCTTGCTGGCCGCCGCACCATGGGAGCTCTCTATGCGACGCAGGGCGGTGTGCCTGCCTCCTCCGGCGAAGAGGTGGTACCTCGCAAGCTGTTCGTATGGGGCACAGGCGAGGCAGGCCAGCTGTCCCTGGGCGGTCCTGATGACGATAATATCAACAAGCTGACCAAGCCGAAGCCGTTCGGGAACAAGGCCCTGTCGCAACAGACGGATGCTGGCGAGCTGGGTGTAGGCGGCGCGACGATGATTGCCGCGGGCGGTATGCACTCGCTCGTCGTCGATGCGCATGGACGCATCTTGTCGTGCGGTAGCGACGACCACGGAACACTCGGTCGTCAATATCGCGAATCGTCCGACGAGTCGGAGGACGACTTCTACTATGTGCTCCGCCCGGTGGATGGCGTGTCGCCCACGGGCAAGGGTGTGCCTGCACCCGAGAACGGCCAAGTCCTGCGATTCCATGCAACGCGCGTGGCAGCATCGGATGGCTGCAGTGTTGCTCTTGATGCTGAAGGCCGGCTTGTGGCCTGGGGCCATTTTAAGGATGGCGAGGGCAAGGTGTGCTTCGCTGATACCGACGAGGACGGCGCGCCCAAGGAGCAGTGGTTCCCCTCACCGATCTCCGCACTCGATCACGAGCGCTTTGCACAGGTCGCTTGTGGCGAGAACCACATTTTGGCACTGACGCTTGATGGCCGTGTGTACTCGTGGGGCCTGAACAGTATGTCGCAGTTGGGCCGGTTTGCCAATCTGTACCATATTCGCGCGCGCTTTGCCAAGCGTGATCCACCGGCCAGCATGATCCTCACGCCCGGCGTGATCGCTGAGCTGAAAAACATTGTGCACATTGCCTGTGGTTTGAATGCCAGCTTTGCGGTCGACGCTGATGGTCGCGTGTTTGCCTGGGGTCTCAATACCCGTGGGCAAACCGGCACAGGCCTCAAGAAGGACAAGGTGACGCGCCCTACGCGGGTCAAGGCGCTGGAGCCTGCGCACCTTGACGGTGCGCGCGTCGTGCAGATTGCTGGCGGTGAATTCCACACGGCCTTTTTGCTGTCCAACGGGCAAGTGTGGATCTGTGGTGATGGCGACGAGGGCAAGCTGGGGCTGCCGAGCACGCACTCGGCAATGGCGTCGACGGATGGAGCGCCTGCGCAGCTTCGCACGCCCGTCCACGTTCCCATGCCCATGCCGCCCAGCTACGCGAGCGACTCGGCCAAGACGGCCGAGGGCGGTACGCGTGTGATTGGTATCGCCGCGGGCATGCGCTTTACGTTTGCCTTGGCGGCCGAGGGCACACTCTACTCGTGGGGTACTACGTCCGATGAGGCCATGGGCCAGCCTGCCGATGTGTGGGGCGAGGATCAGAGCAAGGACACACCGACGGCCGTTCCAATGCCGGGTGAACCGGGGGCGTGGGCCATCGCGGCGGTGGCCACGGCCGGCCAGCACTCGCTGGCTCTGGCGGTGCGCGCGCCGTGAAGTTTCGGCCATCGTGCCCGATCCCGAGGATCACGCCCGATCTAAACCAGGCCGCCCGCTTCGACTGGTCGGCGTGAGGTCGTGGCCGTGGTACAGCGCGTACAGCACCCTTATCCGCGATCTTGTGTAGCTATGCTAGTTCGTACACGTCTGCTTTTCGCTCGTACACACGCGAGAAACGGCGGCCCGGGAGGGACGGCGCGGCCGTGCCTCCACGCGACGCGTGCAGGTGTTGGTGCCTTGCCCGATTTGGGTGCGCTAATTCTAGACGCGGTGGAATCAATTTTCACCGCGCAGGACCCCGCGTGGGCCAGCGGCCCCAAACAGGATGAGCCCAATGGATAGGCGGCCTTTCCTCTTAGCTCCACCACAGAGGCCTTGTGAACCAGATTGCCATGGCCCCTTCTGCAGTCTCCGTGAAGGGCCCGACGAAGAAGTCGGCGACGAAGAAGACTACACATATGACGTATGAGGATATGATCAAGGAGGCCATTTTGGCTCACGGAGACGAGGCTCGTTTGGGCCTGGGTCGTCCGACCATCAAAAAATATATCCTTGCAAAGCACCCTGGCACGGGACGGCTGCCGCTGGCCTCGTTCAACACCCACTTTAACCAGGCGATCACACGTGGCGAGGAGAAGGGCGTGTTTTTGCTGCCGAAAGGCGTGAGCGGCAAGGTAAAGGTATCTGCCAAGGCTAAGCCGGCCGCGAAGCCGGTGGCCAAGACTACCAAGGTGGCCGCTAAACCCGCTGCAAAGAAGATGACGAAGGCGGCTGCCAAACCTGCAACCAAGAAGGCGACCAAGGCGACTGCTAAGCCTGCTGCAAAGGTGACCAAGGCGGCTGCCAAGCCTACTACCAAGAAGGTGACCAAGGCGGCTACGAAGAAAGCGACCAAAGCTTCTCCCAAGAAGGCTGCGCCCAAAAGGGCCTCATCGGCCAAGGCATCGACCGCGGCGAAGATGAGCACGGCTGTGAAGAAATCGGCCTCGAAGGCGGCTGCTACAAAGAAGGCACCGGCCAAGAAGACCACCACTACGAAGGCGTCGACCAAATCGAAGAAGTGATTGTGCTATGAGTGATATGTATTGTAGCTAGAACCGGATGGGCTGGGCGTTGGGCTCTATGGGTCGTGCGGCACCGCGACCCTCCCACGTGATGCGCACGTGAGTAGGAAGGAAGGCGGCCTCCCTCGCCGCTGCGGCTTGCCAGTGCATGCCGATTGGGCGTTGGGCCGCATTGCGATTTGCCTTGCCTGTTCGACCTCGACCTGTGCTCCGTGCTGTGCATCCAACTGCTGCATCCTATATCCATATGAGTCAGCCACCCAGTGCTCCGCCTCCTGCGGAGGTGACGCTAGCGGGCGCCGAGGGCCCCTCCAAGTCGGCGCAGAAGAAAGCCGCCAAGCTTGCTGAGAAGCAGGCCAAGGCTGCTGCAAAGAATGCGCTGAAGGCCGAAAAAGGCCCTGCGCCGGCCACGGGGGGTGCCAAGAAGGAGAAGGTGAAGAAGGAGGTGAAGGAGGAGCCCGCGTGGGTGGACCCTACCGTGCCTGGCGAGAAGAAGGACCTATCGGCGCCGATGGAGAGTGGCTACCATCCGCTGCACGTCGAGTCATCCTGGTACGCGTGGTGGGAGAAGAAGGGCTTCTTCACGCCCACGCCGCCGAGTGACGAAGCGCCGTGGGACCCCGCGAAGACGTTTGTGATCCCGCTGCCCCCGCCGAATGTGACGGGCGTGCTGCACATTGGCCACGCGCTGACGATCTCGATCCAGGATGCGCTCATGCGCTTCTACCGCATGAAGGGCTACCGCACGGCGTACGTGCCGGGCTACGACCATGCAGGTATCTCGACGCAGACAGTCGTGGAGAAGCGCCTGGCGAAGCAGGAGGGCAAGTCGCGCTACGACTATGGGCGCGAGGCGTTCGTCGAGAAGGTGTTCCAGTGGAAGGACGAGTACCAGCGCCGCATCGGCCTCCAAATGCGCCGCTTGGGCGCGAGCTTTGACTTTTCGCGCGAGGCGTTCACGATGGACCCTACACGCAGCGAGGCGGTGACGGAGAACTTCTGCCGTTTGTTCGAGGATGGCATTCTGTACCGTGAGAACCGCCTGGTGAACTGGTGTGTATACCTGAACACGACGCTGTCGAACTTGGAGGTCGTGCAGAAGACGCTGCCCGGGCGCACGCTGATGAACGTGCCGGGCTACCCGCCGAACGAGCGCATCGAGTTTGGTGTCATTGTCTCGTTCGTCTACCGCGTCGTGGACTCGGACGAGTCGATCATTGTGGCGACGACGCGTCCTGAGACGATCCTGGGTGACACAGCTGTGGCGGTGCACCCCGACGACGAGCGGTACAAGCATCTGCACGGCAAGAAGCTGCAGCACCCCTTCCTGGCTGACCGCCAGATCCCGATTGTGACCGACTCGATCGTCGTGGACATGTCGTTCGGCACGGGTGCCGTGAAGATCACGCCTGCGCACGACCCGAACGACTACGAGGTCGGCAAGCGCCATGGCCTGCCGTTCATCAACATCCTGAACGATGACGGCACCCTGAACGAGAATGCAGGCGAGTTTGCCGGCATGAAGCGCTTCAGTGCGCGCCGCGCGGTCGTCGAGGCGCTCAAGGCGCGTGGCCTGTACGTCGAGACGAAGGACAACCCCATGGTGGTCCCCGTGTGCGAGCGTTCGGGCGACGTGATTGAGCCAGTGATGAAGCCGCAGTGGTGGGTGAACTGCAAGCCGCTCGCGGAGGCGGCCGTCGCCAAGGTCCAGAGCGAGGACATGATCATTGAGCCGCCGCAGAGCAAGCGCGAGTTCTTCCGCTGGATGGAGAACATCCAGGACTGGTGCGTGAGTCGCCAGCTGTGGTGGGGCCACCGGTGCCCCGCCTACTTCGTCGACATTGACGGCGAGACACAGGACCCCGCGGAGAGCCGCTGGTGGGTCGTCGGGCGCACGCTGGCGCAGGCGGACGGGCGCGCGGCCAAGCTCGCGGCGGGCCGCCCCTACACACTGAAGCAGGACGAGGATGTGCTGGATACGTGGTTCTCGTCGGGCCTGTGGCCGTTCTCGACGCTCGGCTGGCCGAAGGCGTCCGACGACATGCGCTACTACTACCCCACATCGATGCTCGAGACCGGCTGGGACATTTTGTTCTTCTGGGTTGCGCGCATGATCATGCTGGGTGTGTACCACACGGGCCAGCTGCCGTTCAAGGAGGTGTTCTGCCACGCCATGGTGCGCGACGCGCACGGCCGCAAGATGAGCAAGTCGCTCGGCAACGTCATCGACCCGATCGATGTGATCGAGGGCATCTCGCTCGAGGGCCTGCAGCAGCGTCTGCGCGAGGGCAACTTGGACGAGAAGGAGATCGCCAAGGCGGCCGCCGGGCAGAAGAAGGACTACCCAAAGGGCATTCCCCAGTGCGGCACGGATGCGCTGCGCTTCACGCTGTGCGCGTACACCGCGGCCGGGCGCGACATCAACCTGGACATTTTGCGCGTGGAAGGCTACCGCAAATTCTGCAACAAGCTGTGGAATGCCACGCGCTTTGCGCTGCTCAAGCTCCAGGACGGCTTCCAGCCGCTCACACTGGACGCGCAGGACGCCTTTGCGCCGCAGAGTCTCGTGGAGAAGTGGATCCTGCACCGCCTCAACGTCACGGCGCGCCAGCTGAACAGCGACATGGAGTCGCGCTCGTTCATGAGCGCCACGACGTGCATCTACAACTTCTGGCTGTACGACCTGTGCGACGTGTACATTGAGGCCATCAAGCCCATCACCGACCCCAGCGCCGAGCCCGCGGCGCGCGCGTCTGCGCAGCACACGCTGTATGCGTGCCTCGACGCCGGCCTCAAGATGCTCCATCCGTTCATGCCCTTCGTCACCGAGGAGCTGTGGCACCGCCTGCCGAGCCGCCCCGGCGAGACGAGCGAGACGATTGCGCACGCGCGTTTCCCGACGTGGAACGACACGCACGACTTTGGCGCGCAGGCGGCACAGTTCGAGGACGTGTTTGCATCCGTACGCGCGATCCGTGGCCTCGCGGCCGACTATGGCCTCACGTCTCAGATCCAGGCGTATATCGAGGCGCCCGACGCGGCGGTGCGCGCCATGCTGTCGTCGCAGCAGAGCGTCATGCACACGCTCATCAAGGGCTGCGAGAGCGTCGCGTGCGTGGCACAGGCCTCCGATGTGCCGGCCGGCTGCGTCGTCGCCAGTGTCTCAGCGTCGATCCAGGCCCACCTGCTCGTGCGCGGCCTCGTGGACATTGACCAGGAGCTGAGCAAGCTCGCCAAGAAGCTCGCGCTCAACGAGACACAGCTCCAGCGCACCACGGCGCTCACGCAAAAGCCAGACTGGGCCAAGACACCCGAGGACGTGCGTGCAACGACCGAACAGCGCCTGCACGACCTCGAGGGCGAGAAGGCCGCGCTTATGCAGGCCCAGGCCAACTTTGAGCACCTCCGTAGCGCGTAGGTGCCCGATCCTCGATCGGGCTTTTTTTCCCTTACGCATGCGCCACTTGTCGACGCTGGCGTGGCAGACGCTGAGTGCGCCGGCGCAGCCGTGGCACGCCGTCGTCGCCGATGTCGAGGCGAACGATGCCGCATACGTGGCGCGCATCGAGCATGGCAGCTCCACTTCGCTCACGCTCGCGCGCGTGTGTATCGCTAGCCCAGCGGACGAGCTCGCGACGCTCTCTGTGGCGCCAGCACCCCCGGGCGTGCCGCCGCTGCCTGACCTGCGCCTCCTCTCCGATGGCGGAGACAGCGTGCATCACGCGCCTGCGTTGTGTGTGATCACGGGCGGCGGCGATATGGTCCTGCAGCCAGTCGGTGACGACGCTGGCCCTGCTGACGTCGTCGGCTCGGTCGATGCCGGCATCCTCGCAGCCGCATGGAGTCCCGACGAAGACCTCCTTGTGCTGATTACCGGCGGCGCGACGCCGCGCCTCTTGCTCATGACGCGCCATTGGGACGTGGTCCATGAGGCGCCGCTCGCCACCGACGACTTTGGCGCCGAGGCCCCCGTCAATGTGGGCTGGGGCTCCAAGTCCACCCAGTTTCACGGCTCCGAAGGCAAGCAGGCGGCGATGGCCGCGGCACAGGCACCGGCCGCCGGCGACCCGCGCGGTCCCCTCGTGCCCGACGACGACGGCCTGCCGCGCGTGTCGTGGCGCGCCGACGGAGCCTACTTTGTCGTGTCGAGCGCGGAGCCAAGCGCCGACGGCGCGCACCAGCACCGCCTCCTCCGCATCTACACGCGCGCCGGCGTGCTCAGTGCCACGTCCGATCCGTCTGTGCGTGGGATCTCGCACGTTCTGGCCGTCCGCCCGACCGGCAACCTCATCGCCACGTCGCAGCGCATGGGCGGTCCGTATGCGCCCGGGCGCACGGGGCGGCACGACATTGTGTTTTTTGAGCGCAACGGCTTGCGGCATGGCGAATTCTCCCTGCGCGAGGACGCGGCGAGCATGCCCGACGTGCCGCTCGCACCGTCCGTGCCGCCGCTGGGTCCGTGGGTCAGGGAGCGCACAATTGAGCGCCTCGCATGGAACGCCGACGGCACTATCCTCGCCGTACACCTGCGCGGCGCCACGCATGTGCTGCAGCTGTGGACGACCGGCAACTACCACTGGTACCTGAAACACGAGGCCGAGTACGACGTGGTGCACGATATTGCGTGGCACCCCGAGCAGCCGCTCACCCTGCTCGTCGCGCACACCTCCGTCGAGCTACGCACGTTTTGGCTCGAGACGCCGTGCTCGCGTGGCCTGCCGCCGCACGATGCGGCGTGTGCGGCCGTCGTCGATGGGGCACACGTACTGCTCACGCCCTTCCGCTGGCACAATGTGCCGCCGCCTATGTGCGCGGTCGCTCTGGCCGATTCGCCAACGCCCGCGGCACCTGCTACACCCGTGCATGTCGCCTGGACTACGTACGCGGCCGACGGCGCGACCACGGACCTGCTCGCGCTCCTGTACGCAGGCGGCCATGTGCATGTGTGGGCGCTCGAGTATGGCCCGCTCGCCACGTCGCAGCGCCCCCGCCCAGCGCTCATGCCGCGCCGCGTGGCGACGTGCACGCTGCCGGATGCTGCGCGTGCCATTCAGGTGGCCCTGACGGTAAGCGACACGCGCCTGACGGTCGCTGCGCTTGTGCCGGATGCACAGGATCCCGCGCTCGTGCTTGCCGCGCTGCCGTGGCCCGCCGCCAGCGGCATCTCCCAGGTGCAGCGCGTGCTGCTGAGCCCGGCTACCGCATGGCGTCTTGTCTCTGTGGCTGGCACCGCCTCGTTCGCCGTGCACGACAGCCACGGGTATGTTGCGATGCATTCTCTCGAGGCCGCGCCGCTCGAGCTCGAACCTCTTGCCGCCTTCTGCCCGACGCTCTTTGTGGTACGCGCCGACGCCGCCGTGCCGTTCGTTCCGATCGGCCTCGCGCCGCATGGGCCGGTGCTGACGCCTGAGCGGGTGCTGGCGAAGGAGGCTACATCGCTCACGCTGACGCACCGCGTGGCGATATGGACGACGCCATCGCACACGGCGCAGTTCCTCCCCCTCGCCGCACTCTCTGGCACCACGCAGATGCTCGAGCTGGGCCGCCGCGTCGAGCGTGGCAGTCGCATCGTGACGACCGTGCCGAGTGCGATGGCGCTCGTCCTACAGATGCCGCGCGGCAACCTCGAGACGGTGTACCCGCGGCCGCTCGTGCTCGATGTGATTCGCGCGCACCTGGATGCCCAGGCATACGGCGAGGCGCTGCGCATCAGCCGTGCACACCGCGTGGACCTAAACCTACTGCACGACCATGCGCCGGCCGTGTTCCTTGCGGACGTGCCGCGCGTGCTCGCGCAAATCGAGCACCCGGACCACATCAACCTGCTGCTCTCGAGCCTGCGCAACGAGGATGTGACGGCGACGCTGTACCGAGCGTGGGAGCCTACCGCACCGGCGGCCGCCGCCGACCTCTCGACCAAGGTGAATCGTGTGTGTGCGGCGTTCCTTGCGGCGCTCACCGCGGCCGACGAGCGGCGGTACCTCTCGTCGATCCTGACCGCGCACGTGCGGCAGGTGCCGCCGGACCTGGAGGGCGGCCTTGCAGTGCTGCGCAAATACCTGGCCATGGATGCGGCGCTCGCTGACGAGGCGTGCAAGTACATCATCTTCCTGGTGCCGGCTGACGAGCTGTACAAGGTCGCGCTCGGCATGTACGACCTGGAGCTGGCGCTGCAGATTGCGCAGCATTCGCCGCGTGACCCGCGCGAGTACGTGCCGTTCCTGCGCGAGCTGCGTGCCAAGACGCCGCCGGCGTACCAGCGCTTTTTCATCGACGACCATCTTGGACGGCACGGCAAGGCCCTGCGCTCGCTCGCACTCGCCGGCGAGTCGTATGCGGACGAGGCGCTGGCGTACATGGTCCAACACAAGATCTACCGCGAGGGCCTCGCGGCTTGGGCGCATACGCCCCGCCTGCCCCAGGTGTACGGGCTCTTTGGCGACTATCTCAGTGCGCACCAGCGGCCTGCTGAGGCGGCCACCGCGTTCCAACTCGCGCACCGCCCAGGGGACGCGCTTCGTGCGTTCCGCGAGGCGGATCAGTGGGCACAGGCTCTGACAGTGGCGCTGGAGATGCAGCTTCCGCGTGCCGAGCTCGTGCAGCTTGCGCACGACATGTCGGAGCAGCTCGAGGAGCAGCACAAGTACGAGGCCGCCGCGCGCGTCCTACTCCAGGTGCAGGAGGCCGAGTCGGGCATTGCGCTGCTGTGTCGCGCGCATGCCTTCGTCGACGCGCAGCTGGCGTGTGCGGCGCAGGGCCGTCACGACCTGCTCGAGACGCACGTGGCGCCTGCCGCGCTCGAGGCGCACACGACGCTCATTGAGGAGGCCGACGATATGGCATCCCAGCTGGAACGGCAGGTCCAGCGCCTCGCCGAGCTGGACGCCAAGCGCACCGAGGATCCGAGCGCCTTCTACGTCGACGAGGACCATGCGCCGGCGCCCGACCATGTGGACGTGATGAGCGATGTTTCGCAGCTCACGCAGTTCACACGCTACACCGCTGCGACGAGTCTCGCCCCGAGTCTGTCGACGCTCTCGCTCGGTTCCAAGCGCACATCGCGCCAAAAGTCGCAGGCCAAGAAAGAGGCCAAGAAAAAGCTCACGGGCCGCAAAGGCAGTGTATACGAAGAGGGCTACCTGCACGACTCGCTGCAAAAGCTGCTTGGCACACGCCTTAACGCGCTGCAGCGCGACGTGGCACGGCTGCTCCCGGTCCTCATCACACTCGGAGAGCGCGCACGCGCAGCGGCGCAGGCGCTCCAGGCCCGGCTGCTCGCCCTCGAGGCACAGGCGGCACAGGCTGCGTCGGAGCTAGAGGCGCGTGCGGCCGCACAGGAACGCGATCGCGGCGAGGCGACGCAGGCACTCGCTGCACAGATCCTCCAACTTGCGCATGCTCCAGGCGCAGGGGAGGCCGCCGGCACCGCCCTCGAGGCGCTTTGGGCATGGCGCCACGCTGCCGCACGACCCCAGCGCCCAGCGCCTAGCGTCTCGTCCGAACCGTGGAAGCTGCACCTGCTTGAGCCGCCGCCGCCCATGTAGTCTGACTAAACGCCAGGCACGGCGCCAGGCACCGGTCCGCCCCCGCGTTGCCAAGCCCCATGTTCAGTAAACTGCGTCAGCTCGGCGCGAACCACACTAGTAGCACCAAACAGGAGGGCGATGCGCTCCCGGGTTTCTACACGTTCCAGAGCCATTTTGGGTCGGTGTCGCTGCATCGCTCGGACTCCCTACGTCTGATCGGATTTCCCGATGAAGTGTTGCCGTCCGTGCGTGGCGTGATCCAGCAGTCGTGGCCCAAGGGCGTGCGTAGTGAAGGGCTTTACGGAGGGTCGTACGAATTTCGCATGCATGGCTATCCGTGGTTTGGCAAAGGCCTCGAGGGCGTAGCGGCGCGGCGTCTGATCCGCAACCTGCTGGCGATGCTGTGCAGCCTTGGCTGGGTCATGACGATATCGATGGATGTCAGCAAGAAGACAGAAGACAAAGACTCGATGATATTTCGGCACCAGTCGCCGCCGCCGCCGCAGTGTGAGTGGATCAGCGTGTCGTTTTCAAGTTGGGACAAGATCCGGCTGTACGATGCGCCGTCCGAGCTGATTACGGCACTGACGCAGGACTTGAGGCCAGTGCTCTCGCCAGCCACCGCCTTTCAGCACAGCCCCGGTGTGGCCGAGCTTCGGTGCGTCGGCGCGCCATGGTTCGCCAACGGCAAGGCCACTATGATGTCGCGCCAAATCGCCCTGCAAATCGTCATGACATTCGAGCAGCATGGCTTTTCCGTGTACGCCTCTATTGACCAGAAACTCAACATCGATAATAGGCGCCAAGGGCATCCCACGTTCTCCGAGACGGACACCTGGCATGCGTGCCGGCCCGTCGACTGGCGCCCTGGAATGCCCGTCTTCCACAAATAGTCTATAATTTCGCAAACGACGGCGTACTCTTCGACATGGCCGCACCCATCGCCTCAGGCAAGTCGTCGGACTGTAGAAGCGCCGCGTTCAGGTACTGCATAAACCGCAGGCCCTCCTCGACAGAGTGGTCACGGCCATGCACGAGCGCCATCTTGGTGCCGACCACGGCCACGGGCGAGAGCGACGCGATTCGCTGCGCCGTCGCCACAGCGCCCTGGAGCGCAGCGTCGAACGTGGGAAACACGCGACTCACAAAGCCGACCTCGCGCGCTTCGTCCGCAGAAAAGTCACGCGCGGTCAGCGCCAGCTCGCGTGCGAGCGAGTCGTTGCCAACCACCTTGGGGAAGCGCTGCAGCGTGCCAATATCGGCTGCAAGCCCAACGGCTGCCTCGCGGATCGAGAATCGCGCATCCTGCACAGTGTACCGAATATCAGTCGTGCTGAGAATATCAATCGCAAGACCAATACAGTGGCTGTGCGACACGGCAATCACGGGTCTCTCACACTTTTCCACCGAGGTAATAGCCGCTTGGAATCGCTCAATCAACTCTCGGAACAAAAAGGCACGGCGGGCGACATCGGTGCCCTTCTCATTCGCCTCCATCAGTACAGGATCGCGCACTGCGTAAGTAGCGTATACGCACAGTCCAGACCACCCGTGAAACACTTGCCCTCGCCGTAGAGGACCACCGCACGCACGTCGCCATCACCGCGAAGGTGCGAAAAGATGCGGTGCATCTCCGTCCACATGGGCACATGGAAGGCATTCACTGGCGGGCGATTGAAGGATACACCCAGCACATGATCGACAAGCCACTGCAAGCGAAAATACTGTGGCTTCAAGCCCTGGTACAGCATAAACTTCATGACACGAACGTTCACCGGGACGCCAGTGCGGGGAACTCGCGCCTGACTAAGCAAATATGCGGAGGATCTATGGAGCACAGCTATTGTATCAACCTTGGACACAGTACTTGCTCTTGGACCGAAAATAGGGGCCATAGCGGTAGAGCAAGAACGGCGATGGGATACCAATCACAGCGGTAATCAAGGCTAAGAGGGACAGGGACCAGCCGATATCGAGGTGATCGAACATGGCATTGGAAAAGAGCAAAAAAATGAACGCAAGAAGAGAGCGCATGGCCGTCGCTGCACTGATCGCCGAGGCAGCATAGATGGTCATCAAGTCGGCCAGGTACATCTGTACTTGCAGAATACTGCCACTAACGGCACCACCGACGAAGAAAAGACCGATATCGGGCGCAATCCAAACTTGACGGTACTGCGCTGTCCACCCGAACAAGATCATAGCAGCAGGAAGCACAAACACCGTGATCATCATCAGGGGCAGCTTGTACTCTGGACGGCGCAGGCCATGCTTTTTCGACAGACGTTTATACAGATGGTCGACGAGCCAGCCGCCCAGCTGACAACAAATGACGGAGCCCAAGCCCAAAGATATATTCTGCAGGGCAGAGATACCAGGCCGGTAATTGTATTTGGAACCAAAGACACGTGGGATCGATACAATACACAAGTAGAAACACGCATAAATCACGGACAGGTATAGCGTGGGTAACAATACAGCGATTTCAGTGCACACAAAGATGACAGGGCGCAGCAAAAAGCGCTTCAACTTTTGCTTAACAGTCTCCGACTGGACCTCAAAGGTGGAATAGTACCTGTTGTCGCCTGTCTCCTTTCGAATCTTCTTCGCCTTGAGAATCAAAATGCGCGGTGCATATGTTTCGGGCGCAAAAATGAAGCCAACAACCAGAGTAATGGCTGTGAGGAACGTGCCTGTCCAAAAGATCCAGCGCCACTTGTCGTTGCCCCAGCCCTGGATGATCCAGCCGCCGACAAGCGGACCAATGCATGGTCCTAGGACAGGAGCAATCGTATAGATAGCCATACTCATACCTCGTTCGTGCACCTCAAACATATCTGACACAGCGCCACCTCCCATGGGGAGAATGGCGCCGCTAAACATACCGGAAAAGAAACGCAGCGCAAGCAGCTGAGTCGACGTGGTTGCCACCGCACACCCAATATTGAAGCAAATGAATACAATGCTGCATGTCAGTACCACAAGGCGCCGCCCGAGCGCTTCGCTCATTGGCGCCGAGAAGAGAGGGCCCACAAAGAAAGCCAGCATATACAGACCCACGAGCAAGTTCTGCTCGAGCTTAGTGTCAACACCCAGGTCCTGACCGATGGCCTCCGCAGCAGGGGACACCATAGACGATGCGTAGGGCCCTGTCAGAGAGAATAAAGCATAGACCAAAAGCACGAAGGTGCGATACTTGAACGACCAGTTGCGTGGGTTGTCCTGATGCGAGTCGGTCGACTCAAACGTGACCACAAACGTTTGCTCAGTGGATTTGGCTGGCTCATCCCTCGGTATAGGCTCAGATCGTGTGCGACTGCTCTTCCGTGTTTGAAGGCTCCCTCCTGTAATACGCTCCAGATTGTACATGTCGGGAGCATTCCGATCGCCTATGTCCTCCGCATACGCCACATTGTCTGGCAATGCCTCGCGTGCGCGTGCAAGACGGTATTCAAATCGAGCACCTTCTTCTGCATCTTCGTCAGCATAGCGATCAAAGGCATCGTGCATGTCTGTCAAAGCACGCATAATGGGATTTCCCGTGCTGCCTCCTTCGTGGTGGGGTATCAATCTGCCTTGGGGCACCTCCGTTGCTGTCTCAGTAGCCCACCCATCGACCAGGGCAGGTGCAGGTTGAGAGCCACGGCGGATGTAATGCACGGGATGGTATCGGGAGGCTAGCTCGTCGGTAGGAGATACGCCACTGGCGAAGAGACCATTGGGTCGGGACTTGCTGCTCATGTTTGACCACCGCCGAGGACCCCGTCTAGGCGGTGGTGATCTCACGCGTGGATTTTCAATGTCCTGATCTCCATCAGAGATCGCCTGACCCTCCGCTTCGCTATCAGTGAGAGTCATGCACGCAACGGTTTCACGCGTCACGAGCAGATTATTTGACGTCTTTGCTAGCACAGGCCGCGGCCTTACGCTTACGTGAGAATTGCCTCGCACAGAGTGGAGGTGCCCCGACGGGGCAGCGAGTTCCATAGCTGTCTCCAACCGGTAAACCTCCGCCCGACGACTCGGACTGACGATGACGCCGATGCCCGGCCTTTGTGGTCTGTGCCGCACTGCAGTCCTGGGACCAGCTCGCATAGGGGCATCCGGATATGGATCTATGAAGCGGGGTTTTTCAAGGTCCGCCTACATGGGTGGACCTACCCGTCTCCGTTCCCCGCCTCCGCCCCCGCGATATCCGCCTACCCGGAGTCCCGAGCCGATTGTATTTGATGAGCCTGCCGTACCCTTCCCACACCGCACAGCGAATCAGCAAGCTGCATTCAAGAGGTACTCCCGTATGGCTATGTACGTTGGTGGAATGGCAATCGTCTTGGGAGGCACCATCTACGTTGGCTGGCACTCACTGGATGCTGACGAGCGTTCAAGCACGAGTTCGAGCCTTTCTCACATTGAGACGCTGTATTCTGACTTGAAAAGTGGGATTTCTGAGTCGCAGCCTGCGCAGACGGCGCAGTTTATGCTGCTATCACTAAGGCGGTCAACGACTATCATCAAGGCAGTCGCCTTGTGTGTGTGGGACTACCGTCGCACACTGAATGCCAAATACGCTTCTAAGGACGATGAAGAGGAGAGCCTTCGTAAATGCCACTTGCGCTCGGCCCAGCGTCTGCTGGTCGCACTACAGACGAATGGTGGCTTGTACATCAAGCTGGGACAGCACATGTCCTCGGTGATCCTGCTGCCGCCTGAGTGGACCACGACCTTGCGCCCTCTGCAGGACCAGAACGAGCCAACACCTTTGCCAGAGCTTGAAGCTCTGTTCCATGAAGAGACTGGTAAGACCTTTGACGAGGCCTTTTCGTGGATGGACGAGAAGCCTCTGGGTGTGGCTTCGCTTGCGCAGGTGCACAAGGCGCGCGACCGTGAGACGGGTCAGATGTTGGCGGTCAAAATGCTGCACCCCAACGTGGAGCGCTTCTCGCAGGTGGATATGCGCATGGTCACCATTCTTGTCCACTGGGTCAAGCGCGTATTCCCCGATTTTGCCTTTGACTGGCTTGCGGACGAAATGAACAAGAACATGCCTCTTGAACTAGACTTCCGCCACGAAGCAGGGAACTCGTCGCGCGCGCAGCGCGATTTTGAGCAGTACAAGAACACATGTGTGGCCTTCCCTAAGGTGCCGTGGGTGTATCGGCGTGTGATGGCAATGGAGTTCGTCGAGGGCTCGCGACCGGACAACCTGACCTACCTGGCCGAACACAAGATTGACCGGAACCGAGTTTCACAGGAACTGTCGCGCATTTTTGCCCAGATGCTCTACATGCACGGCTTTTTCCATGCAGACCCACACGGCGGCAACGTGCTCATCCGCCCGCGTCAGCCTGGTTCACGCTCTAGCGAAAACTTTGAGATTGTGTTGCTTGACCACGGGCTGTACTTTGCCATCGATGAGGAATTACGCTCCAATTACGCACGCTTCTGGCTGGCGCTGCTCTCGCGGACGACGCCCCATGTTACGCGTGAGCGGCGTAAGTACGCCAAGCTGGTGGGCAACATTGGTGACGATTTGTACCCGGTCCTTGAAAGTGCGATTACGGGCCGATCCGGCCTCGAGGGCAGTGACGAAAACAACCCTAGGGGTATCCAAGGTCGCGAGCGTATGTCCTCTTTGTTGGACCTCGACTCTAGTGTGACGATGTCCAAGGAGGAGCAGGAACATATCCGTAAGACTGTTATGGAGAAAGAAGGAATCTTGTTGAATGTGATGGAGCTCTTGCGTCGTGTACCGCGCCCTCTGCTGATGGTCCTTAAGATAAATGACCTCACACGGTCTTTGGATGCCAACTTACATACAACCCATGGACCTGCACGTCCATTTATCATTACAGCTCGCTACTGCGCACTAGCTGCTCGCAAGAACGATAAGGAGAAGTTGACGGCACGTCGAAAAGCTGAAGGGTTTTCTTTGGTGCTGTTCGGTGATATTCTCTGGTCGTGGTGGAACTATGTGTATTTCTACGATGGCCTCATGTTCCTCGAGGGTCTCTCCAACGTCCGTGCGCGCATCGGGAAGTTCGCATTGTACGTGAGCACGATCCTGCGCCATGGCTTTGATACCCAGGCTGCACACATGGCCGTGAGCGGTATTGCAGACCAGGAGAAAACACAGACGGCCGAGCGCCAAGCCCGACAACAGGCCATGGAGGCCCTAGAGGCTGACTAGAATGCCGCCCTCGGCGGAATCACAGCCTGCCTAGGTACATACCATCTCACATACTACATTACATTACTAGGTTGCGCGGATGCGCTCGATCATAGCTCGGCGCACCTGTTTAATAAAGGCATACACGTCGCCTGAGGCGTTGACTTGGCGGACAAGCGTACGGATCGTTGCTCCAGGCAGGATCGGATCACATTTCGCCACGGCATACTCGGACTTGGACACGTCCAGCGACACAGTGTACGCACGGTCGGGGTCGTCCTCTGATAAAAGGGAAAAGCGGATATCAATTAGCCCCTCTCGGAGGGAAGGTTGGATCACGCAGCCCGTCAGATGCTGCAGTTGCGCCAATTCCGGCGCATTCCGCTCAACTTGCTCACGCAGACGCTCCATCAGTTGCTGCTTGTGACGGGAACGCGCCTCCATTTGAGCGCGTACTTCTGCTACTTCACTCTGAAGGCTCACTGTGCGTTGTGAAAGGGTGGCTCGCTGCGCATGTAATTCCTGTACGCTGGCACGCAGCTTGGCGTCGGCATCGCGCTCGGAGGCCACACCTATTGTGAGCATATCGTCGACGTACTTTCCCACAGTTCCTTTTGTGCATGCTTGGTTGCTTCACATTCACGCTCAAGCTCCCTGATGCGCGCATGATCCTCCACGCGCTGACCATCCGCGGTCATACGCTGCTCTTCACAAGCAGCTATAGTCGACTGGACATAGTCGTCGAAGCGGCGCGTGAAGGACTGAATACTTGAATCGAGTTCGGAAAAGTCCAGCACGCCTGTGGGAACACTCGAAGTGTCCCCAGCCTCGTCCGCTTCTGACTTCATGGAGCGTGGCGCCCGCACCGTGCTCGTGCAAATGCGTGCACAGATCCTGGCGCGACGAGGCACTGGTCGCTTGTTGCCATCACGTGTATGTCGCGATAGAGCTCGTTGTCACGTGGGTGGAGTCCGAAGTGACACAAACACTCGTGGCTCCAGCGCCGCGGACACGCATGCCGCCGGTGATGCTCAACGAGATGTCCAAAGAGAATACACCTAGAGACGCAGTTAAAGGACAGGCTTACACAAAGGCAGCTTCTGTGGTGTCATCAAATGCGTCTCCACAACCATATCTGCGCCGCCTTCAGGCCACCAACCCGGGGGCAGGATTGTCCCCCACGGCCAGCCCGCGAGGCAAAACCGAGGGTGTACGAGCAGATGCAAAGAATGCATCAGCAGGCATGACTCGCTCTTCGTTCCACAGCCTTAACCCAATGGACACGCTCCAGCCATGGGAAAAAGAGATTGTGCAGTCGCAAGAGGTGCAACGGAAAGCGACCCTGGCCCAGATGTACTTTTTAAACTACTACTTTGATTCTCTCCGCTATTTGTCTGACAGACGTGAGCGACTGAACCAGTTTAATGAGGGGATGAAGCAGAAAGGTCTGTATCCGCCAGAGGACGATCTCGAGCAAACTATGCAGTCGCTTTCCCTGGGACAACCCGCTCAGACGCGGCCTATGACACGCTCTACCGCGAGCATGAACACGCGAGCAGCAACATATGAACATGAGCGCGCTAAGCATATGGCAAAGGAGCGCGACATGCTGCGTCAGCGGCGGGCCAAGTTGCGCCTACAGCACTTTCATATCGTTACCCAGGTTGGTCAAGGTGGCTATGGTGAAGTCTTTCTCGCTCGCAAGCGCGATACAGGTGAGCTGTGTGCGCTGAAGCGCCTACGAAAGCGGGTGCTGGTGAAAATGGACGAGGTTCGCCACGTTCTGACGGAGCGCGATATCCTCACGGCCACTCGCTCTCCCTGGCTGGTGCGACTTCTTTATGCATTCCAAGATGAGACACATGTTTTCTTGGCGATGGTGCGTATTTTATGCTAATGTGATCAGGAATATGTGCCTGGTGGTGATTTTCGTACCTTGCTCAACAATAGCGGCGTTCTCCGGGAGGAGCATGCACGCTTTTACATTGCAGAAATGTTTGTCAGTGTGAATGAGCTCCACAAGCTCGGCTACATTCACCGCGACTTGAAGCCCGAGAACTTTCTGATTGATGCGACTGGTCATATTAAGCTCACAGACTTTGGTCTGGCTTCTGGCGCGCTAAATCCAGGACGCATCGACTCGCTGAAGCGGCGCCTCGACCAGGTAAAGGATACGGATATGGTGTACCGCACGCCCGCCGAGCGAGGCTCACTATTCCACATGATGCGTGCCCAGAATGTCAAGTTGGCCGACTCGGTGGTGGGATCGCCCGACTACATGGCCCCCGAAGTATTGCGCGGCCGCGACTATGGCGTCAGCGTCGACTATTGGAGCCTGGGTTGTATTTTGTACGAGTTTCTGTGTGGCTTTCCTCCATTCAGCGGCGCGCATCCCGATGAGACGTGGGCCAATCTGAAAAACTGGAAGAAGGCACTGCAGCGTCCTGTATATGAGAAGCCGGAGGACTTGCAGTTCAATCTCACAGATATTGCTTGGGACATGATCGTGCGCCTGATCAACACCCCTGAGGCGCGGTATAGCTCTCTCAGTGAGGTTCAGTCGCATCCCTTTTTCCGCCAAGTGGACCTTATGCGAATGCGCGAGGTAGCTGCGCCTTTCATTCCGCAGCTGGAGAGTGACGTTGACACCGGCTACTTTGACAACTTTGATGACCCTGCGGACATGGCCAAATACAAGGAAGTTCAAGAGAAGCAGCGACATGTCGAAGCGATGGAAGCAAAGAATGGAGTGACTGATGGAGGGCGAGGCATGTGGGTCGGTTTTACGTTCGGCAAAAACTGGACCAAGAGCCAGCCCCGGGTCAGCGTGCCCGACCATGAATCGAATCCCCTGTCCACCATGTTCTAACCACATAGCATGCGACAGAGTTACCCACTGCCTGTAGCACAGCGAAAAGAGCAGTGTATCGCTAAGCTAAACTATGTAGAAGATTCTTGAGAAGCTCTAGGGCAGTGGGTTTACTGCACACCCAGGAACGACTTGAGCGGCTCGTAGCCAAGGCCAAAGTTGTAGCCAGCCGTGGCAAGCATCACAATGAGAGTTCCGAAGAAGCCCACCTTGCGGAACACGTTCGACGCCTTGGAGTGGAGTAGACCCACGGTGTGCACCAGACGCGTAGCGAACAGAGCCGTGTAACCGGCGTGGACCCAGGCAGTGGGAGCACCGTTGAGTTCAGCGAGGAAGAGGAGGGCGAAGGAGAAGGGGGTGTACTCGAAGAAGCTAGCGTGCGCGCGCACAGCACGAGACAGCGAGGCATCGTTGCCACCCTCGTTGGCACGGATGACGCCGGTCTGCAGGCGCTTCACAACAACGTTCGCCGACAGGTACGAGTAGAAACCGGCAAAGAGGGCCGAGTGAACGAGAGAAGCCTGGTGTGAGGTAGGGTAGAACGTACAGGAGAGAGCACGAAAAGAGGCATACTTAGACTAAAAGGTTGGGGGAGAAAGTGTTTAAGCGCGGGACGCGGGGGCGCTCGGTTAGGGAACATGCAGGATAAGCTGACGTCACATCTGACTAAACATCTGGCGCCAGGGTTGGGTGTTAATCGGCGTGGATATGCGATCCGTTAGGCGTGCAGTATGGCAGAGTATGTGACGGAACTAACGGAAGGGAGCGCGACCTATCGAATCAGTCAGCATTTCTGACAATTCCTGCAACAGGGCTCGCTGAGATGCTCTCGTCGCTGCAAGGGGACGGCTCACGAGAGGGAATGAACCCCTTTACAATCCTCGCGTCGTCGGGTGGTCCGCCGCCACTGACGGCCATGCATCATGTGCATAGCCCGATGGAACGACCTATACTGGAACAAGAGGAGAATTCTATCCCCGAAGAGCAGCAGCGCGAGGCTGAAGAACAACTGGCGAAGGTATACGAAAAGTTTGATTTTCATGCTCTTTGGGCTCGACTCAGTGAGGCCTTATCGCGTTTGCAAAACGACCCAGGCTCTGTCCAAGTGTTACTTCCTATGATCGAGGTGAGTATTTCGTACTGACACACAGAGCTTGATGGTGGTATCGCAGCATAGTATGGGAAAGCTGGCTGAAGACGCTGATCCATGGGCAGAGCGTCCTGTGAGTGCCGACGATTCTACGCAAGCGCGTATGGAGCGAGAGTTTGCCAACTTCACGGAAAAGCATCGCAAGATTCTCAATTTGATGGTGCGCCAAAACCCTGCTCTCATGTCGGGGTCCTTTGCGCTTCTGGTGCGCAACCCCAAAGTTTTGGACTTTGATAACAAGCGGAATTACTTCTCGCAGCAGTTGCACAAGGGACGCCGCGAGCACTATACCCCTCTCAGCCTGACCGTGCGCCGCCAGCATGTGTTCTACGACAGCTTCCAGTATTTCCACCGTAAGACGGGTCCTGAAATTAAGCATGGCAAGCTGAATGTACGCTTCCATAACGAAGAAGGTGTCGATGCAGGTGGTGTGACGCGGGAGTGGTTCCAGGTTCTGTCTCGCGAAATGTTCAACCCAGACTATGCCTTGTTCCAGCCGTGTGCAGCGGATCGCACTACATACCAGCCCAACCGTATGAGCGCAGTTAACGACATGCACTTGTCCTTCTTCAAGTTCATTGGGCGCGTCATTGGCAAGGCCATTTACGATGGACGTTTGCTTGATGCATATTTCACACGCAGCTTCTACAAACACATACTGGGCCGCAAAGTGGACTACAAGGACCTGGAAGCGGTCGATCCTGAGTACTATAACAGCATTGAGTGGATGTTACACAACGACATCACAGATGTGCTCGAACTCACATTCGCCGTGGAAGACGAAGTGTTTGGTGTGACGCAAGTGGTGGAGCTCAAACCGGAGGGTGCCTCTATCCCTGTCACTGAGGAAAACAAGCATGAATATGTTCGGTTGGTGACGGAGCAGCGCCTGACCAACTCGATTCGCTCGCAAATTGATGCCTTTTTGGAAGGATTCCACGAAGTGATCCCTCGGCCCTTGATTCAACTGTTCAGTGAGCAGGAGCTGGAGTTACTGATCTCGGGTTTGCCGGACATTGATGTGGACGAGTGGAAAAACAACACGGAGCTCCAAGGCTATTCGTCAGGTGACCCGATGATCCAATGGTGGTGGCGCGCGGTGCGCTCGTTTGACCAAACACAGAAAGCCAAGCTGCTGCAGTTCATTACTGGTACCTCCAAGGTTCCCCTTGAAGGCTTTGCGCATTTGCAAGGTGTGAATGGGACGCAGCGCTTTAGTATTCATCGGGCCTTTGGAGAGGATCGATTGCCTGCTGCGCATACCTGCTTTAATCAGCTGGACCTGCCGACGTACGATTCGTACGAGAAGCTTCGCAGTCAGCTGCTAGTTGCTATGAACGAAGGCGCCGAGGGTTTCGGATTCGCGTAGCTACAAAGGATATATATTCCCTTAGAACGTGGTCCATCCGCCATGATCGATTGTAGCCTCAATGCGCCGCGTCACCACATTGGCAAGGCCATGCATGAGCCACTGCTTTCTCAGCTCATCGTAGCGTTGAAGATGCAGCCTTTGGGGTCGCGCTTTCAATAGGTATCGGTCTACCTCGCCATGGGAGTTCAGGTATGGCGAGGGTGAGAAGGCGCCATTAGTTTGGTATAAAAGCACCACAATGTTGCTGCCGACACGGAAATGCATGCCAACACGGCCACCACACTGCTCCATGTGCTGATTGCACTCGCCACGTGATTCATCGTCCGGATCGCTGCAACAGTACGACTGCTCGCACAGCACCTGCCCGCAGAATAGACACAAGGAAAAGGTCGGAGGCAGTGTGCCACAGCGGGGACATTTCCTTTCTTGGGTCTGCTGTAGCAGCTCTGTCAAGTCGCGCTGGAGTGGAAGCAGTTCGTAGATATGCGGGTGCTCCAATACAAGATTGGGCACGCTTGGAGCCAGGCCGGGTTGGATCGGCAGGGGTCGGAATAGAGGTGCAAAGTGCACATACGCATGTTTCGTCCATCCTTCCATAAGCATGGTGATCAGCTCGTTTGACTGCGAGTGCATAGGCAGGGCCAAGGCAGGCGCGGGAATTTGCAGCTCGGCCAGAAGACGCTCATACTCGGTCGATGCATCGGCTGATTTAGTCGGGGCCGCAGGAATAGCGCCGGACAACGCACGGCGCAAGATAGCGGCGCGCCGCAAGAATGGCAGTGTATACAAGCACATGACCTTGGCTAGCTCGCGATCGTTCATCTGATCAAAGCCCAGTGTCATGTTGCCTCTCACATAGCCGACGAGGCTTATGATGCTCGTGGCAAGCCAACGTGCGTAGGGGAAAATGCGTATTGCCTCGTCGAGATCTGGCGCGTTGGACGCATGCTTGGTGGGTGTGGACACAGGTTGTGCCAGTCCAAAGACGCACTGAATTATCTGCACATAGTACAGAAGCCCTGTGATGGGCGCGAGCTGCTCAGGCGTCAGAACGGCTGCTTCCACAAGCACACCTAGAGGGTCGCGCAGAAGGAGCGGCGAGCGAACAGCAGGCTCGCTGACCCAGTAGGGGAGAAGACGTTTCAAAAGACCTTGGCGGAGCAGGTCAATGCCGCCGTTGTGCGTCCCGCTGGTATTATGGAGCGTGAGACGCATCGAGGCGCCCAGCGCGTCCAGCATGGTCTGCACAAGTTTTAGCTGTGATGGCGTGATCGCCTCCGTGATGGGTTGTGGCACGCCGCGGAGGGCAATCTCCTGCTGCGCAAGCGTGTAAGCCACGAGTTTATCAGGGATGTACAGCACGTCGTGCAGCTCGCCTGACGCATGCAATATGGTGGCTTGGTGGTCGCGACTACGGGCCGCGGCCGTCTCGTCTGCGAGGAGCTGTAACACATTAGTGTACCTCTGAAGCATATGGCACTCGTCTGGCGCAAATAGACCTAAGCCCAGGTCGGGGTTGTGCGGCTGTGCAGAGCGTTCCACAAGCCAAGGCAGGAATCGGCCGGTGCCAAGCAGGGCGTCTTGGTGGTCGGTGCGTGCAGTCGTGTTGGCTGACGATTGCTTGAGAATCGAAATGTTGACGCTGCGTACCCATTCTGCAAGAGGCGTGTTCGTCTGCTCGACCTGACCGAGTGGCGCCTGGCGAAAGGGCGACTCACCAAGAGGGCTCACGCCGGGTTCGGGCAGTAGCATGTTACCCAGCGATTTACACAGGGGGCAGATGTACTCGAACCGCGAGAGGTCTTCGGGATGCTGCCGTGCGACCTGCAGGGCATGCCGCTGCTCTGTGCTCTGCAAATACGTGTGGAAGCACGAAACATGCATGCCATGCCCGCATGTGACGGCGACGAGGCCTGTGACATGCGCGGACGCAGGATAGCCGAGTTGGGCGCCCTCTTGTACACGCTTATATGTACCGCGTGCGCGCTGCCCTGTATCGCCTGCATCCAGGTTTAGAGGCGTCGCGAGCACATCGTCAATTGAGCTCGCCTCCCGCGGCAGCGAGGTGCGAACCAACCGGCTTTCTTGCACGTGCACGAGTGATCCAAACGCCCGCGTGCCGTCGAGGCGCTCTTGACACAAGATGCACGTGCCAAAACCTTCATCCATGTCGTCATCGCTAAGTTCATCATCAAGCTCGGCCAGCAAGCTCTGCTGCTGTGCTGAGAACTTTTGCAAAATGGCCTGCTGTTGCGCACGAGCAGCCTGTCGGCGGCGCGTGTCCTCTTCGGGAGCCTCGACTGGCGGGCCACGCACTTGGGTCACGGCCTCCATGACCGAGGGCGACAGCTGCACGGCTCGGTCAAAAATGTGCGAGAATTTTGTCTCGTAGGCCTTGAGGGTCGGCTGACGGCTCATGTGTAAGAGCAGGTCGAGGAGGTTATCTGAAACTTTGGGGTCCTGCGAGCGACGCTGTGTCATCATCTCCACGAAGCTTGCGCCATGCTCCTCGATGCCTTGCGCAATGAGGTGCAAAATCACCATAAGGAGCGTGTCAGGGGGCTCTCTCAGGGCCGTAGCATTTTTAAGGGCATAAAAGAGCATGTCCAGCAACACGGGGCAGAGAAATATGTTGGCCAAGCCGCGGAAAGGCGTGTGAGCCAACACATTCAGCGGGCTTGTCGAGTAGATAGGTAGCGTGCACCCAGCTGCGCGCTTCTCCGATAACACTTGCTCCGCTTTTTCACGCTGGTTTCGCGAGTAGTGGTGGAAGAGCGGCTGGACATCGGCGAGGAATGCAGGACGCAGCTCATACATACCATGGTCCGCGGAGCCGTCGGGCTCGCGGAAGTGTGCGACGCGTGCGAGCTCGCGATCAAAGCAGCTGTGGTCGGTGAAACGCTCGGGCACTTGCTTAGTGAGCTCGGAGTAGGTGCAAGGGCCAAGAACCAGGTAGTGTACAAGTTCGCGCCGTACCTGCGCCTCAATCGACCAGTGCGCTGGGACGGCGATTTCGTTGAGCAGCACAGCAAGGAGAAGGAAAAGCTCCTCGGCCATAAAGAGGCATTGGTCAGCATCGTACACGGGATGCGCATCACTGGCACGACCGCTAAACCAGTCGATGAGCTCGAAGCGGTCCAACAGTGACCCTAGGAAGCGCTTGGGCGAAGTGAAAGCCAGGGCGCACTGCTGGAGGAACAGGTCCTGGTCGTACATGATATCCCGCATCCACATAGAGTCGCGGTAATGGAATGCCTGCGAGCGAATCGCGAAACCGTTGCGAACCCACACATTGCACCGAATCTGGGCCAGCTTGACAGCAACGCGCAATGGGTGATCAACAAGCATGAGCAGGCGGTCCTCGCCCAGTGACTCGATCATCAGGCTGGCATCCGTTACATGGTGTATGTGCTTGAGCATTTCCGCAAAAAGCCAGTGCATCGGATGGTGAAAACTTACTGGCTGCGACGAAACCACAAACGGCACTACCTCAATGCGGTGACCGGCGTAGTCGATTTCGTGCATGACCAGGGGCGGCTGCGTGATGGGATCCAGCGATGACAGTCGCTCAAGATGCATCAAAATGGTGTGGCCCACGTACGAGAGGGCCTGGCAGAGTCGCGCAGCGTTGGCATGCACAAAGGCCTCGCCCAACAGTTTCGCGATCCGTCCCAGGTGCGAATTGATGTGAAAGACCTGGATCCACAGCTCACTTTCAAACTCCACGTGCGCATGCACAGCGCGCGTGTCGGGTGCAATTGAGTGGAAGAGCGCAAAGAACTCGAGCCAAGCGCTTAGGTATGTTTCGGAGTGCCTCACGATATCGCGTTGGACATCGGCGGCCGCCAGCAGATATCGGATATCATAAAAAATATGATAACACTTTTGCTGGCGCAACAGCGGCGTATCGGGGTTCGCCTGCCCCCGAGCGGGCGGGGCTGCAGGCAGAATGAGCGACGTGATGCGTCCCTCTCTTTCGTTGGCGAAGAGCGCTTGAAGGATATATAGCAGCAGCGACAAGAAGCCGCGCTCTACCACAAGTTGTGTGGCAATACTGGGCACACTAAACAGTTGCACCGTCAAATGATACAGCGAGTGCTCTGGCTCGCGGTCATGCAGAATAAACGACTCGATGAGCCGTGGGTATACGCTTGCGACACGGAGTGCCACCTGGCGTTTGGCCTCGCGGCACGCAATTAGGTCCATCAGCATGTTCCGTGCAGTGAAGCGCGCAGATTTCCACAGCTTGGCGTCGAAAAGCAGCAGTGCATCCAGCATGCACAGGTTCGTTGGATCGAAAAGATCCCGTCGGATCGTCGCTGGCGCTTCTTCCCATTCCCGCACCCGCCACGGACGCATGAACGTCTGGGTCAGCAGCGCTTTCAGTGTGCGGCCGTCAGAGGCGCCCTGGGCAGTATAGAAGGAACAGCCTGCCATGTCGAACAGAAACTGCAGGATCTGCCCTGCCACCTCCTCGACGAAGTAGTCAAACGCCGGCTCCACCGTGACCAAAAGATAGATCACGCCAATGCGGCGTGCCATAAGTACAAGGCGCCGGACATCGTCGGATATTGATAACACCTCGCGGCCGTGGCGGTCGACCAGTTCGGCAAAGTGGCGCGCCTCCTTAACCGTCTTGGATGTGCACACCTCAAGGACCTTGTCCGATACCTCATTAAAGCTGTGCTTTTCGTCGTTCCATAAAAGCGCCACAAACAGAGGAGGTGGCGTATCCACATCTGGCGAGTCAGGCGCTTCCTGACGTGCTTTGCCCTTCGCCGGAAACGCATGCTCCATGGTCGGCTGGCGCTTCACACCGTCAACAACATCGGGTCCCATGACCAGTGGGGTCTGCTTGGGTGAATGAGCCAGTGTTTCAAGCACGAACGCCAAGAGCAGCGCCGCGAAATCAGACAAGGAAGCACGCACTTCCGACGGCATCGGGGCAAGAATGGCGTCGAGGTCCTGCTCGCTCGAGTTCGAGCTAGCTGGAGGTTGAGGCTCGTTGTACGGATGTAGGCTGTGGAACTCACAGCCCAAATCACAGTTCCAGGCCTCTTCATCGCCACAGTCACAGCATGCGCCACCTTCGTCTGCGACGGAGAACAGGACGTCATGGTCCTCGCGCGCATGAATGGAATGGCGAAAACACGTTGCACACTGAACACAGGTATCATCAAAGGAGCAATCATGGCATCGGAAAATAGGCTCGCCCTTGCGGAACACATGCCCACAGGTCATGCCCCGCCGGTTCTTGGAGTACTCGGGCAGCGATGGAACCGAGCTTCCAACCTCACATGTCTCCGAGACTGTTTCAGCGCGCTGTTGCGCCACTGATAATTTCCAGTCACACTCGGCGAGCAGTTTAAAGGCCTGTTCTTTGGACGTAACAACGGACACTGAGAAGAAATGCTCGTATGGGACAGCAGCGAAAAGCTCACGCACAAGCTGCTGGCGCACATCCCGAGCCTTATCAGTGGTTAATCGATACGTGCTGGGATCTCCAGGCGTTGGTAGTCCCACAATGCGTGGTAGCAGCTCGACGACTGCAGCCAACTCATTCATTGTGGTTCACCGTCGTTCGACAGGCTGAATGGCACTCGGTGACGTTCTGTGCACGTGACTGTAGCTTCGCGTGAGCGTCGTGGGCGTTGCACGCGGCAGGCCACCGAGGCTGCTCTGCTCGGCATGGAGTACGCCGCGCCCAGTCTGGGTGCAAGCACACCATCGACAGTCCCACTGGCCACGACGGCAGCAAGGTCATGGACTGAAAAGCCTCCGGCTATGGTGGACTACGCCTGTTGTGCCCTGCTGTTCACGGAAATGGCAAATGCGCTCCAAGCATCCACTGCCTACAAGACACAGCGTGCGAATGATATTGTAGCTGAGCTGCAACAGCAGGATCCAGGCGCCTATGTTCCACCTTTGTTGACTACTTCAGACCAGGCGGATATGGCCAACAGTCGCATGGAAGAGCTAGGCCGACACGTTGGTGCAAACCTAACAGAGAAGTGCGTAGATGGCCGCCTTACATTGCAGACTGGGGCAAGGAAAGCCGCGCATGAACGACACTCTCGAGCGCGTCAAGTTTGTGTGCAAGGATCTGTGGTCGGCGGTATGGGATAAGCAGATTGACAACCTGCGCACCAACCACAGGGTATGTACGATGGGCGAAAGCTGAAACCAGGGTGTCTTCGTATTGCAGGACCACTCCCTCAAGACACTTGCAGCGGTACGGAGCGCGGACAAAGGCAATGCTTTTGTTGCGATGGTAGGTCATATGCTCTCGCTGACGCACTAGCAATTGGCTTTCGCTGCTGGCCTCATCCGTGGAGCGCTGGAACGCCTAGGAGTACAGGCAGTGGTTCAAGCTGATGCCGACACATTCCCGACCTGTACCTTTCACCTCCGCATTGCTTAACCGTCTCGAATTGCCGGGTAGGGGACCCGCTGCAGGTGTGCGCGGTTTTTGCTGGACTGGCAAAAGAGCCTATCGCGCGTGTCGCTTCCTATGCAGCAGGCTTCCCGCATGCAGCTGCGCTGCGTCGTACTTCTTCATACCCCGCACGACCGGGAGAAGCTTTGTTCATACTATACAGTACTCTAGTCCATGTCACTGCCGCTGTCGCTCTCGCTGTCGTCTTCTTCTCCAGACGAGCTATCCGACGGGACTAGGTCATCATGTTTGCCCACCGCAGCCTCAGGCTCGGGGGCCGTGGCAGGTTTGGGAGCATCCGACGAGGAAGCATCATTAAACTGTTGAAGTTGCTGCTGGAGTCGCGCTATACGGGCGGCCTCCTCATCTTCGTCAAGATTCTTCTTCTTCAGACCACCCGTGCCACGCTTGCGACCATCAATGGGCGCACTAGCCGGAATCGGCTTCCCATTCGGGCCCAGCTCTGGACCAGTCTTTTTCTTCGGGCGCACGACATATTTGTACAGCTTGTAGAGCGTCTGAGGAGAGAGCTCATCAATGTCAAGCTCAATTTCCTCGTCCTCTGTGCCCTCAGTACCCGCGGGCTTGTCCTCGTTAATGATACGGATGGCACCCTCCAATCGTTCGTCCGACAGCTCTGTAATCTTAGCCGCCAGTTCCTCTTTCTGGTCAAACGTGACAGTGCGCACGTCTTCTTCATCCGAGCCAGTCATGCGCTTCCGAGGAGTCGGGGAAGAGCCGGTGCGCGCCTTCTTCGCAGGGCTGGACTTTTTCTTTTTGTCACCCTTGGCCTTTTTGTCCATCGACGAAGCATGACGCTTCTTGCCCTTGCGCTTTGTCATGCCCGCCACACTCATCGCACCAGCCAGGGCAGCTTGCACAGAATTGAGCGCGACACGAGTGCTGGTGATCAACAGCGGGTTCTTACTCTTGCCGCTTTCCAGGGTCTCGAGCGTGCCTTCTAGCTCCGCAATCTGTTTTTGAAGCTGCTGAACGAGCACAGCATTAGTGCCGTCCTCATCAATCTCGTCATCGTCCTCGTCATCGTCATCATCGTCCTCGTCCTCATCCTCTGCAGGGAGCGGCGGTGGCACAGGTTTCTTTTGCATCTTCGTTTCGTACACATCCTTCAGGCGCGCACCCATGATGTACACGTCCGAGTCAGGTGGGTTAAAGGTGAAGCAGTTGCGGAACATAAGCTGCATATCGGCATCAAAGGCAGCCAGGTCTGCGTAACCACCGCTTTTCAGCTTGCGCTGGATAGGAATGAGGGCAATTGGCTTCTTGATAATCTGATAGTAGGCAGGCGCCCAGTCAAAGTCTTTTGCAGGCAGGTCGTAAAACACCCACGCCAAGTCCTGGTGCGCAGGCTTCAGCAGATCATCAATCACGCGGTAGCAGAACTTGAGCTCGTCACTAATCACCTTCGACCAGTACGACTGTTCACGTGGCGACAAATTATCCGTGCTCTTGCCCAGACGGGCGGCCACGGCGCGTTTCGAAGCCGGATGCAGGTGTTCCTCCGTCCACGGCAAGTCACGCGACGCAGGCGGATGAATCTCACGCTTAGGGCGCCCACCATTGGTAGACCGGCGGATAGTCGGTAGCGAAGACGAGTTGCGGCGTGCCTTGGCTTCAGGTGAGTTTTGCTCTTCGGCCACAGCCACGGCCGTCGCGAGACCCTTGCGCTGCTTTTCAAAGACGCCACGAAGCACTTCAGCATTCTTCGAGAAGATGTGCTCAACGCCATTAAATCGCACGCAGTTGTTAAACACACGGAATACGTCACGCTCAAAGTCTTCGACACGCGTGTAGAAGTCCACTTCAGGATTAATACGGCCATTATCAATGGCCTGTTTTAGTTTATCCGACAAGCGACTCTGGGCGCCCTGTGTAGTTTTCATGCGGTGCGCCGTCAGAGCGAGCTTTTGGTCAATGGTACCAAGATCCATAGGTTCCTTAATAATTTGGGTATAGTGGGGGATATTGAGGGCAATGGGATCGACTGGTTGTAAGAAGGCACCGGCCTCACGACGCGACTTGAGAGAACGAATCGTGTTTTGGGCATACTTTACATGGGGCATAGCCATGTCCATATGTGTCAAACCGTCATCGGTCGAAGTGGCATCTCCAGACGCATGCGAGGAAGGACCACTTGCACCCGGCGGAGCAGACTGCTCTTCCGCAGGCGTAGGCGCTGCGGGCTCCGCCGTAGACGGAACATGAGCATCCGAACCTGCGGGGGGAGCCTCCGTAGCACCAACTTCCGGTGCTGCAGTCTCCGGCGTCGCCTTACTGTCATTGGCTGGCGGCTCTTTCGGCGCATCCTCTTGGGCGGGTACATCGCGATTCGCACCCTCGGCAGGCGCCGAAGTGTCCACCGTGGGGGCAGCGGGTGTTGATTGGACACCCTCATTGGGTACCGAAGGTTGGCTAAGCTCAGTAGACTCGGTGGGAGCTACCGGCGCTGCACCTTCAGTAGCAGTAATCTCAGAGCGCGCCGGGGCGCCAGCCTCCGCTGCCTGCACTGGCTCCGTCGCGCCAAGTTGTACCTGAGGGACAGAGGTAGATTGCGAATCAGACATGTTACGATTTTCTCGGCACTAGGTCGAGAAGAGAGCAGGGTACGCGAGACGCCTGACAATTCTTGGCGTCACGGTCTGGAGAAGTGACGTGCGCGAAAGTCGCGTGGGAGCGACGCGCGCGCGCGAGGACACTCGCCGTTTTATAGTCGATGCCACGTCTGTTTGCGGAAATGATCGATCCAATGAAATGAAGGCACATGCATGGTTTGCCCTTCTTCCTTCGTAAATTGGCACGTGACACATACGCCCCCAGTCGCGATCCTTACGCCCGTACCAAGACGATGGCGAAGAAGAAGAAGGCACCGCAGTTGGATGCATGGTGCTGGTACTGCGAGTATGTATATGTTCACTAATATACAGTCGCGATTTTGAAGATGAAAAGGGTACGTTTTGACGATCTCATCTTAGTTTTGATCCAGCACCAAAAAGCGAAACACTTCAAATGTCCCTTCTGCCCTCGTCGACTGAACACTGCAGGTGGCCTGGCGGTCCATCTCGGACAAGTTCATAAGGCGCAACCTGGAAGGTGCGTTTCGTGAGACTTATGCAGACTTGAAAATACCCTGCCGGGACGCGACTCGTTCGAGATTGAAATCTACGGAATGGTCGGTGTGCCCGATAGCGACCTGATCGCTTGGCAAGTGCGCCGCAGTGGTGAGCGTGCGGCTACTGGACCTTCGAAGAGTAGAGGACCGCCCATGCCTAAGCGACCCCGGATAGAAAAGGTGGCCCTGTCTGCTGATGAACTCCGAGCTCAGCTCGCAGCGCACAAAGCATTGATGAGCGGAGCAGCATCAACGTCGGCGCCACCCATGCTTACGCAGACACAAGCACCACAGTCAGAGCCACCGATCCGCCCGCCTATGGAGTCATCACCGGCGCCTGCCGAACCGCCGTTGGACCCCAATCGAGCTCCGTCAGACGCAGACGCCGCGCCGGCTGAAACACCAGTGTACCCTCATACCAAGGCGCTGCAGCAAGGACTGAAATCACGACTGGCCTACACGGATACAGTCCTAAGTCCCGAGGAGAAGATGGCTGCCATGCCCAGATATGCATATACGGAACCGGCCACTGTCGCCTCTGCTCCTGTGTAAAGATAATCCTATGGACACTGTCGTTATATCAAATGATAAAGCGGCAATGGGGAAGCCAATGACTCTGAGTAGCCGGCGTCTGGACGTATGGAGCGCGAGCTAGTAAACTCCTTGGCTCTTGGGTTTAACGAGAGCAGGCATGTGCCTGATGGAAAGATAGTACTCCCGTTCGGTGTCGGAGGTGAATTTTGCAAGTCTAACGAGGTAGACAGGGTATCAAAGGAATCATCCGACGACAGCAAATTGCTGGGTAGGAGGTGGTACAGGGAAGCAGTGTCTGGCTCCAGAGGAGGCGGCATAGGCGACGGTGTCGAGAGTCGTGAGTTCATGTTGACCTGAGAACGCATGGCATCCACGCGCGCCTGAAGAGTAGATACATGATGCTGCAGCTCGGCTGATCGATTTTGAGCCGAGACAATGCGTTGGACAAGCTGTGTACGGCGCTCCTCGTAGGCTTTAGTGCGTTCTGCCGCATTTTCCTCCCTTATTTTCATCTGCACGGGCAAGGTCAATGAGTCGCACTTGTCCCGCGCCATGTATAGCTCTGCAAGTTGATTACGCATAGAGGTTTGTTCGTGCTCCAGCTGTTGACACCTCGATTCATGTAGGCGCTGTGTCTCCTGCAGTTGCCGTATCTGCACACGAAGCTCCGCTTTTCTCTGGTTCACTTGGCTCTTGAATTTACCCAAAGCTGCAAGTGCTTTTTGGAGAGTGTCGTCAGCGGGAGTGACGGGTGATGGCAACAGAGACTTTGATACAGTCGCCGATTGAGTGTACCCACTGTGCACCGTAGCATTCCACGTCCACCATCGCCCAAAGGCGCCCACGTAGTACATAGCTGAATACTGCGACACGGTGCCTGGACGGATTATCACGAGGCGAGCTACTCCAAGATGGTACGCAGCGTACCTAGGTATCGAAAAAATAGGTGAGTCATGTTGGGAAGAGGAATTTGTGTGCGGACCAGTGGCACGATATCGCGTGTGCGGAATATCAGGCGGAAGTGACAGTGTGCGGAGTGCTGGTATAGAGAGAAAAGCCAACGAAAGTAACAAGCACAAGATTAGCATGAGAATTGGAGTACACCATCCCAATATGATATTAGGAATCTTGGGTGCGAAAGCTAACAACAACGGCATGCTGCCGCTGAGCGCATCAACGTGTCCCAGGATGTTAGGATGTGTATGCAGGCCCATGCAATGGATCTGCTTGGCGTCAAAAACATCGGCCGATGATCACGTGCTTTGCCCCACTTGTTGGGCGCGTCGCCGCTGCACTTGGGGAGAAGTGCGCTGTGTTACCGAACCGGACGACGACGATGGCGACGAGTCGCGCTCGGTCGCGGCGTGCGTCGGAGTCTCGCCGAATGAGACAGGGTAGATCGTCTGGAAATCAACAGGCAGATGTGTCTCAGGTCGGTGAACCTATTCTGGACGACGGCAGGACCCATGACCCGTACATGGACACCGACGGTCTCTCGACTGCGCCCTCGGAAAGACGCCAGAGTGATGAATTTGAAGACGCAGACGAGTACATTGATGATGGATCAGAGCAGTTGATGCCTGACGGCTATGGCTATAATGAACCGAGTGCGCACGCCAGGGACTACCCGACCCAAGAGCGCATAAACCATGCGTCGCGCTCTGCGCGCGCAGGGTACGAGCCGATTGATGATTCCGTCCCACAGTCAGAATATATCTACGATGAGGAGAATGATGACTACCGGAATGGACACTACAGCGGACACGCACGGCCTTCGGTGGCCGACCATGCGCAAAGCAGAGGGCATGGAGTGTATGTGGAACATCCCCATACGGCATTTGAGGACACGCCACACAGGATGGACGAATATACAGAGCAGCCCTACTTTAATCCAAATGAGATGAGTGCGGCGCAGGAGCATCCGGAGGATTTTCCGGCGTTCTTCATGCATTCAGTTGGCGAGTATGGTGATTTTGGGTTTTTTTCGCGCATGTACATTGAGATCCGACAGATGTTCATGTTCGGACTGACGTCCCTGGGGTTGATGATCCTTGCAAATCTGGCTTTTGCACGGTACTTTAATCCGTTCCGGAAGAATTACCCTAAGGCGCGCCTGGACTTTGAGTATGAGCGGCGCATCACAGGCGAACGCTACAGCGAGCGCGTCGAGTACTACGCCGAGTACTGGGGTTACCAATGTGAAGAGTACGAGATCTTAACACGGGAGGGCTGGATCCTCAAGGCTCATCGTATCTCTGATCCGCGGCGCCCGGGCGGGCGTGGCTACCCGGTGGTCCTGCAGCATGGTATTCTCTGCACGTCGCTCTTTTTCTTCACGTCGGAGGAACGCTCGCTGGGCTTTTGGCTGGTCGATCAAGGCTTTGATGTATGGAGCACCAACATCCGCTCGAACTATGGCGCGGGACATACCCGGTACAGCCGATGGGATCCGCGCTTCTGGTCGTGGAGCCTAATTGAACTGGGGGACGATCTCGTTGACGTGGTCGACTTTGTGCTGCAGACTACGGGCTACAAGCAGTTGGCATACGTGGGGCACTCACAGGGCACGGGCAGCATGTTCCTGGCACTTAACAAGTATGCCGACTTTGGCAAGAAGTTGTCTTCGTTCACGGCCCTAGGCCCTGCTGTTTATCCCGGTAGCTCGCTGAGACGGCTGCCTTTTCGGGTTATGAAAATGGTGCCATCGCGTTGGGCGTGGTCGCTTGTCTTTGGCGTGCGGGAGTTTCTTCCGGCTCTGGACTTGATTCGCGCCTTGCTGCCTAAGTCGCTGTTTGGGCATATGGCCTATATTATATTTGCCTACTTGTTCGACTTCCACGACCACAATTGGGTTGACCGCCACAAACCTAAGATTTTTTGCTCGACGGGTGTGACGACTAGCAGTGAGCTTCTGTACTACTGGATCCATTCGTTTGTTGCTCGAGGGTGTGTGTTTGATCCACGCATCACCCAGCCGTGGTTTCCGCCGTCCTTCCCCCCCCTCACTGTGGCGTATGGTTCAATCGACCACTTAGTGCTGGGAAAGCCGCTGGTTGATCGCTTGATGGCCTACGAGAGCAATGTCCAGATTGTTCACATCCTCGAACTGAAGGGCTACGAACATATGGACATGGTCCTTGGCGGTGACGCCTACAAGACCGTATTCCCCAAGATCAAAGATACCATTGTGCGCACTATTGACCCAGAGGATCTGCCAGAGATCCAGGGCACCAGATAATTGCGGAATCCTGTTATCATATACACCTATGTGGTTTGTCCTACGGTACAGCGGAGTCTCTAGTGGTACATCTTCCACATGTAGTAATTTACACGCCCAGACATTTAATGTACACAAGCCTTACCACGGTTGTTGTGCGCTCCGCATCGGCATGACCAGGTCGCCCGACGTAAAGGCGAAGGGCGCCACGGGTGCCATGTCCGCATTCAACTGCATACGCTGCAACGGAGCGTACAGCTGCGCGGCAGCGTCCGGTGCCACATGGTAGGGCGCCCCGGTTGAAGCTGGCATTGTTGCAGAAGCTGTGGCATCGGCAGAGCTGCGGGGGTACTGGTCGCTCTTGCGCTGGGCCCGTGCCGGGCGCGTGCCGGGCGCCAGCGCGGCAGGTCGGCCGTTGGCACCAGTACTGGCGCCTTGGCGAGGTCCCTGCGATGCACCTGGCTGATGCGGACGCGCGTCATGGCGGCGATAGCGCGGCCCCATGTCCGACCCGCCATTGGGCCCCTGACTGTCGTCACGCTGCAGCTTGGATTGGATGCGCTTGCCGTACGGAGTATTGCGGATCGACGGCAGAATCGGTCGGATACACTCCACAAGCTGGGCACGCTGCGCAGGCTCTGCATAGTCCAGGCAAGTCTGCACGACATAGTTGGCGAACGAGTCGCGCAGCAGGGCCTCCAGGCCGGCCGACTCGATTAGTTCCGAGACGAGCTGCTTCCGCAGCGACGGCTCGGCTACGCGAATACACTTTTCCATGACGTTCGAGCTGAACTTTTGTGTTGACAGCTCACAGACGTGCCCAAGGAACTGATGTGTCACCGACTCGGTATACGCCGAGTCGTTGAGGTCCAGCACATATTGCACGACATAGTTGCCGAAAGGGTCCTGCACAAGCGTCAGCGAGTACATCGTAATCTGCTGAACAAGCTGCAGGCGCTGCTCATCCGACGCATGATCAATGCAGCGCTGGAGCACGCAGCATCCGTGGCGATGTGTCGACACATCCACGCACTTGGCCGCCACCGCATCGTAAATAAACTGGTTGTTGGCGGCACTCAGGCGGTTCAGGCATTTTTGGATCACGTGGTTTCCATTCAGATCCTTGATGAGCGTCACCACATTGCGGGAAAACGCACAGATGATCGCCTGAGTCTGAGCCGGCGTCGAGATAAAGTCAATCGTTTTTTGGACCGCGCGAGTGCCGTGCATGTTGAGCGAAATGGTCACGAGATCGTCGGCAATCGCCTCGACAATTTGGTCACGCTGCGCATTCGTGCAGTGCTCCAGTAGCTTCTGGCACAGATAGTTGCCAAACGGATCGGTCATGAGGTCGGCAAAGAGGGGGAACGTCTCGGTAAAGATCAAATCGCACTGCGAGGGGATGCCTTCATCCAGCTTCTTCTGGAGAAAGCGGCACCCGTACTGGTCACGACACAGATGCGAGATCTCCCCCTGCAGGTCCTCCAGCGGCATCACCGACAAGTCCACATCGGAACGACGCAGTCCACGGGCCATGGACACGTCGGCATCATCGGCAAACAGACGGCTGTTCTTGCGCCGATCTTCCTTTCGTCCCAAACGCGCAAAGCGAGGCGTTTCACCCGAGTCGGGCGGCGTGCTTGTCGCAGACGCATCGCTCAGAGAACCAAGACGCGGACTGGGAGAGGCACTGGTGCCTGTCGAGTTGAGCGCCGGATTCATAAGCGGCGGGACGAGGCCGTTCGCACCGTGAAACGAGGCAGGCCGGGAACCGACCGGCAACGTCGACGAGAGCGGCGGCGCCGGCATCGAGGCCAGTGACGCCGCTAGGCCAGCCGGTGCATCGTTGAACAGCTCCGGAAACGACCCACGTGCCGCAGACCTGTCGTGCAGCAGCAAGCCGGGCCCACTGCCGATCGAGCCGAGGCCCGCAAAAGCGGAAGCCGGGCCATTTCCAGGCGTCACCTCATCAGTGGCTGCATGCAGCCAAGGGGATAGACCTGTGTTGGCACCGGGTTGGGGCGAGCGCTTGTGCATGGGTGCAAGCGAGGCGAGATCCAGTGCACTAGAAAAGTGCGACGGCTGCGACACTGCAGGCGTGCCAGCATCCGACGACTTGAGGAACATGGGAAAATCGTCTCCAGCGGCCGACAGGTTGTACTTGCGCACAAACGTAGAGTCTTCGTTGGCTTCCAGTTCGTCGTCAAAGAGAAAGCGGTCGTTGAACATAGGTACTAGGCGCTCGGCCGCAGGCACAGAGGCGTCATCTGTCGCCGCTTCAGCTCGAGGTATGAAGGGCTTGGTGCGGCCTCGCGGCGCTGGGGCCGGCGCAGCGGCCGGCGCTGGGGCCGGCGCAGCGGCCGGCGCAATGCGTGCCGCCGCCGTCGAGGTATCGGGACCCATCTTGAGACTAAAGTACAGATATGGCTGCGCCTAGAGGAGACAACCAGAGAGAGCTTCCTAGACGGGTAAAAAAAATACACCCCAGGGAGCTAGGCACCGTCGCGCAAAGGACGTCCGACAAGGAGTGGCGGCGACCTCGATGAATAGGCTAAACGCTGAGCCATGCAGGCCTGGGAGCTGCCAGAAGAAAAACCATGAGCCACGTGGAACGAGTAGGACTAGCTGGCCATAGGCCGCTATTTACTAATCTAACGTGTTGCTCCGACGGCCGCGGCAGGGCGCAACCAATCGCTTCCAACGCGCAAGATCGGCCATTACTTGGACGCTCGAGATCGAGCAGCGCTCTTTGGCCGTTTGGCCGGTCGCAGGAGCGCATCCTGTGGTGAGCAACGGCCTCGGCGTACCTTGGTAGGATCCAGGTCGGCCTGGGCATCCGCCTCGTCGTCTGCGTCTTCGGCAGGCTCCTCATCCGCCTGGTGTTAGATCGTCATAGGTTACGTACCCCGTAAGCCTCTTCGTTGTCGGGCATCTCGGTCTTGATCGCGCGGCCCTTGGGCGTTGGCGCCGCCGTTTTCAGGAATGCCATCGGACTGGAGTCAGTGCAGGATACGTACTGGCTGCGAGCATTGTAGGCGCGCGTGAAAGCCGATTTAACGGCCGCTGGCACCTTCTTGAGCCGGTCCTCGCGCCGCACGTCGCCCAGCTCGAGCTCCACGAGCGTCTCACGGTCCTCGGGCAGGAGGTAGTACTCGTCCATAGTATCGATGACGCCTGGGATGGCCGCCTGACCCGCCTGCAAAATTGGATCCACGAGCACCGAGAGCAGACCTGGCACGTACGACTGGCGCACGTCGTCTTTCGAGCCTGTAGTGCTAAGACGCAGGCGGGTCTGCAGGTCCACGAGTTGGCGCTGCAGACGCATGCGCTTGGAGTTTTGGCCCAAGAAGCTGAGTGAGTGCATACAACGTACGAGGGGAACGCGGGGAACGATGAATGCCCGCCGTAAATGTACGAGCAGGGGCGCACACTGCTCGCAATGCCGTGCAGTGGCATGAGCGACCAGTGCTGCTGCGGTCCATGCATGAGCGTGTCCACCAGGTCGCCATCCGAGATCGACTCGGACGCATTGCGCAGGAGCTGCAGCTGCTTCCACTCCTTGAGGGCCGGCACCGACTCCCGCTGCGCAAGCACGGGCTGGCTCTTGATGTAGTTCTCAGCGACCATCAGGGGCACGAATGCATGGTCCTGAAAGTAGTAATCCAGCTTGTCGTTGAGCGACTGCTTATTGAGCGGTCCAAAGCGCTGGGGACTCGCCAGCTCGCCGTACAGCGAGAAGGGTGTTTGCAGCGTGGGCTTTTGGTTCGCGGCGCCAAACTTCTTGCCTTCATCAAACGACATGCGCTTGTGCGACAGCTTCCACGTCGACAGCATGTTGGTCACGAGACGCAGGTCGCTTTGGGCGGCCGCGATGAGCTGGTCCATGACCTCGGCAGGGATCTGGAGGCCCTCGCGAAACGCAATCGACAGCATGCGCGAGCGAATGGCCTGGACCGTCGGCTTCGCAAAGGTCATGTTGAATGTCGTCGAGTACAGTGGCTGCATCTTGGGGTTGCGCCGGTCGTTGCAGATGCAGATGATGGGCACCTGCGTCTTGCGGATCAGCGCGTTGATCGCGCCAATGCCGCCACGGTCGCCGCCTGACATACCATCGACTTCATCGAGTACGATCGCGAGGCGCCCCAGTTTCGCCGTGCCGGGCTTGGCCCAGTCGCCGATCGAGCGGTTGTGGATGGTCTGGCTCAGCTCGCTCTCGAGCAGCCTCTTGCTCCGTGTATCGCTCGCATTCAGCTCCAGCACCTCGTATCCCTCAAGCTTGCACACCAGATGTACCGCCGTCGTCTTGCCAATGCCCGGCGCGCCGGAAATCAGCATCGCGCGGAACGTGTTGGTCGCATGCGGCCCCGGCTTCTTAAAATTGGCCTGCAGCGACTTGGGCCAGTCGCGCAGCCAGGCCTGCAGCTTTTCGACGTTGGACTTGTTCCCAACGAGCTCCTTGAGCTGCTTCGGCGCGTACTTGGACGTCCACAGCTGGCCAGGCGCGCTGGACGTCTCGAGCGCGCGCGCAGCCGCCTGGACCTTTTTCTCCTCGGCGGCGAGTTTGTCCTTGACACGCTCGTCGAGTTTCTGTGCGCCGCGCTCAGCGATCAGCTGAAGGAACCCGTCTTCATCAAGTGTCTTTAATCGGTTCTTCTGGATGGTCTCGAGCTTCTTGGCCCCCGCGCCTTCACCGACCACGACGAAAGAGGTCTTGGACGAGGGCGCCGTCGTGACCTTGCTGCATGTTAGTATCGCCACGTACGCTCCATATCGCTTGGCGAGATCCACCGCATCGTCGCGCCCAAGACTCGACAGCTCGCCCGTAAACACGAGCGTGAGGCCCGCAAGGCAGTTCGGCCGGCCCTCAGGGATCGGCTTGCTGCCAGGCGCCGCCGGACCCGCCGCCCGGCGCTCAGCGGCCGCTTTCCATGGCGGCACACCCTTGCCCTCGACCTTGACGCGCTTCGCGCTCGGCTCCGCTCCGTCGTTCGCGCGCGTGCTGGGGCCGCTCATCCCCGGTGGTCGACACGCACCCACGCGTCGAGCGGCGCTCCAGCGCGGTCCCCAGTGGAGGTGCGCTGCACGACCGCCCTCCACCGGGCACCGCTGGGCAACGATGGCGGCGGCCAGGGAGCCGACGTATGCGTCGTCGGTCGTGGTCTCCGTGACGCCTAAGCAGCCTTCGTTCTTTGCGGGTGAACGATTTGAATGTACCATTACTTTTACGAACACGAATGTGGCGCGGCGTCCTGCGATGGACCACCGCCGCTCGCTATCGATGCCCCGCCGCGTGACCAGTCTACCGGGCCTGCCAGCGAGTGCTCCAGCGCGCCCGACGAGGTTGGGCATGGTGGGATCCAACCCACCCGCGCTTACGCCAGGGGATCCGGCGAGACGACGTGCGACCTTTTCGTCGCGCCCCGAGGCGTGGAACCGGCGCGTGCCTGATGTGCCTGCACTGCATCCGCATGCGCGCCAGAAGTCGGTCGTCGCATACCAGGTCGAGGATCTGAGCCAGGCGTTTGGTCTCTCGCAGGACTCCAAGCCTCTTCCCTCCGCGGCGGACGCGTCGCCGCACCCAGACCTGTTTGCGTCGCAGAATGAGGTGATGGACGAGGCGCTGCGTGAGTCCATTTCCGCCTGGGCGGGCGACTCGCTCACGGAGCATGCGCTGCAGAGCCCGCTTTTCCCGCGGCGCGATGCGCTGCCCCTCGGACACGAAAAGCTGTTGTGGGCCTTCGCTCAGGTCAGTGGGACCATGGAGTTGGAGCGTGCGATCGTGCGATCCGCCGACTTTGATCAGCTGCGCCTGCGCCTCGCGCGCGGCGAAATGCCCGGCACGCCCGTGTCACCTGCATCGACTCAAGGCACGCCGCGCACGCTTGGCGGTGGCGAGCTCAGCTACGATGCTGAATACGAGGCAGGATCCATTGACTTTGAGGCGGGTGCGCGCACGACCGACTTGCGCGCCTCGCACGTCCCGGCGGTCGCTACGATGGCTGCTCTGCTGTTCCGCACGACCGGTGCGCGCCGTGCGTCGGCCGCGCGGCTCCAGCCATCCGGCTCAACGTTTTCCGATATCCAGACGCGCACGCTGCTCAGCCGCACACTGCCGACCTACTCGACGCCGCCGACCATGCTGGGCGTCGATATCGAGCTGGCGCCAGGAGAGAGCCGCTCGTTTACTCTGTCCCTCCCGCTGCCGGCCGACCTGCCGCCATCGTTCCATGGGCAGGCGGTGCACTTTGACTACTACGTGACGATCGGCACGAACCGCGTCGATGCGCGTGTGCAGGGCATGCAGCAGTCGCGCCTCCTGCACATCCCCATCCGTGTATACAACCATGTATCGCCAGGGGCGGGCATCGATGCCTGCTTTGATCTGCTCCAGCCGATCGTGCTGCCCCACTCGGATGCCACCGTCGAGCAGGTCGGGCGCGCGCGGCCCGAGCACGCCGCTGAGCGCGAGGCGCTGAGCCTGTGGGCCCAGCAGCTCTTGCGCGGAGGATCCACTGGCGAACGTACGGATGCAGCGCTGCCACCGACATGCATGGACGCCGTGCAAGACCTTGCGCAGCGTGCCGGCAAAGTGACGTACGATATCGCCAAGGACGGGCAGGTCGCTGCTGTGCTGACGGTGGCGCGCGCCAAGTACCGCCTGGGCGATGCGGTGCATGTGATTGTGCGCATGAATGAGCTACATGCGAATGTGCGCGTAGTACGGGTATGTACGAGAGACTCATGGCAGGTCGCCGCGGCACTCGAGTCGCACGAAGAGGTCGACGCCTCGCTGGCGCTGCTGCCGCCAGGGCGCACGCAGAAGATGACTCGGCAGGTTTACGCGACGCACCATGAAAATACGCTGGATACCCGGCAGACCAGCATGCTGCTGACCATTCCCAGCGGCGCGACGCCCGAGTTTATGACGAGTGGTATCCGGCACCGCTGGTCTCTGCGTGTGTCGTTGCTCACAGAGAGCGCAGAGGACGGCCACCAACGAAGGGAGCCCCCGCCGCATCTCGTGCAGCATCCGGACGCGTACAGTGCGTATCAAACTGTGCGGCGAGGCGCGCCAGCGCTGTGTGGGCGACAGGGAGGAGTGACCACGCGCCTCGAAATTGTCGAGTGCTCGGTGCCTGTGGTCGTCCTGCCCAGCCGGTCTCAGCGCAAGACTGTGCCCATAGACTTGTATGCCTAGAGTTCGTCGTCCCACGGTCGTGCGCGCCGCGACGTGGGCACATGATGTTCCGAGCCGGAAGCACTGGTAGAGCGGACGTCTATTGTGCTGTCACGGACCTCGGCAGATGGTGGGTCGAACAGTTCGGACTGTGCTTCATCATTGTTCATAGGGATAGCCATACTCGTTCGGTCACCTGTGCTCGTTGGGCCACCCGTGCTTGGGTCAACCGTGCTCGTCGGCTCAGCCGTGCTCATTGAGTCAACCGTGCTCGTCGGCTCAGCCATGCTCGTCGGCTCAGCCGTGCTCGNTCGGCTCAGCCTTGCTCGTCGGCTCAGCCTTGCTCGTCGGCTCAGCCTTGCTCGTCGGCTCAGCCATACTCGTCGCGTCATTCAATATCGCTAGAGTCGGCATCTTCGAGGAAGCGACTTCAGACGGCACATCGTCCGCAGGGCTCGTCGCAGTGGGCTCGGGCAAATCCGGCAAGGGTGCCACGCTCTGTGTAGGCTCGCCCGCCACCGTCTCAGGCTGCACGTCAGCCTTAGCCATGGTGTCAAACTCGTCCGTTGTAGTGCTCGATTCATGCGTAGCAAAGCTAGGTGCGGCGCTCGACACGATTGTGCCAGTCGCCGCCGGGCCAGATTCGCACCGAGTCTCAACACGTGGATCCTCGTATACGACATCTTCATCGCGGTACCCCCGAGGCATCCAGTCCTCGAGCGCATCACGAACAGGCTGGGGCGGCTGAACAGTCGGATGGGCAGCTGATGATACCATCGCAGCCAGCGACGACACACCGCCCAAAGCACCGGAGCCCACGTACCCTGTGGCCTTCCATGTCAGCCCAAGAGCCCACAGTCCCTTGGACAGGACGCGGACGTATAGAATATACAAGACGCAGGCCGCAAAGAAGGCCATCGATCCGACGAGCATGCCCAAATCCATGAGCTCCGCACGCTCCATCTGGCGGACGAGCGAAATCGAGTTGCGCAGTAGCTCATTAAAAGATGTGTACCGCTGCGACACTTGTGCGATCGTGTCGGACGACTCTTCCAGGAGCTGGGCCGAGTAGCCCGACTTTTCGAGCTCGCCCGACATGAGCGCAACGGTACGCTGGAGCGCCGTCGTCAGCTGGTCCGACGTGGTGTGCGCACGGTCCGTGGGCACGCGCGCCTCCCGCTCTGCAGGACGCCCGAGCAGCGCAGCGCGTGCCACGGTGGCCTGCTGCGACAGCGTAGCACGATGGGCCGCAAGGAGTGCGCGCCGAGACTCGGTACGAAGGCTGCGGTTAGCGTACGGGCCTACCTTGTCAGCGCGCGATTCGCCTCCTGTGCCGCAGCCTGAATGCCGTCACGTTCCTCCGAGGACTCAGCGTCGTCCCTCTCGCTCTCCAGCTGCGCCACCATCGACGCGAGTCGATGCAGCGTGGCGTGCAACTCCGACTCCCACTCGTTGAGCTCGGTGGCAAGTGTGCAAGTGCTGAGCCTAGGGAGCTGCACTTGCTGTACGTCCTTCATGCGGCGCTCTATCCCATCGTGTAGGGCCCGCACACTCGGCGAAAGGGCCGCGCTCGCCATGCCACTGGTACCTGGGTGAGCAGCGCACGGCGCACGGTGCCACGTGAGATGTCTGACTAAAGCCGGCAGTACGGCTTGGTGGATGTGGGGCCGCACCCCACGCTTGGCATCCCCATGTCCTCTCCCAAGCGCTTCTCGGTCGATTCAATTGCCCGGGTCTTGGATGTGGTGCCGTTTTCGGCACCCTTCCTGCTAGTTCTCCCTTTGGCTGCGCTTGTGCTGGACCGCCGCGGGCACTCGGTCGGCCAGGTGCTGTCAAACCTGCCGGGGCCGCGCGGCTGGTACGAGCTGCTGGCGAAGCGCCACCCTTGGATCTACCGTGTCATTTTGTGCATAGTGATCAAGATCGCGAGCAAGCGCCTCTCGCGCTCGGCGGCGAACCTCGGCGTGCCGCACCGCGATCCGCCGCAGTGGAGCAAGGACGTCCTGGTGGTCACGGGTGGGTCGACGGGCATCGGCAAGTGCTTTGTCGAGCTCGTGTCGCAACGCTACAGGGCGCGCATCGCAGTTCTGGACATTGCAAATCCCGAGTATGCGCCTGCATCGAACGGCGCGCCTGAGATTCTGTATGTCCGCACGGACGTGACCAAACCCGAGTCGGTGGCTGCCGCGCACGCCAAGATCCGGGAGACGTTTGGCGAGTCGCCGTCGTATGTGGTCAGCTGCGCAGGCATTGCTATCGGTGGTAGCCTGCTGCAGGTGTCGCAGGCGTCCTTCGCGCGCACGTTCGACATCAATGCGCTGGCAAACGTGACGCTCGCGAAGGAGTTTTTGCCTCACATGATTCAGCACAACCATGGCCACTACATGACAGTGGCGAGCTCGGCGTCGCACTGCTCGCTGCCCATGCTGGGCGCCTACTCGATGAGCAAGGCGGCCGCCCTGGCGTTTCACGAGACGCTGCGTGCCGAACTACGCGCCATCTACAAGGCGCCGCGTGTGCGTACATCGGTCGTCACGCCTACGAAGGTGCGCACGATGCTGGGCTACTCGCTCAAGGACTCGGACAATGAGTTCTTGATGCCCGTCCTCGAGCCCATCGAGGTCGCCGAGGCGATGGCCAGCACAATCCAGGGCGGTCTGGGCGCGTCCATCTCGCAGCCGCTCTTGACGAATCTACTTCCGTACTTGCGTGCATTCCCCGAGTGGTTCCGCGGCTTGGTGACCACGGTACGTATGTCTCTCTGACAGCAGGTCGGCAACACGGACAGCGCTGTCACGGCCGAGTCGATTCAAAGCGGGATCAAGGCTGGCTACGGAAAGAACTGGCACCCGGAAGACTTTGCTGCGTCACTCAGTGAGATGCATGCCGCCGTAAGTTCCACGTCGCTCACAGTAGTTTGGCAGTAAGACGGAGTAGGCAGGGCAGGACCCATCACGTGGCAAATGTCTCGTAGTCGAAATGCGCCCATTTTAGCTCTGGCCATGCATGTCGTCCTCAGCGTGGCAGGCCTTCCACGCAAGTCACTTTGACGATGCTGCGCGGCGCGCCTGGTTCGCAGGCCACTTGGCGTACGGACACGCGCCCCTGATCCCGTCGGCGCCGCTGGGGCGCTTGGAGCAGGAGGTCGCTTGGACGCAGCTCGCACCCGGCGAGCACGACGTCGACTGGCAACGGCGGCATGGCGTGCAGTACCTGACGCCTGGGTCCGCCCGCATCTTTGATGCGAGTCGGCGCTTCCGCGAGGGGCGCTGGCGTGCGGACGAGGCTCGCGCCAAGGACGAAGCTCGCACGAGCCAGACGCCAGAGCGCCGCAGTCCGGACCCACCCTGCCCCGAGGAGCTGGCAGCGCTACGCGCGCGCGCGCTCGAGGCCATGTCCAAGCGCCGCACCGCTGGTGCATGATCACTCGGTGCGTACGAACAAGCCCTATGATGCGTGTCATCCTTATTCGCAACTCTATTTCATAGAGAATGAGCGAGTGCGCCGCACCGCAGGGTGCTGTCGTGGATCGGTAGCGTCTGCTGACCGATCGCGTGGCAGACACCCGCGACGCGGCGCTCCCAGCTGAGGGCGGCGGCGTTGCGAACCACACTGACCCCCAGATTCACGTGATTTCGGGCGGGTGCCGGCCGCGCCCGCTCTCGGGTCCGCTCCACCATAGCTCCTTTCTTTGCAAACCCATTTTACGATGGCTGCTTTCCGTGCTGTGATTCCCCGCTCGGCTGCGCTCCGTCCGCGCCAGCCCGTTCTGCGCCGCTTCAACTCGTCGTTCACGCCTGACCCTGAGGCTGCGAAGGCCTTCGTCGAGGCCCGCAAGCACGCCTTTGAGCACGCGGCCAGTACGTATGATGTGTGAACTCACTCTCGCAGAGTCGACCAGCATGTGGCGCAACATCAGCCTCTTTGTGCTGATCCCTGGTGGTATGTGATGTCCGCTAATGTGCAGCGGCTGTGCTCGGTGCCTACATGTACAAAGTCGAGGCCAAGCACGCGGCCCACCAAGCACACATCCTGGAGGAGAACGGCGGTGAGCTGCCCGAGCGCCCCGACTACGAGTACCTGGTACGTATCTGTCACGCTAACGTCACAGAACATCAAGAACAAGGTAGGTCGTCTATTTTGCTCACCCGCGCAGAAGTTCCCCTGGGGCCAGCAGTCGCTGTTCTTCAACCCCAAGGTGAACTACCCCTCGCAGGACATGTAATGTGCTTGCTAGATAGTTCACCGCTGAGAATGCTTGGATCGATCGTGGAACCCTATCGCGCCCTTATACAGTGTCTACGGAGCTTCGTGCGACGTATCTCCCTCCTCGAATAGGATCTCCTCGATCCGGCGCGACAGCGCTGCGATCTCCTTCTCTGGCGAGCCATCGCCAGTTTCGGCGTCGTCGGCCGCGTCGTCGGCGTCACCGCGCGCCTGGAGCTGGCGTACTAGGGAGAAGAGGTGCTGGCTGTCGCGGATGTGCTGCTCAAGCTCCGCATTGCCGCTCTCGAGCAATTGAATGAGCGTCCATACAGCAATGTGCTGGAACGTGGTATCGTCCGACTCGAGGAAGCGAACGAGGTAGCCATGCATGCCACCTGCCGGCTTGTCCCACACCGCATTGAACGGCGCATAGTCGTCGGCCTTGCTGCTGAGGTTGCCGAGCGCGGCCGCCGAGTTGCCCTGTACCTCAATCGAGGGCGAGTCAGTGAGTGGCAGCAGCACCTCGCAGATGCCCATGTCGAGCAGCTGCGGCTTGAGGTCCTCCGACAGCGCGAGCACCGCCGCGCAGGCGGTCATCTCGCTCTGCACGCTGAGCGGCACGTGGAGCACGAGCTCCTTGATGCGCTCCACCGCACCGGCGTCAATGATCGCGGCCTTATTCCGCTCACTGCTCGCTGCCAGGTTGCGCAGTGTGCTGATCGCGTGGCACTGCAGCTCCTCGTTCTCCTCGTGACTCAGCAGCTCAATGAGCGGGTGAAGGAATCCGGCGTCAATGATCGGGCTTTCGTTCATAGGGTGGATAGACACGTTGCGCACACACGCCGCCGCGGACAGGATGAGCGGCAGGAATGACGAGCGCAAAAGGCGCAGCAGGGGGGGCAGACCGTTCGAGCGCACAATCTCGATCTGGTACTTCTCGTCGCTCGCCAGGTTCCGCAGCGCAAGCGCCGCCTGGCACTGCACCTTCAAGCTGCCGCTCTCCATAAGCCCGATCAGGCTCTGCACAAGGCGCGGCTCTGTCTGCGCAAGCTTCTTGCGGTTGACCGCGTCCACAGCAATGTTGCTGAGGGCCGTCGTGCAGTAGTACTGCACATCCGTGTCGGTGCTGCTAAGCAGCGTGACCAGGACGGAGATCGCACCCGCGTTCACAAGCTGCTGCCTGTTCTCATCACTGTGCGTCATATTGAGCAGGGCACCTGCCGCATTGCGCTGCACACGGATGTCCTTGGAGCGGGCCAGGCGCGTCAGGGGCACGAGAGCGCCCGACTTAGCAATCTTGGTCTTGTTGTCATCGTGGGTGGCTAGGTTCGTGATACACCCGACCGCATTGCACTGCACTTCCACGTTCGGGCTAAGCATCTGGCGGATCAGTGGCTCCAGACCGCCGAGCTTGACGATCAGGAGCTTATTCTCCGAGTTCACGGCCAGGTTTCCGAGCGCCGCACTCGAAGCACGCTGCACTTCGACATCGTGCGACTGCAGAAGGAAGAGCACAGGCTCCAGGGTCTCGCGTCCGACCTCGCGTACCTCCTTCTCGGTGATCTCAGCGAACGCAAGCGCAGCACTGCGCTGCAGGTCCACATTGTCGCTGAACGACAGGGTAGAGAGCGCACGCAACGGCTCACCCGCAAAAAAGTTCGTCTCAGAACGGTCTGGGTCAGACAGGGGCACGTACTCTCAAGGTATTGGAGCAGGTCCGCTACGGCGTCACGCTCGTTGTCGAGCAGGAGCGGCTCGTACTGAGGACTGCGGGAGCCCGCACCTGCGGTTAGTCGCACACACGTACAACAACTGAAGATATTTCCCATGAACAACAATGTCAGGTCGGCGCAGCGTAGGGGCCGCTCAGTCGCAGGGGGCCTCGTGGATCTCCGCGCCCTGGCTGGTGGCGGCGGGCACAGCGATTGCCCTCGGCCGAATCAGGGAATGTGGAGATGGTCTATAGGAAGGCACCCGACGACCCCGTCGCAAAGCGGCTGGATAGCTGTGTGGCATCGGCGATCGAACGCGAGCGCGCACGCTCGTCCATGAGCCGCGATCCCTTACCGAGCACCTTGTCTTTATCAAAGAGAGGAGACGCGTACTCGCCATAACGCTCCCGATCCTCTTCCTCGCGCTGCGCGCGCGTCTTGCGCACGGGCGATCGCTCGCGGTGGTGGCCGTGCGAGCGGTGCGACCTGTGCTCGTGCCGCGACCTGTGCTCAGTCCGGTGGCGGTGGCGGTGCTCTCTCCGCTCGCTGCTCTCGTGCCGCGATCGGTGGCGGGTTTCGTCGTGGCGCATGCGGGGCTCCTCACGTCTCCGTAGCTCGTCTAGTCTTCGATTCTTGTGCTCGTCCAGGAGGCTCTTTGAGCGCTCCTTATTGTGGGACTGGACCTGCGCCCGCAGCGCAGCATCCCGCGCGGCGACCCGCTCTTTCTCTAGCGCTTCGCGCTCCCACCCAGGGTCCACACTCGGCTCGGCGCCACGCTGCAGGCGCTCGCGCTTTTGCTCAGGTGTCTCGGTCCATAGCCGATGCGCTTCCGCTGGATCGTCTGGACCAGCACGCCATGCTCGCGATGTGGCCTGCTGGAAACCACGCGCACGTAGCACGCCAGGAGGTGCCGCACCTCTGTCTGCAGGCGACGGCATCGTAAGCATCCAGTCGGGGCGGGCGGTCGGCTTGCTGGCCTTTGTCTCTTCTTGCGCGGCGGCTTGACGTTGCCGTTCTTCGCGCTCCATGAACGCCTGCGCGCCTTGGTGAGCCGGCGCTGGCGCAGGGACGCTCGCGGGCATAGGCCCAATCACCTCATCGTCGCTCTCGTCCGCCGCAGCGACCATGACGGTCGTGGAGGTCGTCATGTGATCTCGCACGTCCACCTTGACCATGGAGCCGGAGCGGCCGCGCGAGAAGGTGCCGATCCCTGGCACAGACGGCTGGCTACGTGTGACGACGTCGCATGATAACGTGTTTTACGCACAAAAAAGGACCAAGCGATCTTCATGGACAATTCCGGATGAGATTCGTGAGCAGGTCGTAGCGTTTGAGCGGTCGCTGGGTATTGAGCCAGACGCCGAGGAATCGGAACCAGAGGAGCCCGAGGAGCCCGAGGAGCCCGAGGAGCCCGAGGAGCTTGAGGAGCTTGAAGAGTCCGAGGATCCAGAAGAGCGCCAGGTGGACGAGGAGCCACCTGCCAAGCGGGCCCGCGCTGAGGAGGCCGGCCCTGGCTCAGACGCTGCCCCACCAGCGCTCTCCTTCGAAGAGGGCAAGGCCCAGTATATGGCGATGCTCACCTCGCTGAATGGGACGCCGAACGAGGTCAATCCGATGGCGCCCTGGGACCGTGAGCTGCCCAAGTTTGTGCGGGAGCCTGCGTATCTTGCGCTGCCGACGCTGCAGGACCGCGAAGACGTGTTTAATGAGTGGTGCAAGTACCGGCTGCGTGAAAAGCGTGCGATGGCGCAGTCCGCCTCGACGGAGGACGCTTTCCAGCAGCTCTTGCGCAAGCAGGTGGCGTCCACGCGCACGACCTTTGCGGCATTCCACGACGCATTCAAGAACGATCCTCGCTACGCGCAATTCGTGCAGTCCTCGTCGCGTGCGCGTGCAGAGCACCTCTTCGAGCTTTGGCTTGCGGAGCTCAGCGAGAAGAAGCGGCAGCGTGTACACGAAGCTGAGCAGGCCTTCCTTGCGCTCTTGCGAGCGACGCTCTCCCCGCGCGACGTGCTGCGCGACGCTGGCGCCGCGCTCCCTCTCGACAAGGAGACGGCAACGCAAGTGTGGGCCTCGGCGAAGAAAGCGCCAGGCCTCTCTTCCGATCCGCGGTACGAGGCGGCTGGCGGCGCGACGCGCCGCTTTGAACTCTTTGTCCAGTGGCTTCAAGGTGCTGGGCCGTCGGCGCCGCCGCCGAAACGGTCCGCCGAGGAGCGCCGCGCTCATGCCCTGCAGCAGCGTGCAGCACAGGTGCGGCAGGCGCACAGTCGCCATGCCCACCAGGCGCGCGCCGCGCAGAGCGAGGCGCTGGCCGAGCAGCAGGTACAGGCGTATGAGCAGCATCTCGTCGACACGGTGCGTGATCCGTGGCTGCCGTGGGAAGACGCACAGGCGCTTCGCTCCGACGTCGCGCTGGACGCGGCGACGAGGCGGGCGCTCTTCGACGAACACATGGCGCGTCTGCGCTCGAAGCGGCGTGGCCAGCTTGCCAAGCTCTTTGAGAAGCATGCTCAGGATGCGCGGGGTGTGCCGCTCCTGGATCGCGGGGCCGACGATATCCTGCCGCTGGTACGTGGCGACGAGGCGTTCCAGAACTCGGCGCTGCCCCGGTTCGTGGGCGAGGGCGCGAGCGTGCACCGCGTGCCGATCCATGTATCGCTCGAGGCCGAGTTCCATGCGTGGGATACGTGGCGCCAGGCGCAGGCGCGCGAGGCGTTCCAGCAGATGCTCGACGAGAATGCGTTTGTCGATTTCTGGGGCCGCCTGCGCCAGGCGGGCGAGGGAGCAAGCGCGCCCGTGGCGCTTGACGACGAGGACGATGCCACGGCGTCGATCTACGAGATGGCCTCGCAGGTCGATTTGGATGCGATGGAAAAGGTGCTACAGGTACGTGCCGTATGCTCACAGCAGACGGACCAGAGGTATAAGATGTGGGCGCATGTGCCTGCCCAGCGCACCCAGTGGCTCCAGGCACATTTACAGCGTCTGCGCGTTCCCAAGACCACCGTGCGTTAGTGGGCAGGGAGAAATAGTCGCCCGTCGAGGTAGAAGCCGAACGCCGTGCCGGGAATACCGACGAAGAAGGACGACGACGGGGCTGGCACACCTGTCGCGCCCTCTGCAACGCACGGTGGCTGCCGTGCGATGGGTGTGAAAAAGCCGCGGCCGAGTCCGACGTCGGTCCAGCACGTCGCACACGGTGCCGGCTCGGTGAGCGCCGCAGGTGCGGGCGGCGTCACCGGGTGTCCCATCCACGCCAAGACACGCGAAACGATTGCGCCTAGGCGCGTCTCAGCGAGCCATGGCCAGTCTGGGCGCCATGGGGCCGGCTCGCTGCTGGCCGTGTAGCACGAAGTGAGCAAAAGGCCGATAATGATAAAACCGCAGTAGAAGCTGGATAAGTGGCGTAGCGTACCATGGGCGTGTATGCAATGTGTAGCTCAGCAGAAATAGGAACAAGAACGCGGGCGGCGCCGCCGGGACGGGCAGCAGGAACACGGGCAGCCACCACCGCAGGCAGTACATGGCGGCGGTCGATGTGGAGGCTATCGCATCTACAGAGCGGCGCCCTTGAGCTGCGCGAGGAACGCGTAGATCGCGCGCTGGATCTGGGGGTACTCGATCAGGAAGCCATCGTGGCCTTCCGTCGACTCGATATGCACGAGTTGCGAGCCGGGAATCGACTTGTGGATGCACATCTGCTCCTCCGGCGTGTACAGCATGTCCGAGGTGACAGAGAGGACGAGGACGTGCGGCTTGACTGGCGACGTGCCGAGGTGGCGCAGGACACCTCTGAGCACGTCCGCGTCGCTCTGTGCGTCCTTGGCCCATGCTGTCCGGTCGCGCGTCACGTCGTGCGCGTCGAGCTTGTCGGACAGGTGGACGTAGCATAGCGCGTCGAAGCGCGCGAGGAACTTGGCGCCGTGGTGGTGCAGGTACGATTGCACCGCGTACTGCTCGCGTGCCTGCGGCTGCGTGATGTTCGGTGACGGCGTGATATCCTCGCCGCCCTCCTCCATGAGCGACGACGCCTGCGATTCGCCCGGCTGTGCGAGATTCGACTTGCCGCGCAAGCGGCTGAAGCGGCGCTCCAAGCTCTGGGGCTGGCGGTATGTCATGAGCGCGCACATGCGGGCGGCTGCGAGGCCCCCAGACGGCGGCTCGCGCAGCAGGTAGTGCCCACCGCGGAAGCGGGTATCGGCCGTGATGGCCTGGCGCTGGATCTCGCACCATGCGATGCACCACGCCGAGTGACGTGGCGAGGCGGCCAGCACGACAATGGAGCGCACGTAGGGCGTATCGTCTTGTGTTGCGTGCAGGAGGGCATCGCGCGAGGCTGGCGTACGCACCGGGAAGCACAGCGGCCACTCGAGCGCCGTCGCACCGCCCATCGAGCCGCCCATCACACAGGCCAGCTGCTGCACGCCGAGGTAGTCTAGCACGTGCTTTTGGAGCCGCACGTCGTCGCGGACCGTCGTGGTAGGCAGGTCGGGCCCCCACCACGTCTCTGAGTCCTGCTCGAGGGGGGCGTGAACGTGCGGCGCGCACACCCAGCGCCCGTCTTCAAAGAGCTCGCCGCCCTTGCGCGTGAGGGGGCTCAGTGTGCCGTACGGCGAGCCGATCGCATTGCAGCACACGATAAAGTAGCGCGTCGGGTCCAGCACGCGGCCCTCGCCGAACAGCGGCTCCCACCATTCAGCTGCGTTCGCATTGCCCGAGATCGGGTGGCAGACCAGCACCACATTCGTCCGCGCCGCGTCGAGCTCGCCCCAAGTCTGGAAGGCGACCGGCACTTGGCGCAAGACCTCGCCCGTCTCGAGCTCAAACGTAGGAAGCACCAGATAACGCTGTGGCAGCCCCACGGCCAGTGGCGACGTGGGGCCAGGGATCTCTATCGGGGCAGCCATCGCGGCTCTGGGTGAGCCGCGCCGGGGTCCGCTGGCGAAAGTGTACGGCACGTGCCACCTCCACCTATGCAGCACGGCGCACGGCGCTCGGCGTCGCGGCGCGCTCGAGCAGCTCAGCCATGGCCGGCGACGCAGGGTCCAGCTGCGCGAGGCGCTTCACGACGCGCCGCGCCGCGAGATCAATTTCGGAAGCCTTTTCCATATCCTGCTTGGTGGCATTGTCGCGCACTTGTCGCGCGAGGATCGCCTGCAGCGGCGGCGCGAGATCGGCGATCGCGCGGCGCACGGCCTCGCCTGCCACGTCGGCCACGTGCACAGCGAGGAGGCAGCCCATCAGCTTGACGCCGTCGTCGTCCTGAAGTGCACGCACGACACATGCCAGTACATCGGGCGCCACATCCCGCGCAAGCGGCGTGTCCAGCAGCGTACCCAGCGTCTCGAGCGCATTCTTCCGCAAGTCTAGTCCGTCGTCGTGCATCACGGTAAAGGGGCCCATGCGCACCTGGCGCTGCAGTTCGGTGCGCACGCGCGTCAGGTCGTACAGGCTCGGTAGGAACGGCGGGAGCGCCTTGAGCACGAGCGCCGTGCGGCTCTGCAGATAGGCACGCAGTGCCATAACCGCTGCCTGCCGCACCGAGACGTCCTCGTCGCTCAGTCGCTGCAGGATCGCAGGTACACATGACTCGAGCGCTGGATCCAGATCATGCGTGCTGTCGAGCGGCAGTATCGCGCGCAGCGCACCGAGCACCACCGCTCGTCCACACGCGTCCGGCGCCGTCATCCGCTGCATCAGCTCATGTAATAGCGTAAATTCCCGTTCGGAGCCCATTTTCATTTGCGTGTCCATCCACACCATGTATGCCACACACTCTGAGGTCATATCTGGCGCTGCTGCACAAAATGTCGGACCCATGACTGACGTCCATACTGTCGGCTCTTCCGAGTAAAATACGTACGGCGAACGCTTGATAGGGTCTCGCAACGCACGCAGCGCACCCACATCGCCGTTCGCAAGCGCTTGCACAAAAGGCGCACGGCATGCCGGACTGCCTATCAGCAAGCCGGTCACGGCCATCGCCTGCCCAGGCACCGTGCTTGCACTGGCTTGTGCAAACACTGCCTGCGCCTTGGGCCAGTTGCGCAAGTTAGCAACTTGTTCGCTAATGGTCATGTACCCTAGCGTTTGTGATGCTGTGTCTGGTTCATGCAGCAGGGCCTCGACGCGGTCCAAGGCGGTTGGCATGCTCAGCCTCTCTCCTGAATTTCCCCGCTGTGCTTGAGACAATAAAAGAGTCACGACTCGACTTAGGGCTTTGGCGTACACTTGGGCGCCATGCATACCTAGTTCGCTGCTCTGAGCGACCCATGCATGCACCAGTGCCGTGAAAAGCACGGTGAGCTGCTCATATGATGACGTCAGAAAACTCATGGTGTCCAGCAGCACGTTGAATGAAGGCGATGACATACGGGCAAGCTGCGGCACGAGAGGCGGCAGGAGCGCATCGAGCGTTTCCTCCGCCCAACTCTGATCAAGGTTCGAAAAACGATTGACAAGCTCAAGCAATGGCAAGAGTGACGGAGAGTCGGGTGCCGGCAGATTATGCACGACCATATGGCGCACTGCGTCGCGTACGCCGTGCACATGGCTAGGTTTCATTCGGCTCACAGTAGAGAGTGCTTCTAGCGCATTGACCGCCGTTGCCGGGCGCTGCGCAAGGTCCGCAAGCAGCGGCAGGCACGTCAATGCAAACTCTTGCACCGGCTCGAATGACCCCAGCACCTGCTCGGGCGTCCAGCTTTGCACAAGCTGTAAGCATCGTGTGCGTGTCGTCTCCAGCGATAGGCGTGCATTTATAAAGGCGAGCATTCGAGGGATTCGCTCGCCAGCGCGCTCGCCCAGCGCACGGAGCGCCGTATTCAGAGCCACGAGCCCAGCGTCGTGCACGGATGCATCAGCATCGGCACGTTCGCAGCGCGCCAACACCGCATCGACTAGCGTGCAGGCAGGCCCAGGGGCCGTAGGACCCACATTCGCAAAGAACGGCTCACACGTGTGCAGCGCCTCGACACTTGCGCGGTGGTTCGTCGATCGTACCGCATGAGCGAGCGAAGCAGCGAGCCGGCTAGCCGCCTCCTGCGCCATCGCTAGCGCTTGGCAGCACATGTAGCGCACAAGGACGAGCGCAGCGATATAGCTCGCTGCATGCGCATCGTTCTCGAGAGCGTAGAGGGCCATACTCAATACGACTGGCTCGTCATGTGTCGCGAGCATGCGGCGCTCTGCCAGCTCGCTCAGCGCGGCGAGCGCAGCCGCTTGCGCCGACGCGCTCCGCCACGTCCGTAGCGCCTCTACAAGGACGTGCGAGTCGAGCGGAGCGTCGGTGCACGCGCGCCAAACGAGACGCAGCGCTGTCAGGGCATCGAGACGCACGGCCTCCTCGCGCTCGCGCAAACGCTCACACAGCGCCGCAGAGATAGCTGGAGAGGCAGCGCACAGCTCGTGTGCGTCGGGCGCCGAAAATAGTTCAGACAGCAGGCGACACGCCGCGCGACGCACGCGCCATGCCAGATCATCGTCGTCTGACACGTCGAGTGCGTCGTCGTCATCCATGTCGTCCATATCATCGGCGGCATTTGGGTCGTACGCGAGCGCCGACTGAGCCATGTGCGCGATGACAAGCCGCGTCTGCACATCTAGGCCAGCTGCGACCATCGCCTGGAGCGTAAGAAGGCACGTCTCGCGCAGCTCATCTGTCTCGTCGTGCCCGTCTGCACGCTGGAGCACGCTATGCAACTGCTCGACGCGAATCGCAGCCTGTGCCTGGATAGAGACAGGTGCCTCGCGCGCGAGCGCTTGTAGCAGCTGCACGGACGCTGTCTCGGCGTGGAAAGGCGGTGAAAGACCGGCCAGGCCACGATCCGTGATCAAGACCCACGTAGCAGGCATGCAGAGGGCCGCGAGATGCGCGAGGCCCTGGATCGCGCGACGCGCCACGGCCGAGCGCTCGCTGGCCATATGCGCTAGCAGCACATGCGCAATGGAGCCCTGGTGCGTGGCCATGTGCGATGGTGCAAGCGTCAGTGCATCATTGAGCACGTCGAGCGCGGTTGTCTGGTGTGTGTTTTCATTGATCTGTGTTGCAAGGAACGGCACAAGCACATTGACAAGGGCCTGCGTCGTATCGGCGCAACGCTCGCTCGCTGTCAGCTCCTTCAAGATGGCGCGAATTGCTGTGTTAGTTTTTCGACGAACCCATCGACGCAATATCGCGCTCCTCCTCGTCGTCCGAGCGCAGTGCGGCACACAGAGCCTCAGTCATGGTGGCAAAGCGCGAGCCGCTTACTCGGGGTGCAAGCTGGCCGAGTCTGGGTTAGTGCGTCAGCGTACGTAGTCACAGCGAGGTTCTTTACGTCGGAGTGCGTGTCTTGGAGCAGGGTCAGTACTTGCGAGACCAGGGCCGGTTCGACACGCGCGTCGAACGCTTGGCCCACGTAGGCCTTCTGCACACTGGCCGCAAGGTCATGTAATGCCATGTACCTGACATCCGCATCAGGCGACTTGGTCTCCGGTGAGTGCTAGGGCGTACCTGATCGAGGAGGGTCGGCAGTGGCGCGCCCGCTGCTCCCATACTGTGTCAACGAGCGTTGGGAACCCAGTGTCAACCTCCACTATGGGTCGCGGCGGTGCCGCTTTTCGGCGCGCCGTGCGTCAGCACGCGCTGCGTCGCTATCGTCGTCGTCATCGTCGTCGTCAGGCGCACTCGTCTCCGAGACCTTCTCACCGACGACGGCCATGGTGTCCCAAACGCCCTCCTCGTCATCGCTGGCCTCTTCGACTGGCGCCGGCGACTGGTGGGGGTCCAGGGCCAGGGCTACGGCGTGGTCGGCGCCTGTAAAGTATTGCTCAAGGACCTGGCCGCGGCGGCGCTGTCTCTCGCCGTATGGCTCACCTAGATCACAGAGTCGCACGAGATGATCAAGTGAGGCGCTCAGCACGAGCGTGCGCTGCGCCTGCGCATCTTGCACAGTCAGTACGTCAGAGAGCGTGCCGGTAATGTCCTTGTATTGGAAGAGAACGCGGCCCGTAGACAGATCCACCGCCGAGAGTCGGCGCGAAGTGTCACCCGCGAGCAGGATCTGCTCCGACGCACACAGATGCAGCACACGCAGCGAGCCCTGCTCCTTCGCACCTACCTGCCACTCGTGGATGGGGCGCGGCTTCTGTGCGGGTTCATACACACGCACGATGCCATCTTTGGTGCCGGCATAAATGCGCATGCCCTTCAGCTCGTCGTCGGCCACCGCATCGGTCGGGGCAAACGCCAGCGTGCGGATGAGCGGCGGACGCGGGAGGGACAGGTGGTCATTCGGCAGGTTCTTGGCGCGCCAAAGCTCACCTGGCAACAAGCCCCGGCCCTTGGACGACTTGGATGAGGCCGAGCGCTTGCTGCCGGTGTGGCCCGACGACGGCTCCTCCGAGGGCTCCGGCTGGACCGGCTGCTGCGCTGATTCGAGCGCTTTTGCAAGGCTCCATATCGACAAGGGCACCTGCTCCCCTCCATAGGCAAAATGCGTCGGCGTGTCCGAACGGGGTGGATAAAACGCCACATGGTGCAAAGGACTGGGGACAGTCCAGGTGATCGCCGACGAGGCCCACGCTTCCGGCGTCGTCTCTCCATTGAGTAGCTCGGTGAGGGGTACGTAGCGGAAGAAGCCCCCAGATGTGCAGGAAACGAGGCCGCTGCGGTAAGTGCCATCCACGTACGTCTTCGTCAGTTGCAGTCCGACCCAGCGCTCCACACCAACACGCATGCGCTCTTCACGCACTGTGCCGAGCAGTTCGCCGGCCTGTTCCTGCTCATCTCCTGAAGGCACACGGATAATATCCACAATGCCATTCTTGCGGGCCAGCGCAATCTAGGTCAGCCACGGACACGTACCACACAAATGGGCGGCTCGGTGGCCAGCATGCTACAGGCCAGCAGCTGACACGCTGCACCAGCGCCATACTTGCATCCTGGCACCTCCATGGTATCATATCTCTTACTCTGGGTATACAAAACCTTGAGACGACCCACAGCGTCGCCCGCAAAGACACGAATCTCAGGAAGGCTCGCCATGGGTTCGAGGCGTGGTTCACCGTCGCCAGGCGTGGAGGCACCACGGACTTTTCGCCTCTGACTAAACATGACACGCCTCTGGCTCCCTGTCCAAGCATGCTTGGTAGTCTAGGTGGTGGCCATTCATAGCCAGCAGAAAACATACCGAGGTATTGGTCTTCGTGGGTGGTCTATCTACCATGTGACGGGTGATGATGGAGCATGTCCGCACACAGTCGCGACATCGACAAGGCCGGTGTCCACCTACATGCCTCTGCTAGGAAGACGTCGCATGCTATTCCCGCCATGCGACCCCTCTTATTATATGCTATCGGCTATAGGTCGACACTGACAGTGAGGCTACGTTTGCTGGGGGCAATTCACTCCGAAGAAAGGCATTGGACGTAGGTGCACGATCGCTGCTGATGAATGGGAGCTCGTATCGACGTCGCTTCTGAGCGCTTGGCAGAATAATCGAGCCCAGGTGCACGCGCGCGTTTGGAATGCATGACACGCTGTCAACGCCTTGGCAAAACTACCGCAGTCGACTTGAAACGAAGGAGGCCACATGACGCGCTTCCTCGCCGATCACGCGTACCGAGGCCGTTCATTGTGCCACATGCATAACGAAATGGGATTCCCCCTCCACATGCTACTGATGCGACATATGTGTGGCCCTTTGAGTACACGTGCCGTCGCTTCTAGCGATTTTTCTCTAAATCCGACAGATACAACTTTGGTCGGCAAGATGTGCGCGGTGTTTATAAGCGCGGCAGTCTTCGATCCTCGGACGTCCGTTAATGCGCTTCTTCGGCCTTGCTGCGACGCTCTTCTCTGCCCTTGCTGTTGTGGGCGCTTCGCCCGCTCGCCGTGCCAACTACGGCCCTACCTCGTACCAGAAGCCCGAGGGCCTTCCGGTCAACTGGTACGAGCTGTCTCTGGCGGCTGGTCTGTCTAGCCAGACCTACTGCGATGACTCTGACATCTACGGTTTGAGCGTGGGTGAGGGTACGCTGCTCTGGTCCAAATGGCTGGGTATCGTCAACCAGCGTGTGAACGTGTACCACACCCCTACCCTGGGTGTGACTGTGGCGTTCGAGGGTACTACCCCTAGCCTGCTGTCGATTCTCCACGATGGCGAGCTGATTCTTGAAGATCCTAAGGGTCCTCTCAAGGACGCTGTTGAGGGCGGTGCTCAGATCCACTCTGGTTTCCAGGATGCCTACCTGTCGGTGGCTGAGGAGACGTTTAAGAAGGTGCAGTCCGTTATGAAGGAGAAGAACGACACTCGTGTCACTACCACGGGTCACTCGCTCGGTGCTGCGATGGGTCTGCTTGCTGCTATGGACTACAACCACCGCCTGGAGCAGGGCCTCCACCGCTCGCTGGTGTTCGGTCTTCCCCGCGTTGGTAACCCTGAGTTCGCCGACTCGGTCGACAAGAAGATCGGCGGCAAGTTCTACTACGCTGTGAACGGTGGCGACTGGGTGCCTCATGTGCCTTTCCGTGAATGGAACTACCAGCACCCCTCGGGCCAGATCTGGATCCACCCGGCCAACTCGAAGAACTGGAAGTTCTACCCTGGCGAGGAGAACCACTTCGGTGCCAACCAGGTGGGCATTGAGCTGACCAACATGTCGGACCACCACGGCTGGTACTTCCACACGGCGCTGGGTGAGCATGTGGTGGCCACCTGCCCTGCGACGGTTAACACCCATCATTACTAATTTCCTGTTTGATAGTCTGCGTATAACGTAAAGTTGAGATATTTTAGCCCAATCACTGTCTGCATAGATTGCGGTCTCATTGATATGGCACCGGGCGATACCAAGGACGGGGGCTAGTCGTGTGGGGCAACCCACGTTGGCTCCCACCATGCACACCAATTCGCCCGACTTGGAGAAGTCAGGAGCAGTAGGGGAGGATATCAGGTCGCCTCTGCCTGCTACCGACAAGCCAGACATTGAAGTGACCGGCTTATTGTCAGCGTGGGAACCGTCGCCAGCACAGGTCCGCCATGTCGTGCGCAAGATTGATATGGTCCTTATTCCCCTTATGTGTGGGTGTGTCTTTTTGCAAATGTCAGACAAAGGGCTGCTCAACTCTGTCTCTCTCCTGGGGTTCATGTCTGACATCCGCCTGGAGAACCAGCAGCAGTTCGCTTGGATTTCGAGCATCTTCTACTTTGGCTACTTGCTTGGCTGTTTTGGGCACGCGTATTTCATCCAGCACTGGGTACTGAGTCAGTACATTGGTGCTGTGGTCACACTATGGGGTATCCTGGCGGCGTGCCATGCGGCGTGCCATTCCTACAGCGCCTTTTTGGCGGTCCGGTTTTTCTTGGGCCTTATGGAGTCAGCCATCACCCCCTCGTTTATTCTAATGACAGGGAGGTTTTACACGCACGAAGAGCAAGTTATTCGTATGATCATCTGGTTTTCGATGAATGGTGTTGCGCAAATTGTCAGCGGGGCTGCCACGTTCAGTGAATTGATCCATACGCCGTCGACCATGACGATGTGGCAGAACCTCTTCCTGATTTATGGCGTCATAACCATTGCATTTGGCATCCTGTGTTTCTTCGTCATGCCCTCTTCGCCAGACACGACCCACTATTTCAGCGAGGAAGAACGCGCCGCTGCCATATACCACATCGCTGCCAACCAGTCGGGCATTCACAGTTCAAAGTTCAAATGGTCCCAATTCCGCGAGGCCTTGTTGGATATCCGGCTCTACATCTACTTTGTCGGTTGGGTCTGCCTGTGCATTGTGAATGGCGGCATTACCACCTTTGGCAACCAGATTATCCGGAGTTTCCATTACGACAACAAGCAATCGTCCTTGCTGAGCATGACACTTGGCGGTGGCGAGGTGGTCGCTGTGTTTTTGAATGCGGCTTTCTTTTACTTTTTGAAACGCCGTGATGTCATCATGATTGGCGGTCTGCTGGTGTCAATGGCGGGGGCGATCATGATGGTGGCGATCCCCGCGTCTGTGAAAGCCGGTAGGATGACAGGTGCGTGGCCGTGACTGACCCAGGTTATGCGCTTGTCTCTTTCTTCTCCGTTCCTATGCCCATGTACTACTCATGGCAGAGTGCCACCATCTCTGGGACGACCAAGCGAATTGTTTTTAATGTGGCCCTGCAAATCGGCTACAGCATCGGCAATGTGCGTTGCTTCCTCTGACATTAGATTATTGGACCGCATCCGTTCGATAACAGCTTCACGGTGGGGGAGACTGTTATGGTCGTACTTCTCTTTGTAACGATGCTTTTCATTGCCAGCGTGACTGTGATCCACTGGTATATGAATCGTGCTAAAGAACAGCAGTGTCTCAGCCGCGGACAAACTATGGATATGAGCCGACAACTGGAGATGGATTTGTCTGATTTGACGGACAAGGAGCGTCCGACTTACCGCTATCCATATTAATTCATCCGGTATTGTAGACTTCATTCATTCTCTCGTAGACCTTGTGTAAATCTCTATTTTAACTAAACCATACCGGTGCTATCACCCTCTGGATACATTATTTTTGGTGGGCTCCCAACATAGGTAACTGGGAATCATGCAGAATCGCAACCGCCCATCAACAATTTAGTTGGCGGCAGTGACCTTCTTCTTGTACTGGCTGTCGTTCGGGCCAATACGCGAGCCAACTAGACCCTTAATGATGCCAAGCACGTCCTTGAACTCTTCACCCAGGTCGTTCACGTCGAAGAGGATATCTTCCGTCGAGGACGACCGGCAGCCCTTGAAGTCGACCTCCTTACCATCCAGACGGTCCTTGAGCCACAGGAACGACGAGGGGATACCCGTAATGGCCGTCAGGGCGTGGGCAGCAACAGGGTTGATGTATTCAGTCAGTTGGATGTTGGCACCGTGCCCACACCAGTCAGTGTACGAGTTCATGGCAGCGTTGTAGTCCGCAATCTCATCGCTCACACCATGCTGCATCAGGACAGGCACGTTGGGCGTCAGGGAGGGGTCACGGCCCATCTGAAGCTTCTTAAATACCTCCTTGATCGGGGCCGCCTCGAAAATTTGATCACCCAGCGAAGTGTACTTCTTCGACATGAGGTCAGCGAATGGGAATTGGTTGTTGTTGTCGCTCAGGCAGTGCTCACGGACGAACTGCATACCATTGAGCAGCTCGGGCGTGCCGACTTTGTGGAGGAACTTCTTAAAGCTGGAGTAAGTGTCCGCAATACTGGTGAAACCGGCAATCAGGAAACCAGCCCACAGGCCCTTGTTCAGCTTCTTGGCCAGAGCCTCAAGGTTCGTCGGCGTGCCACCGTAGTACCAGCCGACAACGGGAATCTCAGGTGCGTACACAGGCATGAGCGAAGCAGCCCAGCCAATCTGGATAGCACCACCCGAGTAGCCCGAACCAACAACGCGAACATTCTTAGTGAACTTCATCTTGTCAAACTTCACAATAGCACGGATAGCATCCAGGGTTTGGTGACCCTCGACGAAGCCCGAAGCAAAGGCATTCTTGCGACCCTCCTTGTCAGGGATGGCCACAGGGTAACCAGCCTGAAGGAAGGGAAGCATGAGGGCATAGTTGAGAACCACCGACGTGTCAGGTCCGAAAATACCCTTTTGGAGAGCGTAGCTGGGGGCGCAGGTAGGACCGTTGGCGTCCTCCCAGTCACCGTAGGCAACGAGCTTGTCCTTCTGGGCATTGTACGGAATCAGGATGGTGGTCACACTCGTAGTAGGTTCCGACTCGTTCACGTACGAGGTACGGTACAGGAGCTGGTAGGCTTTTTTAATTTTGAAGTCCATGATCGCTTTAACGTTCACCTCACGCCAGCGGTAAATGTGACCGAGAGGCTTGTCCTCCCAGTTGGCAGGGGGCTCGTAGAAGGGGTCTGCCTGGGGATCAATGGCGTCGTCGCCACGGACGGCGAGACCCATGGCGCTCAGAGCCAGGGCCAGGGGTAGCAGAGCAAGAGTCCAAAAGCGCATGGTAGGCGAACTTGGGAAAGTGTCGTTTCGGTGCTGAGACAAGGCATTATTTATACCTGTTCAGTCCCACACTGTACTTGGTGGAGAGAAGGACCGTGTAACTGTTTCAAACGATGATTCCTGACGCGGAGACAAACGTCGCATAATAGTCCAATCGCTATGGCTGTCATGCCTGGGGAGTATTCCAAGAACGAGTGTTGGGAAGATTTAGCCTCCACAGTTCAAACTATTTTCTTTTCCTGATTGGCGGCTATGCTATTTCGCTCAAGTCGATCCCATGGAAGATCATTGTCCTCAAACCATTACATAACACAACGCCCCAAGCGCTATATGCGTTTTTTTGGGAACCACTAATCCAATCTTCTTGTGCACTTCGGACCTCTGCACCAGCCAGACCAATTTGTACGATGTCCCCCCATTTCTGTGTCTATTCAAAATAGAATATATCATGATAGATATCTTTACACGGGTACGAACTCTTCCTCAGAATAGCAGCAACTCCGCGGTGGCTGCGCATCTTCCGCTTTTAGGTTACAATTTTAAGCGAGGTTGCAAGTGAAAATAAGCTATCTTGGCGTTGATGGCGGACGCTGTGGTCAAGTTTTTTTTTTTTTTTTTTGAACTATGGGGAGAAAATCTTTCTTCTCGTTGCCAGGTAATAGAAAGACTTTTACACGAACATAATTTCGCCACTAGGTGATGCGTAGCACCATCCTGCTTGAAAATCTGGATCCCTGCTATGTTTCTCGGCCGTGCCTACACTGTGAGCATTCGTGCTTGCAGGTGCCATGATAGTGCCAAACGGGATAATCAACTACTATATAGAATGACCTCATCAGAGTATATACGGCCTAACATACATGCTCTTTGTCTATGAGTGTCAATGGGTTATAGCCGGCATTGCATGAAGTTTCCTTGGTTGCGCATGTGACACTCGATGGTTAGGTCGCAAAAGTCTTGGCAAGATTGGGCCATGTGGCATGTGAATTTTTTGCCCTTTTTCATGCCAAGAAATGGTAGAGACTGCCAAATAAATCGGGCCGATAGCAGACGCGCCTTGCATGCTGCAGATGCACTCGTACACCTATTTGCCTAGATGTTGCCTATATTGCTCACATGAACTTTGAAAGCTCATATTGTTCTTGTACAACTTAGCGTTTGAAAACTGTTTGTGTAAGTTTTTGGAATGCGACTGCTTGGAGTGTCGTCCTGTCTTGGCGAACGCATGTTCAGTCACAACCGCCTTATAGATAAGTATATTCACTTAGTGCGTCTTTTTTCCCACTTGGGTCCCATGACGCATAAGGTATACAGGACGGGCAGTGGCATAAAGATACTGATTAATGCGTAAATGGTAAAGGTCCATCCCAGTCCAATCCCATCAATGCTGTACTGTGTCACAGCCACGAGAATTGCACCTAGGATACAGCGGCCAATATTGAGAGCGGCTGTGACGGAAGCGGCTCGATCGCGATACAAGTCCACTAGGAGTGAATTGCTGCTGTGAGTATTTTGGCCACGTACATGGACGTAAATTGGACCATAGAACAGGCCGACGCTGTGCGTAAGCAAAATACACATACCGAAGAAGAACACTATCATGGGCGCTGCAATGTGCGTTTTCTTGTCGAGACACCATTCCACGGCGATAAAACCAATGCAAAAGAGGGTATTAAACAATGGTGCATACTTGAGGCGCGCTATGAATAGGTTCAGCTGATCGCCATGCTTTTCCTTAGAGCGCCGATACTCCCAATCCACCAAGCGACCGCCCAAAAGACCTCCTACAGCAAATCCTGCGCCTAGTGGCAAGTAACAGAGACCGATGACGATCATGTTGTAACTGTAGTTGTCAGAAAGCGTTTCTGATAACGTAGCCGTCGACACGGAATATGTTGTGAAGGGAAGCGAATACGATAATATTAGCAGCGCAATGTCAGGCTCAAGGAACATGAGCCAAGGCTTGTGAAAGCCCATCTGGCTAAGCTTGACATGAGAAGGCATCTCCATTGTTACGGACTTCTCTTCCTGGTTTTCTGCATCGCCATGCTCGACAGAGAGAGAGATCGGCAGCCATGGTTTCCAGATGCCCACCGGTCGCTTGGATCCGTTGCCTACCAGGGCCCGCAGCGTTTCTGGTAAGAGCGCGCCAAAGCACAAGAGGAGGATGCCATTGATCGCCGAGAGAAAGAAGAACACAGAGTGCCACTCCCAGCGCTTGGCGAGAAGCCCGCCTGCGATGGGGCCCACACATGGTCCGATCAATGCGCCGAATTGAAAGTAGCTCATGTATCGCCCTCGATGTGACTTTGGCGCCATGTCGCTCACCACGCCGGCTCCAATGGCAATAGCGCTCGCAGCTCCACAAGCTTGCAACATGCGGAGGACGAGCAAGCCCCAGAACACATTCACAAAAGCGAGACCCAAGTTGGCCGCTAAGAAGATTAAGAACGTGCACATAATGATGGGGCGGCGGCCAAACGTGTCAGAGAGTGGTGCCCAAAACGAGGGTGCCACACCCTGGAAAATCATGTACATGGTTACCGACAAGAGTGTCTCACCTTGGGTAATACTCAACTTTTCGGTGACTTGTGGGAGCGCAGGCATGTAAATGTTGCTTCCAAGAGGGCTCATGAAACCTGCCACGGATGCCAGGATCATGGAGAGAGCCTTTATGCTGGGTCGGAAGACAGAGTACGCTTGGGTGGATTCATCCTGCGGGGGAGACATTCTGCTCGTCCCCCGTCGAGGCTATCCACCAGCTACGTCAGAAAACAAGGCACTACCATCAGGCACGCTTCTGCTGACCTCCGCCTATTTCCGATGGACACTGGGAAAACCTCCACGTGCGTCTACATGCTATAGATTCGAGGCCTTTTGGCGCCGCTGCATCCACTTGGGGCCGTGTCGCGTGACGACCCAGAGCATGGGAATGGGCAGGAGTGCGCATAGGAGACCGATGAGCAGCATAGTCCAGCCATAGCCGATCGCATCGACAATGTACTGGACGGCAGCGACGAACACGGCGCCTGTGATGCAGCGCCCAATGTTTAGGGCCGCCGTGATGGAAGCGGCACGCTCGGGATCCAGGTCCACGAGGAGAGTGTTGATACAGTTATAGTACATAATGGCAGCCATACTCGCAAAAAACTGGAGTACGAGAGGAGCCGCGACGTGAATGCGCTGGTCCAGCAGCCAGCCGTTGGCAATGAATAGGAGGCAGAAGGCGAGATTCAGTCGGCCCATGTGCTTCATGCGTGTGTGGTGCAGGTTCATCTCGTGCCCGTGCTTATCCCATGCATGTGCGTAGTCGCGATCGAGGAGCCAGCCGCCGACCACGCTCCCCGTGGCGCTGCCCATGCCAATTGAGAGAAAGCAGAGGCCCATCTCCCATGGTTTATACTGGTAATGGTCGTACAAGATCGTGGAGAGCGTCGAGCTCATGACGGTGAAGCCGCCAAAAGGGATGGCATAGCAGGCGATCATGAGCGCGACGTCCGGCCGGGTATACATGCACCAGGGCCGGCCGAACCCCAGGGTGCGGACGTGCAACTTGGGCGGCAGGGCCATGGGCTCGCGCTTTTCGCTGTCTTTGGGAACGAGGCGCAGGGGGACAATGGTGCGCCATATCGACACTGGCTCCTTATCGCCTCGACCGACCAGCGCACGCAGCGACTCCGGCAGCAAGAGGACAAGGAACAGCAGGTACGCGCCGCCAAAGGCTGAGAGGAAGAAAAAGACGGCGTGCCAATCCCAGGCCTGCGCCATGAATCCACCAATTACCGGACCGATCGAGGGGCCTAGGAGCGTGCCGCACTGGAAGTAGCCCATGTACGAGCCGCGCTCCTTTTGTTCCGACACGTCGGAGATGCAGCCGGCGCCGATGGCAATGGCACTGCTCGCACCACAGGCCTGGAGCATGCGCAGCACGAGCAGGAGCCAGTACGTGTTGGCGAACGAGAGGCCCAGATTGGCGATGAGGAACACAAGAAACGTGCAGAGCAAGATGGGCCGCCGGCCATACGTGTCTGACAGGGGCGCCCACAGGGACGGCGAGAGGCCCTGGAAGATCATGTACATGGTGACAGATAGCAGGGCCTCACCCTCTGATATATGCAGCGCACTGGATATGTTCGGCACGGCTGGCATATAGATATTGATCGCAAACGGGCTCATGAACGCCGAGGCGGACGCACATACAACCAGGAAGGTTTTGGCGCTCTGGCTAAACGCCGAGTATGGTTCATGCACAGAAACGCTCGACGAGGCAGGCGACGCCCCAGCACCTTTCTTTTCGATATCACTATCGCTCAGAGACGAGGAATCGCGCGACGGGAGCCACGACGTCGGGTCCGCCGAATCTTCCATCGCCGTGGCGCGCAAGGTGGCGGTGGTCGCTACTTTTTTTACCTCCGCACGTGTATGGCCTCCACCGTTCGGTGGCGGGAGCTACAGCTTCGCATAGTCATAGGCGCCGCCCTTCTCGTAGGCACGAATGTAGGCAGGGCGCTTGTGCACCATCTCGACCCAGTTGCGGAACGAGTCAGGCACCAGCTCCTGGTCAATGCGCCCAGATGTTATGGCCTCGAGAACAAAGAGCATCTGGTAGTCGGCCGCGGTCGGATTGCCGTCCTTGTCGCCTCCTGCGAACCATGCGCGGCCATCGGCGCTCTCCTTCTCGAGGGCGCCCTGCGTGAAGGCAATCTTGCGCTTCAGGTCGGGGCCCACGAAGCGCGTGCTCACCTGCCCAAACACAAGCGAGACGAGCGGGCGCACAAAGAAGGGCGCCTGCTGCGGCGCGAGGAGGAAGATGAGCGACATGACGAGTGTCGGCATGAGGCTGGCTTCGCTGAACTGCGTCCAAAAGTCGTTGTCGTCCTCCCGCTCTTTGGCAGGCACGCCGCGGCCCTCGCCATAGTACTTGATCAGGTAGTCTGGGTCAGCAGCCAGCACGCACTGACGATTGCGCCGCTCTCCGCAACGACCTTGCCGCGCTCCGTGTCCTCGATCACCGGGCTCTTACCCAGGGGGTGCACCTCGCGGAGCGACTTGGGCGCGAGATGATCAGCGCCACGTTCGTAGCGCTTGATCTCGTACGGCAGGCCAAGCTCCTCGAGGATCCACAGGATGCGCTGCGAGCGCGAGTGGTTCAGGTGGTGCTGGGGTTAGGATGCGCACGCACCAGAATGATCATGATGACTATGCAAGCTACGGGGCTGCGGGTGGCGCTAGACCCCATCGGCCGATGGCCTCCATGGCACGTGCGTCGCCCTCGGCCAATGTATCATCACGCAGGAGCGTCGCGAGCATGTGCCATGGGTTCTTCCCGCCGCCGTAGCGCAGCACCTCCGTCTTGTACCGCTCCCCGGCCTCGCGCGAGAGGGGGTCCGGGCGGAACACCTGCGCCCATACACGCGCCGCGATCGCGCGGTCGAGCAGGTAGCTGTAGTACGTCGCGCCGTAGCCAAACAGGTGCCCAAACTGCCCCTGCCACGTCGCGTCTGGCACGGGGGGGAACAGGCCCATGTCGCGCTGCACGCGCTCGAGCTCGCGCGATGTGCTGAAGTGGGCGTCGCCCGCGCGTGCCGAGTGGTACTGCTGATCGATGGTGGCGAGGAGGATCTGCTGGTGCGCATCCAGCACGTCAAGGCGGCGCTGCGCGTGTAGATGCGCCTCGAGCTGTGGGTATGGCAGCGGCGCGCCGCTCTGGTGGTGGTGCGCGGTGAGCTCCACGACGCTCGGGTCCGTGAGGAAGTGCTCCATGAGGATCGACGGCAACTCGACAAAGTCGGTCGCGCAGCGCGTGCCTGAGACGTTGTGGTACTCGGTGCGCCCGATCATCGAATGCAGCGCGTGCCCCATCTCGTGGAAGAGCGTCTCGACATCGTGCCAGCGCAGCAGCGTCGCGCCGCCGACGCCCGCCGTCGGCGCAGCAAAGTCGGTCATGAGCACAACGACCGGCAGCTGGAACCGGCCGGGCCGCCCGCGCGCCGTGACACCATGTACGCCGAGCAGCGGCTCCGTGTCAATGTCGGCCGGGAGCCCCTCGCTCGCTCCCAGCGCCACGTCGTCCTGCGCGTCGTCCCAGTCCAGGCGGCGCGAGCAGCGCACCGTGTAGTGGGCCGCGCTGGGCGGTTTGCCTGCACGGCTAAACAGGTCGCAATAGATCGCGCCAATCACGCCGCCTTCGCGCTCGTCCACGACGTCGAGCTTGAGCACGTCGCGGCACCACACCTCGCCGGGCTGTACCTCTGCGGCGCGGAAGTGAATACCGTACAAGAGATAGAACAGGCGCGAGAGGCCCGCAAACACCGAGCCGAGCGATAGGTACGGCGAGAGTGGCGCGAGGTGCGCCGGCTGATACTGCTGGAGGTACGCGTCCGCATAGTACTCACGGTCCCACAGCGCGAGCTGCGAGGAGCCTTCCTGCTCCTGCTTCAGGCGCGAGAGCTCCGCCATCACTCGCTCGGCGGCCGGGCGCTGCGCCGCGGCGATCCGGTGCAGGAAGCGCTCAGCATGTGCGGGCGTCCCGGCCATCTTATCGACGAGCGCCATCTCAGCGAAGCTGTGCTTGCCGGTGAGCGTCGCGAGCGCGTAGCGCGTGCGCAGCAGCTGCTCCAGCACTTGCACAGGCTGCGTACGCCCCGTGTACGAAATCTCGTACGCAAGGCGCCGCGCGCGCGCGTCAGGCGCATGCCTCGCGATGTAGTGCACCTCCCACGACCCGGGCATGACCGGCACAGCGCGCGCGCGGCTGAGCAGGCCGGTGCGCAGGCCGAGCGGCGACGTGTCGAGGCCACGCAGCAGCTCGACGGGAAACGCAACGGGCGCGTCACTCGCGCCCGTTGCCATGTCCTGGAGAAAGGCGCGGCCGAGCACCATGATCTCGTCGCTGAGCTGCACGAAGCGCTCGCGCTCGTGCGGCGGCAGATGGATACCCGACTTTTCAAAGTCGCGCAGAAAGATGATCGCGACGGCGCGCGCCTCCTCCGACAGGGCGCGCCACACGTCTGCATCGGCCATGGCGCGGCGCAGGGCCTCGTAGAGGCCCGTGTGCGTGTTGAGCACGTTCATAAAGTTGCACAGGTACTCGTACGCAGCGTTCGCCGCCTCGGCCCAAGCGCCCTCGGGGTGCGCGTGGCGCACGAGCTCCGCCATGTCGATCACGCCACACAGCATGTCGCTGAGTCGGTCGAGGTGGCGCACGACGCTCGCGAGTTCGGCGCGTGGCGCATCGGGCGCCGCCGCGCGCGCAAGCCGGTTGACAAGGAGCTGGCACCGCACGAGCGTGCGCTGTGCGAGCACGCCAAAGTCGCCGGGCGTGCGCAGATGGTCGATTTGGAAGAGACCGGTCGGCGCGCCCTGCGCATGGACCTGCGCTGGGCGATCGAGCAAGTCGTGCAGCACCTGGTGGTCGCGCTCCACGGCGAGCGGGACACCGCGCGCGAGCGCCGTGGCCGACGCCGTGTCGGAGCGTGCCATGTGCAGGCACCGCCTGGGCGCCCAGCGCGCGGCGCGCGCAGCGAGGCGAGGCAACAGCATTGTGGAGGGAAGAAGGAAGCTACCGACTAGAAGCGCACGGCAGGCGCCCGCTCCACCTGGTCGAGGGGCACCTTGTGGCCGACGAGCTGGCGAATGTCGCGGATGCCGTAGCGGATCATGGTGGGGCGCTCGAGACTGAGGCCCCATCCGAGCACGTTGACGCCCTCTGGGAGGCCCATGGGGCGCAGCATCTCGGGGCGGAACATGCCGCTGTTGCCGATTTCGACCCACTTGCGGAGACCCGCATGGTACGAGAAGATCTCGAGGCTGGGCTCGGTGTACGGGTTGTATGCGGGCTTGAAGCGCAGGTTGTGTACGCCCATCTTGGCGAAGAAGACCTGCATGAACCCGATCAGGTCGCCGAGGGTGATGCCGTAGTCGGCCACGACGCCCTCGACCTGGTGGAACTCGGCGAGGTGCGTCGCGTCCACGGCCTCGTTGCGGAACACGCGGTCGATCGAGAACAGCTTGGCGGGACGGAAGCCGCCCGGCTGGTTCGCGATCTGGTACAGCATCGCGGACGACACGGCCGTGGTGTGCGTGCGCAGCACGAGCTTCTCGGTGACCGCGCGGTCAAATGGATAGCGGTAGCCAATCGAGCCAAACGCGCCCTTTTCGTGCACGTCAATAACGCGCTGCAGGTACTCTTCCGGCACATGCTTCGCCGCCGGCGGGTCCGCGACAAAGAACGTGTCCTGCACGTCGCGCGCTGGGTGCTGCTGTGGCACAAAGATCGAGTCGAAGCACCAGAAGCTCGAGTCGACAAACCGGTTCGTCGGCATCTCGCTAAAGCCCATGTCGAAGAAGATGTGCCGGAACTCCTCGCGCACCTTGAGCAGGGGGTGCAGCGCACCGGCGGGCGGCAGCACGCCCTCCGCGTCGAAGTTGTACTTCTTGAATGCCGCGTCTTTCCACGCGCCGGACGCCAGCATATCGGCCGTGAGGTCCGTCTCGAGTTTCTGCACGGTGAGCGCAAACTGCGGGCCCTTCGCGACCGAAAAGTAGAGGAACTTGCGCTGGCCCAGCATCTTGCGCTTCTTCAGCTCGGCGATCGTCTTGTCAGCACCCGGCGCCGCGAGCGTGCCGGTCCGCGCAATCTCGAGCAGCTCCGCCCGCGTCGTGTCGGCGACCGTCCCGCCCAGCGTACTTTCCGCGCGCGCAAAGGTGCCGTCAGGCAGGCGCCGCGCAATGCGGTTGCGGAACGCACGCGCCTGCGCAAGCTTGAACACGTCCGCGCCGAGCGCCGCCTCCAGCTCCGCCTGCGCGAGGCCCTCTCCAGACGCCGGGAGCAGCGTCCACAGCCGGTGTTCCGGCGCACCGAGGCGCACCGTCTGGCGGCCGTCCAGCGTGAGAAACAGGTGCTGCTGCTCCACACTCGAAAACACGACCATCTCCTTGCTCTGCAGCGAAAGCAGGACACCCTGCAGCGACAGCTGCCACGTCGCCGCCGCCTTGTGCGCGGCCTCCTCGGCCTGCAGGGCCTCGCGGTCCTGCGCCTCGCTCGTGCTCTGCTCCACGCCCGCCGCGCACGCCGCCTGCGTCAGCGGCTGCACCGGCGCCATAGTGCGCGTGTCTTGAATCTCTCCACCCGCGGCATCGAGGCGCGCGAGCACCTGCTCCGCAGTCAGTGCGTCTCCCGCCATCGTCGACGTCCAAGGCCCGCCGCCGGCCCTGCCGCCTTGTCTTCCATCACGTGATGCCCTACCAGGCCGTCCACGCGGCTCGTCGCCGTCGATCGCGTGCATGGCGGACGAGGCGGGGATCGCCTTGGACGATCTCGGTACAGACCTGGCGCCCGCGCCGGTCAGTGCCGGGGATGCGGCGCTACATGCTATGCTGGAGCAGCGCAAACTCGCGCACCAGGTGCCGGTGCCCACCTCTGACGTCCAGGTGCGCGAGCGCCTGCGGCAGTATGGCGAGCCTATGACCCTGTTTGGCGAGCGCGAGCCGGACCGGCGCGCGCGTCTTTTGCAGGTGCTGATCGCGCGCCACGGGAAAAATGCCGTGAACTTGTCGCACGCGCCGTCCGCCGAGGCGGCGGACGAGGACGAGGAGGAATTCTACACCGAGGGCTCTACTGACCTCCTCGTCGCGCGGCGGCGCATCGCGATGGACTCCCTTTCGCGCGCCAAGGCGCGCCGCGCGTACCAGCGCCGCGAGGCGCGTGTGTCGATGCAGGACGTCGCACAGCTCCGCAAACAAGTGCTCGAGCCCCTCAAGACGTGCCAGCTGCTCGGCTCGCAGATCGCCGGATCGCGGCCCATCTCCATGGTGCGCTTTGCGCCAGACGCGTCCATCCTGGCGACTGGATCATGGTCTGGCCACGCGGCGCTGTGGTCGCTGCCGAATGCGACGGCCCGCGGCGCGGCACTCGCGGGTCACGAGGACCGCATAAGCGGCCTGGCGTGGCACCCGTGCGCCACACTCACGCAGACGCCGAGCGCGGTGAACCTTGCGACGGGCGCGGGCGATGGCACCGTGTGCCTCTGGTCGCTCGCGGACGAGCGGCCTCTCCTGCGCACGCTGCGCGGCCACGAGGCGCGTGTGTGTCGCACAGCGTTCCACCCGATGGGTGACTATCTCGTGAGTGCCTCGTACGACGGAACGTGGCGCCTCTGGGACGTGGAGCGCGGGCTCGAGCTCCTGCTCCAGGAAGGCCACAGCCGCGCGGTGTATGCGATTGATGTCCACGGCGATGGCTCGCTCGTAGCGTCGGGCGGCCTCGATGCGATCGGGCGCCTGTGGGACACACGCACCGGGCGCACGGCCATGGTGCTCGATGGCCATGCGCGCGAGATCCTCAGCCTTGCCTTCGCGCCGAACGGCTACCACCTGCTCTCGGCGTCCGGCGACGATACGGTGCGTGTGTGGGATCTGCGCACGCTCAGCACCGTCTACACGATTCCTGCGCACCGCTCGTCCGTGGCGGATGTGCGCTTCTTCACCGCGGCGAGTGAGCGGCCCCGTGCACCGGCGCCCTGGTGGGCCGGCAGCGACGTGTCGATGGATGTGGACGACGCAGGCGATGCGCCAGCGCTGCGGCGCTCAGGCCTCTACTTTGCCACGGCGGGGTACGACGGGCTCGTCAAGCTGTGGAGTGCCGACGACTGGCAGCTGGTCCAGTCGCTGCGCGGCGACTCGGGCAAGGTGATGAGCGTGGACATTAGCGCCGACGGGCAGTATATTGCGAGTGGCGAGTGGGGGCGCACGTTCAAGCTCTGGGGGTCGCTATAGCTATGGTACAGGTAGCTAGTCCATGTGCATGCCCATCGAGAGGCCGTCGTCGCCGGCGCGGACCAGCGCGCTCTTGCGCGCGGCGACCTTGACCTTGGGGCGCTTGGCATCGGCCTGGATCGCACGGCGCAGGTGCTCGTGCCGGTGCACGGCGAGGCGGTCGACGGCCTTGGCCTTGGCCTGGACGCTGCCGCCCGCGGCCTTCGCCATGCGCGCACGGTAAAACGCACGCTCGCGGCGCGCCTTGATTTCCTGGATGCGCTGCATCGCAGCAAGCGTCGCCTGCACAAGCTCGCGGTCGTAGCGCACAGGGATGTTGCGGCGCTTCTCGAACTCGAGCGTGGTATCGACGGTCATTTCCTTGCCGTGCGCCTTGCGGAACGCCTTGGTCCAGCGCACCTTGCGCGGGTTGCGCTTCATCTTAAAGTTCTTGTGGCATTTCGACTTGCAGAAGCGGAACACCTTGGCATCGTTGCGTACAAACGTAATGCCCCGCCCAGGGTACGACGGCGCCGAGCAGAAGTAGCAGTGCTCCACCCTCATCGTGCACGGTGGGTGGCAACGAGGCGCTCGCGGCGAGCAAAAAAAAAGTCGGCCGAACTCCACATCCCCACGTCGCCCGCCGGGCCGTGCCGCGCAACGCCCGTTCTCGTGCGATGGGCGAGACGCGCATCGACATGCGCGCCGCGGGCGCGGCGCGCGACGACAGCCACGCGGCCCGTGTGGCACTGCCAGTCGCATGGTTCCGACGGCGGAAAACGCTCCTCTTCGCCACGTTCGTCCTCGTGTGCGTGTGTGTGTGGCTGTGGGTCGACCCATCGGCGATGCCTGCGCCGAGCCTGCGGCGCAAGCGCGTCGATCCTGACATTCGCAAGCTGCTGCGCACGACGCCTGGTGCCATCCCAGGCATTCCAAGCCCGCCGGGCGGCCATGAAGGTCGCAATGGCGAGCCGTACCCGTCGCGGCGTGACCTGACGACCTTGCTGATCGAGCATCTGCGCGAGCCGTCATTCCGCGTCGACGAGTCGGTGTGGCGCGAGTGGGCTGCGTGGCTCGAGCCGGGCGCGTGGCCGGACGATGCGCATGTGCAGTTCCTTACGGAGCTCAAGCGCATCCACGGCGGGGACCTCGGGGACGTCAAGCGCTACTTGCACAGCCCGATCGCCTGGGAAATGTACCATTTGCAGCTGGAGCCGCTCACCGTCTTCTCCAAGTCGTACTGCCCATACTCGCGCGGTGCCAAGAGCCTGCTGACCGACTACGGGGCGAACTTTACCGTGTATGAGGTCGACTTGCGCTACGACTTTACGCACATAGCGCCGCTGCTGTGGGCACTCACGGGCCATCGCACCTACCCGAAGGTGCTCACGGGCTCCCACCTGGTGGTACGCTCTCTCACTGACAGCAGGGTGGCTTGGATACTCTACAGGACCTGCACGATCGCGGCCTTTTGGAAGGCGTACTCCATGGCGCCGGCGCCTTATAGTACATCACTTTTTCTTGCCTTTTTTCTTCTTGCCGCCGCTCTTCGGCGCGGGCGCGGGCGGCGCGGCGCTGGCCGGCTCCGGCGCGGGCGGCGGCGCCTCGATGCCCGACATCGCCTCGAGCAGCAGTCGCTGCAGCTCGTCAAAGCGGTTCAGGATGATCTGCGACTTGGCTCGGTACTTGAGCGTCTGCGTCAGCGCGGGCGACGTACGACGTGGTCGTCTGTGATCTTCACAACGAGCGTCTGTGTCTTGGGCTGCACCTTGAGCACAAGGCGTGTCTGCGTAAGTAGTTTCTACGTACACGCTCCGGCTGCGCCGCTTGCAGCGCGAGCGCGCGCGCCTTGAACTCGCTCCACCGCTTCACATACACCATGGCGGCGTGGAGGAAGGGGCGGTCTTCGCTCACGTGGCATACATTGGGGAAATATGTAGCTCGTCGTGCGCGGCCGCCGCCGGCGCCGTAGGTCACTGTCGACATGTCGGACGTGGCGGTACGTGCGCACCGCTGACCCAGTCCTTCGCTACGCTCCTGTACGAGACGATTGCACAGAACAAGCTCTCTGGCTCGCGCGTTCATCGTGTGACCGACAGCGCTACAGATGCCCTGCGCGTACGTGACGGTACTGACCGCAGGACCCCAGCGGCCTGGCTGCGACCATGCTCAAAGCGCACATGCGCGCTAGCGCATCGACCAAGCTCGTGTCGCTCTACCTATTCGATGCCATTGCACGACATGCGCAGGAACTAGCGCGCCGCGGCGGCACGGCCATGGCGTCGAAAGACGACCCCGCGGCGCTCGCTGCCAACGCCGCGGCCCTGCTGCGCGCGTTGCACGAGCCGGCCGTGCAGGTCGGCATCGACAGCCTACGCCATGTGCCGCCTGAACAGCGCGAGAAGGTCCGCAAGGTCGTGGATATCTGGAGCCGCGCGGCCACCTTCCCTGCGCCCGTCCTGCAGCGCATCCTCGACCATGGCACACGCACCGAGGCACCAGCGCCCACACGGGCGGCGCCCCCACCGGCGGCCCCACGAACGGCGCCCCCCCCAGCGCCAGCGCCTGTGCCCCCGACGCGGACCGCCTCGGCGCCAGCGCCAGCCGCGGCGCCCCAGCTACCCCCGCATGTACTGGCGCTCCTCGGGCAGGCGCCGCCCGCAAGCGCAGGTGCGCCGGCCCCGCCGGCCCCGGCCCCTGCCTCCTCTGTGCCGAGCCCCCAGCCCGAGCCGGTGCGCTCGCCGATGGGCGCTGCAGGCCCCGGCGCGCCCCGCGCGGGATCGCGTGGCCCAGCAGAGCCCGAGGACCTACGTGCCTTTGACCAGTCTACCTTTGACCCGACCAACTCCGCACACTGGGAGCGCCTCGCGCGCCTTTGGAAGAACACGTACCAGTACGAGGCGTCGGGCCCCGAGCTGATGATGGCGCTGAGTACGTATCTATGACTAATGCAGTGTCGGGCGCGTTGTCGAAGGAGCAGGATCCGCGCTGGGCGGCGATGCCACCGATGACGGGTATGCCTCCAATGCCGGGCATGCCCCCAATGCCGGGCATGCCCCCGATGCCGGGCATGCCTCCGATGCCAGGGATGCCCGAGTCGGGCCGCGGCGCGGACGGCCGCCGTGCTTAGCGTCATAGATACCCCTCGCGCGCGACATAGCACGTGACACGTCCCTGCGCGTGCCTGGCAGGCGCGGTAGACGGCGGCGAACAACACGACCCAAGCGCTCGTGGCGGTGAGCAGGGCTGGACGCCACCTGGTGGACATGCACCTGGATCCTCCGCTGCCGGCACCCGGTGTGCCGGCCACGCGGCAACGGAGCCGGACGTTCGTTACGCGCCCCCGCTCGTCCGTGCTCATGCTCTCGAATATGGATCGTCGTCTGTCACTGGGCGAGGACATGTCCCAGGCCCTGGCGTGGACACGTATGGTGCCTCGCGAGCCTGGCCCAGGTACCTCGCGGCATCGCCACACGGCCTCTGACGTCGACGCCCTCGCTCACACGCCGGCCCTGCAGCGCCAGATGACGCAGCGCCGCGCCTTGGCGCTCGAGCTGTACGACTCGGAGAAAGCCTACGTCCGGGGCTTATGCCTGATCGACACGTACTATTATACCCCTCTGCTCACTGCCGCCCAGCAGCCTGTACCGATTGTGTCGCGCAGTGCGCTGAACCGCATGTTTGCCAACTTTTACGATATCCTGCAGCTCAGCAAGGAGCTGCTGTGCCGCCTCGACGAGCGCGTGGGCGACGGGAGTCCTGTGGACGCGCCGTGGGACCCACTGCAGGACGAGGTTGGCGACCTGCTCGCGCCCATCGCGCCGTTCCTCAAGATGTATTCGCTCTTCATGCAGAACTTCTCGCAGGCGATGCAGAGCATCGAGGCGGAGCGCCGCGGCAACGAGCGTTTCCGGCGCTTTCTCACCGATGCCAACCAGAAGACGCACGCGGAGCACCAGCGCGCGATGGCCCTGGGACTCGAGGCGCAGATGCTCACGATTGTACAGCGCGTGCCGCGCTACAAGCTCCTGCTGCATGGCCTACTCGTCCACACGCCCGAGTGGCACCGCGACTATGCGCTGCTGCGCCAGTCGTACACGGTCGTGGACCACACGGCTTCGTACATTAACGAGCACATGCGGCAGCACGAGCTTACCCTCACGGCCCTCGAGCTGCAGCGCACGCTTCTGGGCCTCAAGGAGCCGCTCGTCGTGCCTGGGCGCCGCCTGCTCAAGTATGGCACCCTGCTCAAGACACGCCGCAAGGATATCCAGCCGCGATGCCTCTACCTATTTTCCGACTGTCTCGTCGTATCGAGTGCCAGCGCCGACTCGGTCGCTCCCACGGACCTCGAGGCGCCGCTTGAGCGCCCGCGCTCATCGTACAGCGACGCAGCCGATGCGCCCGTCGCTCCCGCAGCGACAAGTCTGCACCGCCTGCCGCGGATGAGCATGCAATACCTCACGCACAAGCTGCCTCTCACGGACTTGACCGTCATTGGCTACGACGACCTGCCGCTCCGTGTGGGCGCAGGCGCGCCTGCTGCGTCGCCGAGTCTCCCCGCGTCGGCCAGCATGCCCAACCTGGCCGCGATGCACGCGGACCCCCGCGCAGTCTTGCGGCACAGGTTCGAGGTCCTCTCGCCCCACTGCAGCTTCTCGCTCTATGCGCCGACGCGCGGCTGCCAGCAGCGCTGGGTCGCGGCGATCCGCGAGGCACAGGACGAGTACCGCGCGAGCCTCCCGTCGATGCGCCAGAGCACAGAGCTTGCGTCGCGGCCAGCGTCGCTCTCGTCGTCCGCGAGCAGCGACGCGCTCGACGAAGAGCTCGCTACGCCTGCCGCGCACCTCAGCCTATCCCCTGGCGAGGCACAGCCGCATGCGTCCTCCTCGCTCTCCGCGCCCCTCTTTGGCCGCAACGAAGACCTGCCCGCGCTCGAGCACTACCTCGCGCCCGTGTGGGTCCCCGACAGCCTGGCGGCACGCTGTCGGCGGTGTGGCGAGCCATTCACGCTATGGCGCCGCAAACACCATTGCCGTCTCTGCGGCCACGTATTCTGCCATGCCTGTGCATCGAACTACTTCCGGATCCGTGCCGCCGGAGATCTCCATGCGGATGTGCGCACACGCGCGTGTGTCGCGTGTTTCCGCTCGACGTTCCATCACGCGCCTCGGCTGCAGCATTCCGAGGCCCACACGGTCAGCGGGCCGGACCCGCTGGCCTCGCTCGCGCCGCCCGTCGTACCTCTGCCCGTGCTCATGTCCGTTCCCCAGGACGCCACGCACCCGGCGCACGACCGTCGCTGGTCGATCGTGAGTGTGCCGCAGGACAGTCCCTCGACGCCGCGCGTGCAAGTTCGCACAAAGACAACGGCGCCGCCTGCGCGCGAGGAGTCGCCCGTACAGGACTCTGCGCCCACGACGCCGAGACGTCTTGCGTTCGCGCCGCCGTCGCCAGCGGCGGCGTGGCTCAAGTCGCTGCTGCGTTCGCCAGCGCCGCCGCTCTGTACGCCATAGTACCACGTGGCCCGTGTTCCGTCGCCTCCACGCACCCACCGCGCAGGCCTCGCGCGTCTTGCGATGCCTGCGCGCGGCTCCGGCCCCGTCGTCGGCACGTCCGATGCGGAGGAGGCGGTGGGGTGGGGCAGCGATAGTGGCGCTGGCGATCTCGTCGATACGAGTCGCTGCTCACGCCACCATACTCTGTTTGGCACCGAGCCGCGCCGTCGCGCGCGTGCCTCGGCTGCCCCGCCGCCGCCAGCGACGCCGGCGCCGGCGCCGGCGCCGCGCCACCACCTGCGCACGCGCAATATCGCACAGATTCACCCATATACCATCGAGGCTCTGCGGTACCGCCGCGAGCTGTACGCGAATGATTGGCAGGACGCCGTCGTGTCCCAGCGCGAGTGGCGCCGCCGGCCCCTCTTGGAGGAGTCCGAGGCGCGCAAGACAGCGTCGCCGTCGCTCTCACCGCCAAGGCGCACGCGCTCGCCGTCTGCCACCGATCCACCGATACCCTCCGCGAGCTCGCCGCGCTCGGCGCGCGCGAGTCCAGCGCCGCCATCGCCGTCCTCCTCGGATAGCACGGACTATGAGCGGCGGTTCCGTGTGCTCAAGCGCATGATGCCTGTTCACATGGCGCGTGCCTGCATTGATGACCTGCGGGCGATGCGGCATGGCGTCTCCAGCGACTCGGACGACGAAGTGCCTGCACGGCCCCGCGCCGAGCCACACAGCGCACTCCAGCCCGGCGAGTCGCGGCGCCGACTCCGCCACACCGCCGAGGCGGCGCGTGCGCCCCTTCTCAGCGACGTGTCATCGAGCGAGTCTGCCTCGGACACCCCACCGCCGCCCTCACCCCGCCTCCGCAACGCGGACCTGCGCTGGTGGGCCGTGCGACGCCGAGCGCCGTCGCCCGTGCGCGAAGGCGACGTGATCGATCGCATGCTCTCACGCGCTACGGCTCAGCGCGCACGCCGAGCCCCTGCGTCCGCACGCAGCACAGCACGCAGCAAGGGATCCCCAGGCGCGCGGCGCAGCGCACGCACGACCCTGCCGACCTGGCTGACCGGGCGTCGAGACGCGTCGCCAACGCCACGCGCCCAGGCGCACCACGCCGGCACCTATGTGCTCCCTGGCGCCGGCCACATCCACGGCGTGCCGACGCAGCGGCGGGACCTCGTGTCGCGTCTGCCGTACGTGCCACCGGCGCATCCTGCGCTGGACCTGCGTCGCGAGGCACGTGCCGCTGCCCCGATCGCTACGCCCACGCACCCGCGGCGCGTATCGCGGGGCGCAGGGCGCGGGGCGCGGAACGCCGGTGGCCCCGAACCGGCACGCTCTCCCCGTGCAGCACCCGCCCCGGCCCTCCCAGCCGCATGGCACGCCGCACCGCCCGCGTGGCGCGACGACCTGCAGGCGCTCCTGCACTGGGACGGCCTCTTGCATGTGGAGGTGGATCTCGGCGTCGCGCCGCCCCCCCTCGGCGTGCGATTCGCGGCGGACACGGATCTGGGCCGGGGACGCCTGCACGCTCTGCTGCATGGCACGGTTCCGCCTGCGCCACTCACCTGCCATGTGCTGGGCCATACCCTGCACGACCACATGAGCATGGACGATGTGGGCGCGACCCTGGCAGCGCTGGGCGAGCGTCTAGACGACACGCGCCTGTGGCGCCCCCTTGTGCACTTTCTCGGCACGTGGCTCTCGATGCAGGCGGCACGCTACCCCCGCGAGGGCGTCGCGCTCGCCGGCGCCTTTGAGGTCGGCGCAGCGAGTGAGATGCTGTGTGCGTGGGCGCAGGCGCAGCTGCAGCGCGCGCTACCGGTCGAGCCGACCCTGCTGCTGCTGTGGTTCCGCGTCGAGGTGCAGTGGCGGGTGTGGCAGCTCGGCGCCTGCACGCCCGTGCCCGTGCTCGACGTGGCGCAGCCGCTCATGCTCCGCCTGCTGGCCAGCGGCCTTGCGCGCACGCTCGCGCACATCGCCGAGGCGGATCGCACGCCACTCACTGACCTCACGGCGGAGCTGTGGGTGCATGCGGTCCATGTCCTGGGGCGGATTGATGACGAAGCGTTCTGGGACGTGCTCGCTGCGGCGGCGGACGACTACTTTGCGCTCACGCCGTGCTCCGCGCTCGTGCGCTGCGAGCGTGCGTGGCTCATTGTGCTCGGCGTGTGCTCGCTCTCGTTCTTCTCGGCCGCCGCTGGCGTCGCAGGCCCCGCGCCTCATGTGCGTGCCCACTGGGCCACTATCCAGGCCCTGCTCGCGCGCGTGCGCCTGCGGTACGATGCGCCCGTCGAGCGCGCCGCGCCGCGCCAGCTCCTGCAGAAGCGCGATGCCTACATTCACGTTCTCCTGCACCGCTGCTTTCTCCTATGCACGCGCTGGCAATGGCCGCTCCTGCACTCGGAGTCGCTGTTGCGCCACCTCTTCGACGTCTTCGACGCGCATGCCCTGGAGGACTTGCCGTCCGAGCACGACCACGACTTTGCGCCGTTCCTGCGCCACTTTGACGCGTCGCGCCTCCTGGACGCGCCGCCCCAGGGCAGCGCCTACCACGTTTTCCTCCAGCTGCTCGGCCGCGCGAGTGCCGAGCTGCAGCAGGTGCCTGATGGCCGCCAGCGCCTCGCGCGCTTGTTCTCGCGCATGACGCCCGTGCGTGTGATGCCGTTTACCCAGGCGGACCCGCCCGTGTCGACGGAGCGCGCCAAGCTCTTCAACCATTACTCGATCGTGATGCTGTTCCTCTACTTCGAGCCGGCGTCCGCGCTGCTCCGCCTGCGCCAGATCCGCAGCTTCCTTGCGTTCACGCCGGCGGACCGGGCCAGCCAAATCGCATGCATCCGCGCCATGGTATACGCTGGCACGCTGTTCCGGCACCACGGCCTCGACGTGCAGCCTGTCGTGGCATGGCTCGTCGACGTACTGCAGGCGCTCCAAGCTGCGGCCGGCGCACCGCACCCCTCGGACGGCCTCGCGGCGCGCCATGCCGCACAGACGCAGCGCGAGCTCACACGCATGGTCGCTGTGCTTGTGCGCTCCGTGCAGCACCTCGTCGAGCATCCCGGCTTCCCGGGTCGCACCGTGTATCCCCCCCTGGCGCTCCTGCATCCCGCGTGGACACACGAGCTGCTACAGCAGGCGCCTCCGCCAGACGTGGCCGTCGAGGTGCTCCATGTGACGCGTGCGTTCCTTGCGCAGCGCACGCTCGCGCTGCAGCCCGTGCCGTCGGCGCGTGCACCGGGCGTCGACGACGTGGACGACGAGTTTGATGATACCCTACTCACTGACCCATCGCTCGATGCGCTGCTGGGCGAGGCGGCAGATCCCTCGCCGGATGCAGACCTGGCTGGACAGCTGCACACGCACCTATCGCCCGCGCTGTTCCAGCTGCTCGATTCATGGACGAGTGCGCCGCGCGCCGACGCACGCACAGCTCTCGAGGCGCTCGTGGCGCAGGCAGAGATGCAAGCGCGCGTGGACCTGCTCGTCGATACGTGGGCCGAGTGCGCGCGCGTGCTCGTGTACCACAACCGCCGCGACTGGCGCGGGTACCTCACGCTCGGCAACGAGTCGTGGAAGCGGCTGCGGGCACCCGTCCAAAAGCGGCTTGTCGCTGTGCGATTCGCGGCGCGCCTTGCTGCGTGGGATCCACAGGCTCTGGCGGCCTGCGCGACCGAGTGTGTGATGGTCTGGTTCCATGGGCTGGCCGCGTACCGCGCAGACGAGCTGCCAGCACTGACGGCGGCGCTCGCGCCGCACGACTCGCTAGTGCCGCACGGCACGCCGCGCGATGCGGCGGCCTTTGCCGCCGCGCACCTTGCCCTGATCGAGCACGTGGTGCGTACGATGCGCGAGGAGAGTGAGACACAGCCAACGCGCGTGGGGCTCTTTATACAGTGCCTATCAGCTCTGCTCTCGTCGATCCGCGTCTACACAGCACACACGCCCGAGCCGGCCTACTTGGATCAATGCGCACGACTCCTCGAGGTCGTGCATACGTTGGGTGGCGCCGTGGGCCGCGGCATCGGTGCCGAGTGGCAGGCTACGCAGACGGCGGTACAGTCGCTGGCCCGAGCGCGCCCTTAGGGCGTGTCGGCGGCGCAGCGAGCTCGCCTTGCGCCTGGGCGCTCGCTACGCAGCAGAGCACACGCACCTGGTTGGCTACCTCTTGCAGGCGAGCGACGACCTTGCCGTTGCCGGGGACGAAGCGCATCTCGTCGTATACGAGCCCGTGCTCCGCGCAGAACGGCACCACGTACCGGTCGCGCGCCTCGCGCAGGTTGTGCCGCGGCAGGCGTGGAAAGAGGTGGTGGGCGACTTGCATATGGAGGCCGCCGTGCACAAAGTCGAGCGACGGCGGGCATTGGACGTCCATCGTCGTGCGGATCTGCCGCGCAGCAAAGCACTCCGCGGGGCCGAGATCCGTGGTGTCCTGCGCAAAGTGGGAGAGCACAATCTGTACATGCAGGGGGCTCGTCACCACGTGCGACACGAGCAGGTACGCGAGGCGCAGGGGCCACGACGGCAGTGGCGCGAGCACCGCATGCACAAACGTGTACCAAAACACGACGAGACCGGTCACCTCCAGCGCGAGCCAGCGGTCGCGGCGCGCACGCAGCAGGAGGAACGAGTACGATAGCGCATACAGGTTGAAACGCGCAACGGCCATGATCGCAAAGTACAGCTTGTGCTGGTGCCGCAGGAAGAAGCGCGCAGCAGCGTCAAACGGCATCACGCGGCGGTAGTACGACGACCACAGCCCCTGCGGCTCGTTCTTCCCCGGCCGCGCCTTGCGCGGCAGGAACCGCGGGCTTATGGCAAAGATGGGCATGTGCTGAATGTCCGGATCGTGCTCGGGGTGGTTCGTCACCAGGTGGTGCACATCGTGGTTGTCGCACCACCACAGCAGCGACAGACCGCCCACGAACGAGGCAACGATTATACCCATCAGCTTGTCGACCCAGTGAATGTGCGTAATGCCCGTGTGGCCCGCGTCGTGCGCGAAGAATGCGACCTGGTGCCACATCGCGCCCAACGACACGGCGCTCAGCAGGTACGCCAGGACGGAGAGTGCGCCTGTCGTGTGCTGCCCAGCGCGGTACAAAGCGTACGCGCCGAGAGCAAACGCGCAGTACCGCGCCAGCTCACGCATATAGTGGCGCGGATGCAGCTTGTACAGACCATCCGCGCGGAGCTGCGCATGCATTTTTTCAAACGCGGCCGAGAGACGCGGCTGCTCCTCGAGCCGGACGCCCGTGGGCGGCGGCTCGAGCATGTCGACAGGCAGGGGGAATGCGCGCACACGTGCATCCACCGGCTTGTTCGCAGCTGCCGCACACGCCTCCCACGCCGCCAGCTGCGCGTGCGGGTGGTCCAGCACGCCATTGCGGTAGCCGAGCTGGATGGGCGGCATGAGGGGGCGGAACACACGCCCCCGTGCGAGATCCGTCGCGTCCTCCTCCGCCAGCTGTGCAATCGCAAAGCGGCGCATCATGCGGATCGTCTCGTCGCTGTGGTATACCTCGATCTCGTCCTTCGCGTCACGCCCCACAAAGTGCAGAATCGCCGTGTCACCACCGGGATGCACATGGATCCAGTGGTCCAGTTTGTAGACAAGGCGGCGGTGCACGACAAGCACCTCGCCATTGGCAATACGCTCAGCGAGCTGCGCACGCGTGAGCACACGGCGCGGAAGCTCCACGGCGCCAGCGTCTCGCCCAACACTCGCCCCTGGCATGGTGGCGTGAGGCGAGTGTCACGTGAATGTGGCCCTCGACTTGCGCCCGCACGGGCGCTGCGCTCCCGGATGGCCCCTGCCGCACATGCCTCGCTGGCTACGGGCGTGCCTGTGTACGCGTTAGCCTGCATCGATGAGGACCACGTCGTCTATGTTGGCGGTGGCGGCGCCGGCCGCTCTGGTGTTGCCAATGTAGTGGTACGTTGTGCTGCTAACGTGCAGAGCGTTGCGCAGCTCGAGGCACAGGACGCTGTGCCGTCGATCCGCGCCGTTGGGACACTCGCCCTGAGCTCCCAGGAGGATGCGCCCATGTGCGTCGATGTCGATGCCTCGGTACGTTGCGCCACTGACCGTAGCGCGCCCACATTGTGTGTGGCATCAATGCGCCTGGAGCGCAGATGCAGGCGGGGACGAACGACCATGTGCGTGTGTATACGTACGAGGCACGGGACGGGCAGGTGCGCGTGCAGCCGAAGACGGCGGCGCCGTCACTCGCTCTAAAGGACCCGGAGCACTACCAGAAGACGTGCACGCTCTCGCCAGACGGCCGGCTGCTGGCTGTCGCGAGCACCGATGGGCAGGTGCAGCTGCACCGCTATCCATCGCTGGAGCCGGTATTCTCGCCACACACGGGCGTGCTCTCGCTCGGCGAAGAGGTGTACGGCACCGACTTTTCCCACGACAGCAAGCTGCTGGCTGTGACGCTGGCATCGCGCATCGTCCTCCTCTCGACCACGCCACGCACAGTCGACGGCACGACGCCGTCGTTCCTCCCGCGCATCGTGCAAACGATCGCGCAGCCCCAAATCGGATCGGGCCTCCAAGGCACGTTCCGCGTGGCGCGCTTTGGCCGCGGCCCGATCTACGAGGGCGCTCGGACGCATGCCCTGTATGCCCTGCTCCATGCGCCGGCGACGAAAGGCAGCAAGGCGCGCCCTAGCTATGTGGCCATGTGGGACACGGAAACGTGGTCTCTGCGGAGCTCGCGCGCCGTGTCGCAGCGCCCAGCCACAGTCCTGGCTGTGAGTCCCAACGGACGCCTCCTCGCCGTGGGCGCGTCGGACTTGAACCTCACGGTCCTGCGCGCTCTTACCCTGCAGCCGCTGCTCCAGGTCCGCCACGCGCACGACTTTCCGCCGACGTGCCTGGCATTCTCGCCACGCTCGGGCGTGCTCATTAGCGGAAGCGCCGATGCGACGCTGCGTATGACTGTCCTGCCCCCCAACTTGGTGCCCTCGAACTGTATGTGGATATACTGACGCTAGTGATTTCCGACGAGATCATTTTTGCGGCCTTCTTCGTCGTCGTCCTCCTGATGGCCCTGCTGATCCCCTACTTCGTGCACGAGTAGCTACGCAAACCATTCTCGCCATAGCCGTTCCTCATATGTGTCGTCGCGCGATGCGTCCGCGCCGTCCATCGCCTCGTCGGCGCCGTCGACCTCGGTCGGCGAGTCGGGCGACTCGGCTCGCGGGCTCGCCGCTTCGGCTCGCTCGCAGGTCGTCACGGCAGGTGGACTCGGCGAGCCCTGCGCAAACTCGTACGGCACAAGCGTGCGGAACGCGCCCAGCTGCGTTGGGTGTGCGTCGCCCTCACCGTCACTGTGTGCTGTGACAAACGAGTCGGTCTCATACGAGTCAGAGAGCGAGCTGGCACTGGTCTCGCTCGCTTCGTCGAATGTCTCGGCAACGCGCTCGCGCCCACTGTGCAAAAGGCCAGGCGTGTGCGACGGCGGGCGATGCAGCCAGGCCACGGGCGGGTCCATCACGGCACGGATCTGCGCCATGGTATCCAGCAGATCGCGGTTGAGGCCTAGGGGACCCGTGGGCGGCGCCTCTTCCTCCTCCGTTGCAGACGCCTCCATAGGCGGCAGGCAGCCACGCCGCGCTACGGCGGCCCAGATGGCTGCCTCGTCAATGCTCGAGTGCGGATGGCTGCGCTCAGCCACGGTGATCACGTCGTACAAGAGCGGCACGAGGAATGCATACAGCTCGTGCGCGAGACCCGCAAAGGTCGCGTAAGGCACACTCTGCCCCGGCTCATGCTGGCGCTCGAGCGCGGGCATCGACAGCACTTCGTGCAAGTCATGGCGCAGCGGCGGGCAGCACTGTGCATCCATCCACACGACGGAGCGATCGAGCGGGAGCGGCGCGTCCCAATCCGTAACAGCATGTGCAGGATCGCTCCACGCGATGAACTCTCGGTCCAAGAGCTGGCGAAGCACTCGCTGCACATCGGCACGGTCCGAGAGCGGCGGCACAGGGTACTGCCGCGCCCAAGCGACGTACGCCTCCGTCATGTCGACAGGCCCATCGTCCAGAGTGTCTGTGCGCTTGGATAGCTTCAAAAGGCGCCCTAGGACACTATAGAGCGTCTCTGAGCTGTCTGTGCTGCGCCCCTGGCGCAGGGCTGCTGGGCGGGCGTGGTAGAGGAACCACGCGATGTGGAACACCTGCTCAGCCACAGAGATGGGCTGCGACGACGGCTCAGCGCGCGGATCGACGCGCTGTGCTAGGATCTGTGCATGTGCGTCTTCCCATTGCACCCACGCGTCGGAAAGCTCCCGGGCCGCAGGGCATATCGACAGAGTCCGGTGGCGCCGCGCCTCGCGAGACAGCTCGTGGCGCTCCGCGCGCTTCACGCGGCGCACCTGCTGGTCAAAAGCGCGGATCGCCCTCGTGACGTCAATCAGAGATTTGGTGTGCACGTCCTGGGCCACCAAATCTGGCCGCTGGCGCGAGTGCCGGCCCAACGCGCGGAAGAAGCGCACGCGCTCGTCGGGCGTCCATGCAGCCCACCAGGCCCACGCTGGATCGGTGGGGCATCTCATGTGTGATATACGCTGCATCTTCCACACATGACGAATGTACAAGTGTCGGTATCGCTCGAGCGAGGCGGACGTCGGCGCCCGCGCCGCCGCGCCGCCGCGCGGATCGTCCATCGCTCACGCCAGGTAGGTGTGGAGGTTCGCCAGGGGCGCCATGGCAGCGCCCGAGGATGAGGCGCCTAGTACCGAGGCGCAGATCGCGACGAACCGCGCGCTAGGTGTGTAGGCCCTACTCATGCAGCGCGTAAGCATCTGCGCGCAATGGCCGCGCAGCACGCTCCGCGTGCGGGCCCCACGACCGTGCGGGACGCCACACCGTCCGCGTCTCGTGCGCCCGCTGCGCCGCTGCAGCGCGACAAGGGTCTGGGCGACTATATTGAGTTTGATCTGACGCGGCTCCAAAACTCCAAGGGTGGTTTCCTGGTCGAAGATACCGGTGATGACGCGCTGCAGGCGCTCGAGGAGCAGCGCAAGGAGCGCGAGCGCGAGAAGCAGCGCTTGCGCGATCAAATGGAGCCCGGGATCAGCCTCGATCCGACGACGCGGCCCGTGTGCGAGATGTGCCAGTCGCCGGACATTCTATATGACCCGTTCCTGCGCGTGTTCAATGTGCGCGTGTGTCGTGCGTGTGAGCGCGCGCACCCCGAGCGGTACAGCCTGCTCACTAAGACGGAAGTGAAAGAGGTACGCAGCTATGACTCACGGAAGGACTACCTGCTCACGGACGGTGCGTGCCGGTGGCTGACCGCAGCGGAGCTCGCTGATGGCGAACTGCTCCCCCACCTCTTGAAGAAAAATCCGCACAAGTCGACATACAGCAACATGATGCTTTTTCTACGGTGCCAAGTCGAGCAATTTGCGTTTTCCGACGCCAAGTGGCAGTCCCCCGAAGGACTCGATGCCGAGTACCAGCGGCGCACGGCCGACAAGGCGCGGAAACGCACGCGCAAGTTCCAGCAGGGCCTCGACCGGTTACGAAAACGCACGATCCGCGACAATCTATGGCAGCAGCGGCGCGATGCCGAGCATGTGCACGAGTGGACCGACGCGGGCCCCAACCGGCAGCAGTGCCGCGCGTGTGGGCAGCGCATCATGGTCGAGGAGCTATAGGTGACTTAGTCAGCATGTCCACGCCGCGGGCGCGCGGCGCGTAGCTTGACCGCCGGCGCCGCGCAGCGTGCGATGGGCGACCTGAAGCCAGACGCGAGTGCGCCGACGCTGCGTGATGGTGCGACGCCTGAGGAGGGGCGGAGCGCGTCTCCCAAAAAGAACGGCCGCGCGTCTACGACGCCCCAGCTCGTGCTGGACATGCCCTTGGCCGAGGCGGAGGCACTCGCGACGTTCGAAGAGATCCCTGACCCTGTGTACCAGACGTCTCGCATGGGGCGTACGCGCGGGCAGGACGACCCCATGTGTGATTGCTCGCCCGAATACGGCCCGTCGATGGCCTGTACGGACGAGTCGGGGTGCATTAACCGTCTCACACAGGTCGAGTGTCTCCCTGGCGTGTGCCGCTGCGGCGACCAATGTGCGAACCAGCGGTTCCAAAAGCACCAGTATGCGCTTGTGGACATTGTGAAGACGCCCTCCAAGGGCTTTGGCCTGCGCGCCAGGGCGCCGCTCGCCAAGGACGACTTTGTGTATGAGTACATTGGCGAGGTCATTAACCACGATACGTTCCTGCGCCGCATGGCCCAGTACAAGAACGAGAACATCGTGCACTTTTACTTTATGATGCTGCAGCGCGATGAGTATATCGATGCGACCAAGCGGGGCGGGCGCGGACGCCTCATTAACCACAGCTGCAACCCGAACTGCTACGTGAGCAAGTGGCATGTCGGCCGGCACGTCCGCATGGGCATCTTTGCAAAGCGCGCCATCCTCGCGGGCGAGGAGCTGACGTTTAACTACAATGCCGACCGTTACGGCAACGACCCCCAGCCCTGCTACTGCGGCGAGCCCAACTGTGTTGGCACGATCGGCGGGCGCACACAGACCGATGTCGTGACGATGGACGAGCGCTTTATTGCTGCGCTCGACATTGCAGACCAGGTCGCTGAGCTGCGCGCATCGCTGCCGCGCAACAAGCGCCACAAGATTCTCGACGATGACTTCCACCCGACGCTGCACGCCATCGACTCGGTCGACGACTGCGCACGAGTCATGACGGCCGTGCGCGACGCCACGACCAACCGCAAGATGATCCACATGCTGCTCACGCGCATTCAGATGACCGACAGTGTGCCCGTGCTCAAGACGCTCGTGAAGCTGCATGGCTTCGTCGTCATGGCCGGCCTCCTCGACGAGTGGTCCGACGACGCAGAGCTTGTACACCTCGTTCTCGCATGCCTGGCGCAGTGGCCCCTGCTCGCACGCGACAAGGTCGTTGATTCAGGCGTGGAAACCCAGGTGCATGCGATGGCCGAGGGCAAGGCCGGGCCGAACCAGGCGCTGGCCCAGTCCCTGCTCGACCGCTGGGCCGAGCTTCCGTCGACGTTCCGCATCGCACGCCGCGACCATGACGTGTCGGAGGACGACATCGATCTCGCGGCGCTGCGGCGCGCCGCCACCAACGACGCAGCGGCGAGGACCGACGAGCCAGAGCCTAGCGACGACTTGCGCCGCTCGCTCGTGGCGTACCGCGAGAAAGACAGCGCCGCGCCGGTGCCCGCCCCGGAGCCGCGCGCCCGCCCCGCCGACGAGAAAAAGAACCCTGCCAAGCCACGCCCCAGCCTCTCTGTGGAAGATATCATCCGGCAGGCAAATGCAGAGAACGAAGCGCAGCAGCGCGCACGCGAGGAGGCGGAGGCGGAGGCCAAGCGCGCCGAAGAGGCACGCGCGGAAGAGGCGCGGCGCGCGGCGACACGCGCCTCCAAGAAGCATCGCGCCGAGGCGGGCGATGCGCGGACGGGCCGCGCCGAGAAGCGCGCCAAGTCCGCGCCGGTGGATTTGGGTGCCGTGGAGCGGCAACTTGCCAAGCTCGTGAGTGCGTTGGTGGTGAAGCAGCTATCCAAGGTGCGCGACGAGCTGGACCGCGACCGGTTTAAGAAATATGCCAAGGACTTAACGAATGTATTGTGCGACAAGGAAAAGCGCAACCCCAAGGCGTGGCCACCGCGCCTGGCCAACGGCGAAGTAGGCCTCGAGGAACTGAGCGACGAGAAGCGCAGAAAAATGAAAATGTTTGCGCACGAGTACATCAAGAAACTCGTGCGCCACCGACGCAGTGCAGGGTCCGGCGACACGAGCAGGGACACGTCCCTGATGCTGGATACCAGTGTCGATCCGCCCAGCGAGTCTCCGTAGGGCTAGCGGACCACCAGTGTGCCCCGCGCTTGTAGCACAAACGGCCGCACCAAACGGTTGAACCCCACGGCTGCGGTCATCTCGCCTTTGAGCGCGGCGCGGGCCGCGAGCGCCGGCGATGCCGACGACGGCGGCGGCGGCGGCACACTGGCCAGGACCTGCTGCAGAATGTGCTCGGCGGCGGGCATGTACGCGGCACGCACGCGCGCTTCCTCCGACGGCGACATAGGCGGCAGTGCCACGGCGGCGCAATGCTGAGCAAGGAACGACAGGAACGTCTCGGAGCCACCGAGTGCCGTGGCCTGCACGCGGCCCAGCGAGATCTTGCGGATGGCCAGGAGCGTCGGCGTGAGCATCGACATGTGCAGCGGACGGAGCAGCAAGCTCTGCAGGAGATCACACACCACCGCGTCGATGCTCGTCTGGACCGTGCTGCTCGCAGCCGTCGGCGCCAGCGTCGCAAGCGCCTCGGCCAAAAACCCAAGACCCTGCGCCACCGCGCTGGCCGCTGCCTCGGTGAGCGAGTCCGCTGACGCCATAACAAAGACGGCCGCACGCAGCACAGCCTGCAGCGGACTCAGCTCAATGCCTTTGGGGACGATCACATTCGCACGCAGGTCGTCCGTGGCAAACGGCGGCGGGAGCAAGGGCGCCGCGCCGGTCGCCGCAGCGAGCAGCGGCTCGCGCGCAACGATCAGCAGCGCATGCACCGTGTCGCACAGACTCTCCCGCACGCTCGCCACGCTCAGCACCTCCAGGTTCAGCATCGGAAGTACATGCGCGAGCGCCGCAAGACCCATGGCGCTCGGCGACAGGGAGACTGACGCGGCCTCCGCAGGCACAGTGCCTCCCGCTTGGACCCACTCGTGGAGGAGCGCCAGATAGTGGCTGAGCAGCTCCTCGCCCGTAGCATCGGGGCCCTGCGTGGGAGGAACCGAAGCTAGGGTTGGGTATACGGCGTCCAGAAGCCCACGCACGCCCGCACACGCGCGTGGCAGTAACTCCGCAAGAGCCTCTAGCTCCGGCAGCGCGCGCACCATGGCGCGTACAGCACGCAGCGCCGCCATCAGGACATCGGCATGCTGCGCCTGCGCCTGTACGAGACCCACAATGGCCGGCAGCTGGGAAAAGAGGTGCACATGCACGGGCCCGCTCGTCTGTGGATCGGACGCCTCGGCGAGCGCCTGCCAGAGCCCAAGCGCCGCTGCTACCGTGGCGGGGGGCGCATGCTGTGCGGCCTCCAGTCGCGCTTGCGCACTCTGCACGACCATGGGAAAGTACTCGTCGCGCACCTGCGCGGCACGCACGACCGGGCCATCGCGCGCTGCGTCAATGCAGCGCACGAGCGCACGCACTAGGGGCCCTTGCGCCGCTTCCGGCAGCTCCTCCAGGCGTCCGAGCGTGTCCTGCACAAGCGCATGCACCGCTGGCTTGCCGAGCCACACGCGCATCGCGCTTGACGAATGTGCGAGCGCGTCCCAGACAAGGGCAAGAGCACTGAGCACATCCGCCTCGGAGCGCCACGTCCGAGAAATCGTTGCCATACACGGCGCCAGCTCGTCAAGGACATGCTCTTCTAGGGTATTGCCAACGTCATTGCCAGCCTGGCGCATCAGGTACGTCGGGATCCAGCGCGCCGTAAACCACAGGGCCGATGCCATGGTCTGAGGACTCGCTGGTGTAGGTGTCTCGGGGCCGTGCGGCGCCAGCGCCTGAACGAGCGCCAGGAATGTGTGGATGAGCCCGTGGAGCGCAGTGTGTGTGGCGGGCGATGCACTCTGCACGGCTTCCGGTACCATGACTTCTTCGCCGCACGGTGCATCGGCCAGCACATGACCGCCCAGCAGAGCAAGCCAGTGCCACTGCTCCCATATGGCAGGCGCCGTAGCCGCCGTAGGCGCTGGTGGCGCAGCTGCAGCGAGCGACGACAGGGCAGTGTCCAGGCATGTGCGCGCCAGGGCCGCATACACCGTGAGTTGCTCATCATACAGATCCACATCACGCTCCTGCTCGTCGCCGTGCTCGTCGACGTCGCGCTCAGCAACCAGGGCGGCCGCTTTGAGGCGCCCCTGTTGGTACGGCGTCACCACATGCGTACTGACGTACTCCAATACGGCCGAGGCGTCCGTGCCGTGCAGCGCGATCAGCAGGCGGCGCCACAGCCCCAGCGCCTCTTCCAAGGCAGCCTCGCTCGCTGCACCAATCTCGGCGTCGTCGGAGAGGGGCACGAGCTCAAATGCGACGTGGAAGCAGGTGGCTGTGACGCGCGCGAGCGCCTCAAGGAGTGTCTCGGGCGCCACAGCCTGCTCCAGCAGCACGCGGCCGCTGGCGCCGTCGAGGAGAGACGTGTACGCATGCGTCATGTGTTGCAGTGCCGCGACATGCTCTTCATCTGCGTGCGTTAGGCGAGGTGCGAGCGCTTCCATCTGCATGTGCATCTCGTGCAGAAGTGCGGCGCGCTGCGCGGTCCATGTGCTCGTGCTGGGATCGCCGGTGTGCAGCTCATAGGTAGCCACATGCAGAAAGGCCTCGTGCATCGCCTGGGCGACCTGCTGGGCGCTGAACGCATGCGCCGGCACTTCGCGCGCCATCGATGTGGCAAGACGTGCCACGTCGCCCAAAAAGAGCGGTACGTCCGCATGACACAGTATGGGGCTCAGTGCACGAGAGACACGGCGTGTGCTTGCGGGTGTCTCTCCAGCGCTGTTCTGCTGCAATGCCTCCCACAGCTGCTCGGCGGTGCGGGAAGTCAGCTCGGCGTCCTTAGCCACAGAGGGGACGGGCACACTGCGCCATGCGAGTACAGCCGATATCGCCTGGGCAGCGAGTGCCCAGAGATAGAACAGACCGCTGGAGATCTGCGAGCCCGCCGCTTGTCGCACATGGTCCGTGGTCTGGTGCAATGCGTGCCAGAGGGGCTGCAAGAGAAGCGGCCATATTTTTGCTTCCATCAGTGCATGGCACCACATATGCTCATCACAAGTCAGCCCGAGACGACTGCCTGCTTCAGACGTGTCTGTAGGTCGATCCTCGGCGAGGACCGACGCCAAGCCCAGGCCGACGACCATGCACGCCTCGTCCGCGTTCAGTAGGTCGGCCATGTGCTGTCCGAGAGAGAGCAGGGGCGATGGATCAGCGCGGGCATGCTGACCACCGGCACGCTGCGACAGCATCACAATGACGCGAAGATGCCGCGAGCGGACGTAGGCAGGCCAAGTATGTCCGCTAAGCCACGCGCGCGCGCGCACGACAGCTACATGCAGCAGCCACTCGCGCATATCAACGAGCGATCGTACTTGACGCGCACCATCTTCCACAGAAAGAAGGGGCATGGCTTGAAGGATCGCACCGAGTGTATGGAACTGGACGGCCTCGTCCTGCGAGTGTGCCAGGATGAAGCAGGTATCGTCGATCACGTGGGGCGAGTCAGCCAGAGACAGCAGCATGGACGTGGCCTGATCGATATCCTTCTGTTGGGAGGCGCCGAGTTTCGCGCATGCATCTTGCACGCCCTGGAGCACCTGGTCCAGACGCGCATCGCGCTGCACCAGCGAGGCCGCCGCGGTCGCCATGAAGAAGACGTGCTGGTGGAGGCGCTGACAAATAGGTCGGCGCTCGCTTACGTTGTGGCAAAAAGTCCGACGGACATTCGGTCCGTGCTCGGGAACAAGCAGTGTTTCTCCCACCGACTATCATGTTTGCTTTTGTGTCGCGCCGTACTGCTGTGAACGCCACCCGCCTGGGTGTCCGTGCCAAGCACACTCTCCCTGAGCTGCCTTACTCGTACGGTGCGCTCGAGCCTGCGATCTCGGGCCACATCATGGAGGTGCACCACGGCAAGCACCACCAGACGTATGTGAACAACCTGAACAAGGCCCAGGCCGACCTCGCCGACGCCGGCAGCCGTGGCGACCTGGTTGCCGAGATGGCCGCTATGAACGCCGTCAAGTTCAACGGCGGTGGTCACCTGAACCACTCGCTGTTCTGGGAGAACCTCGCCCCCCAGAGCCAGGGTGGCGGTCAGCTCGACAGCGGTAGCCTGCGCACGGCTATCGAGCAGGACTTTGGCAGCGTCGACTCGATGAAGGAGAAGTTCATCGCGGCGCTCGCTGGTATCCAGGGCAGTGGCTGGGGCTGGCTCGCCTACAACAAGACGAACGGCAAGCTCGACATTGTCACCACGGCCAACCAGGACGTGCTTATCTCGCATGTGCCGCTGCTCACGATCGACGCGTGGGAGCACTCGTTCTACCTGCAGTACAAGAACGACAAGGCCACGTACTTTAAGAAGATCTGGGATGTGATCAACTTTGAGACGGCCGAGAAGCGTCTCAATGCGGTGAAGAACTAGATAGACTCTTTTTATACACGTTGCTTTTTACGCCGAGTGGAAATCACCGGAGTGTGTGTTTGCGTAGCCGGTACGCTGTGGTGAGCCAGGTCGCACGTACCGGAGGAGGCGCTGCCCAGGGCGCAGTCGGATCACATGGGGCTCCGACGCACGCGCTATGGAGCGCGCGTCCGCGTCGACTTCCACAGAGCCCTCGATGAGGTCCTCGTCTGCATCACTCGTGTCTTCCTGCTCAGGCCCATCTGAGACCCTGTCCAAAGCAGCATCGCCGTCCCAGGCCAAATACTCGCTCTCTAGAGGCAGTGGCATGATCGCCGACTGATCGCCAAGGCCCCAGTCCATTTGGAAGGCTGCATTTGCATCGCGTAGCCGCCGGCGCTCTAACCGCAGCGCCGGCGAGTGCATAGGGATTAGGTCGTCGTCCACCTCCGCCCGGAACGAGCTCTCCCGAGAGCGCTGCCGCTTCCGCAGTCTTGCTTCCTCATTCTCGAGAATCTCATAAAACCATTTCAATCTACATTAGCAGCTTCACATACCGGATCGCCGGTGTTTCCTCGAACATGGGTCGTCTCATCGCGCCAGCAACGTGTTGCGCACAGATGGGTTGGGCCACCGTCGTGCGGCGCGTATTATGACATAATTCCTATTTACCTGGGGCACCGTCCCCCCGAAGATGGGCCATGCGTTGCTGGTTGCGCTTCGAGAGGACCCGGATAGTGCGCTCTTTTTCGAGGTCCGTCATCTCCTGCCAGTTGGGCACACGTGAAAGGGTCTGCAGTGAGTGAATGCAACGTACGCCATCGCTGTTGACCTGTGTGTTAGCGGACGCGCACGTACCACAATTGGTCCCAGCGTGTCAAACTTGATCGTGTTGGACGTGTGCACATCGAGCTGTGCACTCTGTGGCGACGATGCCGTGCTGGCATCAGGCAACGCGAGAGGCGTCGACGCCGAGTCGCCGTCCTTCGACATGATCGTGGGTGGAGGAAAGATCCGTATCTACCTAGCTGAAGAAATACAGAGAGCGCTTGATCTCCGAGACATCAAAGCCGCCTTTTTTGGGGATGGTGGGAAGCAGGTCCGCGAGATTGTAGAAGCCATTTTCATCTGGCTCCTGGTCGCACTGCGACAGGGACGCTAGGTCCCCGAGCACAGGCTCTGCGTCTTCGGCGCCGGCCTCGACCGCATCGGACTCGGCAGGCTCTTCGGCCCGTGCGCGCGCAACCTTGGCCTTGGTGTACGCTAGCGACGATGCAGGAATCTTGTAGCCCTTGTAGCGCTGCAGGAACTCGTCACGCAGACGTACGAGAATGTCCTGTGAGTGCAAGCGCACAAACGTGTCGCGGATGATGTCGCTCATGGTATCAATATCACACGCATGCGTCCAGTAGCTGTCATGCACACTGGCAAACACAAGGCCAGCCGAGTGGCACTCCAGCGCCGTGAGGAACATGTGTGTCGCATCCAGGGAGTGGATAAAGTTGGGGGGGAAGGCACTAGCCTGCTTCGAGGGGTTCACCTCGTAGTTTTGGTTCGGGTCACGAATGTACACAGACTGCACCGCAGTCGTAATCTGGTGCTTCTTAATTTTGCGGTATGGCTGCACGACAGGCAAACCCAGCGCGCTCGTCCAGATGACCGACGTCATCTGCTCGCGGCCCTCCCGCGTCGAGCTGCTGCGCTTTCCCGCCTTGTCGGTTCGCAGCTGCGCCTGCGCAATGCGCTCCGGCGGAATACTCTTCGCAATCAGGCGCGCACTCACAGTGAGCCAGTCCTGGATCAGGTTCGCACCCGAGAAGAGGTTGCCAATGCAGTCCATAATCACTTTGGCCAGGTACGACGCCGCCGACCACAGCTCTTCGGCCGGTACATCGCCACGGTCCGCAAGCTGGCGCATCACCTGGTTTTTCGCGCCAATGAACGTCACACCGTATACTGTCGTCATGACCGTTTGCTTTACGACCTTGCGGGTGACCTTGCCGCACAGCAGCTGCGCCGTCTCGTCGCCCGCCTCAGCGCGCTTCGATAGCTGCTCAATCACCAGCTCGGCCACACCCGTGTACACATCGGCGGGGCGATCACCGCCACGCAGATTCACTTGCTTGGCGCCTTGTAGATCGCCGCCTAGCGCCGCGTAGTGCTGCAGACCATTGCAGGTGCCGTCCTGGTGCACAGGGAGCTGTGAGGGGAACGCCTCCGGTCCATCGGCATAATTCCACGCCTTGTTCAGTTCAATGCACGTGGCCAGACATTGCCAGGGATCGTCGGCCTGGAGCCACCAGCGCTCGCCCTCGAGCGGACGCGTCGCCGAGTCCTTAACCAGGTCGGCATGGCGCTTAGTAAACTCTTCGCGCTCCGCAAAGCTCGCCTTGTCGTAGCCCCATACATTGGCCAGGTGGATGTGTAGCCAGCGGAGACCCGCCTCGCCGAGCGGCTTGGCCTCGGCGAATTTGAGCAGACCGCGGCAGAGGTCGTTACCGATGTGGTTCAGGTGCGGCGGAATCGGATATGCGCGGCCACGGAAGTCCATGTTATGGGGGAAGTAGAACTTTTCGCCCAAAAAGCTGCGCGCAATCTCCAACTTGTAGTTGATGTCGCATCGCTGCGAGTGGTTTGAGGCGCGGATCGAATTCCATTGCCGCAGGCGCTGCAGATAGATACCCTTCGCTTTGATATCGTCCGGCGGCGGCCGCTCCGGCTCAGGATCAGTCATCTCGGCCGGCGGCAGATCTGCCAGCGCCTCGCCCGAGTTCCACACTTGCAGCACCACATCAAACACCTCACGGTTCACGTTCCACGCCGTGTTGCCTAGCACATCCAGGCCGGCCAGCACGACTTCGAGTCCATTGTTCGCAGATGCAGCACGGAGGTACGAGCTCTGCTCCACCGAGTCCTTGTAGCGCATCGCACTGGTTTTTACGCTGAAGTAACCGCCCGAGTCGTGCGTCAGCCAGGGACGCGGCGGCACAAGCATCGGTAGATGGCGTGGGTGCAGAGTTTCGCGCACCGACTCCTTGTCGAGACGCTGCGAGACGACCTCGTTGAGACGGATCACGCCCAGCTTCTTGCCCTGGATGTACTCATAGGCCGAGTAAAAGGCCGGCTGCTCCTCTTCCCAAAGCTCGCCCTCACGGTCATACGCCTGGCGCTTCACTGTAGCAACGCTCAGCAGCTGATGCACCAGGTAGCTACCGACACGCGCTCGAATGATTTGCGTCCACTTCGGAATGTTGCTCGCAATGTTCTCGTCCTTGCACCGCTCCTGCCACGCCTTGATGTCGCGTCGCATCGCCAGGTTCACAAGGTTGCGCTGACCCAGCATCTGCTGCGCATGCCGTGCCTGAATAAAGATCTCAGGGTGCTTGTTCATCATGACGGCACTGTACTCATTCTCAATAGCCTTTCCGATCGTGATGAGCGCGCGTGTCGTCTTGATGCCGTCTGCCACGCCACTAATGCCCTGCATGCGCATGAGCTCCAGGATCACAATCATCGCCATCTTGGACGGAGGTAAAAGGCACAGGAACGGATACAGCTGCATGTCCATCGAGCTCGCCAGCTGGTGCTTCGTCTGACGGGCCAAACGCTCCATGTCTTTCCGCAGCGTTTCTTCCAGCTTACGGTACCAGTCCCACATCCATGCCTGCAGCGTCTTGGACTGTAGGTGCCCCGCATCGAGACCAAGCTCCTGCAGCTTTTCTGTATCATGCTCGAGGCGCTTGCGTGCGGCCTCCAGGGCCGAGTGCTCGAGCCAGCGCTGCCGCTCGAAGAGGTCTGTGGAGCGGGTACGTGCCTCCTTCATCATCTCCAGGCTCTCTTGAAGAGTGCGCAAGTTAAAAGGTTTGTACAGTGTGTCTGTAGCCTTGTCCTTCTTCATCACCGGGCGCACCTCCGGCGCGTCCGGTGCTGGCTCCGCCGCCGCAGACTCGTCGGCTGTCACTTCGCTCTTGTCCAGGATTTGGGCCACCTGATCAAGCTCCTGTTGCGCGGAAACATCGCCCAGCTTGGCTGCCGCCGCGCGGAAGCCCTTAAGCAGGGCGTATGTATCGGCATTCGTGCCCTGCAGCAGCGACGACGACTCGCTCCCAGCCGCGTTCGCGAGACCATTCTGCCGTACCGTCGATGAGAACACAGAGTCCAATGAGATGCCGAGCTTGCGCGAGCCACGCAATAGCTCCAAAAGGTCAGGGCGGCCACGGGGGTAAATACCCAAGCCCTGGAGCTGCGACACGCCCACGGCCATCGTGGCGATGGTCGATGCATCCGGTCGTGGATCCAGCACAAGGCTTCCGTCTTTCATCATGTCGTCCCACAGTTTCCAGGCGTGACCAACCCATACTTTGCTGTCCTCCGCATCTGGCTCCAATGCCTTGGCAAAGTACGCATGGAGCATGGCATTGTACGACCACAGCTTCAGTGGCGCCATGGGCGTCACATGGTCAGAGCTAGACACATGCCCCTCGTAGAGCTCGCGCAGCCGACCGTGAGACTCGGCGCGCATTTCCTGCATGAGTTTGTGTGCGCGCGATATGAGACCTGTAGATAAACACGCCTGGAACAGGGCAAGTGTCTCGATCGAACGACTGGTGGGGAAGTAGACCTCGTCCGTGTTCGCATGCTCAATGCTTGACGGGGACGTGCCGATGAGCTGCGCCTCCTTCTCGTCCAGCGCGGACGACGCCAGATTGATACCCTTGCGGCGCAGAGCCAGATGGCGATCACGCACATCCATCGGCAAGGGTGTGGGCAGCTGTGTGTATATCTGGGTCTCTGCATACGGCCGGAACGGCGAGTCGGTACTCGTCGGCTCGCGGACCGCACGCGTCGTCGACAGGGCTGCCCACGGCGCCATCTGTGCTTCACGGAGCGCAAACGGCCCTATTTTGCGCCCAATCGTACCCCGATTGCATGATCCACGCAATCTTAGTGCCAATGGCAACATGGTTGGCCGCAGGGGAGAATGCACCGAACCGTGCACGCCAGCTGCGGTGGCAAACTGGGGAGTGCGGAGCAAAAAAAAATCGCGAGGGGCGCGAAGAGTCTTACATAAGAGTCACATGGACACGAGATCGTGTCCCTTCCAACGCGCATGCCGGAAGTGCCTGTGCATGGCAACTTCCGGCGGTACTATGGCATGCGCAGCGCGGGGGCTGCCGCGCGCGCATGTAGTGCCGAGGAGGAAGTATATTTGCCTCGGGATGGCGTTGACGAGCGCGTCAGATGCTTGCTGAGCTGGCTCTCACTGCACGGCGCGGAAGTGCGGCGCATTGAGCGCGTCCTGGATATTGGCTGCAACGCCGCCAAGCCGCTTCTAGAGCTGTGCCAGTTGTTACCCAACTCCCTCATGTATGTGCTGGGCGTCGATATCGATGCAGAACTCGTGGCACAGGCGCGCGCGGCCCTACGCCAGGCGTGGTGTGAGCGACAGCCACGCACGCGGGAGACAACGGTCGCTGCGATGCAGTATTTCCCTGCATGCTTTTCGTCGCTCCTTGACCCGCTCCCATTTGATCCAGTGGGCACTGACACACTACCCGCGCATGTACATTTTGTGCAGGGGGACTGGCCGCGTATGGACCCGGACCCTGAGGGATTCGACCTGGTGCTGTGTTTGGCTGTCAGCAAGTGGATCCACCTGAATCAGGGAGACGACGGCTTATTTCTGTGCCTCTCTCGAATGGCATCGCAGTTGCGGCCAGGGGGGCTTGTGGCATTGGAGATCCAGCCATGGCGGTCGTACGAGCAGGCACGCTCTCTGTCGAAGGAGCTACGTGCCTCACATGCCCGATTGCGCATCCAGCCGGACGACATTGGATGGATTCTCGAGTGCTTAGGCCTGGTATCGCTAGGTTCTATCGGCCATGGGACCGGACACGGTACGCAGACGCTTTTCACACCAGGTTTTCAGCGCGCGCTCACGTTGTTTCAGCGCCCCTTAGAGGCGGCCCATGTGGAGGTTTCATCCAAATTCACATGGCCGTGGGTCGCGAGGCCCCGGCAGAGGGCCGGGCGCCCCAAAAAAATTAGGTCCATAAATTGACGCAGAAACACCCGTGGGCCCTTCCACCATGTACCAAGGGCCTTTGTGTGTTGACGTGTCTCGAAATTACGCGGATGAGATCTGGGACGCAAGTCAGAAGCGCGCTGTTGCTGCGATCGGCGACGCCATTGTAGCAACGCTGCCGGCCAACGAGGCGGCTGACATGCTGGGGCAGCTGCCGCCGGACATGTCTGAGGCGCAGCGTGCGCTCCTGCGCGAGTATGCGCAGATGAAGTTTACGGATGTGCCTGACGCCGTGAACATGATGGCCATGCACCTGGTCGAGACGGTGTCGTTCAAGCTGCGCTACCTTATGGGTGTGCTGCTCAAGTTCTTGTCCACACGTGCTGGATGCCTGGCCTTGACCGGCTCCATCGGACCGGTGTGGGAGCTAGATGCGCGTACCATTGCGCAGGCGCTGATCCGCTGGCGGGACGCGCCGATCGAGCTTCTCCGGCTTGGCCAATTTGGTCTGTGCGGTGTGACCATGATCGTCTTTTACCGCCACATGGAGCGGGCGAATGCGGCGCTCGGCTACCCCACTGGGCCCTCGGACGGCTGGAAGCACCCGCCGGGGGCCGGGCCGCAAGAGCCCAAGCCCCACTATGCCTTTTCCTTCCTGAACGACACACTACCGCGCGAGCGCAGCGACACGCCCGTCGTATGGGAGGCGGATGTGGTGATTGTGGGCTCAGGCTGCGGTGGCGCCGTGGTTGCGGCGTACCTCGCCGAGCGCGGTCTCCGTGTGATCGTGGTGGACAAGGGCCTGTACGTGCGGCCTGAGGACATGCCCATGACCCAGGACTTTGCGATGGAGCAAATGTTCGAGCGCCTGGGCTTTGTGCCGACATCGAACCTCAGCTTGGCCGTGCTGGCCGGCAGCGGCTGGGGCGGCGGCTCGACGATCAACTGGAGCGCGACACTCGAGCCGCGCCACTATGTGCGCCATGCTTGGGCGACGCAGTACGGTGTGCCGTACTTCCGCTCGAGCGAGTTTGCGCAGGACTTGCGGTCGTGTGCGCAGCGGATGGGTACGACAACGCAGATACAGCACAACAAGGCCAATTCGCTGCTGCTCCTGGGCGGGCAGCGCAGTGGCCAGCCAGTGGCGACCGTGCCGCAGAACAATGGCGACACGCTACACTACTGCGGTCAGTGCCACTTTGGGTGCCCGTCCGGCCACAAGCAGAGCACGGTCATGACATGGCTGCGCGACGCTGCCGAGCATGGCGCCCAGTTTGTCGTGCACTGCGACATTGAGCGCGTGCTCGTCGAGGGCGGCCAGGCGACCGGTGTGGTGGGCGCTGTGCGGGGCCAGCGCGTCGTTATCAAAGGCACCAAGGCGGTCGCAGTGTCGGCCGGCAGCATCAACACACCGGCGATCCTGCTGCGCACGCCTGAGCTCAGGGTCAATCGCCAGATAGGCGAGCACCTGCACCTGCACCCTGTGGCCTTCGTGCATGGCTTTTACGAGCAGCCCATTGACCCGTGGAAGGGCCCTATCTTGTCGAGTGTGTCGAATGCAGCCGAGCTCGTGGACCCGAGCGGCTGGGGCGCCAGGATTGAGATTATGGTCTCGGCCCCGTCGCTCTTCTGCGCGCTGCTCCCGTTTGACGGGGCGCTGCAGCACAAAAAAGTGGCCGCACGGTACCGCTACGGCTTCACAATGATTGTCATTGTGCGCGACAGAGATGCTGGCCGCGTCAGACTGGACAAGTACGGCCGCGCCCTGCTTGATTACTCTCTCAGCAAGTTCGACGAGAAGAGTATGCTGGCGGGTGTCCTGCGCGCGACAGAGATCCACGCAAGCGCAGGTGCTAGCATGATCACGACAAGCCAGTTCCAGGCGCCATGGTACGAGGCGCCGCAGTCCGGCCCCAGCGAGCAGCCGGTGGTGCCAGAAACGTGGATGCCAGGGAGCCACAAGTTCGAGACCGTGCCCCCGCAGAGGAGCCTCACCGAGCCGCGCTTCGTCGCGTTCCAGCGGCAGATTGAAAAAATCGGGTTCCAGACTCTGCGCGTCATCCTCGGCTCGGCGCACCAAATGAGCTCCTGCCGCATGGGCGCTCACCCGTCGAGCAGTGCGTGCGATCCACTCGGCCGGGTGCGAGGCGTCGATCGGCTGTGGGTCGCCGACGGCTCGTCGCTCCCGGAAGCGTCGGGAGCGAATCCGATGCTGACCATCCTCGGCACTGCGCGCGGCATCGCGCGGAACATGGCGCGCGAGCTGGGCGTCGCGACGCCGAGCGACCTCGCCACCACGCCCGTAGCCCACCTGTAGACCTCCACTCCGCCTTGCATGCCACCCGCGCGGCCACTGGCGGACGGGGCGAGCCCGTCGCTGGCCCCGCGCGCAGAGCGCGCTGCGGCGTGTGCGCCTACCTCGGTGGTGGCCGCCGTGAGCGATTGTGCTGACGCCGACGTCGACTATGCGCTGCAGCAGGCCGTCAGGGCCCTGCGCGAGCACGTCGGTGGCAAGCAGGTGCACGCCCAGGCGGTCGCGCAAGTAGCCCGGTGGCTCTCGGACGCGGACCTCTCACACACGCAGGCCTCGCGGACCCTTGCGCGGCTCACGTCCCTGTGGACGGGGCGCGTCTCGCCGGCTCTCGCACGGACCCTGCTGGACCTGCTCCTCCCGCCGCTGTGGGTCCCGGGCGAACACGTGGACGCGTGTCTCGGTGTGCTCACACATGTGGCCTGCGTACGTACTGCCTACTGATGAAAGACGTGCCCATCTGCCATGGTGCCGGTGCTGCCGCGCCTCTTGCCGATAGGCGGATCGCCGAACCTATTGGCCCTGTTGGCGTCGCATGCAGCGGCGGTCGTGCCTCTATGGCAGGCTCTCTTTGCGCGGAGCGAGGGACTCTGGGCGATGGCGCGGCCTAGGTACGAGCTTGTCCCTGACGCAGCGCGAAAACAGCGACCTTTACCTCTCACTCTGAGCGCGTCGGCGCCTGGGTCCTCGATACGCGCGGGGCCTTGGCGCGCGCGCTGGACCAGGCGCCTCCAGACACCGCAGCCTCGCTCCTGCAGGTACGCTCGTACACTTACCCAGTGTGTCGATGCCTTTGTGACACATACGCATGCGTCGCCGCTGCACAGCTCGCACGCCGACGCGCTGCGCGCGTCGGTGGAGCGGTGGAGCGCCGTGCCCACGACGATGGTCGATGCGTACCGTGTGCTGTCGCGGTGGCCCGAGACGCCCGCGGACGCGATGCCTCGCCTGCTTTCCCTGCTCCACACAGCCGCGCCTGGCGTCGCGGAACAGGCATGGCGCGTCGCAGCCGAATGGGCGACGGAGGCGTGTGCCTCGGCGTGGCTCACACAGCTGGAGAGCGACGTGGCTGCTTCCGCGCCGCAGCGACGCACGGGCGCGGCCTACATGCTCGGCCGGCTACTCACCGCACAATCGCAGCACCGCACGAGCGATGCGGAGCGCCTGTGTGCGCTAGTGCCCCGCCTGTGTGGTGACTCTCATGAGCCAGTCCTGCTCGAGATGTGCCGGCTGTGGCCCGAGTACAGCCAAATACAGGGCTTCGACGTGCGCTGTGTCGCCGTGCTGGACCCGCTCCGGCGCGGCAGCGCGCCAGTGCGCGCCGAGTGCGCGCGCGCTGTGGGTGTCTGGGTGGAGCGTGCCGCCCAGCCAGGGCCGCCTGCGCTACAGGCGTGGCTCAGCGAGCACCTGTGGGGCGCTCAGGGACTCGTGCACGACCCTGCCCCTACGACGCGTGCGCGTGCCATGTGGGCGCTTGCCAACTGGTGTGCGGTGACAGAGCACTACGCCCCTGTGCCGCAGCAAGTGGCGCTGCGTGCGCTCACGGACGATGAGCGGGTCTCTGTGCATGCTGTGCGAGCCGTCGGGAGCCTCCTGCGTCTGGCGCCGGCGCCGGTGGTCGAGGAGGCGCTGCGCGAGGCGCGCGTGCTTATGGCGCAGGACCACGCGCCCAAAGTGCGGTGGAATGCCATGGCATGCATTGCGCGCGTCCTCGAGCGTGAGCAGTCGACGCCGCCCGCGGCATGGGCCGTGGGCGTGGAGTGCATGGCGGCGGCCCTCGACGACCCCCTGTTCAAGGTGAAGCGCATTGCTCTGCAGGCGCTCGTAGGCGTGCCGGAAGACGTGTGGGACGTGCTGCCTGGCGCGACGCGCGCCGCCGTGCGGGCCGCGGTCGAGGCGGCGCAGGCGCAGCTGGACGTCGCCGTGCAGCATGCTACGTTTTCCGAGGCGCAGCTGCATGCGCGCGACTGTGTGGCGCTGGTGCAGCAGCTGACCACGGCATGGACTACTTGAGGAACTGCATCCGCCACGTCGGGCGCCACTGGCGCGCACGGATCGCGTCGGCGTCGAGGCCCACGTGACCGTACGTGAGCGGCGCCATAAAGACAAACATGCCGAGGAGCGCCAGCGTGAGCAGGGTGCCCGCCACGTACGTCGCGAGCACGGGACGGCGGCGCATGTGCGGGCGCAGGCGGCCAGGTGCCAGTAGGGGCCCGGGCGGGCTGAGCGGCAGGTCCATCGCCGCGCTTGTCAGCTCGTCCAGCACACTGCCCATCGCGAGCACACTGCACACGTGCGCGGGCAAGTAGTGGTGGAGGAAGAGCTGGCGCTGCATGAGGAAGAAGGGCAGGTAGTGCCACGCCCACGCCATGACAAAGAAGCCCGTCGTGCGGAGGCTCCGCTGGCGCACGACCGATGGGATGCAGTACACGCCGCGGCGGCGGAAGAGCAGGTCCATCGTGTAGATGGCGCCAAACACCAGGAGGCCCAGCACGGCGCCCCACCAGCTGACGAGGTTCGGCAGAAAGACGATCTGCTTCTGCTCCGGATTGCTCGACCAGTACGCCACGCCATCCGACACGAGCGGCCAGGACTGTGGGCGGCTCGCGTACGGGTGCTCGCTCGTCAGGCGGTTGTTCTGGTCGAGCATCGTCGTCTGCAGCTCCACAAACTTGTCCATGAAGCTGATCGGCTCGGGATCGCGCGGGCGGTCGGGGCGCCGCGTGCGCAGCTCGTACATGGGCGAGTCGGGGTCCGGATGCACGTCGTCCACGAACCAAAGCGCGGTCTTGTCCATGGCATTCTTGTTGCCGTTCACCTCGAGCTGCGCGAACGCCCAGTCAGGCAGGACGCCGTCCTGGTACGTCCAGAGCGCAACGCGCGTCTCCTTGTGGACCAGGTGCACGAGCGTGCGCCGGCTGCTCCAGTACGTGCTGTTCGCGACGCCGCCAAAGATGTGCACCTCAAACACCGTGTTCGCCTCGTCCTCCGCGAGATCGCCCGCAGGGATCGTCGTAACCTCCTCGTTCGTCGGCATCAGCGGTGCCGCCACGTCGTGCGTGAGCAAGTACGAGTCTGTGTTGACGTGCAGGAGGCGGATCTTCTGGCCATGGTAGATGCGCCTGCGCGTCTTGTTAAATTGGCCACTCTCGTTGTCGACAGGGTCCAGCGGCATGATCTTCCACAGGCTGTTCGAGTCGGGCTGCTCGTGTGCCGTAACCTGCTGCCCCTGGCTCGAGATGCGCCCGTCGTCGTACTTGTGGGGGTAGGTGTGGGGGTGCGAATGCAGGTACGCGCCCGTCTTCTTGTGCTTGAGTGTGATGGTATCAAAGGCATGGAGCTCCATCGAGTGCTGCAGGAGGTCGTTGCCCTGCAGGCTCTGCTGGAAGCGCGGCGACATGAACACGTCGCCGGGGCCCGTGCGCGTGAGGATGGAAAAGTGCACGTAGAAGCAGCCCAGGTAGACGAACAGCGGCACGATCAGCAGGCCCAATGCGCGTGCGCACACGTGCTTCACGAACACGCGCAGCGTGAGCCCACGCCGAATGTCTAGCAGCGCCCACAGATCAGCGATCACGGCGGAGCCAATCGTCGCAAACGTCAACACACCAACGAGCTTGCACGACACGGTCAGCGCGAGCGAGACGCCCGTCGCAAGGAGCCACGCCCACCACACGGCGGTAAATGGGCGGTACCTCTGCTGGTAGAAGCGGATGTACGAGTACAGGCTCATTAGCACAAAGAGAACGAGCGGCGCATCGAGCAAGATGAGGCGCGTCTGCAGCACATGCGCATTGTCGACCAGGATGGCCATCGCACTACCGACAGCCACGATCCACGACGTGCCCGTCTCGCGCAAAATCTGGAACACGAGGGGGACTTGCAGCGCTCCGATCACCGCAGAGAGCGCGCGGATCTCGCGGTAGGGCACGCGCGGCTCAACGTACGAGTCGCCAATCTCCTCGAACTCGAACTGGCCGTCAAAGCCCGCGAGCCATGCGGCAAACGCGACGAGCAGCTTCGCGAGCGGGGGGTGCACATCGAAAAAGTAGCGCCGCGTCACGTAGTACGCGGCAAATTTGCCAAAGTGCACCTCATCAAAGACCACCTGCGACGGCTCGCCAATCTGGAAGAGGCGCACTCCCAGCGCGAGGACAGCTAGCACCACGGTTGTAACGCCGCCGAGCCATGTCCACGAGGCGCGAGCGGGCTTGGGCAACGCTCGGACGTGTGTATCGTGTACAGGAGCGGGCACAGGCGCTGGCATAGGCTCCGCGCCCGCCACACGCCGCCGACGCAGCTCCGAGTCGGCCTCCATTCGGTCGGGAGGCTTCGCGTGTGTGTGAGGACCGCGGTTGAGTATCACGTGCGAGGACCGTGCGCAGCTCCATGTCCGACACGCATCGCCTCGCGACGCGCGATGGGCGCCTAGCCGTGACGGTGCTCCGCTATGGCCTCACCATCCAGTCCATCGAGGTCAGGGCGCATGGCCACATTCACGACGTGATGGCAGGACCCGAAGACCCATGCGTGCATCGGACGCACGGCCGGCAGTTTTTTGGTCCGGTCATTGGCCGCTATGCGAACCGGCTGCCGGCCGGGCTCAGCCAGACGGGCCCCGTTGCGGTGCGTCTCGAAGAGTGGGGCGGTGCAGAAATCCACCACCATGGTGGCCCACCGCCGGCCGCCGCGCCGACCGAGGGCGTGGAGCAGCGGGGCCCGTGGGACTGTGTCTTGTGGACGCCGGTCGACGAGCCACAGCTCTTTGACGCACAGGCGCTCCGTGCGTGGGACGCCGTGGGTGTGTGGGCCATCGAGTCGCCAGATGGCGATCAGGGCTACCCTGGGCGTCTGCGCGTCGAGGCGTGCGTGGGCGTGTGTGCGGTGCCGGCGCGCATTGGCGACGTGCACGTCGAGTACCGCGCGCGGCTCATGGACGCTACGGACGCAACGCCACTGAACATGACGCAGCATTGGGGCTTTTACTTGGGCTCGCGCGATGGCAGCGTTCTGGATCATACGCTGCAGCTGGGGCCCCGCGGAGCGCCACTTGAGCGTCTCGCGCTGGACGCGCGCGGCGTGCCGACAGGCGAGCTGATCCCGTGCACGGACGCGGCGCACGACTGGCGCACCGGCAAGCGAATCGGTGCGTCTATGCCGCCAGGCGGCTATGACCACTTTTACGTGTGGGGCCCAAGCGCAGCATGCGTAGCTCGTATGCAAGGTGCCTGTGGCGTGACGATGGACGTGACGACGAACCAGACGGGGGTGCAGCTGTATACGGCCAACGCGGCGTCGCCCCTCGACGGGACGGCGAAGCGTGCGCACCGCGAGGGTGCGGCGTATGGGCCCCACTGTGCGGCCTTTCTCGAGTTTTCGGCGCCGCACGCCACGTTCCTGCGTGCGCCGCTGGCGCGCCGCGTTGGGACCGACACGCTCCTGCGCCGCGGAGAGACGTACCGCCACGTGGTAGCATTGGCCTTGGATGAGGTGGGAGAAGTGGGTGATGCATAGCGCGATCTATCAACCTAATTGTTCATGACACGGAGATTCGAGGGCTCGTGGGCCGCATAGGCCTGTGTTTCAGGGAAGCGGAACGAGGCCGAGCGGCGGGGCACGTCACCGTGCACCATGGTCTGACCTTCGACCGAGTTGGCGTACATCGAGCCGTTTTCGTCCATGTTGCTGGTAACCTCGGCGCCGCTCGAGCGCTGCACACCGTCCATGTAGCCGTACGAGGGAGACGCCGGGTCAAAGGTCGCCGACGCCGGCATGTACGCCTGCGCGTACGCATCATCGGACATGCCGTACGGATGCGAGGCGTCCATGGCGTATGGATGCGAGGCGTCCAGGGCGTACGGGTTCGACGGGTCCGTCGCGTACGAGTCCAGCACGGAGCGAGGACCCCGCACCGTGTGGCGGTCATCGTGGCCCATCATGCGGCCACCCGCAGGCGAGAGCGAGGACGGCGTGCCAGCGTGGCCCTGCATCGAGTAGCCAGACAGGTTCGACGAGCGGCCGGGCAGATCATAGTCGACGACATCGCGCAGAGGGCGCTGCAGCCACAGCGACGAGACGGGCGGCGCGGACGAACCCTTGTCGTACAGCACACCGTTCGACTTGAGCTCGGCAATCTTTTGTGACTCGCGACGCTTCTTGTACGCGTACAGACCACCCACCACAGCACCCACAGCAAGAGCCGCTGCGCCAAGGACGCCACCAGCAATGGCACCCGAGTTCGTCGTCTGGTCGTCGCCGCCCGAGTTCTGGTCGTCCTGCGCTGCACTGGGCGAGGATGCCGGCGAGTCAGACGAGGAGTTGGCATCGTCCTTGTCGGCCTGCGCATCGTTGCCGTCCTGCGCACCATCCTGTGCACCGCCATCCTGACCTTGGCCGTCCTGCGCATCGCCATTCGCATGGTTGCTGCCGTCTTGCTCCTCGCCGCTGGCGGCGTTGCTGCCGTCTTGCGCATCGCCGTTCGCGTGGTTGCTGCCGTCCTGCGCGGGCGGGCCCTGGTCAGCGGGAGCCTTGCTGGCGGCAGCCTTGTTTGCAGAAGCTTGGCTTGCCGACGCCTGGCTTGCCGACGCCTTGCTCGCCGATGCCTTGCTCGCCGATGCCTTGCTTGCCGATGCCTTGCTCGCCGATGCCTTGCTCGCCGACGACACACTCGCCGACGACTCCTGAGGCGTCGGGATGCGCGACATGTCCGGCAGGCTCATCGACGTCGGCTTCGCACCGCCGCGTGTCGAGCTTGCGCGGACCGCCGAGGTCGGCTGGTACGTCGCCGAGGTCGGCGTCGACTCCGCGCCGAGCATGTTCTGCGTGACACGCGCCGAGACAATGGCCGAGAGCTTGTCCGTCCAACGGAAACCCATAATGTTCTCGCGCGTGTCCATGTACATGACAAGAGGGTCGCTGGCATTCTCGTTCGTGCCGCCGCGCTTCTCCAGGCCGTACGCCGTGCTCTGGTGCTGCTGGCCGAACGCCACGACCAGCACATCGTCGACCATGACCGCCGAGTGGTACGCACGCTTCGAGGGGCGCGGGCCGTTCTCCGGCGGCGCACGGTAGTGGATGCGGGTCCAGCGCGCGGGCGTGTGCGACGCATCGAGCATGTACATCTCGTCGGTCGGCTCCTTGCTTACGTTCTTCCAGTCGTGGTGCATCTTGTAGCCACCGTACACGAGCACGCGGCCGTCATTCGTGTGCACCGCCGAGTGACCCACACGGGGCGAGGGAATGTCGCCCGTCGTGCCCCACTTGGCCCACTGGCCGGACGAGAGGTCCATGGCCCACGGCTGCGCAAAGTCCACAAGCGTGCGGCTCTTGTCACGGCCTCCGAGGAACAGGAGCGGCGTCTCGTCGCGGTTCGTCTGGCTGTTGTGGATCAGCGGCATCTGCACCGCAGCATAGTCGACCACCGGCACAGTGCTGAGGTTCTGGGACATCGCAAACGACTGGGCCTCCGCCTTGGCAAACTGCTTCGGCGGGCTGCACTGCTGGTCGAGCGGGGGGCCAATGAAGAGCAGGTCCATCGAGGAGGCGATCGGCTTGTGCGCGCCCTTCGACTGGCACGCCGCCTCGACGTCCTCGCCACCCCACACCATCAGTGCCACGTCCTCCTGGTCCGGCAGGAGCGAGCGCGTGAGCACAGCACCGGCGTGGGAGCGGCGCGTCGGCTGCGTGCCGTTCGTGCGGATCGGCTTCCAGGTGCCGACCAGCGTCTGGTTCTTCTTCTCGAGGCTGTACGTGTGCAGGTCGTGTGTCTTTTCGCCACAGTCCTCGGGCTTGCCGCCCACGACCCACAGCGTATCGACGAGGTGGCCGTCCGTCGCGCCACACACGCTCGTCGACACGTACGACGACGCGTACGCCGCCTTGGGCGCCGCCACCGAGTCGTTGCCGCGCTGGACGCGCAGCCACGGCATGCGCTTCACCGACGCACGCGTGCTCTGCAGGTTCGTCAGACCCGACATGTCGAGCGCGAGCGTCTCGTTCGAGACGTGGCCCTGGTCGTCGAGCTGGCCACCCACGAACACAATCGTTTGGCTGCCCTGCATGTACTGCGCCGTCGCGCCCCAGCGCGGCGCAGGCGTCGCATTGGAGTAGCGCGCCATGTCCGGCTCGGGCATCTGGAACTGGCCCACACTGCCGAGCATCTTCATAAAGTCGGCCGCGACCGAGCCGTCCTGCTGAGGCGTACCGGGCGAGTCGGTCTGCTGCGCACCATACGCCTCACCCAGTTGCCCGAAGAGCTTCGTGCCAAAGAGGGCTGTCAGACCGCTGTCCTCGGTAGACGAGGGTCGCACACTCGTCGGAGTCGGCGCCGGCGCCGCGAGAGTGTGCGGGGCCGCTGCGATCAACGCAGCGACATAGGGAACCAGGGAAAGAAAGCGACCCATGATACGTGAAATCCACCAGGGATAATGCGTAGAGGACCAGCCTCAGGGGTACAAGGGACAAGAAAGGGGACTTGGAGACCGGCTCCAAGGAACGAGGGGGCAGAAGGGTGGCGTCCACCCAGGGCCGCGGGCGCTTCTTGTACCCCAGCGGCGTAGATGTTGCACAGGGCGCGTGGAGTCGCCGAAGAGTTTACGTGCCTCCACATGACCCCCACCGGCGCGGCCCGTCTTGGCGCATCGCTATGTACGACGTGCTGCGGGCCCAGCCGCTGGCACGCGCGGACCTCCCGGCGCCGGGCACCACGGAATGGCGGGCATTTCTTCGTGATCTCGTGCACGATGCGCTGGCGATCCTGCGCATGAACAACACGTCCACGCGCTGGGGCTCGCTGAAGGGCTCCGTGTCGCTCGCGTCGATCCCGTCGATTGAGCCCAAAGGCACGCGGTTGCGGGGCGCGCACTGGCACTCGCGCTCGTCGCTGCATTTCCCCAAGGACACGGGCCTGCCGTTTGAGGTGTTTGAGGACGGGCTGCTTAAGGACCACACGCCGAACGAGCAGGCGTACATCCACGCGATGGAGCACGCCGAGTGCCTCGAGGAGCTTGTGCCGGGCCTCGCGGCCATCTGGCACATGCGCTACCAGACGCCCTGGGGCACGGCCAACCGCGACTTTGTGGAGCTGGTGCTGACGCTCCCCCTCCTGCCGCACGAGCTGCCCTACAGCCACTTCCACGAGCTCGCGATGCTCGAGGCGCTCGACAGCGGAGCGTGGCCCTCGACGCCCGATGTGCCGCGCGCCGAGCCGCCCGCACTGCGCTCATTCATGGTCGTGAGCGTGCCCATCGAGCATGCGCCGACGCCCGGCTACGTGCGTGCGTACTACGCGGCCGTCGAGGGCGTCCGAGAAGACCTGCTCGGCACGCGACTCGGCGAGGTCGGCGTGCAGTGGCTCATGTCCACACAGACGGACGCGCAGGGCTGGATCCCCCAGTGGGTGCAGGAATGGGCGATGCCCTCGCAGATTGCCGTGGATGTACCGAGCTTCCTGGCGTGGGTGCGCGCGAAGCGCGCGTAGCTACAAAAGGTCCAGTAGGTTGGACGAGGCAGCCGTAGTAGGCGCTGGCGCCGGGGCAGGCGCTGGTGTATCGAAGCTGGGTCAGCACGCGCACGTACATGCCGAGGAGGTCGTCCATCGCGGCCGGCGCGGCGCCCGGCGCCGGCGCACGGGCCGCGCTGCTGGCCATGGCCGGCGTCGAGAAGGCGTCGTCGCCGAGCAGGTCGCCCAGGCTTCCGAGGCTCTGGGCAGCCGCCTGTGTGGCTGTTGCCGCCGCGGCCGGCGCATCGTCGCTGAGGTCGAGCAGAGCCTCGCTCTTCTCGCCCTGGGCCACCGTGGCGATCGCGCGCGAGCGCGCCGCCTCGTCGTTGTGGCTGTGTGAGTACACGCAACGTACAGTGCTTGGATGGACTCGAGGCCCATGCGGCCATGGCCAATGAACGTCGATGCGGGCTTGTGGTACACGCTCGAGAGGAGCGAAATCTCGCGCAGCAGCTCGTTGAGCAGGGGGCGCGACACGGTCGTCAGGGGGATCGAGATCGGCGGCGCTGGCGCGAGGACCACGGCGCGGGCCGCGTCGCCGTCGGCGCTCGAGAGGAGGCGCCAGTAGATAAACGCACGGTCGCGCAGGTCGGCGTTGTCGCATGCCTGTGTGGCCTTTTCGAGCACGTCCTGCACAATCTTCTGCGCGAGGCCCGACTCGGGCTTCTTGAGGAAGAGCTTGACGATGGCCGTGAGCGTCTGGAACTGGACCTCGGGCTCGTCGTCGACAAAGTGCTCGAGGAAGACGGCGAGCTGCTCGGCGACATTGTCGATTTTCTCGGCGTACTCGCCGAGGATCCACACGAGCGCGGCCTTGGCCTCGGGCTCGTCCATCTCGTCCATATTCGCGCACAGCTGGGGGATGATGCGGGTGTACTGGTGGGGGTACTTGCGGAAGATGTCCTTGACGACGACGGTGGCCTCCTGCACGACATAGTTCACGCGCGAGTCGATCAGCTCGAGCAGCACGTAGACGCAGCGCTCCGCGGCGGCCTCGATGGCGATCGCACACTGGCCGATCGCGCGGATCGCGCGGCGCACGAACTCGACGTCGACTTCGGTCGCATACTCCTTGAGCTCGCTCAGCAGCATATCGACGTTGCTCTCCTTCGCGAGCTTGATCATCACGTCGACCTTTTCGGCCTTGACGTACGGCGGATCGTTGTACTTGCAGAAAAAGACGCGCAGTTCGTTCTGCAGGATCTCGGGGTACTTTTGCAGGATCAGGTTGATGTTGCGCAGGGCGACCCACTGGACCTCGGGCTCGCTCGTCACGAGCGTCACGAGCGGCGGTGCCATCTTCCGGATGAGCTGCTGCACAAACTCGGGCTTGCCCGTGGCTTCCATATGCACAAGCACGACCTTGACGGCGCCGAGGACGACGCTGCCATTCGCGTGCTGGAACTGGGGGATGACACGCTCGCAGATGTGTTCAGCCTCGCGCGCGTCCGCACTGCGGTACGCCGCGAGCGTTTGGAGAAGGACGAGGCGGCCCCACTCGCTGCACTCGTTGAGCGCGATGAGGAGCTTCATCAGCACGTCCGAGTCGAGCACAAAGACGGGCTCGCCGTTCAGGCGCAGCTCCTGCGCCGTCTCGTGGATATCGTTGAGCGCGGCGACCGCGTTCGCGACGACCATGGGGTTGTTGTCGGTGATCATGCTCTTGACGTGGTCGACGAAGCCGCCCTCGAGGGCGAGCTCGGGCTTGAGGCTGAACAGCTTGGCGACGCAGATCACTGCCGTCTTGCGCACGTAGGGGCTCTCGTCTGCGAGCGCGCGGCGGAGTGGCTCGGGCAGGTAGTCGATGATCTTCTCGGCGCGCAGGCAGCCCATGGTGCGGATGGCCAGGGCGCGCACGAGGGGGTTCGGGTCTTCGGCGTCCTTGACGAAGGTGTTGACCGCGAGGATGACGAGCTCAGGCTGTGTCTTGGCATAGTTCATGAGGTACAGGTACACGAGCTTTTTCTGCTCGAGGTCTTCCGTCTGCATGTTCTTGAGCACGTCGGGAAAGAGCGCGGACACGTCCTTGCCGACGGTCATGTTCGCGATGACCCGCTTGATTCCATCCTTGCGGCGCTCGCGGTACTCGCTGTTCACTGGGGTCAGCTGCATTTACGCACAGTCTCCGCGGAGCTCGAACGTTTCGCCTGCTGTGAGTGCATCGTACGTACCCTTCCGCGGCGTGCCAAAGTAGCCCGGACGGCTCATGTCGGTCGTCGAGGCGTGCGTGGAGCGGCGCCGCCCGTGGCCGCCTGGCCCTGGCTAGGCAGTGATAGACTCACCCCCTGCAAGAATACGGTAATGTGCTGGCCGTATGGTCTAGTAGTATGATTCTCGCTTTGGGAGAATCGCGCCTTAATTGCGAGAGGTCCTGGGTTCAATTCCCAGTGCGGCCCTTTTTTGCCCCTTTTTTTGCGAGACCGCTGCCCCTCCGCCCGCCATGCCCCGCGCCGTGTCCGAGCGCATCACGAGCGCACGCACGCAGGCGGCGGCGGCCTCGCCACGCTCCGCGCCCCATACGCAGCAGAACTCGAGTGCGACGACGAAGAACCCCATCTTCAACACGGACCGGTTTGGCCAGCACATCCTCAAAAACCCGCTCGTGGCGCAGGGCATCGTCGACAAGGCGAACTTGAAGCCCACCGACGCCGTGCTGGAAGTCGGTCCCGGTACGGGTAATCTGACGGTGCGCATCCTCGAGAAGGCCAAGCGGGTCACCGTCGTGGAAATGGACCCCCGCATGGCCGCCGAGCTCACGAAGCGTGTGCAGGGCAAGTACGTACGCTATCGACTGACGCAGGCCTGAGCAGCGCAAGCTCGAAATCGTCCTGGGCGACGTGATCAAGACGGAGCTCCCCTACTTCGACGTGGTCATCAGCAACACGCCCTACCAAATCTCGTCGCCCCTCGTGTTCAAGCTGCTCTCCCACCGGCCGCTCTTCCGGTGCGCCATCCTCATGTTCCAGCGCGAGTTTGCGATGCGCCTCGTCGCCCGGCCCGGCTCGCCGCTCTGGGGCCGCCTCTCCGCCAACGTGCAGCTGTACGCCAAGGTCGATCATATCATGAAAGTCGCGCGCGGCTCGTTCCGCCCGCCGCCCAACGTCGACAGCAGTGTCGTGCGCATTGTCCCGCTGAATCCGCCGCCGCCGATCCGCTTCGAGGAGTTTGACGGCCTTACACGCATTGTGTTTAGCCGCCGCAACAAGGTGCTGCGCGCCTGCTTCTTCAGCGCGCGCGGCGTCCTCGAGATGATGGAGGCCAACTGGAAGACGTACTGCGCCGAACACAGCGTCTCTGTCGAGGGCGTCTCGTTCCCCGATAAGGTCGACGGCGTGCTACAGCGCCTTGGCATGAGCGAGGCGCGCGCCGCCAAACTCGACGTCGACGAGCTGCTCGCACTGCTCTCGGCCTTCCATGACGAGGGCATTCATTTCTAGTCGGACGTACATAGAGCCCAGCTCGCTACGCACTGCTGCACCAGGGGCTCGCTCCCCAAGACTCGCCGCAGGACATGCGTGGCCAGGGCCGGCGGCGTCGACGCATGGCGCGCACGCAGCCGCGCCACGTCCGCCGCGCTCGGCGCCTCGAGCAGCGCGAGGGCCCACGCCGCCTCGCGCACGAGCGGCGCGCCCCGCAAGTACGCGGACACGCCCGGCATGCTCGGCCCGAGCTGCTGCGTCAGCTGCCACGCCAGACCGTCCAGCACGTCGCGCGGCACGAGCCGGTCGCGCGTGCCACGCAGCCGCGCATCGGCCGCCGAGCGGTACAGCGCACGCAGCAGGGCCACATCCTGCACAAAGAGCACGCGGTCCGGCGCCTCGGGCTGCTGCCAGCCGGCCCAGAGCGCCAGGTACACGCGCGGGAGCATCGGCGTGTCGTGGAGAAGGCCATCCAGGAGGACAGACGCACAAAACGAGGCAAACGGCGCCGCAGCGCCACACACGTAGCGCACGAGCCCCTGGACCTCGGGCGCCGTCGTAAACCCTTGCACAAGCACACGCAAGTCCTGCAGGTGCCGCGCGCCTTCCGCATCGGCCGTCCAGCGCGGCGCGGTGACCTGCGCCGTGCGCGCAAAGATGCTGCGGTGGCCGTGCGGGTCGTCCGCATACGTCAGGAACCCCGTCCGCCGCTGCACAGGAAGCCAGTGCACAGAGAGCGGCGCGGACGCCCGGAGCGGCACAGCCGCGGGCCAGTACCGCCGGCTGTCCGACACGGCCATCGCGCCCGTGGCCACAGCGTCCGGCGGCACAAGCGCCGGCGTCTCGAGGCGTGTGCCGCCGACCGACACTGGCAGGAAACACACATCGCCACTCGTCACGTCGTGCGCGGCCAGCAGGCGCGGCGACAGGGCCAGCACCCACAGGTGCCGCAGCGCCGGCAGATGGGCGCCCGTGTCGTCGGGCGCGAGGGGAAAGCGCGGCAGGCACGTCATCAGCAGGGCCGCCATCGCGCGATCGCTCCGCCCCACGCTGAAGCGGCCGCCGCCGAGGAACAAGAGACCGAGCGCCATATGCGTCGCCATGTGGCTGCCGTACGGCACGTCCAGCGCGCCGTGCGCCGCACGCAGCACACGCAGCGTATCCACGTCGCCCGTGCCGGCCATGACGCAGCCCAGCGCGAGACGCACCACGTCGTGCAGCATCGTGATGGCCGCCCGCACGAGGCGCGCCTCGTACGACGTGGGCGGCTCGGGCGCATAGGCCAGCTGGCGCAGCAGGAGCGCACGCGCACGCACATCGCCCGTGCCGGCGAACTGCAGGCCCAGCGCCAGGCATGCGCCCGCGCGAATGTAGTAGAAGGCGAGCGCCTGGTGCGGATCGAGCGCCGCAGGGTCCGTGAGCGCCGGGCACGCCGACGCCAGCCACGCATCGTCGGGCGTCGCGTCCCAGAGGATCAGCGCGCGCGCGAGCGCGCGCGTGAGCAGCAGGTCGGGGCGCATGTGCGCGAGTGCATCGAGCGCGGGCGGCTTGAGTGCCTCGGCCACGTCGCGCCGCCCACTGCGCAGAAACAGGAGCGCGAGCGCCAGGCTCGCGGCCGCCGCGCTGCGCACGGCCGCGAGCGGCGGCGTGTCGTCGGTGGGAGTGAGCAGGCGGCACAGCCGCGCCGTCAGCGCGAGGTCCGCGGCGCTCGACATGCCGGTACGCCGCGCGCGGCCGAGGTGCACGAGCCCGAGCGCGAGGCCAGCGCAGTGCGCGTACACGTCGCGGTGCCGATCGAGCGCCTCGCTCGTGTCGAGGGGCGCGTCGAGCTGCGCCACGAGGCGCGCGGCCGTCCAGCGGTGGTCCGTGCCGCAGAACACGAGGCCCATGCCGAGCAGGCCGGTCGCCTGCGTCAGCGGCGCCATGTGCAGCGGCACGCTCCCGGCCGGCAGGAACGCTGCGACCTGGACCGCCATGATCTGCCGCGCCACGGGGTCGCCCGTGCCGATAAACGAGGCGGCCAGGCCGAGCACGAGGCCCATCGTCGTGAGCGTGTGCCGCGGAGCGAGGTAGCGGTACGCATGGACCCGACCGAGCGTGCGCAGGTGCCCCTGCAGGCCCAGGCCCAGGAGGAAGCCGGCATGGCGCGCGCGCGCGCCGCGCGTATCGCCCGCATGCGCAAAGATCCAGCTCGAGTCGACCGGCGCCGCGCCAATCTCGAGCGCGGACGCGGCGCCATTGTGGAACTCGGGCCACTCGAGCTCGGCGGGCTCGTGCGTGTCGGTGAGGAGCGCGCCGTCCGGGAGCGTGCGCAGCGCGACACACAGGCGCGGCGTGCGCCATGTGCCGGTCGTGCGCAGCGTCTGGCTCGCGAGGCGGAACATGCCGCGGCCCACACACTGCGACAGGGTCCGCTCCGCGAGCGTGCGCGCAAGCGCCGAGGCCGCCGGCGACGTGCCCGTCTCGTCCGTCGGCAGGCGCGCAGTCTGCACGCGCGTCGTACACAGCATGCGCGCGACCTCGGCGAGGCGGTGGTCGCGGTGGAAGATGTGCGCACTCAGCGGATCCAGGCCGGGCGGGAGCGTCGCCTGCCGCGCCGCGCGCATCGTCACGGGCGGCGGCGGCGCAGCGAGCGACGCGGCGGCCGCGTCCGCGCGGCGCAGGAGCGCATACAGCGCGGGCGGGGCCTGCGCGGGCGGATCCAGCTGGCACGTCCGGAGCGCCTCCTCCAGAGGGAGCGCGAGGCCCGCAGGGAGGCGCTGCACGGTCCGCGCGTCCCAGTGCACGCGGAGGAGCGCATGCACGACGTCCGTGGCGGTGCCGTGCGCCAGCACGCCGTACACGTCGAGCAGCGCGTGCAAGAGCGGGCACCACGTCGCGAGGTGGCGCACAGGCGGCGTGTGTGTCGTGTCCGCCACCGTCTGCGCCAGCGCGTCGAGCGTGCGCGCGTCGCCATCGAGCGTCGCACGCAGCGTCGCATACACGTCCGGCGGCGCCGGCGGGCCGCCGCCGGTCTGCGAGACGGCTCGCACCGGGTACACACGCGTCCACGCGTCGAGCCACGCGCCCCACCCCAGGCGCTCGAGGAGAGGCACGAGCAGGGCCACAAGGCGCGGCGCATCGGTGCGCCGGCGCGCGAGATCGATCATGGCGTCCTGCGCGAGAAAGTGCAGCACGACCGCGACGCCCGCATCGGACGGCCGCGGCTCGCCGGCGCCGGCCGCCGCCGGCGGCGCGGCGGCGTAGCCGAGAGCCGTCAGCAGCGAGCGCGCGTGGGCCTCGCACGTGTGCGCCGGGCCTGTCGCCGCCTCGTCGACGGCGAGGACCTGCGCGAGGCCCGCCCAGGTGCATGGCGCACGAGCCCACTGCGCCAGCAGCGCGCTCGCCGTCGACACCGGCAGCGCGAGACTGAGCGCGTCGAGGACGCGCGCGGCGAGCGCATCGCCCGGCCGCGCATACACGGGATGCGGCGCCCACGCGCCACGTACGAGCAGCTGGGCGTCGTCGTCGACGCGCACGCGCGTCGCGTCGTGCGCCCACGGCACGGCGGCGGCCGGCCCTGGCGGGCCACACACGAGCCACGCCGTATGGTGCGCATCGATATGAAGGAGCGCGTCGTTCGGGCGCACGAGCGACACGCACGCGACGTCGCGCGCGGCGAAGACGGCGTCGGCGTCCGCATGGTGCGGCGCATGCAGCGTCGGGCCCGCGCCGACACAGCGGCAGAACACGCGCTCGGAGGCGCGCACGAAGATGTACAGGCGCTCGTAGAACCACAGCACGCGCACGCTGTGGGCGTCGTCCGGCGCATGGGCGAGCTCCGGCACGGTGATCTCTTCGAGGAGCACGACGCAGGCGTGTGCGTGCGCCAGGTGCGCAAAGAGGGGGTGGGGCGCGCCGCTCGGGGGCGCCATGTCCACGTCCGAGAGGCTGTGCGTGGCGCGGCGCCCGAGCAGCGCGGCGTCCTGCTCGGGCTCGAGGAGCGGGAGCGGCGGGTGGTACTCGGACGCGCGCCGCGCGCCGAGCTCGCTCACGCGGCTCGAGCGCCGCAGCGACTTGCGCGAGCGCACCGCGCTGGGCGCGGGGGGCGGCGCGGCATGCGTCTTGGGCGCGGCGCGCTGCTGCAGCGGCTCGGACGACGTCACATACTGGTACACGCGCAGGGCGCGGCGCTCGCGGCTGAGCGACACGAGCAGCGCAGCGGGGCAGGTGCGCCCGTCGCTCGCCCACACGATCTGCTCGCCGCTCTCGGGGAAGGGCGCCGTGGCGCCGTGCACGACCGGCGCGCCGTCCTCGCGCTGCAGCGCGGCCGCGCGCGTCCACGGCGCGGCCTCGTCAAAGAGACTGCGCACGTAGTAGGCGCCCGGGAGCGCCGCGCCGCTCGTGTGCGCATGCGCATCGCGCACGATCAGCACGCCCGTGTGCAGCGGCCACACGCGCGCCGCGCAGAACGACAGCGGCACGGACGCCGCGTGGCCGAGGCGCGGCACATGCACGTACAGCAGGCGGTCCAGCGCCACGCACACGACCGCCTCGCACGTGTCCTGCGTGACGTACATGTGCGCCGTGCACGCCGCGCGCACGCGCTCCGGGAAGGTGTACGTGCGCACGAGCGTGGCGCCCCGCCACAGCTGCACGGCGTGTGCGTGCCACGTCAGCTCGACGCCGTCCAGCGCAGGGCCCAGTGTGCCCCGCGGCGCGCGCCAGCGCCCCGGCTCTGCGTGCGCGCCGACGCGCGCCATCGCACGCAG